GATTGGTGTTACTAACGATACAGAGTAAAGAATTTACAAACGCCTTCATTCTGCAAATCCTATGCAATTATTAATTGAAAAATTAGCGTTCAACTCTTTAGCTTTAAATTAGTTCTTGAAAGCTCTTACTTCTCTTTTAACACCTTCATTAATAATATGTGAACACATAAATCACAATTCCACATGTAACCACTCGACGAGTTGAAAGCACATGTTGCTTTGTGTGTGGGAGTGTGTGATATATTTCTTTTTTGAAGTTGATAATTCTTTCACTTTTCTTATAAAATTGCCTTTTTCTTTTTTGCTTTCTTGCTCTCGTTTTCATTGAAATGTCGCAGATGGATTCCAGCTATGAGGAGGAAATTCTAAATGACATAGAAAGGCAGCAACGTCTTGCACTTAAATTGGGGTAAGACCACGACTGTCCTGATTTATAAGGGATGTAGACCAATATTTTCTAAGTTGATTTAACTGTTTTGTATAATGAGGCAACTTTTGAAAGAATTCATGTGCTATCTATTTCTTTTTTTAGATAATGCAGTAGAATTACTACTATTTAGTTATCTCCGGTAGAGATTTAATTCCTGTTTTGAAGTATTGTAACAATTTAGCTATTTTTGAGTTAATTTGTGTTGTGATAACTACTAATTAAAAATTTTAAAATATGGCTGTTTGACTCAATTTTTGTGTTCGTGCACTTTAAAATCGGTGATTTTTAGATTTGTTGCTGGCGTAATCGCTCGCGAAAAGGTTCCTGCTTTTGAGCGAATACTATGGCGAGCATGTCGTGGAAATGTATTCTTGCGTTATGCAGAAATAGAAACACCATTGGAGGATCCACATACAGTAAGCAGATTTTTTTCTGGTATCTTTCAGAAAATTATAGTATCCAATTCTTGTTTATTATATAAATTATATTCTTTTCCAGGGTGAAAAAGTATACAAATGCGTCTTCATCATATTTTTTCAAGGAGATCAACTCAAAACTAGAGTTAAAAAGATTTGTGAAGGGTATGTCAAGTTATGCTATTTTTTGTGAACACTTCGAAGATTATTGGTTATCATTTATGAAAAATGTACTTTCAAGTGGAAATTTCATTTCGTTATACAGTTAATTTGACCTGAAAATGAATTTTTGTGTTTCACTGTTATGCCATTATTTTTAGGTTCCGAGCCACTCTGTATCCATGCCCTGAAACTCCCCAAGAAAGAAGGGAAATTGCAATTGGTGTTATGACCAGAATCGAGGATTTGCAAACAGTGAGTTATGCTTACTTCAATTAACATCAGCATATAATATAGGACTGTTTTGCTGTTTGATCTGTGCAGCTCATTATCATGATAAATGTTCTTTCAGGTTTTGGATCAGACTGATCAACATCGCAAAAGAGTTTTGACTCAAGTTGCAACAAGCATTCGTGTGTGGTTTATCAAGGTAATTTATTTGTCAATTATTTATACAAAATCTTCTGTTCTGAACAAGGCTCTGCACAAGTAGCCACAATTAGGTATAGACCAACTATAGCATGGAAGGATGGAAGCTTTATTCAGCATTGCCTGTCCGATTCACTTCTCTTTGGTGAGGTGGTAAGCATGAGATTTGAACCCCATTGGATGTTAACATTAAGTCAATAATGATATTAAAATGGCATCTCAGAATTAAGTGGTTTTGTCAGTTTTCCTCTCCTATTATACATAATGAATCCTGCTATAGAATGACAGATACTGAAATGGCTCTTTGCAGAACTATTCTTCATATAACATTATTAATAATCAAGTCATATGACTCTTACTCATGGGCGTGGGTTCTGAATCCGAGATTTTAACCTTATTAATCATAAGTACGCTTAAAACACTAAACCATGTATGAATTTATTTCGGGAAAATTAATAATATTGTTAACACAGAAAAATTGTAAAAATGATTGGCAAAATGTTTTTATTTTAGGTTCGTAAAATCAAAGCCATCTACCACACTCTTAATCTGTTCAACGTGAACATTGCTCAGAAATGCTTGATTGCTGAATGTTGGTGTCCAGTGGCTGATTTGGATAAAATTCACTTGGCTTTAAGAAGAGGAACTGTAAGTTACGTTATATAGAATGCAGTTCTTATACTCGTGTAGATGAAACCCACCATCCAAACTCAAGATATATGAAATATTTTTTTGTTAAATTAAAATGAATAAATTACAATGATCTACATGCAAAAAATGAAAAATATGTAATCATTGAATATAGGCATTACAACTAATCATATTGAGGATATATGGAGCGCAACTAGCAAACAATGTTATTTGCCATTCATATATTTTCTATTCAGAAAAAACTTCGGAAATTCGAAATAAGGCAAATTACATCATTCTGATACACAAATCGGGCTCTATCTATATATCTCAATATAAATATACCTGTTGGAAATCATACGCTATTATCACAAACATTTGTTGTCAATTTTTCATACAATATTTATTGGATTCTTACTACATTTCATGAAGTGCATGTATAATAAAACCGTTGGCTATGCAATTTTGTCTCTGCATACTCAGCCATGAAAATTTTCTGTATTGATTGTACTAATCAATACGGCTTATGTTGGTTCCATGCTGAGCTTCTAAAGCACAACACCAAATTAATTATTGATCAGCCCAAAACTCACATGATGTTCTTTTATGATTGGAGAAAGAAATCACCTTTAGTGTGCTCTAATATTGATTGGCTTCTCATTGATTATCGGTCATGGGGGTTCTTCGACTAATATCTTTCAAAGATTTCATCAGGATATCCTGCTTATATAATATAAAGAAAGCAACTTTAAATGATTATCATGCAGGATTAATATTGTTAATTTTAAATTGCTATTTTCAAGGTCATGAAGTAAGGTTATTGCCACACATTTAACTCTTCAAATCAAAACATTTCAAATGACATAATGACCTAACATAGTAGGGATATCCAATTGTACTAAATATTTGAATTCGTTAATATTTCATTCGCATTAAATTGTATTATTAAAATCTCAGTTTAGTTAGTCAATTTGAGATATATTTGCTGATTTATAAAATGATAAAATTCTTATTCCATTTCAAAAATGTTAGAAAATCACCCAAAGAAGCAAATTTCTACATTTATAAAGATATATAAATATCTCTTGTACTTGAAACCGGTTACCATTTTGAGCATTGATTAGCGAATAGCAATAGTCTGGATTTGATTTGGAATCTTTGCAGAATTGGAATTTGTGATTTAAGTATCTTTACTGTTAGACTGAACACAGTACCTTGTTTATTGTCCCACAACCTGAATCTGTCTATAAAAAATTACTGAAGTCTTAAATACATTTATCCTTAGGAATCCAGCGGTTCATCTGTTCCATCTATTCTTCACCAAATGAAAACAAAGCATGAACCACCGACGTACAATCGAAACACTCCCCTGACATCTGCCTTCCAAGGCATGGTAGATGCATATGGTGTTGCAAATTACAGAGAAGTCAATCCAGGTAAAATTGATAATCACATTTCTAGTCAATTTCATCATATATCGAAACTTAATCACACAGAAAATTTTTCTAGTTCTTTGCACTTTGGTGGTCGTCATTGAGAGATCAGTATCCTTTTTTTTTGAGTGAGTATGCGTGAGCGTGACCTTGCTTTAAGCAAATTTTCTTGGTTAAGAAAAAGATATTTCTATGGATATTGTTTCGGGCAAGCAGCTGGCTTATTTTAGATACAATATTTTGCACTAATGGTTCTGAGATATGTCCGACTGCTTTTGATTCAGTTTGTATTAAGTATGAAAAATACTAAATATAGATTTCATGGTTTGATGGCCGATAAATTTCTTTTCTGAATTGATATAAACAATTATGCTATTGCAGCTCCATTCACTGTGATCACCTTCCCTTTTTTATTTGCTGTAATGTTCGGAGATTTGGGTCATGGACTCATACTGTTTTTGTTCGGGTTATGGTTGGTCATGTTCGAAAAAAGACTGGAAAAGTTTAATGACAGCGAGGTGGGTGTTTTTTGAATTATCTTGTTAAACTAAAGATAAAATCATTCTTAAGATCTTAGTTTGCAATATTATTATATTGCCAGTATTTTAACTACTATACCTGGAACATATTTAATTCTGATTTGAATCATACTTGGTTTCATAGTATTTTATATAGAATATTTAAAATAAATTTAAATGACTTACCGGTAGTATTCAGAGAAAATATATAGTGTTCTAATTGTTGTTTTTTTTTCTTTATTATTTAGTTTTGGGAAATGATATATGGTGGCCGTTATATCATTTTTCTAATGGGGGCTTTCTCCATTTACACCGGATTTTTGTACAACGAGTGTTTCTCCAGATCATTGAATATATTCGGGTCTGCATGGAATGCAAGCGCTATGGAATATACGTAAGTTTTTGCGTGGTTGTTTTCATGGGAACGTAAGAATGTGTTTTAATATTTTCAGGTATTAAATGCAAAGTTCTTTATTTGAATAGTCATCATTTGATTTGTTATGATTTTATGAATTACCTCTTTATTATAAAAGCTTTTTATTATTTATTTTAGAAATAAAACCTTGGATGATACAACTTTAAAATTTCTGACTCTCGATCCTGCGAGGCCAGGTGTAATGAAGGGGTCAGGGGGACCATATCCAAATGTCACAAGCGACCCCTATCCATATGGCATGGATCCCGTAAGTTTATTGAATGGCAGAAAGAATCATGTTTGATTAAATTATTTTTGCGGCTGTGATTTGATAAAAACCATTGTATTCATTATCAAGATTTAGCTTATGCTTTCAGCTTTGGGTCTACTGGTTCTTCTGTAGAATTTGATTACCGTATGGACTATAATGTGCATTGGGTTAGAAGGCCTGTCGTCAATAATTTGTTTAAATTGGGGTTTTATCGATACATAATGCATGCCAAGCTTTGAACTGCAACGGTTTTGAGGAGTACATACATACAAAGCTCATTAAGCAAAAAAACTCATTTATGATTATTGACTGTATTTTATTCAACGAAAACAAAAAATGGCGGATTGTTTATGCGCACCGTTTTCCAAGCCCCACAATCGATTTTTGAGAGAAAAAGATTTCAAGTGCACCCTATTAATATTAGCACTTAAAAACTTAAACACCGATTGAAGTAAAACAAACTGGTTAAGATATATTGAAAACTGATCTCAAAATTGAAATTGTAATGGACTTTTGTGTTTGTGTATATACTTGGTCAGCCTAAATACTGCTTCTGTCATAGATCACAGTAACCTCATTATTGCTTTCTTTCATTGATTAGATTTGGCAACTTGCAGAAAATAAAATCACATTCTTGAACAGTTACAAAATGAAAGGATCTGTTATCATTGGAATAACTCACATGATATTCGGTCTTGTACTTAGCCTGCTCAATTACATGTAAGTTGAAATATCAGATTCAATATTTATAGGCATAGTGCATTTTGATTTGTTTTGGGGGCATTTTCGGACCACGGCCTCTCGTCTGGTTACCAGCCCATGTCAGTTATGGGATTAGTTAACAAGGTATTTGTTTCGTTCATTTTGTCTGAACCGAATTTATTATGAAATATGTTGAAGAGATTGGTATTATGTGTGATTATCAGATTAATATCATATCATGCTCTTGTTACAGCTATTTCAACAAACGATTGAACATCTGGACAGTATTTGTTCCACAGTTACTGTTCATCAATGCTATCTTTGGATATTTAGTCATCATCATAATTTATAAGTGGGCTGCATGGGGGGCTGAATTATCAAAGGTAAATAGAATTTTATGAAAAATTAAATCAATGAGTTTTATATGTAGTTTTATTCGTTATTAGACACAAATTGTACATGTGGATCCTCTTGCTGAATTGTAGTCTAGGCTGTTCTTGTTTTCTGGGAAAATGATCACTTTTTTCTGCAATTAAATTTTTAGTACTTTGAGAGTGGTCGAATCCGCTAAAAGGATATAATTTTGTTTTTAAATTACCCCTGTGCCAGGCCATTGTGATGAAAATAGTTCAGAAATCCATTTCATAGTGTTTTAACAATAGTAAAACAACAGTTTCGTTTATCAAACTTCTTCTCAGGATGCTCCAAGTTTACTCATCGGCCTCATCAACATGTTCATGTTCAAAGCACCAACTAATGGAGTATGGTTATACAATGGACAAAATGGAGTGCAAATATTTCTCGTACTTGTTGCTGGACTTTGTGTACCGTGGCTTCTATTTGTAAAGCCGTACATCCTGTACAAAAGGAATCAGCAAAAAGTTAACAGGGTTAGTAATCGTGTTATGCTTTTATTTTGTGTTTGAATTTGTGATGTCATAAAAGTGTGATTTTTGTAGTAACAATATCTATCTTGTTCATAAATTTATTTCTAATGTAAATACAAAAATTTTCATGTCCAAAACTTTTTCAAAAATTTATCACAATTTTCAACCATTTCACTTTCAAATTATTTGATATAGCAAGACCAAATTTAATTTAAATTTTTGGTTAAAATTACCTGCTAACATATCAAATGTAAGCATTAATAATATTCTGTACTTTTATTATATATAATCACTATTATACTTATGTTAAACATCGTTGTCACCCATAATTTTTTGGAATATTTCCATGTCGCTCCCATTTCCCAAGTTCATCTGTGATCAGTGTTAACTCTAAGCGAATTATGAGTGCGAAAGTGCTTCGCAGTCAAAAAAAAAAAGTGCGAAAGTGCTTTTGCCGATTTTAACAAGTTAGGTGCTCTAGCCTTTCATATAACCCATTTAACACGGCATAGATACTCGAAAAAGCGCTCCTCCGGTTAATATTATGAATTAAAGAGAAGCCTTTCCATTAACGGAGTTCCATTTAAGCGAATTCATGTTTAATTAAAACAAGCGAATTCATCGGCAACGAAAAGACATCTGCTAACACTTGCCGCGAACAAAACTTTCATGCAATGTATCACGGTGTCAGTTGCTTACTCGCGTGAACAGCAAAGGCTTTCACATTTGTTACTCCTTCCATCTAACAGACAACGATTGATACACATAGGCTGGAAACCATATTAGTTACAGGGTGGATCATTTGTACAAATCCCGTGCAAAATAATCCCCCCCCCCCCCCCCCAAATATAAATAGCAATCAACTAATTAGGGTTAGGTGCGCTGGAAATTCAACTTTTCGATTTATCCCTAAACCTAATCTGATAATTATTAATTTGTGATTTTGAACCACTTTGAAAGTCGCCACCCGCTGTTTTAAAAGATAGGTTAACCTACGTTCCTTCCGAAATATTACACAGGATACTCCCTTGTTTTAGGAGATAGGTTGACCTACTTTCCTTTTAATTTTTTTTCTCCGAAATATTACACAAGATCACGTTGAAAATCCTCCCCTTTCGTGAGCTAGCGTGACCTAATTTCTCATTTACATTTATATTATACTATTTCAGAGCTTACCCAAAGACAAATAATTTTTAAATGTCGACGTGCCTTGGTTTGCGTGCGAGTTAGTTTAAATCAGGCAGAAAACATCATATATTGGCAAAATGTTTAGCTATGTCATGTACTTTCAGCATTCATAAATAGCACTCTTTGTAATGCTGCTGACCTAGTATCAAATATTCGCATCACAACGCCACTTGCGAGGTTTCCATATATTTCAATTACACTAATTAGAACGATGACACCAAAGAGTCTTCTTTTGCGAAGGTACACGAAATATAACGAGGGTGAATCTTGAAAAAAACATGAATATAATAAATAAACGAATGATATGATAGTGGATCCCAAATAATTTTGAGAGTGTCTCGAAATACCAATCCATTTGATAAATAATTTTTATTCGACCACATGAACGCTGATATACGCATTCTCAGATATCGGACATCCAGTCGCGATATTCAATCGTTCATATGCACAAATCTCACATTAATAGTAATTGCTACCCACGTTTGTAAAGTTTAGAAACCAACAAACAGAAAATAACTTATCCTAAAACACAATTAAAACTCAGTCGGCAATAAATTCGTCGCCAAGACGATGCCATACAAAACAAAAAAGATTTGGTCGCGAGAGTTACGTTAGATGACTGCAAAACGACGTTGTTTTTTAAGCAGAATGTAAAACAATCAAATTAAAAAAAACGGGAGTTACGACGCCCTTAACACATCGTGTGTATTAAACTTCCCTGGTAAGTACTATTATTATTGTACTTATACACCTGTTGGAGTATTTCGGACGATTTCGAATTTAAAATTAATGAAAACCCGACATATAATAAAGACGCAAAAGTAAAATGAACATTTATTGAAAAAGTTATTATTTAAGAAGGACAACATGATCGTACAATTCCGCCCAAACCTCGATGTTCGCAAGTGAGATGATAAATAAATACTTCCCTGTATTCGAGCAATTAACTTTAGCGTATCGTTGTTCTGCCAACAAACAGCCGGGTGCAAAATATTTCCGTCCTGTGATATGCTCACAAATATTCTCGATATTAATATCATACCCTCGCGTATGTACTTTCTATTAGCTCTTTAGTGATCCCTTCCATCCTTGGCCAAGTCATGTTTCGAATATGTGAACATTTTATTCGACCATACATGGCCGGCGGGATGTTAAAATTGTAAACAAGAGAGAGTCGCAACAATCCGCGAATTTCGTTTTGTGCGCCTGTTATCGTCGAAAATGATTACATTTGTTGTATTTTGAGGCATTTAAGCAGTAATAATTAGGGCATGACATCATCAAAATCGTCAAGTGAGATTTTGAAATTGCGAATTCCGTAAATAAAATTGTGAATTACTCGATAACGAATTCAGCTTCAATGACCGTCGGGGTATTGTTTTGTTGAAAATTATAATTAATGTGAGAGCGCCAAAAACATACAGTCCATACCGATGCGACTGCAATTTATATGGCCGCACTTGGTGTGGCGCGTTTATTAATAATGTAAAATAAATTAAACGAATATCAATTATAACCAAGCCTGTCAGCGTGTTTATTTTCTGTGGGCAAGAATCGTAAAATACCATCTTGAGACAAATTCACTTCTATTATAAAATCTAATTTTTCAGTTATTATCGTTATACAAATAACGTGTGGCAACTTTTTAATTTATCGTCGACCAAAAAACCGCCCCACACTCGCCCAAACGTGTGTCAAGCTTGACCGACAGGAACAGATTCATCGTCGACGTTAATTAGGGAAAATATGTATTTTGTTGGGAATGTAAAATAAATGTAACAAAACGCATTTTTTTGTGATAAAACTTTGTATTTTCGGAAACGGATTGCCGTGAAGGGTAAAATTTGATCTAAATTAATCGCAAAAATGTTTTAATTCTAAATGTAACAAAACACATTTTTCGCAATACAACTGTATTTTCGGATACCGGGTGTCATGAAGAGTAAAATATGATCTGAATTAACCGTAGATCATGTTTCATTCCAAATGTATCAAAACGCATTTTTTTGCGATATATATAATTTTGTATTTTCGAAAACGGGGCGTCATGAAATATATTAATCTAATGTTTTATCTATCGTCTAACTAACGTCTGGTACACATCATTTTCGGGGAGAACTCTAGCCCGCGAAACGTCATTTAATTTAAAATAGAGAATGTTCCACGCATTCCAAAACGGAAAATCACCAGTAAGTCGACAGGGATTCAACCCTCCGGATTCAGTATTCTATATCCCCGTGTCAGAAATTTCTGAAGATTGGAACAAAGAACCGGTCAAACCGCCGCGGAAGAAGGGGAGTATTTTTTGCACTAATAGTTAGGGCGTGACATTATCAATATCGTCAAAAAACTGGTGAATTTTCAAATTCCATAAATAAAACGGGGAGCGTTTTTGCGGGAGAAGCGGAATCGGTGTGCTTGTATAATAATCATATTATAAACAAGAATTTTGCCGTTAATGCAAAAGCTTTATCTACTATGTCTGCATCTCATAGGTTAGAATTCCGGTAAATATCGTTATGATATGCAGAATTGAGTTACAAAAGTACTAGTATGTTACTTATTTGTCAACTTAATACTCGAAAATATTTGTTAACTTTGAATTTTTATTCCATTCAAAATCGGAAAAAAGTGCTATTTCTCTTCAAAATCGGAAAAAAGTGCTATTTCGCAGTCCCTAAAAAAAGTTGCGAAAGTGCTTCGCAATTTTCGCAAAAAAGTGCGCTAATAGTGAACACTGTCTGTGATAATAATTTAATTTTTGTGTCATACACCTGATTTATGTTTAATTATTCCTAATTCATTGTTCATCGAATTAAAACCCCTTTATAACAATGGAGTTTCACAATGTTTTTGTTCTTCATTGATGTTTGGTTTGCGAAAAAAGCAATGCATGAACGATTTTCTCTTCTTGTTGCTTACCTGCCTGGTCAAGTATGCATGGTGGATGACCATTTCAATCATATACAAAGGCAACAGAGCAATCATAGTTGCGATATAGATTGAAATTTTTAGGAGTGAATATAAAAATGGTATAATTGGCATATATATTGCATGCTTGGCGTTCTACTTGATGTACAATACCAGGAGTAAAATTTAATTTTATACGTAAACAACTATGGATGTTTTCCAGTGCATCGACTTGTTTATTTCCCTAATAGACTAAGCCAGGGGTGTGAAACATTTTTGTAGGTGGGCCATATAGTCAGAAATCGGGGTCACAAAAAAAATTTAGTTTATCCTTTCGGGAAAGACAAAAGAAGAGACTGCATATATTGATTTTTAAGCAAAAACTTTCGGATTTGGATTTCCTGTTTCCTGGAGAAAATCTAACTGTTGGCAAGGGCCACACTAAATGACTTGATGGGCCGCGGGCCACCTGTTGCACACTCCTGGACTAAGCTTTTGAAATAAGCTGTCTTTTCCGTGGCAGCTGCTTGAACATTTTGCTACAAAATGGTGATTTTAATGATGTGAAACAGTTTTTATGTGCCATCTCGCGAAAATAATTCATTTTAAATTGCATATATTGATTTTTAAGCAAAAACTTTCGGATTTGGATTTCCTGTTTCCTGGAGAAAATCTAACTGTTGGCAAGGGCCACACTAAATGACTTGATGGGCCGCGGGCCACCTGTTGCACACTCCTGGACTAAGCTTTTGAAATAAGCTGTCTTTTCCGTGGCAGCTGCTTGAACATTTTGCTACAAAATGGTGATTTTAATGATGTGAAACAGTTTTTATGTGCCATCTCGCGAAAATAATTCATTGATAAGCATTTAAAATTTTCAATGGTAAAATATAGAAAGAATTTGGTGCTCCAGAAGTATGTGCACCATGATGTCGCACAACCTGAATCCTAACAGGTACACACATACTATGTTCAGGTTGTGCGTCATCTTGATGCACATACTTCTGGAGGTCCGAAAATTTTTTGGAGTCAGGGGTGGGGGAAACATTCAATCCAGCTTTGTTGCTTGATCAAACTTCAAATGGTAAAATTCACGATGCATTCTTGACCTGATTATCATGTTGTAGTAATTTGTGTGTTGTGTAATAACAATGTACGTCTATAATCTGTAGCACGTTTTGCACGTTGATCCAGTCATCAATCCATCTGGTTCGTCATCAAATCGTGGCAGGGTACGTTCACTAACTTTAAATTCATTGGATAATTTATCGTAAATGTCAAACATTCTGTTAGAAGGTTTTGCATCATGCAGCACTCCGTAATGCTAATTCTATTTTGCATGGTTTTCCTGACTCTTGCATTTATCGGCCATCGCATGCGTACGGTAGAATTTTCACATTGATACATTGTTTGCTGCATGCTGCGCAATCTTCTAAAAAAGGAATCTGAGCAATTTGCAATATTTTCCACAAAAAGTTGATCCATATGCAAGGGGTATTTTTTATTAAATAATCACCTTATCGCAACAAATCAGTGATCATAGGTATGGACCATCATTGAGGTCCATGACAATTTCCTTCCATGAATAATCCAGCCATAACAGTGATGGAACTAATTCAAAATGAGCACTTGATTATAGTCATTCAACTTGTTCTCAATCGCCGATAGTCAGTTATTTATTACCCACCTATCATTCCAAGCATAGAAAAGCTAAACTGAATTGAAGTGGAATTGAAAAAAATAATATAGTATTTAAAAATAATATATATTGTTTTTGAACCTGAATGACCCGACTTGCAATTGCCTTTTTTCTAATTTGTCTCTTCTGTTTGCAATACTTATTTTTATATTCAGGGTACAAGAACCTATGGTGACGTACGTGTAGCTGTTGATATGGATAGTGACGATGCACCAATTATTCATCATGATCAATTGGATGAAGGATCAGGATCTTCTGAAGTTGCAGAACATGAGGAGGAAGAAGAGGTACGTACAATTATTATAATTTTGTAATAGAATTTAATTTGTGAATAGGAATGTTTGCATGCAATTAAATGTATTTTGGAATTCGGCTTTGTAATTATTTATGATTCGTGTCTTCTATTAATCTTAACTGGATGTCAACACAATCTGTCCCAAAACTGAAGCTATGTTGAAAATAAGACTATATAGTGGAATATAATTTTATTGGAAAATATATTCATTTATATATGCGTATGCATACACTTTGATGTTGATGTGATGTACTTTGTGAAAGTGATAAAAAAGCAACTTATGAAGAATTGATTAAACAAGCCTGCTTAATATATCTTGGGAACAGACATCTTGATTGTCAGTATTTTTTTCAAAGAACTTTTCGATTAGCTTTAATTTTGTTTAAAATGATTTTTTTTGTTCAATTGTAATTCATATTCCCATTTTTTTTCAGTTTGACATGACAGAAATTATGATACATCAGATGATCGAGACAATCGAATATTGCCTGAGTTGTATCTCACATACTGCTTCATATCTGCGATTGTGGGCTCTCAGTCTTGCTCATGCTGGTACGTATTTAGCAGTGTTAACTCTAAGCAAATTATGAGTGCGAAAGTGCTTCGCAGTCGAAAAAAAAAGTGCGAAAGTGCTTTTGCCGATTTTAACAAGTTAGGTGCCCTAGCCTTTCATATAACCCATTTAAAACGGCATAGATACTCGAAAAAGCGGTCCTCTGGTTAATATTATGAATTAAAGAGAAGCCTTTCCGTTAACCGAGTTCCCTTTAAGCAAATTCATGTTTAATTAAAACAAGCGAATTCATCACGAAAGGACATCTGCTAACACCTGCCATGGACAAAACTTCCATGCAATGTATCACCGTGTCAGTTGCTTACTCGCATGAACAGCAAAGGCTTTCACATTTGTGTTACTCCTTCCATCTAACAGACAACGATTGATACATGCAGGCTGGAAACCATATTGGTTACAGGGTGGATCATTTGTACAAAACCGTGTAAAACAATCCCCCCCCCCAAATATAAATAGCAATCAACTAATTAGGGTTAGGTGCGCTGGAAATTCAACTTTTCGATTTATCCCTAAACCTAATCTGATAATTATTAATTTGTGATTTTGAACCACTTTGAAAGTCGCCACCCGCTGTTTTAAAAGATAGGTTGACCTACTTTCCTTTCGAACTTTTTTCTCCGAAATATTACACAAGATCACTTTGAAAATCCTCCCGGTTTCGTGAGCTAGCGTGACCTAATTTCTCATTTACATTTATTTTATACTATTTCAGAGCTTACCCAAAGACAAGTAATTTTTAAATGTCGACATGCCTTGGTTTGCGTGCGAGTTAGTTTAAATCGGGCAGAAAACATCATATATTGGCAAAATGTTTAGTAATGCCATGTACTTTCAGCATTCATAAATAGCACTCTTTGTAATGCTGCTGACCTAGTATCAAATATTCACATCACAACGCCACTTGCGAGGTTTCCATATATTTCAATTACACTAATAGGAACGATGACACCAAAGAGTTTTCTTTTGCGAAGGTACACGAAATATAACGAGGGTGATTCTTGAAAAAAACATGAATATAAAAAAATAAACGAATGATATGATGGTGGATCCCAAATAATCTTGAGAGTGTCTCGAAATACCAATCCATTGATAAATAATTTTTATTCGACCACATGAACGCTGATATCCTGAAAATTAATGTTGAAAGAGAAGTACGCATTCTCAGATATCGGACATCCAGACGCGATATTCAATCATTCATATGCACAAATCTCACATTAATAGTAATTGCTACCCAAGTTTGTAAAGTTTAGAAACCAACACACAGAAAATAACTTATCCTAAAACACAATTAAAATTCAGTCGGCAATAAATTCGTCGCCAAGACGATGCCATACAAAACAAAAAAGATTTGGTCGCGAGAGTTACGTAGATGACTGCCGTTGTTTTTTAAGCAGAATGTAAAAAATAAATTAAAAACGGGAGTTACGACGCCCTTACACATCGTGTGTATTAAACTTCCCTGGTAAGTACTTTGGTGTAATATATTATTATTGTACTATACACCTGTTGGAGTATTTCGGACAATTTCGAATTTAAAATAAATGAAAACCCGACATATAATAAAGACGCAAAAGTAAAATGAACATTTATTGAAAAAGTTATTATTTAAGAAAGACAACATGATCGTACAATTTCGCCAAAACCTCGATGTTCGCAAGTGAGATGATAAATAAATACCTCCCTGTATTCGATCAATTAACTTTAGCGTATCGTTGTTCTGCCAACAAACAGCCGGGTGCAAAATATTTCCGTCCTGTGATATGCTCACAAATATTCTCGATATTAATATCATACCCTCGCGTATGTACTTTCTATTAGTTCTTTAGTGATCCCTTCCATCCTTGGCCAAGTCATGTTTTGAATATGTGAACATTTTATTCGACCATACATGGCCGGCGGAATGTTAAAATTGTACACACGAGAGAGGTAAATTCAATCGCAAATTTCGTTATAACGGCTCGTTTACAAATTGTTGCGCCTGTTATCGTCGAAAATGATTACATTTGTTGTATTTTGAGGCATTTAAGCAGTAATAATTAGGGCATGACATCATCAAAATCGTCAATTGAGATCTTGAAATTGCAAATTCAGTAAATAAAATTGTGAATTACTCGGTAACGAATTCAGCTATAATAACCGTCGGGGTATTGTTTTGTCGAAAATTATTATTAATGTGAGAGCGCCAAAAACATACAGTCCATACCGATGCAACTGCAATCTATATGGCCGCACTTGGTGTGGCGCGTTTATTAATAGTGTAAAATAAATTAAACGAATATAAATTTTCTGTGGGCAACAATCGTAAAATACCATCTTGAGACAAATTCACTTCTATTGCAAAATCTTAATTTTCAGTTGGTATCGTTATACAAATAACGTGTGGCAACTTTTTAATTTATATCGACCAAAACACCGCCCCACATTCGTCCAAACGTGTGTCGAGCTTGAACGACAGGAACAGATTCATCGACGACTTTAATTAGGGAAAATATGTATTTTATTGGGAATGCAAAATAAATGTAACAAAACGCATTTTTTTGTGATATAACTTTGTATTTTCGGAAACGGGTTGCCGTGAAAGGTAAAATTTGATCTAAATTAATCGCAAAAATGTTTTATTTTAAATGTAACAAAACACATTTTGCGATATAACCTTGTATTTTCGAAAACGGGTGTCCTGAAAAGTAAAATATGATCTAAATTAATCGCAAAAATGTTTTATTTTAAATGTAACAAAACACATTTTTCGCGATACAACTGTATTTTCGGATACCGGGTGTCATGAAGAGTAAAATATGATCTGAATTAACCGTAAATAATGTTTCATTCCAAATGTATCAAACGCATTTTTTTGCGATATAACTTTGTATTTTCGAAAACGGGGCGTCATGAAAATTATTAATCTAATGTTTTATCTATCGTCTAACTAACGTCTGGAACACATCATTTTCGGGGAGAACTCTAGCCCGCGAAACGTCATTTAATTTAAAATAGAGAATGTTCGCATTCCAAAACAATTTCGAAATCGAAAATCACCAGTAAGTGACAGGGATTCAACCCTCCGGATTCAGTATTCTATATCCCCGTGTCAGAACTTTCTGAAGAATGGAACAAAGAACCCGTCAAACCGCCGCGGAAGAAGGGGAGTATTTCTTGCACTAATAATTAGGGCGTGACATTATCAAAATCGTCAAGAAACTGGTGAATTTGCAAACTCCATAAATAAAATTGTGAATTGCTCGGTAACATTTTAGCTATAATTATCGCCGGGGTATTGTTTTGTTGAAACTTGAGGGAATTAGTTACAATTAGCGCCTGACCTCTATTAGACACAAAAGCACTGGAGCCCAATCTTTTTAGCATTGAGTCACATATGTAAAATATTCTTTAAGAATTGCTGTTTATTAACGTCATCTCCTCGTCTTATGAACACGCAGAAATGCCTTCATTGCCGAATTATTTAATCACTATTTTAAATAAACATTCATGATTGGCACAATTTCAGATTTGCGAAGTTTATCACCATAGAAAAACATGGGAAAGTTAACTATCGTCTTAATAAATATCTGCATCACGGTATCGACAATAATATTACCATTCGCATAAAATTGGGACGGTAAATTTACTAATCTTGATAGGTAATATTAAAGCCAAGCAAATATTATTTCGGGTCCTCAATGTCTTCAACAGCTGTTGCCGATGGGAACAAACGGGTAAACCCGAAATATAAAACTTCGATGTCCGCCGACCCGCAAGAGTTCATATTTGTAAAAAAGAGAGGGCGGGAATATAGATTACCAAAACCTGGATATCGCCGCTTGTATTATGTACTTGTATAATGTACTAATGTGCTTGTATAATAATCATATTATAAACAAGAATTTTGCCGTTAATAATGCAAAAGCTTTATCTCCTATGTCTGCATCTCATAGGTTAGAATTCCGGTAAATATCGTTATGATATGCAGAATTGAGTTACAAAAGTACTAGTATGTTACTCATTTGTCAACTTAATACTCACACAAAAATATTTGTCAACTTTGAATTTTTATTCCATTCAAAATCGGAAAAAAGTGCTATTTCTCTTCAAAATCGGAAAAAAGTGCTATTTCGCAGTCCCTAAAAAAAGTTGCGAAAGTGCTTCGCAATTTTCGCAAAAAAGTGCGCTAATAGTGAACACTGGTATTTAGTATTTAAGTCTATATACTGTATTCAGATATTTTTTTCTTTCGCTTTTTTCATATGCATCAAGCGGTCATGGATCTTATCACAGTGAATGCAGTAGCGTTTTCTCCTAAGCCCATTCACTAATTTTACCTTGGATATTAACAATTGAGACGGTCATCGTTGTCACCAATTTATTTTCATGTTGTGTTAGTTGGTATAATGTTAATTTATACATACGATTGCTTTGAATTACAGAATTATCTGAAGTACTCTGGACCATGGTAATGCACATTGGACTTTCTATACCAGGACCCTTGGGAGTAGTTTTGAATTTTTTTATTTTCTGGTGAGTAATAATTTCTGAGAGTGAAGTTGCCTCTCGTGAACCTATAAAAGGAATTAAGTTTTTGTATTCGTACACGAGATGTTCCATTCATCTGCCCTTCATATTGCGTTTTCGTTCTCCCTAATCTAAGGCTGGAAACAGGGATGTGGCAAAAATGAATTTATGCATGAATGTACAAAGGATTGGTTTTGAACTGAGTTTTTAGCTGAACTGCTAATAATTTGTCAGCTCGATTAATGTTAGAAAACCATATGATTGGACTCTTTTTACAGTCTGTCGAGGTCGACTCGTAAATTAATATCTATTAAAACTATTCGATAATTAATCTCTGAACATCGCATGAATTTTAACAAAGCATTGTAGTTTTGGCTGGAACGCAAACTTTATTCGATCATTTTGAGTGCTTAGTTGTGACATGTCTTTAGTGATATCAAATCTTATTTTAAAATCTAAGTTTATCCATTACTTTCATACGAACCTGTGACCAATTTTTTCGAGAATACTATGATTTTACCGCTTTTTATTTCGCATTTTTTTTTTCGTTTTATTCAAGTCAAATTCTGTTTTCAGGGCTTTCTCGTGCTTGACCGTTGGAATTTTATTGGGAATGGAAGGACTTTCCGCTTTCCTGCACGCTCTCCGTCTTCATTGGGTCGAGTTCCAAGACAAGTTCTATGGTGGAGAAGGCCATCCTTTCACTCCTTTCTCATTTGAGGCAATCGTGGAAGGCAAATCAGAAGAAGGGAAATAATGAAGTTGCATATTGAATATAGAGTTCCATGCTGTCGATATAACTTCATATCAAATATAATATATACACTTTCTTTGTTTTGTATCATGTTTTGCAGATGTCATTATGCTTTGTTTATCACAATACTTTTATAAAACAAGGGTAAAAAATACAAAACTTCAGTCTTTTTTGGTATAATAAAATCTGAATCGAATCGGTGACTATGTAAAATGGCTATGTAGGAATATCTTTAGTTCTGCAAATATTTATATCTATATATTGGTATATTTGTGCATATTTACTGGTAACAGTGTTTGTGTTGTTAAATGTTATTAACTGTTTGCAAGTTGTTATTAGTAATATTTAATAAAGTTACGTGGGCTATGGTATTGCCAGTTTGTATATTGTTTGGTGAAGTCGTACTACGGTTCCCTAGTTAAGTCGAGCAAAGTTCTTGGTATTATATTCCAAGTCAGGACTGCTCTAGCCACAGTTGCTTCGTATCAAAAAGACAGTGATCTCTCCCCCCTAATTTTCTACATACGCCTTCAACGCCATTTTGCCCGATTATTGAAAGATTTACTGAAAACGGGACGTTTCCTGGCTTACTATCAATAATCCTTTCAACAAATGAACAAACGAGATAGATGAAAATGCGCTCATATGCCTTTGATAATTTCGACAGCAAAGTACGTCTGTCGAGCCATTCTACAGGGTCTTTCAAGCCCTGGCACCCACAGACACATTTCGTGCGGCGCGCAGTACAATTTTAGCGTATACTAAATGACTGGCAGATATTTGTATTTCTTGGCAGAACATTTTTGAGTTTTTTAGCTATTCCAATTGGGGTTAGGATCCCGAGAACTATTTTCCTAATCCCGAATTGGGAATGATGTTCGCCAATATTGCGGAATTTAAAGGTTGTATCTGTCAAGACGGTGCCGATTTGGGAATGACGTCCTGTGATAGGTGCAAAGAGAATGAATTGTCTTGTGCGGACAGGACCCAGCAGATTAAATGTGTCGCGCTTTTATGCTCCTATGCCAGTAAAAACACTCGTCTATTTTCAAGCGTAGGCCATGTGACGAAACGCAGAGCTGACTTAGCGCCGCGCCATCCTGTTTTTACTTATCGATCTTAAGATCGGTAAGTATATTGATAGGTATTTGTCTGTATGTCTGTCTGTCTGTCTGTGTGTGTGTCTGTTAGATGAATGCGATATCTCACGAACGCGTGGTTGAATCTGCTCCAAATTTTGAATGTGCATGCATCTTACCTCGGACCAGAAGCCTATAGATTTTGGGTTAATTATGTCGTATAATTAGCGAGTTATTAACTAATTACCGATCTGAGATCGATAAGTCTTCGGTCTCCGACCGATATTCTCGTTTTTTTTTTGCTAGGTTCCGAAATCCCAACTTAGGCGGACGTGGAAAAGCATTATGTCATTCCTATTAGACGGACTTAGTTGTTCTTTGACGATAGCACTGGGCATGCTCACGATGCAAGTTATAAAATTGAAACAGTTATACATAAAGTTGAAATCCAAGTCAGTAAAATGCAACATAGAAAAACATCAAAAACACTTTATTCTCAACTTTCGAATAAAGGCCAGAAACACGCCAGTGGTCGCTTGGTATAGAAAATCACCGCATGAAGACTTGTCCATAAATTACTATTGGAGAAACAGGCACCTATTTGTTATTGAATTCAACATAATAATAATACAATACAAAAGGGTTAAATAACATTATCATCCATAGTTACATTCCACATTTGCTACACATGTTTGCTTACATTTACATCAATTAACTTACTAGTTTAGTTTAAAACCAAGTAGTGTAAGCAAATCACAAGCGACAATTAGTGAAGTGATTTCGAAATTTAATGTAATTGAATAAGCACTATTCAATTGAATATTTCAGCAATTAGGCAAACGGCCTCATCGTAAAACGACAAGGCCTATTTCTCTCGAAACGATTCGAAAATGAGATTGAACTCAGACGTACGAATTTCCAGCGCTAGTAATATTGTTAACATGGCGGGAACAGAAATCGTAAATTGTCAGTAATAGCAGTCTCAAGTCAAGCTCGTGAATATATTTTATAATAGCGTATGCAATACATGTATAAATGAAACACGTAAGTAATGTAGATTTGGCTTATCTGAAAAATGTATGCACAGCGTTATGTCCAAGACAAGTTGGTACGGGAAGGTTGTACGACGTAAAATTTATTTCGTAACGGAGAGAGACCTCTGCGCGGAATGAGAACATAAATCTGAATTGCTTTGCACGTCGGCCGGTTAGCTCAGTTGGTTAGAGCGTCGTGCTAATAACGCGAATGTCGCGGGTTCGATCCCCGTACTGGCCAGACACGCCTCGATAGCTCAGTCGGGAGAGCGTCAGACTGAAGATCTGAAGGTCCCTGGTTCAATCCCGGGTCGAGGCATTCTTTTCCCTATCTTCATGCATTATCAATATAAAAGTGCTGCGCTTCAATCGATTTTTTGTACACTTCAAATTTCTGTAGCAAATTCATTCTGTGTCTCGGTCAACAAACGCCTTTTCCCACATACAGACAAAGTTTTTTCAAGTTTTACTCTCGGGCAGTCGACTTCAAACTGGTTTTCAAATGGAAAATATTGATTAGCGGTACTGCGGGTTGAATACTGATATATCACAAGCTGAAGCCAAGGTGGCAACTATCGAAAATCTTCAATATGGTTGCTCTTATGACGGCTTGCAGTCGGGTTTTTTATAAAGATTTCCTTCTGCGTGTGAGGCATTCATCATCGCCTAGCTTGTACACTTCACATCAAAGTCCTGATATTTTTACAAGATGCAAATTGCACACTATTAATGGATTGAAATATAAAAGAAATAAAAATGCATATCTCATCAATGTGCAATCATGGTCTTCTCTGCATACTGCATCAAAATTTCGTTCGTCAGAAGTAACCAATAACCAGAAAGAGAGTAATAATGTCAAGGATCATAGGAATGTACCAACAGCGTCTGAAGTTTCACGATTATTTTCATTGGCTAGACCAGAAGCAAAAAAGCTAGCAGGTAAAGTGGATTTCTTTATTCCAGTATTCTGTAATTTGTAGTCTAATTAAATATTACTGTATTAGCTGATTAGTGAAATTAACCTTATGATATTCTACTAACTTAATTCTCTCATGATAAGCATAATGATAGATAGATTTGAAAGTAAATTTCAATTTTTGTTGTGGAAAATTTGTGACTCAATGTCAAAAATTAAATTCTGATATTGAAGTATGGCAATCACAGTACAAAATTGTTACAAATTCCATAATATTCTATCAAAAAAACACAGGAGCAATCACTCTGCTTGGAATTAGCAGTTCTGTCACCCTTGCTGTACCCTTCTGCATGGGACGTCTCATTGATCTTGTGCAAGTGGCTGCATCTCAGGGTGGAATGGAAGACACATTAATGAAAGTTGCAATAGGACTGTCAACCATATTTGTCATTGGTGCTGCAGCAAATGCTGGAAGAGTTTATCTTTTGCAGCTATCAGGTAAATTATGTTATACTTTTTCATTTTGAAGTTTTGTTGATAAAATGTGTGATTACGTAGTACTGTAGTATTACAGTGTTGAGAAGCTTGAGTTGCTGAATCAACTCGATTCACTCTCAATCAAAGACTTAAGAGACTCGGATCATGAACATTGATTCACGACCCACAGTTTGGGACTTTCATCCAATGCTCAATATATGCGCTATAATTTAATAAACTCCCTCATATTAATAATGACTTTTTACAGAATTCTAAAAAAATAATTCTTATCCTATACTACTATCCTCAATCCTTTTTTTAGGTCAGAACATCATGAAAAAACTGAGGGAACGAGTATATTCATCTATTCTCGGACAAGAAATTGCATTCTTCGATTCTTCAAGAACTGGGGAATTAATCAACAGACTTTCTGCAGACACAGAGCTCGTCAGTTCATCAGTTACTCAGAATGTATCAGATGGATTGAGATCGCTTGCTCAGATTATTGCTGGAATTGGCATGATGGTTAGACTTAACTTAAATGTTATAGAATAGGGAATAATGGAAACCTATTGCATGCTGCCTATATTACCAAAAGTATGTGGGTATCCTTCTATGGTTAGCAGCAATAGATACCACCCTGATGTCTTTATTTCACATGGTGATCTGATATTTAATTGATGACATATTTGGGGAGCTTCGAGACATTGACTCGACTCGAGTCACCATTATCAAAGACTCGAAGTGACTCAAGTCATCTAAATAGAATGACTCTGACTCGTCTTCAACTCCAGTAAAACTCAACTCAGGTATTGACCAGACTCGTGACTCGACACAGATTGGTGATATTTTTAAAGTTGAGCGAATGCTCGTAAATATGAAATTATTATAAATTATCAATGGCTCAAGTTTATTTATTGATTCACCATAATTATAGGCTAGTTATCTTTACCCTATCACGCCCTGATAAAGCTTTTCTGCGTAAAACTTTGAAATGTCAGCTAATTAGATTGTATTGCTACTGCCAGTTGTGCTTCATGTTACCTTAACATTATGATAGACGTTATACAACACAATTTCTCATTTTTAGTTCTTCATGTCTGCTGATTTAGCAAAGGTTGTATTGAGTGTAGTCCCACCTGTTGCTGTCACTGCTATCATATATGGAAGGTTTGTAAGGAATATTACACAAAAGACACAAACTGCACTCGCTGAATCAACCCAGGTAATTTGAGTAGATATACTCAAGTAGTACTCCTGCTAAGTGATAGGAACATGCTTGCCATTGCACCTCTGATTACCCTGCAGGATTTTGAATCCTGTGGGGTTAATTACGTGCCAGAGGATTGCCTGACCCCTCACTGTCATTGGATGGTCCCAGTATCCACTCGTCGGTTATGTCTTCCTCTGCCAACAAAACCATGCATCTGAAACAAATAACCGGTTATAATATGACATGGGTTGGGAACTGGATGAAATGTCAATTATCATATGGTTGAGATATCTTAAATTTTGTTTACTAACTTTGTTTTTCGAATCCTTCTTTAATAAGATTGCAGAGGAAAAAATAAGTAACATAAGAACGGTGAGGGCATTTGCTCGCGAATCTGTTGAATGTCAAAATTATTCTGAAATGGTTTCAAAAGTTCGAAATTATGGAAGAAGGGAAGCAGTAGCCAAAGCAATATTTTTCGGTTTGGTGAGTCAAATGGTTATATTACCAATATTAAATTTATTTTGATTCATCAATGTATCACTTAGTATATTTATAAGCAGGGCTGGGTAGATGGCTTGAAAAAGTATCTGACGCCAAGCTTATCATTTACCAGCCCAGCCCTGCCCCCGGCTTCACAGCCATTGATGTTTTTTGGTATGACCACTGCGTAAAACACTGAGTCATATATGATAAGCTTGGCTTCAGCTCCAACAAAACTTCATGACTCAATAGCACCAGCTCCCTAGACCTACCTATTCAGACGATAATTTCCTATTTAACATTTTCGAATTGTTCATATCACTTTTACTCATATTTTAGGGACCATAAGGCACATTTTGAATCCTTTTTTCATCAATCGTGTGCCCTTTAAGCCGATGAGTCTAATGTATGGATCAGGTAATGCTTTAGTGCGTCTTATGTAGGACAAAACCCCAATCGAAGCAACTTATTGTTGGTGCACCTTATCGTCCCTAAAATATGTTACATATATTCCAGTCATACCTCGTCCATATTGATTTCCAAAAAAAAAATTCTTCTCAAATTAGAAACAATTTAACACAATCAATGAGATCCAGTATTCACACCTTGTGCTAATTGACATTCATTTTAATTAAAAAATCGTTGGCTGTACATTTTTTTATCGCTTCATATGATATTTTTAGATGGGCTTATCGGGCAATTCTATCATGCTACTTGTTTTATACTATGGAGGTTTAATGATGCAATCATCTGTTATTACCGTTGGAGATTTATCAGCATTTTTACTTTATGCCGGATATGTCGGGATTTCTATTGGAGGACTGAGCAGCTTTTACACAAATATTAATAAATCTCTTGGTGCTTCAACAAGGTTGTGGCAACTTGCAGATCGAAATCCACTTATTCCTGTTAATGGTAAAGTTAGCCATTATTGTCATAATGCGTTATTCTGCTAATTCTCAAACTTTCGTTAGATCTGTGTCCCCTTCCAAAGACTCTTTAACCCTTGTGACTCCCCAAAAAATGCTTGTGGACCCTATGCTTGTGGACCCCAGAGAACCCCTACGTGCGCCTTCCCCCAGGCCCGATCGCCCCCATTTTGAGAAACTCTGTGCTAGCTCCTCCAATTTTTAAGTTTAAAATAAAAAATGTTTCACCAGAAATGTAATAATTTAATTAATCTATTCTTTGAAAGCTATTCGATCGTGATCTGTCTGTTCTAACTTGTTTCATGGGACTTATGTGAGTGTCTGTCTGGTAGTGGTGTAAGGTGCTTCGAACCATACACATAAAATTTCACACAGAGAACTGTCAGTAATAATGGTTTGCCCATGGTTGACTTGAATGATATTATAAGTCTCCTGAAGAAACTATTTTCTCAACTTACAGCACTTCCTAGAAAAATTTTACAAATTCACACTAAATTACTTGACGGGCCGGGTTGTGCCCTGCTGGCCGCCTGTTGCACACCTCTGGTCTAAGTTGTAATTGTGCAAATGACCATTTATAACTCATATTCTTAGTTGGATTAAGTTTCATCTATTTTGACTGAGTGATTTGGACCTCGCATTTCAAACTGAACAACATTTTCTGATGTTCAGAGGGTGTAATTCCCAACATATCACTGAAGAACAGCAATATCATATTCGACAATGTAAATTTTACATATCCAACAAGAGACGAATATCAGATCTTCAACAATCTTAATCTAACTGTAAAAGCTGGATCAGTAACAGGTTTGTCGAAGTATAATTAAGTTGTCAGGTACTGATGTCTTTCTTTATACCTAAAGGAGGTTGTGGATAATTAAACCAAATTACCAGCACTGACATTCGTTCCATGTTGTGAAATAACATCTCTCCATTTTTTATATTTTCCCATGGTCGAGTAAAAATAGTTTTCATTCAGAGAAGCATTTTATATGACGCCTTGGCTCAGCATAGGCAAACACTGACATGTGAGAAGCTACTTGATTTTAGATTTAGAAGGACCGTTATCTATCCGGTTTGGCATTGCCTACCTAATTTAATAAACTTTGGGTGAGTGGTAGGCGTGAGATTTCAACCTGCGATGCCATCATAGTTAAATTAACGCTTTAACTACTAGGCCACTGCGCCTTACATTGTTTAAATGTGATGTGACATTTTTTATCCTTTTTCAACTTTTTTCAAACTATAATACTAATTTTAAATGACTTCAACTTTGCTTACTACCTATAATGTCAAAAGAATTTGTGTCATTTGAATACACTCTCATTGTGTTAGTGCTCTACGTTTTACTTTACAGCTGTTGTTGGGTCAAGTGGTTCAGGTAAATCTACAATTGGATCATTGTTATTAAGATATTATGAACCAAACACCGGTTCTATCAAGATTGGAGATTTTGATTTGAAAACAATCAATCCCACATGGATTCGCTCACATATTGGTACAGTAAGTCAGGTGAGCTTTATGTATTTTTGTGTCGCATGGCAGGGTACTATACAATATACATAATCTAAAGTGGTTATTTAGCATGCATATGTTGTTATTTATTAAATCAAGTCATTACTTATCAATCTTGATCGGTAAGTATGTTGTTAGGTATTTGTCTGTTTCTTTGTTTCACTTTCGTATGTTACGCGATATCTCACGAAAGCGAGGTTGAATCTGATCCAAATTTTGCATGTGCACTCATCATATCTCGGACCAGAAGCATATTGATTTTGAATGAATTATGTCGTATGATTGGAGAGTTATTAATTAATTAGTGGTGAGACACGTGGTGTCGCTATTGAGTCAGAAAGAAGGAATTGAAACCGCAAGATCGATAAGTCGGCGTTCTCCGATCGCTATCTAGTTAGAATAGTAAACCTGTTGGAAATCGTTTCTGAGAGGATTGTCCTCAACTGCACTTCACTATTTCTTGTTTAGTTTATGGCAAATTCTTCTTACAATTATGCCCAAATATTTATGGTATTATTAGATATTGAAATCCTCAATGCATCTGCAGTCTCCATAGAGTACTCGATAAATTTTCCTGGGTTCTATTTTTAGTAGATTTAATTCCAGTTGCTAATTCAAAAACCTATCGTATTATGGCAATGTTTTAATGGTCACCTTACTTTTTACTCTACCTCCCAACTGGCAGTCACTGCCCCAGTAAAATTGTGTGTTTAACTATTCATCTCTCTTTTTTTAGTATGCTATTTTCACCCAATGGAAAATATAAACTTGACTTTAAATATTTTAGGAACCAATCTTGTTCTCTGGTTCAGTTCGTGAAAATATTTCATATGGTGCTGAAGATGCAAGTTTAGTAACAGAAGATCAACTGATAGAAGTATCGAAACAAGCAAATATTTATAGTTTTATATCTGAATTGCCTGATGGTTTTGATACATTAGTTGGAGAAAGAGGAATCACATTATCTGGGGGACAAAGACAACGAATATCAATTGCTCGGGCTTTGTTGAAAAATCCACAGATACTAGTATTGGATGAAGCGACTAGGTGAGTTTTTTTTTGTTTGTTCTAATTAGGTATGCTTAGTAGTATTGTCGATTCTATTATTTTCGCATATGTTAATCTTGTGACAAATTCATACTGAGGTAATGTCTGAGTGTAGAAGCTCAAGGTGCTAGAAAATTGATCTGACATATATTTATCGTAGCATTTCATCTGGCAAGACTTTCAGATTATCTAATAACAAAGACATTGAAAAAGGCAAGTAATTGCCTAGGGGGTTGCACATTATTGGTGATTTATTTGTCTCCAAGAACTAGAGTAACAAGGGCAAGCCCTGTTGACACCCTTTCGATTAAACTGCACAGATAGACATATTTTCGAAAACGCTTATGTACTTTACAGGAATATGTAAAATATTTATTATGATGTCATAGTATATTCTAAATTTATTTATGACATCACACTTGATATTGCCTAAGTTTGTAAAACACTAGATATGACGTCACAATTTTATATGCAACCCTCCCAATGAAGTCCCCACAAGCGTGATGTCTTATTATATATTTTCCTTTTCATCCAATCTTTTGTATCATTTCAGTGCATTGGATGCAGAGAGCGAGCATTTGGTTCAAGAAGCGTTGGACAGATTAATGGTTGGAAGAACGACAATTACAATTGCTCACCGATTATCGACTATAAAACATGCAAATGTCATCGCAGTTTTGTCACAAAATAATCGAAATGGTACAAGTATTGCTGAATTAGGCTCTTATGAACAACTTATGAAAATAGATGACGGAATTTTCAGGAAATTAGTGGAGAGACAAACTCAGAGTGTATCATAGTTTTTTGTATTAAATCAGGGGTGTGCAACCTCGGACACGGGGCCAAATGCGATCCCCGCAGAAAAGTGCCAATTTTGAATGGTGTGCTGCCCATGAAACGAGTTTTTAATTTAGTGTAATCTGGTACGTGCGAGCAATTCCAATGACTTTAAAAATGTACTTCGCTGTTCGCACTATGAGGGTTTACACGTTTGGTATGCTTATTTCATTATTGCTGTGCTGATAGTCAATGACAAAATATGGTATTAAATGCAAATTTTATCATATGCAAATATATTAATTTGTTATATTGAGATTTCTACTTTTCATATAAAAACTCCCATTACATTTTAAATTTTATGTTATTTGCCAATGCTTGGTTGTTGCTCGCTGCTTCAAAATATCTGTTCTGTATTTTGAATAAATTTTGATTTGCAAGAAATGAAGCTAAGAGATTAATTATACCAGACTCACCTAACTCGTACGAAAGGCAGTCATATCTACTTTGTTTACACATATGTTCCAAGCTTGGGACAATCATTATACCTTCACACTTATTTACCCCCAAAAAGTAATACATTTTATTTACTATTAAAATTTCCAAGTGTTACTACTTATTTTGTTGTAATTCCGTTTTAAAAAAATCGTGAATCATAACGAGCGTATTTGATGTCGTGTTCACATTCGATACCGAATATTGCCTCTTGGGAGGTCGCTTTCGAATTTATTATAGGATTTTCATATTTATAGGAAAGACGATAATTCGGCCTGGTCATGTTTCCTACCACGGCCTTTCGACCGGTTTCCAGTCCATGTCGGGTATGGAATTATTTAGCCAGTTATTTGCTTCAGAAACATGGGCTTGTTGGCGGAGGGGGCCGTAACTGACCAGCAGTTAAATGAACCATCCTACGACGGCGAGGAGCCCAGCAATCTTCTCGCACATAATGACCGTACAAACCTATCGATATTAACTTAAATTACTACGGAAATACAGGCTACTTATTTGGAAACGAAAGGCCAAATAAATTGCGCATAGTCAGGAATGGAAAGAAGGCATTCGTTCAGTTTTCAAGCAAGATAAGATTTTCATATATATTCCGGTGACGAGGAATGATCATAATAACGAACCAAGGTCTCTCGTACGATCTGGGGAATAGTTGACCAATTATTTTATTCAGATGAGTAGACCGGCCAGCAGTTACGTGACTCGCACTTGATGACGTGGGAAGCCATATCCAACCAGCGGTTATGTCAACCACCCTACCATGGCGAAGAGCCCAGCAATTCTCTCGCACGCATAGCTATATCCACAGGATTAGAGCCTAAGCAAGGTAATAAGCGAGCGGCGCGGGCACTTTAAAAATTCCTTAAAAACAATATGGGCACATTAATTTCCTTCGTAAATTGTTCTATAATTCAATATAATTTACCCAATTTCTGATATTCGCTCAGTGCAATTTAGTATTGAATGGCAAAGATATCAACCAATCGTAAAGAATTTTCTTGTAAACAATACGGGCACAAAATGCTCGTTTTCTTCTTTTATTGAACTATATAATCTACCCACATTATGACATCCACTCAAGCGAAAACAGGCAATTCTAGCAAAATCGAAAAACCGTCCAACGTGACAAGATGGGGCTGAGAAATCCACAGCTACCGTTAAGGTAAGATTCGTTGGATTAAACTTCGGGGATTTCCGATAACTCTTACAAATATGTCGATTTGCAAAATTGCCCATGTATAAGTACGCCTGTAGTATGTGTACCAATTAGGCCATAATTTTATTCCGATTGTACTTATTTTATTGCTGTTACGAGTTCGGGACTGCTTGTGCTAGCCAAGTGAATATACCCCTGCCCATACGTTTCAGTCTCTTTACACAACTTTATGTAAAATAGGCGAACAAAATTAGTTACCTTCATATTAGTACCGCAGTGAGTCAACCTTGCTGATTCCGTCGAGTCAGCCGGTCGGCCAAACTCAGGTTCCCAGCCACGGCTGTTAACATTTCTATGGAATGTGAGATCATGCGCAAACGCCGTGCAATAAATTGTATATGTTTAACGCATCCAGTTATTAAACCAGCCTTTTCCTTTTAATGAACTTAAGGATTTTGTAATGAATGTACCAGCATTCAATACTGATCGATTCATCAAAACGAAGTGCCTCAGAGGCTATCCAAATATGTTTCAGTACCAACTAAATTGGCCTGCATTCGACTCCATGTTCTTGCTTTATGTCATGAAATGTTGATAACAAAATCACATTAGGCATTGGCTTGGTTATTTATTGAAACATCTCAAACATTAGTAGTTCATTAGTAATAATAATATTCAGCTAATTGAGAAACTACGCTATGCAAAGCAGGGTTCGAAAATTGCCCCGCAGACGATATACACGCTATGTGCGTTGCCGATGAAAAATTTGAGCGCGGGCGGACATGAACCGCTATCAGTTGACCTCAATCTCCAACCTAAATGATGAAGGACGCAAACATATCAGATATCAAGTGAACCATCTTTCTCGTCGTCGTGTTGAGTGTTCATCTTAATCGGACGGATACTTCTTTTAAACCTCTAAAATATTGAGTTACATAAATCACAACTGCCCAATATCAGCAAAATGGGCCAGTTTAAAATAGCAGACAAGCCAATTAAGATTTAACGTTTAATTTTATGTATGGCTCCTGACAATTAGACATGTATTATATTAAAGCAGAATTCAATATTTTTCAGACGTCGTGACGGGCATCCAATTGCATTCTATGTGTACAAACCTGTCTCAAGCTTCCAGGGGTTTTCCACAAGACATACACAGCAGTAATTGGTATGCAGGATACCACGGATATTGATATCATCCAACCAATAACATTCGCCCACCCCGGATAGACATACGCACCCATCTTCAGAGGTGAAAATCGGACACAACAGGAAACGAAAATCACCTTAAGATGAGATATTATACATGGTAAAATATTAAATAAAACGTTTTGTTATGTTTTAAACGTTATAGCAGCATTGTTGCCAGTAGCTGCACACCGGTATACTATAGTCGTTCAATTATTGTTAGGTTGAAGTAAGGCCAGTTCTTTCATCAATTTTCATGATCAAAATGTAAGTATGTTTTTTCCATTAATTCGTGAATTGGCGGTTTACCGAAATAACATGGTTGGTCACTTTGTAACATGCGGGTCAGTAGTTCGCCCTTATTGTTATATACTATTAATAATGAATAATTTAATAATCCCTATAATTTTGAAATATGCCGATTCGTTACAAATTGTCCAAGTTTTTGGTACTCCCGTAGTGTGTGTACCAGGCTAGAGTGAGGCCACAATTTTATCCCGATTTTCCTTATGTTAGCTCTATTACGAGTTCGGGGATTGTCTGTGTGAGCCAAGTGAAATACCCCTGTCCATAACTTTCAGTTCCTTTACACAACTTGATGCAAAGTAGGCGAACAAAATTAGTTACCTCCATACTGGTACACACACTTCTAGAGCGCCAAGTTTTCTGCTGATCATATGTAAAGGACCGCGAATACTAATGTAAAAGTTCGTTATTATATACAATTTGCTTACCAAACAAAACGCCGGAGTGATATATTTGATACAATATTTGAAAAATGCTGGTGGATAGTATCCGATCATAGATTTAACGTCTTCGTACAAATTTTCAACTCCATATATCCAACCAACAGCTAACGATTCGAATATGGCAACCCAGAGAATACATATCCCACTTCCTCCGTATAAATTGAAAAGCTCAAACACGTAGATTCCACCCTAAATAGAATCTATGATTAGTCGTATGTACTCAACTTTTGAAAAAATACATGATTGGAACAAAAATAGTCCGCGATATGATTTTGAAATTTTACTCTTGGGACAGATATAAAAATAATGATATGCAATCCATTTCCAATTTAGCTGTTTCGTGTCATTAAAATACGGGGCGGTTAAAACGGTTTACAGACGTTTCAGACCAGCCGTTTCGGCCCACACAGGCACGAGTGCGGAGATGTATTTATCAACAGCGAGATATTGCATATTTCGTTAATGAAAGTATTTCCCAATTTCATTATCATTATGAATGAAAGTTGAGGCAAACATAGAAATGTTCCAACGAAAAAAAAAACGATCCGCTGCAGCTAATTGTTCTGAAATGGAACGCATGGACGACAACGAACAGAGACATATAAACAGTGGGTTGAACATAATTAAATGATAGATTACAATGACGTATCTCCGTACTCGAGTATGCGTGGGCCGAAACGTCTAGTCAACGTTTGTGAGCCGTTAAAACCAAGCTCAGAAGTTCCATAAACACTCACAAATGTATGGCGGAAAAAAAAAACCTTCCATTGAAAGTTCCATTATTAAATTTTTCACCAAGACTAGATGGAAAATTAGAAATGAGGGCATTCGGATCGTCGCAATAAACTTCCATTTAAAACGATTCTTTCATATCCACGACAGAAGTAAATTTTTGGACGAAATTCTGAGATGATGTATTTTGAAAACAGTAGCTTTTTGCCTATAATTGGTTGTTTAAACAAAGCCTTGTTTGGATTTATGGTGTGATACCTCCTAACAATAAATTTATCCCTCCCTCAGATAAGTCACCAACTATATTACTCGAGAAAACTCTCGATCGATTACTATTGCCTATCATAAACCTACGTCGAACGTGTCCAGGTAATGATATCGAAGATGCAAAGTGAGGAGTGGAATTTCTTCTATTCCTTCCTCGCACTTGCTCTTCCAGTAGCTGCAAAACAAACTTACTAAAAAAAGCTTGGGCTGTTCATAACAAACACCCATTGTATTGTTTATTGTCAAATCTACTGTAGAAACGACAATTTAACATATGAGTGAATGTTTTGTATGTCCCAAACCCATATGGATAGTCTACGAACAATACATTCCAAAATACTGTTTTTTAACAAAATATATTAACAAAATATAACAAAGAAATACCTGTGTGTGTGTGTGTTTCGTGAGACATTGCTTTATTCAAGCGAGTGCTTGGCTAAAATAAACCGATTATACGGGACGGTTGAACGAGAATGAGCTATTTAAATGAATAAATACAGGGTGTCCATAAAGTCTTGAAGTTTCTCAAAATTGCAAAGAAAATTTATCGATACCATATATTGTTTTGGCCTTAACAAATGTATTAAATGAGGTAAAAATACTTAAACAATTACTGATAAAAACAAACAAACCTGGTTAAAAGATATTGAGAACTGACTTTATAACAAAATTGACATTGTAAAGAGACTTTATGGACACCCTCAATTCTATCAATGAATTTTGACGTCTTCCTCAATTATTTGTCTTTGAAATAATGTTGAGGCGCCAAAAAAGCATGATATATATATTCATTCAATGTTGCCGGTAAAACGTGCTACACGACTTAGCTGTAGTGTACAAGTATAGGGTTTTGTTGAAATTTGAACTTTTTATTGAAGCGCGATAAAAAATATACCAATCATTGTGTTGAGAAATAGTTTAAAGCAGAGTTTCCCAACCTGGAAATTTACCCATCCCTACCTCTCTTAGGGTGTATTTTGTCGAAGGAAATTTTGCTTTATGATTTCTGTGGTATTAGAAATATTCTTTAGTTATTTATTGTCATTGTAACGTATATTTATGTGAATATATTAAACCGTTCAAGGTGCGAGTTGCGCTTATCACTAGCTCAGTGGTTCCCTACTTTTTTTAAACGAACAAAATTTTTAAAAACATGAATTTTGTAATATTTTGCGACTCAATAATATGCTCGAATACCGAACTCCAAATAGTGCTTTTTAGGCGGAATATTAAATTACTATTGCAAAACAATTATTTTTACCTTAAATGCATTTCACTGAAAATTTATTATGAAATCGTGACATGGCTTTACTTGAGCATAGCCGCTGGTAAAATTTTTGTAAAGCTTTGCATAAACATAGCTACAATCGTCAGCGCGGATCAGCTAGCTCCATTGTTATTCACACAACACACAGTTAATCCGAGGTTAAAAAGATAATATAACGTCATAAACAAATATAGAGGCTGCTAAACCTTTACACGTCCGGATATTGCCCACAGGCCACATATGCAATCATTATCAGGCAACAGATCAATACCGAATTGACAACAAAATTTAATAGAAAATAAATCAACTTCTATTTTTTGTTGAAAGGTAGTCGACTCGGGAAAATTTTCAGGCGACCCAATCTTGCGTCGCGACCACAATTTGGTATACACTGCACTAGATAACAATCCATTAAGATTGAATCAAATACAGAAACAGAATTTTAAGGCATAGTGTGACGGTAAATTTTCAAAATAGGCGTAAGAAGGAAGAAAAGTTAGGAACCACTGGTACAAACGTTATTGCTTTGACGATAATATTTTCTCGTTGTTGACAACAGAACAGACAACGCAAAATCGCATGATTTTGCCTTTTTCATACGCTCTTTCTATGCCTACAGTTACATGAACAGACTTACATCAAATAACTGCGGTATTCCTAACAGCATAGCAAGTACGCATACTCCTGCTCTCCAGACGTGTGCTCCTCTGTGACTAAATTTTTCCGGCCAATAATCAGCAAGAGCAGTAATACATCCTTCGGCAGTGGCATACTGAAAGAATGAAGTGCTATATTATGTTTTTGCTAAATATTTTTAATATAAAATGCTTTTTTGTCAACGTTGGGGAGGGTAGGGGACTGGAGGTTCGAGTCATTGACTCTACTCAATTTTGACTCGAAACCAGGATCACCAGTGACTCGACTTGACAACTCGGGGTTTAGGTACCCCTACCCCCTAAATAAATGCCCCATAAAGGTATGGTGTACCATATTCAAGTCAAATGAAAGCCTCAATAAAATTAAAAGACGTACCGCACTGTCCAACGCTAATGAAGCCAGAGTTATGAAGAAGATAGCCGACCAAACTTGTGGTAAAGGAAGTAACGCCAACTCTGCTGGAAACACTTGAAAAACGAGTCCAGGTCCTGAAATGAAGCGCGGGGCGTTTTATTTTAACTTTTAATGTTGGATGTCAAGTTTTTGAGTAGTCTTTCATTTTGTTCCAGTGCGAAAGTACAAAAAAAAAATTCTCCATTTTTTATTGTATATGGCGCCCTTTCACGCTGTTCACTCCTAACAAGACCCTAACCGAACTCACCGCCTTCAACAACGTCCTCAATATCCATGTTTCTAACGGACGCCAAATGTCCGATGAAACAAAAGACAACGAATCCAAAAAACAAAGAACTTCCATAGCAAGCAAACACAAAGAAGTAGGCACTCCTGAAAAATTGAATGTCGGTAATTGTGATTAACATATTGAACAAAGCAGTATATTTCAATTTTTGTAACTCGTAAGTTGAAATCGTAAATTTGAAATCCAGAATATATTTTAAAGGTGATAAAAATATTTCGTTCGCACCAGAAAGTGTCTCTTAGTACTGTGTGAAAACCGCTAATTGGTTTTTCCCCTTTTTTGTGTGAAATGTGAAACACATATTAAAAATACCCTGACAAGTCCAATTTTGAAGGTTACGAAAAAAATTATTGCCACGAAATAAATAAAAAAATGTGTATTTTGGTACAAAAAACTGATCGATATTTTTAAGTATTTGGTGCAAAATTACCCAATTACAAAGAATCGATTTACGTTATTGTGAAGGACACCCTTCCACAGGTATAGGCCATCTCCAATATACAATCAGTAAAAGTTTTCTGTCATATGTACCAGCGGTACTCGTACTCGGATAAAAAAAATATATAATTGAACACAGTTGTAGTTATGATCTCACTTGTAGCAGTTAAAAGATATTCGATTGTAACTTCCAAATCCAAATAAAACTCCGTAACAAACCCCAATTGAAAACAATACTTGTGAGCCTGCATCTAACCACACCTAGAATATGAATAAAATTCAACTTCATGTCACGAAATTAAGAAACAGTGATGGAACAACGGTCGAATTGTCGAAGGCGCAAAAATAGGCGCTCCGAAAGTATTCGCACCAAGATGACGCACAACCTGAACAACCCAACGCTGGTACGCATACCATGTTCAGGTTGTGCGCCATCTTGGTACGAATACCGCGGGAGCACCCAGAAGTATAACATCTCCAGAAACACGGAAATTACCCCAAGAAAAAGGCAAAGATGAAATGGTCCGGGCTGCTAATATATTTATAACTAATTTGATATAATAACTAATTTGCCGCGCGACCGTACTCAGAACCAATTAATATATATGAATGGATTAGGAAATCTCAACTAAACCTAGAAGAAAACAAACAAAATATCTAGTCAAACTTGCGTCAACTATAATAATATCATATCGTACACACCGTTGGATCTACCAGTCTTGTAATATTCGGAGTGATGTAATAAAGCATTCCTGATCCGGCACCTTTCAATGTTATACCTCTGATGAATAGTGCAATCATAAGAATGTAGGGAACTATGACCGTAACGTAGGCAACCTTAATCAGACAAACATCAAAATTTTTATTGGTATTCAATAATCATATATTTAATAACGTCATAATCTATTCATAAACAAGAGAGTGATGCTCAAATATAATATGGTCACGATTCACGAAGACCAAAATGAAGTAGTATCGGTATGCAATCTCTCACAGTAGACTACCAGTACGGACGTCTTCACGACTAACGCGAAAGTGAAACCGCCACAAGATGCGCAATTTTTGATGACGTCATCACACACACAAAACGAATCTCATAGATCTCACATAAATTTTTAGAATAAATAAAAGTAATAGACTTCTAGCAAAAAACACAATCTTTCCCCACTAAAAATTTCAAAGCAATTGGTACAGTAGTAGGGCGAAGAGCGATTTTTTAATAATAACAAGAAGAAAATACCAACAAGAACAACAACAACATAATGACAAAACGATCTATATCAGGGATGGGCAAATTACGGCCCGCGGGCCGGATCCGGCCCACCCGAGTGTTTCATCCGGCCCACTTGTGCCGACATCAGGACTATGATTTTCATGAATATAAATTTCCGTTGAAAGTATCGATGATTTAAAATGACATTCCATTGAAAATATCGATTACTGATCGTCGGCTAAAGTAAATACCGTAATCCCTACGTATGGATGTTTCCCCCTGGTTATATCCGTAACAATGATCAATCAGCAAAAAGTTTACGATGACGTAGCTAACAATTAAAGATATTCAAGCATAGATGTAAACATTGCCTAGTGTTAGCGATTTTGCGTGAATTTGTCGATTTTTAGTTGTGTTTCAATAAATTAGTTGTAAATGTACTGTTTAAATTGTCACTATGTCTTTCGGTGAGATGTAAATCAGTTTGTACGTGTCAACTCTCCAAAACACTTGCAAACTTCTTTTTCTATAAACTTTATTCGTGCAGCTGCCGTAATTTGCCATCCTCTGCTATAACGTCCCATTAATAATCGTTATGTCTACGTATTTACAAATAACCGTTTTTGATCATTTTGAGTTTGGATCCTCTGGCCCAGTAACCAGGTCTATTATCCGAATCCGGCCCACTCAGTAAAGTAATTGCCCACCCCTGATCTATATAATCACTTCGTGTCCTATAATATTGCATTTATTTTACATTACTGAAGGCTAAAAGAGAATAAACGACAATAATGGCCTCAAACACAAATGATGCTACATGTACCCCTTTGGTGATATTGAACAAAACAAAGAGTTAAATATCTATTCAGCAACTAAGTGTCCAGACGAAAATATTTCAAAATGTTTTGGATTTTGTATCAATGCTAATAGCTTAGAAGAAGTCTTATACTAATTGTATGTTTACCACACTCGCTTAAGATAATTTATTTGCAATATTCACATACTTCGGGAGTACCATAATTAGATGATAACAGCCGTGCAAATTTCATTATGTTGACACCTACCTTGCCCGATGTTCTAATTCCTTTTACAATACATAAATAACAGGCTATCCAAGAAAAAATAAAGCATCCAACCATTTTCCAATTTGAAAAACTCCCCATATTGTGAATTCCATCACTCCGTTGCAAAACGTAGTTGCTTAAAGTAAAAGTTTCAAAAATTTATTCATTATTTTAGCCACTGTTCGAGGCAGAATGGGGAAGAGGTGGGTATTGGAATGGGGAAGAGGTGGCATTTGGAAATTAAAACGTTGTGACGTCATAATATGACATCATACAGGATTTTCGACATCATTTGATTTTCGTATAATGCATTACGACATTAGGGATGGGCGTTTCGAATCGAATGGTGATTTATTCGAATCGATTCAGACGAATATTTCGAATGGCCGCATCTATTTTTTTCGTTCCCCAAAGATCGAGATGAATCCGTCTTATTTTTGTTGAAACATATTTTTTTCCCGATTCCAAAACACCAGGTAAAATGCCCATTTTTAATTACGACGTCATAAAATTTTTTCGTATTTTGTAAAATTCGTCATAAATGATTTAGCATATACAGTAGGAAAACTATCTAATGCCAGTCAACATGCGCAAATGTTTTAACTGGGTCAACGTTATTTATCTATGATTGGAATACATAAAATTTTGTTTGCATTCAGCGTCTGCTGATGGTGCAACAAGTTATCAGTTAGTGCCAGACACAATACCCGTTAAATATATATTAGTTCATCCCACACTTAAGCGGCCAATCTAAACCAGACTTGCAAGTCAAAAACTCTGAGAGTCATGTTGAAATGCCATTTTTGTCGCGCGACTTTGGATAATGCCACAACACCTATATACAGTATTGGAAATACGCAGAGTTAATAAAATACTCACTCCCAAAACTCCTCAGTAGCGAGGATTCCATTCTCGATTCCAGATGAGTTAGCAGTAATCAACGATGAGGCGTTATTGATAAGTGTTGTAATATTTTCGCTTACAATATTAGCTATAGGAACGCAGTCGATAGAATTCCATACATTGTCTAGAAAACAATTTAATATTTGTTCCGTTTATTATATATACATATCAAATATGGAATGTATATATAAAAATACATAAAGCACATAGAAACAATTTATTATTGGACACAAAATGGCCATATGGAAACTTGCCAAATCGTTGCTGTTGTTTTTTGGTGCGAAACGAATTGTCAGTTTTTAGGGATTAAAGTAGTCTGCAGAACGCTATTATTATTATTTTTTAAAATTATCTTCAAGATCCGATAAGTTCGCTGTTTCATTTTAGTTCATGAGAAAAATGGTTTTATTCGGTCAAGCGGGATTGCCACGGCTTTCATCACCGGTATTAGAAGGCGGCAAGTTAAGTTCGTAAGCCTACTGGATGAATTTGGCGTCGCATGTCTCATTGAGTAAATTTGGCGTCAAATGGTCAAGTTATCGTTGAAAATAGAGTATTTCCATCCCAAATTGGATCTTTGACGTGTTCATTTGACCATTGCATTCATATACACCTGGGCTTTGCTTTCTCACGAATTTCATATGAGCTAATCAATCTAAGACACTAGTTTGCTTGGTTTTATGGTGACGTTTTAACCAGATATAGTGAAACCATTAGTTGTAGAATGTTGAAAAAATCACTAGCGTCTTCGCATAGGAAAATCTCATAAAATATTATAACATAATCACAATTAATATTAAACCAACCACAAGTCGCCCAAGCAGGAGGTCCCAGTGTAAATGAGTGGATTAAATATAAGAGGCACCATCCTAGAGCATACACGAAATAGATCAAGAAGTATAGAGACATTAGCATGGATGAAAATCCAATACCCTAAAAAACAAGAAAATATAGTTTTTGTTAGTTGCTATTTGAACAACTGCTCCATATACTTTATAATCTATTTTAAATTATATTTTTAAAGTCTGTAAATATCATACGTTTCAGTTTGAATGCGTTTGTTGCGCTTCTGAGTATGATCTTGTGAATTGACCTTAATAAATATATAATAATTATACAGTGCACCGTTCGGCCATTGTAAGTTTTTTGCTTAGTAGAGGCACGGAAACTGAAGGCAAAATTCTATAAAATAGGTAAGAATGATGGAGATTACCATTCGCCAAGGCTGAATAACACATTAAGCGCGATGACCTTTCTAGACTTTCACATGCAGTTGAGTTTCAGTTGTACTGTACTGAATGAAAGTATCACGTCATAAATATGTATGTATATAAAACTACTTGACTTTATAGAAATAAATTGAAAAAAAAAACTTTGCTAAAAATTGGCACGTTCTCAAAACGAAGTTCATTTGGATAATTTTATTTTTTCGTTGAAAAACAATCGATCACTTGTAGCCAAGAAAAAGATTGATAAATTGTAATTAGATACACTAATTACTAGAGTTTATTGTGCTTTAATGTATGTGAGACAATATACATATATATAATAATTGTACCTTTTATTTATTTTTAAACAAGTACCGGTATTCTATATTTGTATTAGAGCGACATTGTGAAAATGAAAATTGGACCGAAATTGTAATCGTCCATTTGATTTGAAAAGTCAAATATCAGCTTGCAAAAACTTAGCGAGAATGCAAAACAGCCGGGTTACCAGAGATTTGAAATTGACACTTAAATGGTCCATGCCACGTCTACACATCTGAATATTTTCAAAACCACACTTTTTTTATTTTCTCTCGTATTGGCTCTCGTTCCCGCGCAATTGATCTGCCATCGAAATATATGCTTCTGTGCTAGTGGAATTTTGGGTGTCTCTGACCGTGCCAATTAACCGAACTACGCAATTATCCTGAAACTCAGAGACCTGTACTATGCGTACGTGCGCGCAACTTAATAATTTGCACGCTTTTCATGTGATTCGTTTCACGTACAAAATTTGGTCCTTATATTTGTTTTAGTTGTACATCCATTCCACGGTCTGTAGCCGGGACGTGCAATTTGTTGAATATTTCATGTGTTCCAAAATAAATAAATATTGCATGTACTTTACCCGCATTAATGGAACTATATTCCAAACAGCGATGCACCCACGTCTTGTGAATTGACCCAAAGAAATTTCCATGAATACAAGTGGAAGACTTCCCAAACCAGCCACCAAAAGAAATGGTATAAGAAAAGCACCTATTTAGAAAGAAGAAAACCTATTTAGAATACTACTAACTCGATATTACAAATGATTCATATCGGTGATGTTATAACAAACCGTTTACATAACCGACAACTTTGTTTATATAGCAGAATATAAAATCTTGCCAAAGAATGTTTATTGTTATGGGCGCTCGCACCAAAGTCAATTGACATAACCATTACCTCCTCCATTCTTGAAACACAGGTATGAGAATCTCCAGATGTTCCCAAGTCCAATACAGTAACCAAGAACGCTGAAAGCAAACTCATACTTGTTGTTCCAAGTTATTCTGAAAATGAATATGTATAAATAAATCGTACGTTGCAAATAGGCAATCATGAAAAGCATATTTATATTGCAATTTGCGGAAATAATACTGTAATATCTGCCATCGGGCCATTTTGTTGCGAAATTTGTCCGTCAGCCTATTGAATCCGCATCGACCAACCCACGACTTGTAGAACCAGGGTAGATGTTTGGTATGATAGGGTAAATACCGTGTTGCAAAATCTATATCCTTCACTTATCCAAGCAGGCCTGCCAATATTGAGCAGGTTTCAGCCATAACGGAGTGATTCGGACGTAATCCCAGTTTGTTACCTTTCCACTGAATTATTTTGTTTTACATCAGATTCTCTTTTTTCACATAACATCGCCTTGGTTTCCATTTTGCCGTCACTCTAAGCTACAGATTTACAAGTACATGTGCCTAAAATACTAAACGATAAGCAGAATACTGAATACTTATAAACGACAATGTAATTCCAATACAGTCGACTGTCCGTACAAGGGGAGCACAGCATGTCAATATGCCGCGCCATAAGCATGAACGTGGTCAGGCGAACGTTTTGGTAAAAAGTAAGTCTTGTATATATATATTAAATCTTAATAATGTACGTTTATATCGAAATAAACCTAAATAAGTCACCATGTTCATTCACACATTGTCAGCTTATGGCCTGTTAACAGAACGTAGTAGCTGAGAATAGGTACCGTAAGTAAGTTAGCTTACAGTAGCCAGCGATCAAAAACAGTCAAAGCAGCGGTTTTCAGGATATTAAATTGTTTCAGTAATTGTTGTTATGTGTTTTACGGAAGTTCGTTATATCACAAAAAAAATTTCAAATGTGGCGCGGCACACGACAAGATTATTTGGAAAACCTTGGCACTTATCCTCATTTGAGTTGTGAACTTCTGGTCTGTACGCCAGGACTCGCCTTTTTACTCATTGAAGCTAATTTAATCGTCATAGAAGAGATCCACTTTCTTTCATTAAGCTAACTAATTGTAACGTCACAGCAGTACCGAATACGTATGCATGGGTGATTCCCATGCTCATCATTCATTTAATGTTTGTTATATGCGCTGTATTCTGGTAACGCCTTGTTAACTGCAAGTTATCTACCGGTGTTACAAGTTCGAAACATGTTTCATATTTTACTTCGACCACGGATACTGTACTAAATAACAGTTTTTCAATTCCGCTTCTGATGCTTTCTCGAGCCTGATCAAAATGTGCTGTCTTTCACATGTGATAAGTAATTAAGCCGTCTTTGCGCTAACGCCATTTCCTCGTTGTGATCTTGCTGACCAAAGAGACTTTAGCCTAAACTTAAACTGAAATTCATCTCGTTACCACTAACGGCTCCACGAAGAACCGTGAAGTTCTCATTTTTATTATCTCCACTTCAGCATTCGGTGCTGTACTGTACTGCGAATTTCAGTTAAGGAGTTACCACCATTCGAAACTGCGTCCATGTTCTGGAAAAGAAACTGCACACGGATCAGTGAGCATGACTGCACAGCAAGAATTGCCGATGCCGTAGGATAACTTTCAAATCATATCTACGAGAGTTGATCAAAATCAGATAAAAAAAGGTATTTTGGTAACGTACTTGGGCACAATGCGCAGATTAATTCGTTGGTCGCGACGTCGAGTTACTGTGTTTTGGATTATTTACATAACAAGTATATTGTGTGTAAAAATATACACATACCGGTAATTAGAGGCTTTCAGAGTGAAACAGGACATACGTACAAGGCCACATCGAGTTAAACACGATTAGACAACGATCGTAATTCGTAACACGACAAACACGTGGAACGTAGATAAATAAACAAATCCTAGGATTCAAGAGCCACGTTCGAAATGGACTTTATAGGAAGGATCTTTCGTATAAAGCCCCCCGCCACTAATGCAAGAATGTGAGATTTGAGAGAGAAAAAAAAGCGCCACGTTTTGAAATGTCAAATTAGTAACTATCCAGTTGGGGTAAGGGCTTTAGAAATGATTTGTAAATTTCAATTTACAACGCAATCTGCATTCCTAACTGGATAATTAGGCTATTAATTTTCTTATTTTGCGTTGGCGGGAATTTTTTTTTGTTTTTCGGCTGGAGCTTTGCACAAAAGATCCAATACGAAATAGATATGCAAAATCGTGAAACTAGTGAATGTTAAGTATATGTGTGTGAACGGTGATTTCCTTACACCTAGCCCCACCCCATTGTACTCCGCCTAAAATGTCCCCCTTTTCAAATCTCAAATTGAACCCGATTGCATTTGCAAATTCGAAAAACAGTACATGAGGATGATGTCGTGATGACCCGTTAATTGTTTCAACATATTGTATCACCTATAGTATTTAACAAAAGGTGTATGTGCCTTAATTATGAAAAAACACAATACACAAAAGCAACACAATAAACATCCAATAATATATATACCAGGATTTAGGGAAGGCAGCGGCCAGAAGCTTCTCACAGCGCACATTCCTCGTGTTTGAGCTAAATTCAATTAATGCATATTCTGTTTAGAATTTAAATCTGAAGCAAGTTACCTAAAATAGTGCGAGTTTCGGGACCATTTCTGACTTATTGTCAGATAAAAAAAACAATGCTTAGCTTTGAATCGGTATGTAAGCTAGCTTACAGTAGCGATTTGTTAGGCCTGTTGTGGAAAGGCATTCTCAATAATGAAAATAAGCACAAATCTCAGCTTCGGCCTCGGTTGTTATGTGTTTTACGGAAGTTCGTTAACATCACCAAAAATTAATGGAACGAGAAAAACCTTGGCACGTGTCCTCATTTGAGTTGTGAGCTCCTGGTCTATACAATACACCAGGACTCGCCCTTTTACTCCCTGAAGCTATTTGAATCATCTTAGAAGCGATCCCCTTTTTCAAATCAAGCTAACTAATTGTAACGCCACAGTATAGCCAAGAAAGTATATTTCAGGCTAATTCGTTGTTTGTTGTAGGATCACGTTTCCTCTGTCGTCAGGCGACGACAATTTGCAACTGTAGCACCTCGACCGCTCAATCCCCCAAGTCTTTTGTTAGACACACTATAACGAGGCAATGTCTTTATTGTTATTGTTAACGATACGATCGCAATACAATAGAATGATCCAACCGGATCCGAAAGGATTAAAAATCAGTAATATTGAGGGACTTATATATATACTAATTACCAATAGATGAAAATGTACCAATCAAGTATGGAACATAGATAAATTATATTAAAACTGGTTTTTCATTAGGAAATGGCTTGGGGCTGTTTAAATCAATTATGTCCAGTAACAAAGCAGGTTATGACGGTTTATAATTTTAAGAAATCTGCATAATGCAATATACGACGATTCATATTATTACTTTTAAAAATAACAGTAAAATAGTGCCAAAATAACAAGATTATCCCTATAACAGCAGTACCGAATCAGTATGCATGGGTGATTCCTGATTACACAATTTTTTTCTAGACCTCATCATTCGTTTAAAATATTTGTCATATGCGCTATGTTCTGGTCACGCTTTGGTAACTGCAAGTTAAGTTCAAAACAAGTTTCATATCTTACTTCGGCTACGGATTTAATTGTACTAAATAACATTTTTCCTATTCCGCTTCTAATAAGTTCTCGAGCCGCATCAAAGTTTGCTGTCTTTGACATTGTGATAACTAAGCCGTCTTTGCACTGACGCCATTTCCTCGTTGTGGTCTTGTTGGACAAAGAGACTTTATCCTGAACTTAACCTGAAATTTATCTCGTTAGTCGTTACCACTAACGGCTCAACGAATAACCATGAATTTCTAATTTTCATTATCTCCACTTCAGCAGTCGGTACTGTACTGCGAATTTCAGTTGAGGAGTTACCACTATTCGAAACTCGTTGTATATATATATACATATCCCTTAGGGAAGGCAGTGGTCAGAAGCTTCTCACGGCGCACATTCCGCGTTCTTGAGCTGAATTTAATTAATGCATATTCTGTTTAAAATTTGAGTCTGAAGCAAGTTACCTAAAACAGTGCGAGTGTTGGGACTGCCTCTCCCTCCTTGTTAAATAAGAAAACAATGCTCAAATATATAGACACGAGCTGGGTCGCGTGTTGGAATTCGAAGTATATCATCATATAGAGAAACAAAATCAATCCTTATCAACTGTACTGAACTTCTATCATTTGAAGCGCTGATGTTCAATTCCCTTCGGAAAAGCCTGTTGAATTGTTTTACAACATTGCTGTTCCTCAACAGTTGCTTAAAGTCACGATGAAACTGAAATTGTGAATTTCTTTCCATTTGGGTGCGTACCGATTCTGGTCCAAAATCAAGGGTGCAGCAAAGAAAACTGTTATCATAAGCTGCATTAAAATGACCAATATATTTTGCTAATATTTAAACTCAAGGAATCATATTGTAAACAATATTGGGATCATCTGTAGGTACGCCACAATATATGCATCGTATCTGTACAGTCATACACGGAATTTTGCTTTTGTTTGTTTGAAAAGCATTGATGCTACTTACTTTCTGAACGATCGAAATTTGCAGCACAATATATAGGATATTTAATCAGAACTTAGAGGTTCGTTATTTAAGTCTTTATTGAAAACGCAGTTTCGTCAACGCATAATCAATTAGGTATTTCTATTTCTTATATCGAATGTTTTTATATATTATTATTTACCATCATCTATCTATAGCCGATAAAATTTTATTATGTAACTGAGTTTTCAACAAAACATGCCCTCCCACAATATAAAGTTTTCTGTGATTACATCGAAATTGTTAATATATTTTTGACAGACCAATTTTTCTAATAGTCATCTTCAATGTGAACCCTAATTACATCAGCATAGAGGGTGGGAGTTGACCTCGACGACCGCATGGTCGTATCGCTCACTTCTGTCCATACCAAAGCAATTTTATTTCTGTTACATTTTTTTCGTATTATGACTGTATGTATTTTGGTTGACAAAATAATAAATCTCTCTCTCTCTCTCTCTCTCCGACGCCAAATCCATTACATGAATATATTTATTACTGGGTTTCAACCGTGGTTGCGACGGTTCAGTCAACGGTTTCGGGAAGTTTCATTTCAAATCCAAGAATCTTTAGTAATAAATAATTCAAATATTTCCGAGATAATTTTGGATGGTCAGTATTAGGTTTGCTTCCATACATACGGTCCAACAAAAAGGTTTAAAATCAGTAATGTATACTGTGCAATTCAAGACATGTGTACTAGAGATGTACCGATACCACTTTTGTCGCCGATACCGATACCGATCCGATACCAGCCAAAAACGCCGATACCGATACCGATACGCCGATACTATAAGAAGGCCGATATTACCGATATTCCGATACCGATACTATGTAATTATTACTTAATTAGGGGTGCTGTGTAGGGCAGACGGGTTAAAACAATGGTCTATGAGCGTTGTTCATAGTACACATTATTTCAGATCGAAAAAAAAAGATATATTACATAATATGAAATTAATGTTTGAGTTTGCTTTAACTGATTAAGATACATTGTACAGTTGTACAGTAACGCTAGTAATCTCGGTGTTCAATTAGAAAACTCATAAGCCGGGATGTCAAATTTGAATTTAATGTTAATATCGCGACCTTCGAATATCGTTATTCGTGTTTAAAAGAATATCGAATATCACCCACATATTCTAGCGCCGCCGTCCTACGTTCAAATTAAAAGCATTTTACAAATATTGTATTTCGTGGCTAATCGTAATCGTCGACGCAACAAGTCAATGCCAACATGAATAAAGTATATCAATCAGCACCAACAAAAAGAAGGCCTACCTATAACCGTCGAGGAGGTTTTTTTAGTAAAAATAACATGATCTCTTTCAACGAAATAGATTTTATAATATTTTACAATTGCAATCATATATTTTGAGACAGTCTAGGGCTAGGCGGTCATGTCAATATATCTATCAAGTAGTTGTGTAGTTAAACAAAATTAAAATTAATACCTGCGTAGAGAGATAATTGTGTCGGAATTTAGTTTATCGATGTCGACGGACTAAATGACACACGTACTTGACGACAAACAGTCAGAATTTATACCCGTGCCAAAAGTCTATGTGCCGTTAATAAGGACCCCAATTCCACTGTATGATTTAAAACCGGGCGCCTGATTGCTTTTTGTTATGTGCTGTGTTGATATATTTCTTCATAATTACTATGTAATTACTATGTAATATTAAAAATGTCAATATAAAAATTTGACAGCGAAAATATCTAAATTAGTTGAGCTAGTTTGGCTGATAAATAGCTAAAAACACGATTGTCTCACGGGGGTGGGGACATGTATGGCTCATAGCTCACAATCTCTCCAGACAAAAAATAAATTAAAAAGTAGTATTCCAACTAATCTTTTAAAACATTCTGGACCATATCAAAAAGTTAAATATATCGGAAATATCGGCCTTAATCTAACCGATACCGATACATGGCCGATACCGAAAAAATGGCCGATATTGCCGATACCGATACATCTCTAATGTGTACGCCTGCTACAGCATCCTACGCTTTCACTAGCCCAAAAGCATTGAGGAAGGCTTGGGAGTTTAGTCGCGTGTAACCTCTACTGACAGTTATATATAAGTATGCTTGTATATCTCTTTGTTTTTTGGCAATTGTAATTTAGCTGGAATAGCATGTAGCTTCTATAAAGTCCCATGGCTCTGAGAAAGCCTGACCACCATTAGTCTTAGTGTGCAGCGAAACACCTGAAATCAATTCGCAACATTTCAATTATTTCTTTTATTGCAATAATGACAATAAATGGCAGGAGAAGCATTTTTTCTGAATAAATAATTCAAACAGTGAGAAAAACAGTACAAAAATGGCCCAAACAAAATAAGGAATATTGCATACGGAATATATATTCATCAATAAATACGATCCCAAACATAACTGTCAATAGAACTAACACAAATTCTGAAACATACTGCTAATGATCAAAATTTTAATATCAAACATGTGTAATTTCATTTAGAATCTCAGTAAATTGTACTCCATTCAAGCAAACTGAATATCCCTATTATAATGATATATGATAGAAGTCTGCAATGCAACACAAAACATGATTTTTAAAAAAGACACAATGCATCTTGCGAATATAAGAAAGGTGGCATAGTAGGCACTTCAATTATATTAGGAGAAAAAGTTAGAAATGATTATTTTTTAGTTTAGCTGACATTCTTATATCAGATAGAGAATTTCGATACTAAACGCAAATATCAAAATACAGATTTTTTTTAAATATTCCAACTGATCAGGGTTAATTATACATCTTGCACAATTATATGCCATTCAATTTGTTCTAGCTTAGAGTAATATAAAACAGGTACCATTGCTTCGTCCCAAATATACAATCAAAAAGGCAAGCTTCTGCTAAAAAATAGTGCAACAAACTTTGTGTACAATAATTTACAAATGGTTTCATAAATAGGTGAATCAAATGCAGAAAATCATGGTCATTTTAGTATACGAGTTTTTAGAAAAAGTTGAACATATCAGGAATACCTAGTAAGAACATCCAAGAGCCAGAATTGACATAAATACTAAAAGTTTTCGCTTTCAATTCAATGTTAGAATTGATTGTATTTTTAGTTAGACTTGATAAATAAAATATTTCAAATGATTTGCGATAATCAAACCTCTAGTTTTATTATATACCACTCAAGTTTCGATTTGTCCTAGCTCAATCAACTATATGTGCTTCGATTCAAATATACAATGAAAAAGGCAAGGTTGTGCTAAAAAAAAGTGCAACAAATTTTTGTGTATACTACTGAGCTACAGTGATGGCTTCATTATGTATACCAAGATACAGTGATGACTTCAGATAACATGCAAATTGAATTCAAAATTTCACGGTCAAAGGTACGGGGCTTCTCAAACCAGGCCCTGTACCATCCTGGCAGGGCACAACCAAAGGTTTTCACTAGGTATAAATTTGTGATGACCTCATTAATTTAAAGAAAATTGACTGCAATGCATATAATTTTTTCCTGCTGTTTGTTTAATTTTTTTTTCGTCAACATGGCACATAAAACGTGGTAAAAGCAAATCTACGTATTTTTATAGAAGAGAAAAGTGCCCACAAATGTTAAGGAGTCTTTGGAAGTTTGAGAAGCACTGCTTTAGAATATGAGTTATGGTATTGAAAAGAGTTAGACATATCAGGAATAGTACGGACATTCAAGAGTACGAATAGACATGTAACAACAAAAAACTTCAACATAAGATAACAAGCTATACATAGATGAACTACAACAACATATTTTATCTCTAAGATAAATCAGCTAAGTATAGTAAAACTAAAACCTCGAATATTAACAAAGTCACATTCAAAATCTCCATGTTTCTGAATATATGATATGCTGCCAGTATTCCTCAGTGGCATCACACATTTGAATTAATTTCCTAAAAAAACAATTGATTTCACAATCTACTTATAATTCTGAATGAGTTGGGCGACTTTTTGTGCTTTTTTCTTCACGATTTTCTGTTTTTTCATTCTCATGAACTCCTTGACCTTCTTCCTTTTTATGTTTGTGCCGCAAATCAATGACAGTTCTCCTAAAAATAAAGAATTCCCTTTTTTTTTATTTCTTGAGGATGACAATAACATACACAGAACTGCTGGCAAATAATAGATTAACCCTCTTACCCTCCTCTATGTGAAGGTTTAGATTCTTCATCCTCATCACTGCTACCAAGAGTTAATTTATTTTCAGGATAAGTTCCTTCATCTTTCATAAATTGCAGGAAATCATATCCATCTAATCTCGGTTTCCATTCCTCCTTGCTTAATTCATCTAAATGTTTGCGTAAATTACTATCTATTTGTTTGTTTTTTTAAGCTGTTTAAATTTCAAATTTCTCTCAAATAAATGCACAAGAATAGTCTACTTTCTACACATTACGAACCACTGGCACTTGTCAGTTGCCATGTTGGGTATGGGATTAGTTAGCCAGGTATTTGTTTCAGTGCATGGACTCGATGGTTGAGGAAGCCTTAACCGACCAGCAGTTACGTGAACCACCATTTGGTGGCGAAGAGTAGAGAAATCCTCCCGCACATAATTATCCACCACAGAATTAGAACCTGCAAACCCTCGCAGGGTAACCAGAGGTGCGGTGGCGAGAATATTTCTAACGCTGAGCACGATAAGGGAAAAACTTTATTAAAGACTATTAATAACCACTGTAGGTTCAAATTCGGAAATACTCAATATTAACTGAGACAATACTACAATATAACGCATATTATATCAATGAATACTTTTGTAAAATCGACTACTCTATTTAAATATAATGAATATTATTAATTCAATTACTGCATACTATGCAAAATTTATCATCAAAGATGATTGAATGAATTCACATAACATATTAATATATATGTCTTACATGTTGCTTGCTCTTTTCCCACGACACAATTTTGTATCCAAGCAATCAAGGAAGTGTTTGTACAACGAACGGCCTCTTGACAAGATTTGAGCATCACAGAACCCTGTAATGTAAACCAAACAGGATATTGATTATTGAGAGCGAATGAATGCCTTTCAATTTAGAATTATGTATGTATTTTTCTTATGCAGTGCCTATTCTCGTTTTCTGCTTTGCACAAGGCCCTGTATAAGCACCCACTTATCCGAAAATATATTAAGAGTTACTATTTCAAGAAGGGCCAGGATCTATTTGGTCCGACATTGACTACCCAAGTTTTAGACTAGGGGTGAGGTGGAGAGCATGGAACCAAAGATGCGTAACCTGCTATGCAAACACCAGGGGCGTAAAAGGGGGGGCGGGGTGTCTAAAATTTGCAATTGCCCAGTTTGACTGTAACAGCCAGCGAGTTTCGAGTGTCGAGGGTCTAAAATGCGTTTCAACCCATGGAAAATTGCTATGTATGACAGAGACATATTCCATTCTTTTACACTTCACAATGAGGTGCTGCAGGGGTTTCCGACCTTCAAGACCCCCCTGACAGACACGGTTGAGTCCAACGCTTCCACCATTAGATTATTTGCAACAGTCAACACATGCAAAAAAAGCATAAACATATTGGCTATTACCAAAATATTTAAGCGTTTCATCTTCTTTACTATTTACCTTTTTATCAAAGAACCCCATAATCGGTTTTTCATGTCTTGCTCTATAGTTGTATCTTGCAAGGACAAATTCCCCTGGAGTGCCTGTTGATCTAAAATCAGTAAAGTGTGAAACAATAACAATAAAGTAAACATGCAGTGTTGCCAGAAATTACCAAAATAATACAATATCAACCCTTGTTATGGTAGATATCCATCTCTGGGTGGTCAGACATTCAGAGAAATCTCACGTTAAAACTGTTAATATTGATCTCAAATACTCACACATCCATACACATAAACAAGATATTATCAGATAATATTTTGTTTGATGCAATATCCTGGATCATATCTTTCAACGCAGAGAAATATGTTAATTCATCGCCGTTTTCTCGATCCCAGAAATAGATAAATAAAGGCTTTGGATCTTTGAGGATATCAACAAAACTGTATATGTTCAGTTCTTGAAGCTAAACAAAAGTAAATTGTATGGATAAAACAAATCAATATATATGTATCATCGTTAGGGAGACATGGAGGGAGACGTCTCCCTCAAAAACTCGGGTTATCTAAATAAAAAGACTTAACTCGAACTCGACTAATTATCAGAGAGAATTGACTGGAAGATAATTGTAAGGGAGTAGGGATGGGCAATATAGAATACCGAATCCGGAGGATTCGAATCCCAAAGTATTCGAATCCAACGGGATCCGATAACAGGATTCGGTTTCCGCCTTTCCGGCGCCAAGCGTCAATTTTTGTATTTCGGGTTTCTAATTTATCAATTATAGACGAGCGTTTTTCTCGCGTGGAAATCTCTCTCGTTTAATTAAACTTGCGTCTGCTCGCAAAGAACCCGTAAATCGGTAAACATCAAACACTGTAATTTCAATCGGCATATTCAGGACAAGAAGTCGGCAATATAACCTCACGGCGAAGACTCGTTATTGCACCATTTTTGCGTTTTCCTTCTTTGCTATCTAGCTAGCGTTATTTGTGCCGACTCACTGGTGATATTCCGATAATCTGAATGCAACAATCTTTAATTGTTTACAGACGTGGTTGCTTCATTTTAAATCAAATGATTTTTCGCGACCTACGAGTTTTCCAAAAAAATGATGCACGTTAACCAAAAGCCAGGCGTCAAATGTTATAACATTACTTGCGATCAAATATTATTTACTAATAATTTTAATATACCAATTTCCGAAATACAAAGTTATATCGCAAAACGCGAACATCTGTCACATTTAAATTTCACTCTCAAAAGATTACATATTTTTCGGTCCGTTTCCATCGTTCAAGACAGACGCACGTTTGATCGAGTGTCTGTAGTATTTTAGTCGCAGATAAATTTTGAAAAAAGTTGTCGCATCTGGCGAAGATAGTGACGAATTGAATTTGAGTAGGGCTAAGTCTGGGTAGATAATGATAACATTTCTATCGTTCAAGATAGACGCACGTGTGACCGAAAGTCTATAGTATTTCAGACGGCGGCGATGAATTTTGAAAAAAGTTGCCGCATCTGGCGAAGATAGTGACGTATTGAATTTTAGTAGGGCCAAGTCTGGGTAGATAATGATATGTAACAATAATCACAGAAAATGAGTTCGTCTTTAGATGTTATTACCTAATAACTAAGTACCCAATCGCGTTTACGGGATCTTGGTTTTACGTGTCTTGCTCGCACAGAATAAAAAGTTGATTTTAATTGATAGTGGTTAAATTTAATATTTTACAACGGCGCATAGGTTGCAGTGGCCACACGCTGGTTCTGCATCTAATTAATTCTCAGCGGGTATGTTATAGTACACTCGACAGACTTACATTAATAATGATTTGACGCCGTTACATGTCTATTTTGTATTTAACCGCTTACTATTAAAATGCGTAACGCGGGTTAGTTTAGCTTAGCATATCAGTATTTATTAGTATTTAGGGATTACATACATTTGGAACAATTGAGGGCAAAAAATATTGTAATATTCCTAAATTTTATTGTCCTGGGAACTGCCTGTTTAGTATCAAATGAAATCCAATGTTCAGGACATTTCCAAATAAATAATACATTTATAGTAAGTAATACATTGCAATTTTTTAACAACTAAATCCAGCAATGTGGAAATTCCCACTATTTGAATAAGTATGAAAATAGAATAGGATTCGGTATTCTGGATTCGATTTAACTATTCTAGAATATACTAGAATAGTAAATTATTCTACATTGCCCATCCCTATAAGGGAGTTTTGAAAAAGGCAAAAAAATCTTGTTAAAAATAAGATTTACCACATAAATTATTGTCCTATTGAAAAATAAAAATATACTACCTTCATACACTGTCTCTGACTCGAAAGAACATCGACTCAACACTCGGGAGTGTTGTGACTCGGAACTATAAGGAGCTAGGCTTGAATCTACATATAAACTCATTTCAGCACAAAGATATCTCACCTCAGGAGCAACAAATGTTTCCTCACAAAAGTTGATAATATCTTGTGCTGTTGTGAATGTGCCGTATTTATGTTTGGGGAATGAATCTTCCAGCGCAAGCAATCTTTTATGTTCAAGATCAACCTCGTACTGTTCGGCTCTGTTAAAAATTTATTGATTTTATAGAACCTGACGGGAGTTACAAAAATTATGGCTCGATAAATAAAACAAGTGCAATTTTATATACCTCCATAGAGTCCATATTGTATTTTTCTAGTTTATATACAGAAAGAGACAGCTTAGTGAAAAATATTTGGACATGATAGAATATTCATATTTATTTATTCTAGTAAGGGAAAGTCGATAAGATGCCTTGATTATATAGCAAATCACACCTCTCACCCGGTCCCAGTTCATGTTGGGTATGAGAATAATTAACCAGTTATTTGTTTCCGATGCATGGATTCCAAACCCGGATTGCGTAGGGTAATCAGGGGTGAGATGACAAGCGTATTCTTGCCACTTAGCACAATGTGTCAATCACTCAGAAATGGTTATAATATATATTTCAGGACTCATTCATTCAATTATAAAAAGCCAATCCTGCCCTAAAAGTATTCAGTGTAAATTTATATTGAGAATGATACTAGAAATAAAAGCAGTTTTTACAAACACGATACACCTATACAAATAAGTGTTAAAAAAATATCTTACACAAATTTAGCAACTTCTCCATGAACTTCAATAAATTGATAATCTTTTCTCATGATTTCTGCAGCCTTTCTGAATTCTGTTGTTCCTATTAATAATAAGAATATTATACAACTTAAATATTTTCACGACTTAAAATTTGAAAAAAAAAAAAAAATTGACTTGTTCATTACTTTGAAAAATAAAATACATCATTGAAACAGTGAATACATTCAGTTTTACTGTATATATTATCATTTTAAGCAACCAAGAAAACGATTTATCGAATACAATCTATGTCAAACTTTCATTTGATGAAAGAAATCTTCTATGTTAACCAGAAGTTTTGCAGCAGAGTAACACAAACCAATGCAGTGAATCACGTAAAATAGTTATTGGACACGTTTAGTGGCCATAACGATCGTTTCAAAATTTTGTTGTTGTTGTTATTTGTCTCCGTCTCCATTTTTAAAAAATCGCTTTTCTCTTCGAATACTGGACCAATTGCTTTGATATTTTCAGTGGTTAAAGATAAAATTCTTCTCCAGAAGGCTATTACTTTTTTTCTCTCGCTATGACGTCATCAAAATTATTGCCACTGGGTGGCGCTACGTGTCCATATATTTGAGCATAGCTCTCTTGTTTCTTTAGAGGACCATTGCATTATATGCATACGATACACCATTGCAAGGCATAGATAGTTAATTATAAAACCCTATTACCACTTAAAATATTTCAAAACAAAGTATTTATTAATTCGAATTAGTATACCTATTGATAACAAAAACAACATTATTTTAAGGCAATTGCAAACTTTATAAATGATTTGCGATTTTGAGATCTCAATTGAATAAGAATTAAAAAAAGGCAAGCATTTTTGATGATAAAATCAGCAAAAAGTAATATAAAAAAATACCATCGTCCGATTCAAATAATCCAATTATAGATCTCATTGTAATAGGCAAGTATGGTAATATGTCTTCTTTCTTTCGTACAATGATAACACTTGGATTGCTATACCTTTTAGATAAAATAATGGAATATTATAAATACTTGATAAAGTATTATTAACTGAGGGAGAGAGGGATATTGATGTTCATTCCTAAACAATAATATGAAATAGTACGCAGTAACATAAAACACGTTAAATACAGGACTATAATAACTTCGGCAGGCATGAAAGAATAAAATTAATATTTATAAAGTGGGTTACAAATTTATTTTATACATGTTATACGCCTTTCACCCTAAAGAAGGCAAGCATCAACTTCTAGGTAGAGAGTTACAATAGTTTGAATTGACTGGAATCTTTCTGGTTCGGCATTGCCTACACTGGGGTTCTCCGAACCCTTTTTCATCGTGACCCACTTGAAACGGTCAAATTTTTTCGCACCCCTCCCCCCAAAAAACTTTAATGAGGTTGAAAAATATTTTTCACACAGATAATTGGGGGCAAAAGGAAGAGTAGGTAGTCCGGACAATAATTAGTACCATAACCCCTATTGAGCTGTTTAGCGACCCACTGGGGGAGGGACCCCCAGTTTGAAGAGCCCAGGCCTACATAAATTATTGCACCATTTGCACCCTATATGAGTTGGTGGGCATGGGAGTAACGAGCTCAGTAAAACACTCATTTTTTTCTTAAAAATGGCATGCTATTATAATTATGGATATTGATGAATAACATTAATTAAGTGGAGACATTAACTGTAACATCACCAATGGTTTTATGAAGAGGGTAATTATAATTTCATAACCATTGTTGTATTGGGTAAAACAACATTGTATAAAAAACACTATCAATTTTTAACCTGAACTATTATTATGACATGTTCAACCATTAGTTATTTAGAATTTTACAGCATATTTAATACATGAGGTTGTTGTTTATGCAGCATATTGTTGGACATATTGTAAGGAAATCTGGTTTAAATTTCAGGAAGTCATCTTAGATGTCACACTGTGCTAAAGATTATCTTAGTCGCACACTGTCAAAACGAAACAGCCATATGTTTCGACTCCAGCGCATGCATTGTTAAGAAATCTGTTTCTTATTATAAACGAAAAGATGAACCAAGCATGATCTTGTATGGGACATGCTAAAATTCAAACTTAAAATAAAAATTATCTGTGGCTTATACTTGATCATACAAAACAATTTAAATCTGACGTGACTCAATAGTGTTATCAAAATCATGAATGAATTTTGAATTGAAGATATAAATAAAGCAACCTGTAACCCCCTTGCTAAATTTAGAACAGTAAAGGTCTGGAAATATTTTCAATTCACAGTAACAAATGAGAGTACTATTATTATACATTTATCATATCAAAATTATCAACTTTTTTACCTTAAAATTGCATTTTTCATGCTGACTTTTTCCCACATGCCTGTGTATTCAATTGGGTTTGTAGTTTCAGGAGGATAAAAAAACATCCTCGGTGATGTAAAAACTTTGGCTTTTTCGCAAATATCAGGCCAGTTATAACATTCTACTCTGTACATTGGAGATTTCGTTTTCGCTGTTCATAAATGAAGAGTTTAATAGGTTAGAAGCTAAAAGAATCGAATGGTTAACCGCTAAATACTGATACTTACTTTTAAAAGCATTGTGAATTTCTACAAAGGCAACCAGCGCAGCAAGAGCTCTTGGATTAACTGAAATATATTTTCAATATACAATCATTAGTGATATTTCATTCATTAAAGTCCTGTATTAAATTAGATAAAAAAACTTTGATGTGCTTCGTAGACTAAAGATGGGCATAAAAAGGTGTATTGAATAAAGTGAAAAACTTGAATGAACACTGAAAAAAATAAAACAAACCTGGTTAATAAAATACATTAAAAACCAACTTCATAACAAAAATTTTCAAATGTAACAGGACTACTGTATACAATCTATTTTAAAATTAAAGGTATACTCACACTCAAGAGTGAAAAGAATCACAGCGTACTCCATGCCCTGAGTAACTTTCTCGTATGTTTTATCAGTGAGACGAGGTAAAGTTTTGTAATCAAAATAATACAGATCTTTAACATGTTTATTGTGATGAACAGAATATGCTATCGGATCATCTTGAATGGTTTCTGGCTCTGTTCAGATAAAATCATCGAGCATGTCAAAACACGAGACAATCATAAAAAGTTCAATTGTAGGTAGATAACTTACAGAGAAGCATGTTGATTGTTGAACATGATCTTAAATAAGATGTTTTATTTATATCATAGTTTCACACACTGGGCCCTCATCCCATGTAGGCGCCACGAAGCAGTACTCTGGGGACCCCAAGCAAAAGACCCCCACTAGGCAACCACCGTTTGCTTCTTTGACTGCACTAACATTTGATATTTCGGCATTGTTTGTTGGCTTTTTTAATATGAAACGTGGCACATAAAATAATTGATGAAAACACTTCTGTCTCAAATTAACATAAGTTGAAAAGTAATCCACTGTTTGAATGCATATTGAAAATTATTCCTTCGTATAAATCTAAACAAGCATAAGAACACAAGTTTCATAGGACACTTTTAAAATAATTTAAAAGGCAAAAATGACCTCAAAATGGATAAAATTACTACAGAAACTGGTCACAAACCTATATCAAATAGATCAAGATCAATTTCTTCATCACGTACACCAAATGGTTCAGTGAATATTTGATCTTGCTTCGACATTGCATTATTGAAGTCAACGATTAAATCAGCAGGATTTTCACTTTCCAAAAATCCAATATTGAGATATTTGGCATGGCTCTGTCAAAAATTAAACAAACAGGAAAAATTTTAAGCTTTGTAACTAGTTATTATGTATTATTAAATAGAGATAAAGCAACAAGATAAAAAAAATGATAAACCATAATGTTGGTAAAGTACATATTTTTAGTGAACAATCTTATAAGCAATATGACCACATGAAAAAAAAATATTTTAAAAATTAAAAAGTCTGCTTTTAAATTCTCATTTCTAACAGAAGCGTATCAAAACTTTCAGTTAACACTCTAAAGTAAAAAAAATATCTAATTAATACTAAAACTTCAAAAAAAACTATCAATTCTGTTTAAACAGCTCATCAATTTACATTTTGTCAAACTAAATAAAAGCAGACTACAACACAGCGTTTCAATACATATTATATGAATGCCATTATTAATCTTACCGCTGTACCGGGAGATGCAATTGCAAAAATCTTGTCATTCTCAACTCTTGATTTCAAGTCAAAATGTGAAAACTTCACACTGTAAAATTAAACATATTTAATAATGTCTGTTTCGCTCGTTTACTGTGAGACGAGTCAAAATTTTTTTTCCAGGACTTCACTACTACTTATAACTGTTTTCCAAATCGTATTCACATTAACTTTCTCGTAATAATTGGTATTCATTAACACACAATTTTTACACTACGATATCAAGTAATGTCAGTTTTGCTCGTTTACTGCGAGTATATCTACGAGATCAAATTAATTTTTTCAAAGAATCCACTATCTAATAACTGTTTACCGGATCGTATTCACATTATCTTTATTGTGATAATTGATATTCACTAACACACAATTATTACGCTACAATTATGTATAGTCTCACTGGCCCTTGACGCTCAGAGGTCAGCCCCAAGCATGTGACATGCTTTGAGCTATTTTCGTTAAAAAACATCTGAACATCCAAGTCGATATCTCTAAATTTTTTATTTACATAAAATTAAAAAAATTATACAAATCTAAAGGCATTTCAATGATATATATTTAAATTCCAAGATAAAAAATTTCTCACCCGTCCACTACAAGAGCATGAATTCCACTGCCCATCTCATTTACAACTTCTTTAGCGAGAGCCAAAGCAGACTTAAATTTTCTTGGGCCAGCAATCAAAAGTACTACATCATTGCCTTTGTTCACCATTTCTGTAAGCGTTGATGACATGTCTTCATTTTCTGACAGTACCATCTAGATTGAATGAATATATTGAACTGTGTGTGGACTGACAATACTTTTTATGATTATTTTTTGCACTTCTACTCTCAACAAGTCTCTGGCAAGCAGTGAAAGACATCTAGGTAGGTATTATATTGAATTCAATATCATAAAAAAATATAAATTTGAATTTCATATTCAACCAACTGAACTGTGAAAAGTTATACAGTATAGCTAACAGTGCTCCACCTAAGCAGATATATAAAAAAATGAGATAATTTAATAAAATACATACAAATAGCCCATAAGTATAAGAAGTACTACTGCTAAGCTACTCAATACAAATTAGAAGATACATAAATTAATAATATAGGCAACTTACAACATGGCTTGACTTCTGAATAAACTTTTGCAAATCTTCATCACCGTTGTTTCCATCTGCATAAGTCACTTCGCATTTACCATCTTCAGACATCAGACAATTTAAATACCAAACCTGTCGTATCAAACAAAAATCTGTAAATTACTGTCTATCTAGCCTAGAAACAATCAACAAACTAAAAAGAACCCACCTCATGAGATTTATCTTCATTGATATCTCTATTCAACGTGTAGTAAACGGATATATATTTCGGGATAGTTATCGCAGAATTAATCATTCTCAAATGTTCTGAAATGAAGTTTAATTTACAATTTAAATTAAAAAAGCAACAAACACCGTAGTTATGCAATTCCCCACTGTTATTAAAACTATTGATAAGTCATTTATAATGTACCTTTTACTTATTAAGAGAATGGGTATTGACTGTTGAGTATTTTATTTTTAAGTTAAGAGCATAATAATAGAGGATTGATCCTAAAAATGCATGATAAGAGATAGAGATACAAAATCAATATGGTAAAAATGAACGAACAGTCAAGTTGGAACATGCATCACTATCCAATGCCACTTTTTTGGAGTTGCATAATTTATCATTAAAATTCTTTTACTTGTGTCTTTTTCCACAATTCCCCAAAACATGTACCGTACATGATATAATTTTATGATAAAAATACTAATAAATATTATTATCAAGCTTTCATGGCACCTATTGAAGCCAAAAATGAAATGGATTTCATGAATAAATAAAAGTTACATAATAAAACGCTGTTCTCACCTATTGTTCCTAATTCAGGTATATAAAACAATATGAAATCAGACTTCCCAGCATGCTTCTTTATTATTTCATTATATTCTTCACGATCCTTGATTTCGTTAATATTATCCAGAAGCAAATTTCTTACAAAATAAATACAGTAAAGAATTAACTACTGCTGATACAAGATCTGATTTTAGGAACATGAAATTATAAAAAAACTTCATTTTTTCATGTAAACACTTGGTTTCTATGTTAAAATACATGGATTAGTAAAACAAGACTTACGACTTTGTATGTATTTGTACATCCAATAAAGTTTGCAAATCGTCCATGTGTACTTGAGCAACAACATCACCATCTCTGTTTAAAAATATAAATTCAATCAAACTACTCAGTTCACATTTTTTGAAATGGAAGCGAAAGTGCAAGTTCATGAAAAATAAGGCCATGAATATAACACTTTTGTTTATTTTTACAAAACTAAAAAGCTATGGAATCACCTAAAATTATTTCCTTATACTACCGTAAATAATATTACACAACTTACTTGAATAATATCAGATGATAGAGCCTTTCAGGTTTTTTACAGTGGAATATTTTCGATTTTTTACAATCTATAATTCCTAGCTGAATCCCATGAGGGTCCAGAGAATCTTCAGAAAGCTGAATTGAATTCACTGCTTCTCGCACTTTCAAATCGTCATTATCTGAAACAAATATTTAGAACATTTCAAAATATATAGATAAAACTTTAAAATTACTTCCATAATGTTTAAATCATTGGTTCCCAACCGCCGGTCCGCGGACCGGTGCCGGTCCGCGAGGCTTTTTTGCCGGTCCGCGAAATAAATTCGGTGTTTTGTTGTTTTTATACCGAGGACGAGGTCGCGTTGGTTTATTACGCAATTTCTCTTCCGCCGTCATATTGCGACATCTTGGCGCCGAGTAATCATACTTTTCGCTTTTTCGGCTCCGATTCACTTCGAATGCGCTCCGATTTCTTTACTGAAGACGAGGTCGATTTATTACGCAATTTCTCTTCGCCGTCATATTGCGACGTCTTTCGCGACATCTTGGCGCCAAGTAATCAACACTTTTGCTCATCGTGAATGCGCTCCATCAAATCGCAAATTCAGAAACCTAAAAATTGGCACGCGTGCCTTTTCTGTTTTGCATGCTTTTCCTGATTAATATGACCATCCAAATAAAACGTTATGCATATTTATTTGTTCAAACCAAAAAACCGTCAAGAAAAGTATAATACTCCAGTAAAATATGGCAGGTGGTCACGAGGAGCGAAAAAAGCTGAGATCTTTTCCAGTATCTTGAGCAGACAAAGTAGGATTTTGAGCCTGGTGCCAAATTACCGACGACTTTGTCATTGTAATGTAAATTCATTCCGTTTGAAGCATCGATCAACTGCAGAGGGATTGATATGACAAACCCAATGAAAAAGCTTGATTCAAATTGTGATTCTACTTTACAGTCCAGATTTAAAAAGGAATCACTGTCACAATTTTGGATATCTCTTGATAACGAATACCCATCGCTAAGTAATCGAGCAATCAAACTGTTGTCCGTATTTTCAACGAGTTACTTCTATTTTTATTACTTATATATAAAAATATTTTCATCACTAGCAAAGCGAAGCAAGGAAATTGGCTGCACGCCGCTGTAGGGCTACGTGTTGCAGAAACTCCTATAATGGAAACTAAACAGCAGGAACATTTTCACTAGAGTTAATTACGTTTGTACATGATTTGACATGTACATGTTTTTTATGTGAGATGTTTTATGTGTGCCTTTCTTACGCATAATGGGTGCCCAGCACTGCATTTCATTACGCAAATATTTTTGGCCGTCCTATTATTTGATAGTTTTTCTTCGTGTGAGCTGTTTTTAAGTTTGCCTTTCTTGTCTAGACTCTAGACTCTAGATGCATATTGAGTGCCCGAAATTGCATTGTATTACGCAAATATATGTTATTCTTTTATGTTCCGGTCATCTCAATTTTTCGCCGGTCCGCGAGTACATTTAATTTAATTTTACCGGTCCGCCAGGGTAGAAAGGTTGGGAACCACTGGTTTAAATGTCATGATAAACTAATTCTGTACTTTTGCCCAATAAATATGACAAACCTTTAAAAATTCAATATTCACCTTTTTTGCTATAAAGAAAGACACCGAACATATGCTCAGAAGATAATGCCTCATTAAATGTTTCATCATCAACGAAGGATTTCTCTTCATTGCCTATTGCTTGTCCAATGAAGAATAATAGTACAAAATGAACATACATGGCCGACTTTAAAACTATTTATTTATTATTTTATGAGTCCGTCAATTCAGTGTTATCTGAATATTGAAAACAAATGAATATATTTAGGTTTTTTTGGTAAACACTGCAATTTACCAAACACTAAAACTTCTTATTGACAAAACAGCTCAGTTAGTCATTGGATCTCCATACTTTGGCTTCGTGTCGATCTGTGACACAGGAAGGACTGAAGGAGCTTGCTACACCAATTTCTTTTTAGTTCAAAAATGTAAGAATGTCAATGCAATTCTGCAATTATTATACTTCATTATCATATCATTTATACAACCTGTACATACAGACATTGTACCGTAATTCAGTAATTGGCCATACCCCAAGTATTTTGTGAATATCACCCAAAACACTTTCTCTATTGCAAAATACGTAATTTTCACATCGCAAATCCTATTAAGTATAAAATACTTCAGTTCATTCCTTAGCTCGAACGATCTAAAAGCAGACTGTTGCTGGTATGGCACTGACTTTCCAATAAAATATTCACTCTACAGCTCTACCGTCTGACCGTCATTTAAACTTTTGTTGTCATGTGAATTGTAATATTCCAAAACATTGCACTATTTTACATTTGAGCACAATTCTAATTTGCGATTCAAATGTACTCATTTCATTCAGTTGATAAACACTCGAGAATCGAAACCTGCAGACGGACAGGCACCAGCTGTAACTGCTAGCTGACTGTGGTCGGCTCGCAACTTTTAATTTGTTTTATATCTCATTATTTCTGATATCTTTTTATCTTATTTCTCTCATCTTCAATCTCTCTCGTTTAACGATAAACCACTGACCATAACATAACTGAAACCAAACAATTACGGTAGCACTTTTTTCTCTCATTTTTTTTCTCTCTTTTTTCTCTCATTTTCTCTCATTTTACAAGAAAGCACGGGGAACATCTCTATTTATCTATAAGTGACTTTAATAGTAGTATATATTTACGCTTTAATTCACTTTGGTTTAGCTTTTGTATTGATATTTTACTATTCGCCACATACCGTATGTCTCATATACAGTATCACCATCTCCTGAAAATGATGTACAACTGTTAGTTAGTTATTGGAAACGAAATGGACATATGGATCGTTTTGTTATTATGTCGCTGGTCATCTTGTACCGGTACTGTACCAACACTTTATAGTATATCTTTTTTCATCAACTTATGCGCCAATCGGCTACGTTAATCATTGTATTAATGTTGATGTAAACCAAGGCTGACCAACTCGCCGCATGCGGCCCGCCCTATAAGTTTGTAAGCAGACTTTTTATGTTTTTGTCATGTTATATTTCAATATATAAGCTTAAGTAGGCTTCGTGATTTTGGTGTGATTATTCCTGCCATCTATCTACATTCAAATGCCGGATCTTATTATTACGTATGTGTCAAGTCTTGCGCCCTGGTGGACATCGACGTCAGTTTTTTTATATTTCTCGCAGAACTGAGCGTTCTGTTCCACAAACTCGAAAGATATTGTGCGATCATTGAGGACGAACGCTTAGCGCAATTATAGGAATGAATTTGGAGCCTAAATTTGCAAATTAATTCCATTTTAATTGTTTTTTACGTGTCTGCTTTGATCGTTTTTATCGCTAACGTAAAGTAAAAAGTCAACAGTATCTTTGGTACTGGTCCTGGGATTCGTTGTCCTTTTTAGTGGTATTTTTTATCTAATGTTTGAGTTAAATAAGATTTCGGAAATGTCGTCACTGCGCATCCGTCAATAATTCTGATGAAATTGTCCTAATTGCATTGCTGCATATTGGTCACAAATCAGTATATATAGGCTATTCGTCCAGAATTCTTTGTAATGTTACTTCATTGAATACTTGTATTGGTGTTTCAAATTTTACGAAACGGCCCACATAACTTGATATTCCTGCGAAATTGGCGCACATTATACTCATTTAAACATTGAGGCAGTATCATAGCTACTGCAAATGAATGAATAGAAATACTATACCAAAAATATACCCCTCAATGTCGACGTGATGTGTATGTACTCGCGTGGTCGTCAGAAAACCGCAAGTGTCATGTCCAGGCCCCGTGATACCAAATATTCGATAGTAAACAGCTATTCTAATATTCGACTTGATATTCGAATAATTTGTCAGCCCTACTCAGTAACCAGAAAGCAATAATTCAATTGATTAATTTTATCTTAATGAACTTGCCTTTTATGTATTATGTAAATTACCTACACCGAAATCAGGACTTAGCTGGTATTAATGGTACAAACGTTTGTGGCCCGCAACGAATTTCGTCACATGAAAGTGGCCCGCGAGACGAAAAAGGTTGGGCAGGCCTGATGTAAACGAACTCAAAAATTTCGCACTTTATGGCGCTTCCCTAAATCGCGACGACTGCGGTACAATTTCGTGCCCATATATCCAGCATTGCTCTCTTGTTTTTAAGGTGAATTTATAACTATTGTGTATATGGGCTTATGAAATCAATACTCGATATGTACTAGCAATTATTATTACCAGATCATTGAGCCGTTCATCGAATTTTCTCACACACGGGATAAAAACGAAATTCCTATTCTGTACAAGAATCGTCTCGTACTAACTTTAATACATACTTGCATACTACCCTCACACATAATGATCAATAGATTGAATTATTGGACACGTAGTGGACATAACGATCGTTTCAAAATTTTGTTGTTATTGTTATTATTTATCTCCGTCAACGTTTTGAAGAAATCGCTTCTCTCTTCAAATACTGGACCAATTGCTTTAAAATTTTCAGTGGTTAAAGATAACAATTTTTTCCAGAAGTCTATTACTTTATTTTTCGCTATGACGTCATCAAAATTATGTGACTCTACGTGTCCATATATATGAGCATAGCTCTCTTGTTTTTTGTTGATTCGTATGTATCAGTGTTGAATTTGTTGAGGGGTTGAATTTGTTTGTAATACTAAATCTCTCTCTCCATCAAAATGAAATTCTTTCTGAACTCTTTTAAAGGTATTGGAAAAAATTGGCAAAAGCATTATAAACGTTTTTCGGTAATTTATATGTATGCGAATACCTGATCTCGAGCATCCATTTCGTAAAATCGATGTCCGGAAATCACCTCCGCCATGATATTAGTGCTGCATGTGTAATGTTCTTGCAGAAAAGACGAAACAGCAAGCTTCTCATTTATGCAGACATTAATTAAATATCTATGATCTACAGCAGGGCTTCGTAAACTAGGGGCCGCGGCCCTCGAAGAGGCCGCGAAACGAATTTTGGGGGCCGCAAAGAGAACACCAAATTTACACAATTCAGACTCTTGATTCGAAATACAATTATTGAAAATAGTGTAAAACAAAAATTTCACGATTACGAGCGAATACATACATCATCATACCGTGTTTCCCCGAAAATAAGACGGTGTCTTCGATTTTCTTTAAAAATAACACTACGGCTTATTTGTGGGTGCTTTTGAGAATAACGAGATTTTTTATGCCAAATATGAATACCGATTTCCATTTACTTATAAATAGCACGTTTTCATTAAAAAAAACTGCTACATAAAGATTATCAACCATTTAAAAAGAAGCAAAAATTTATTGCTATGGACTAAGACTTGGTGGTTCTCGAACATTGCATTTTGACGCCCTCCAAAAATATGCTCAAGTTGCGGCTCCCCGTGAAAATACGTATTCATACCTTTCAATAAAAGACCTTTTTTGCAATAAGTTTAATATAAACGAACAAACAAAACTCACCGACAGTCAGTGAAATCACATTTAATGGGCCCCGGTAGAAAAGCCTGCTTTATATAAATACGAAATCGCGAAGGGGATGGGAGTGCGCAACGCTTTTTGAACCAAGGAAAAATAATCTTTATCTACAGAAACCCGAATTTTCAGAATTAAGCTTTATAATCTTTATCAAAACTTTATTAACTTTAAACTTTATTATTTAATCTTACTTTTTTCAGTAAAAGTAGAAGATATGGGTTGTTTGAAAGGTTCACGAATCACAAAATTTTGCGACGTCCTAGCGAAATTAAAACGACGCGCTATGTGAACCACCGGACTAGGTAAAAAAAAATTCGCCTAAGTCTCTTTTTAGGCCTTTTTTTAGAATTCAGGCTTGGTCTAATTTTCGGGGAAACGCGGTTGAATCATCGCGCTTGCATAACAATGAATATTCTATTCGTAAGATTTGCTAAGTGCGCCTCGAAAATTAGGATATTTGTGTTAAATATTAACTAATATATTATTGCATATTTCACATATTTTATTTATTCTGAATGTATTATTTCCCCTCATCATTGCAAATGATGTGTTTATGATTCAAATTCATTATACCATTCTATGTTGTTCACTTTATGTTACGTACGGTCTATTGTTGCGTAACAGAAGAGCTGCAATTTCGTAGGCTGCAGTTTATTCATTTGCTGAACCGAGATTATCGAACATGAGTGATTTTTTAGCATTTTAAAGAAAACCAGGCAGGGATAGGAAACAAAAGTTAACCTTTTGCCTTTATTCATTAGGCCTACATGTTTATAAATCCCAAAAGGCATAAAGTACACATTAACGATGACAAAATTGTGTTTTATTTCGAGGCAGCGTATTTTTCGTGCAGCTGCGCCGCGAGTTTTGTCCCTGATAATTTGGCGCCGCACAAACCGCTGCCTTATGCTAAATTTGATCAATAAGAGTGCGTAACAATTCCGGATAAGAACCATGCCGTCGGTGGCCTGTGGCCAGACATCGTAATTCATCATTTAGGTCTGCGTAAACAAACATTGAGCCACGGCTGGACTTGCTATGCAGCAAAAAGCATTCGCACCCATTACACTGAATATTTGAGTAATGTTAATCTGAGTAAATATGTGCTTGTTTTTGTTATTGAGTAGGCCTACTAAAAGTTGAAAATTAGCTGTGTCAATAAAATATTAAAAATGCATATTACAGTACTGTTTAGCATTATTAACCCTTTCCATGCGATTTTTATTTTTTATTAAATAATCGTATTTGCTACGCCGACTTTATGCATTTGTACCCCCACAACTAATCGATCGACTAACGAAAAAGTAATGATCCTCTGCTGCCCACTGACGGCTCGTTGGAAAGCTTATTTAAAGAGCTTGCAATTGGCGATTGAAAAATTTTTTTTTTTTCAAAAGGGGTGGTCTGAGTCACAAACAGGATAGAAAAAAGACATTTTTTTTCTTGGGTGTTGAAACTTCAAGCCGTGATAAAAAATAGAAATATTCGCTAAATCCTTTACTGTTACCGCTTCTTGGTTGGCAAACAATAGCATAATATTACTGTAGCAATTTCGTTATCTAACTCAAAATACTTTGGTAGATGGAAGGGATAATATGTCTTCTATTACCACCCAAAAAACACCGAAATTTGCATAAATCAAAAACACTCCCTCGTTCCGCCGCAAATAAAACTCCCATGGTAAACGAAAGCGAGATTTACCGTCGCTTATGTTAATCTCGAAGAAGGCTTCTTATCAATAAACTAAAACCCGGAAAAACTAGACCAACAGTTTGCGACCGATTGCTAAATAAAACAGTGGAGTACATCAACGTACCCGCCGCAAACTAGCGAGTTTTGTCGTGGGTACGTATACGTGCCCACCGCACGGAAAGGGTTAACGTGAACAAGGGCCGCGGAAAATTTTAATATATTAAAAGGGGCCGCGAGCTCAAAAGTTTGGGAAGCCCTGATCTACAGTATTTTTTTCGTGATAAAAATATTATTTTCGGCTCACTCATTCGAAAAGGTTTCCCATCGCACAATGAGCATGTATATATGCTCATTGCATGGCAGTAATAGTGCACAACACCACCTACCGGGTATGGGTACAAGCAATACATTCTCCACTTTAATTTTTAAAAACTTCCGATATCTATTTGCTTTGGCGGTGCTGCACGTTATTAATTAATAATAACCTTCCATGAAATTATGGAGATACTCGGAAATAAAACACCCGATGTTGCTCTTCCTTAAAAGCGGACAAAACTAGTATTTTGTAGAAGAAATGTTGAAAGATCTAGATGAAATAAGCCCTCTGAAAAAGAATTGAACTGAAATAACTTTATGCAGAATGCGGTACGGTATGCGGGTACCGGTACCCGCATTAATTAAAAAATGATAAACAAAAACATGGAAACAAAAAAAAATATCTATTTATATATTTATAATAAAATGATTTGATACCAAAATATTAATACGAAAATTCCGTTTGGCATTGGAATTTATTTGGCACAAAAAAAAAAAAAAAAAAAAATACTCTACTACTTATATTTGTCATTTGGTGATTACTGGAATATAAAAAAAAAAAAAAAAAAAAAAAAAGGTACCGGTACCGTATGCCAGATAATTGGTAAAATTTAGTCTATTTGTTTGTCGCATTTGGTATTTTTTGTTTTTCTCATAGTTAAAGTAATAATCAAACGAATTATGCAAACAGTAATTGTACCTTACTCTTAGCACTGAAACATATCGCATTATTGTGAAATCATCAACATCAGAACTTGGGAAAATAGAAGCTTGTGTGAAATGGAGTTTGTTTAATATTTAGTTATCTTGTGCATTATTTTTTAATTTTATCTTGTATTCACTCATTGAGTGAACCCTAAGGTTATGGAGAAAGTAGGCAAATGGCGTTTCTCATGGCATGTATGATAATTTGAAATGCAAATTGAAAAACCTAGCTACCTAACAGTATCTTTAGGCCACATGGGGTCTAGTATGGTTTAGTACCACAAGTACTACAACATCACCACTTTACGTCAACGAGCGTTTTCATTCCATATTTTTGTAGGAAAAGCACTAGCCTGATAGCCATGTATTCCATCCTACTGTCCTATCAAAGGGTATTTATTGAAGTGTATTTATTAATTGGGTTCCCACCGAGGCACCGAGTGTTTATGTTACACTAGTTTGACGCCCGAACGATACCTGTTCGTGTCTTTTGTATTTTGAATATATGTTTGTGTGTTGAATGTGGGTAAACTGGCGCATGTATATTTACATGTATTAAACCTTTATAAAGGTTTCAGTTGCCAGTTTCCCAGACTTTCCCAATCTTCTCTGTGTTTTTGTTTTGTGTATGAATTTTTTTGCATTTGCATGAGATCGCTGCGACGAGGAAATGAGAGAAATAGCTCGCTCAACTTTGGGTAATCATCTGCTCGTTTTGGTCGACCATCCGTATACTTCGGAGGGCCTTAGTAGACTAGGCCACTGTGACGTAATTTTTGGCGTAGTCCGGTTGGAGTTAGGAATGTCATATGTAAAAATTGTTGAGCCAGGCTAACTAGAAGTGCATGTGGTGCTAAAGTATACCAGACCCTAGTGATGTTGGTGCGGCAGGGTAAAAATATCAAGTTTAAATGCTATGACAGCATGTCCTCACCCAGTTGCCCTGGGTAAGACTTAAATAAATTGAGAAATCTGGATCGTCAAGGAAATGTCCAACTAGGAAATAATAATTCTTTCCAAAATAATAAAGTAAATCAAAACATTGCAGAAGCTGCTTGTACTCTTGCCCAAAGTGAAAAGTGTTTTATAAAAAGAGAAAAATTTGTATTTGTTAGTTTTATAGATATCTATAAAATTCAAATATAATACATTATTCTGTAATTATACCGTTAACATATGGCCAGTCGTATAGTTGTCTTAGGAGGAGGTGTCAGTGGTTTATCATCTGCCTATTATCTGGCACGAGGTTTGCTCAGAAGAAATGTTAAATATGATATAACGTTGGTTGAAAAAAACAAACTCGGAGGATGGATGCAAACTGAAAATTTTGGAGAGGATGGCCCTGTATTTGAGTTGGGGCCACGAAGTTTACGGACAGCGGGTTTTGTTGGCATGCATTCATTAATATTGGCTTCTGAACTTGGATTGGAAGATGACATGATTGCCGTTGGAGCTAATGAGTCAGCAAATATAAATCGATTTCTTTACGTTGACAAATCTTTACACAAACTACCAAATAGTCTAAAATCAATGTTTAATGCTTCACCTCCGCTGACTAAGTCATTATTAATGACATTTATCAAAGGAATGGCTTTTCGTTCGACTCCTGAAGATGCAGAGACAGTTTATGACATCTTGTTATCACGTTTTGGTGAAGAAGTCACAAAATATCATGCAGATGCCTTTGTACGTGGAATATTCGCTTCCGATATTAAAGAACTTAGCATGAAAGCTGCTTTTCCTATATTATGGGAGAAACTAAAACCGAAAAATAGCAGAATACCTCGGAAACCAAAGCTTTCAGAATTAGTTATAAACAATCAAGAAATTTTGCAATATCCTATAACTGGTAAAATACGAAAAGAACAATGGACGCAGTGGAGTTTGGATGGCGGTCTCGCTAATTTGATAAATGCACTCGAAAAGAATTGTCAAGAAAAAGATGTAAATATAATGAAAAATACTGAAGCTAAGGAATTAATTATGCAAGAAAATGGAAAATTTACAGTGAAAATTGAATCAAAGGAGACGGAATCACAGGAAAAAGTAGAAGAAATATTTACTGATATTGATCAAGTTATATCAGCATTGCCTGCACACGAACTTAGCAAAGTGCTGAGGAAAAGCAATGGTAATGGTATATCCGAAGATCAAGAAATTTTGCAAAATATTGGAACACAATTGAAAGAAATTAAATCCGTTGATGTCGGCGTTGTTAATTTAGAATTTAATAATGATCCAGAAGATCTATTACCAGATTTGGGATTCGGACATCTTGTACCTTCTTGTGAGGAATCAAAAGTTCTAGGAATTGTTTACGATTCCTGTGTGTTTCCTCGACATGATCGAAAAGGAGCAAGGACTACACGTTTAACATGCATGATGGGGGGCTCATGGTTCAATGAGTTATTCGGTGATGCGGAACATGTCAATGTTCATGACTTAGAACAAGCTGCATTAGAAAGTGTAGCCGAACAACTTGGAATTACTGCAGACCCTAGGAACATAGTTTCAAAGTTATGTAGGAATTGTATTCCAACATATCGTGTTTCACACACGGATTTAGTTGAATCAATGGAAGACACTTTAAAAGAGAATGAAATTCCTCTTCATTTAGGAGGGGCTTCGTATTGGGGGGTTAGTGTTAATGACTGCATTTATAATAGTCGATATATTGCTGACAAAATTGTCGATGAGTGTTAATTACTTTTTATGAAGGGAGGGGGAGGAAAGTATATAGTGTGCCATTTGTTTTACTTACAATGAATATGCGATAGATCAGTGTAACGCTTTGTTTGATGGATTTAGATCTGAAATTCTTTCTCTTCTCGATTTGCCATACAATTATTGGTAATTTTTTTTATTTCTTTATTAATTTTTGTTTTTATCTGTTTTAGTATAATGACAAAAAATCATATTAGGTATTGAATCTCTGACAAACAATCCTCTTAATAGGCCTACTTGTTCCTACATATGTTATTTCATCTAATTTTGAACTTTATTTTGGCCAGAGTGAATTTACAACATGATTAAGAGTCGTTTAAAAAATAAGTCAATTAAATTGAACGAGAGCAAAAAAGAAAAGAAATCTAAAACTCGTGGAAGACCCGTAAAAATAGTTACTGGTTATACACATTTGGGAGAATTACCTGATGTTGACGAAGATGGATTCCATATTGTCAGATTGTCCAAGGATAGATTAAGAATTCGACAACGAAGTGTTGATCGAGCTATGAGCATTATGAAGGGATTTGGAGATATGAGAAAAAATGGTGTGATGCTTGATTTGTTTATAAAAGTCGGAGATCAATCTTTTGGATTGCATCGTACTATCGCTGCAGCTTGTTCTGATTATTTTCAAGACATTATAGAACGAATGCGGGATACCAAAGAAAAAACTTTTGAGATGACTGATGTAGATCCTAAATCTGTTAAATTGTGCATTGATTTTATGTATACTGGGCAATTATCTTTAGAAAAAGAAGGTCTCAAGGGTGTTTTGAAAGTCGCGACAATCATGAAATTAACAAATCTAGTTCACTCTTGTTTTTCACACATATCTCGTCTTTCTGAAAAGCCTAACGATTGTGTTGAAATGGCACAATTGTTGCAATTGTTTCCAGATAAAGATACAGAAGATACCGTTAAAGAACATTTCAGGAATAATTTTGAGGATGTTTCTAAAACTAGATATTTTTGCAACTTGTCTTGTGACGCTGTCGTTGATCTGTTGAATCATTATAGCGCAGATGATGATAATTCTCTTCAAGGAATTTTAGAATGGATCAGGTATAAGAAAGACGAAAGATCCTGTTATCTTGAAAAATTAGTAGATGTGATGCATTTTAAAAAATTTCCAAGCGATCAAGTCTTAACTTTAATTATTCGAGAACCTGCAATAAATTCTTTCGAGCCGAGTTTGAAGAAGCTTGTCGGTCGTATATTTTCTGATATCCCGCAACTGAAGAATAATCTAAGACCAACAAATTGTTTTAGTTTGAGACAATTGACCAAATTATGTGCTGATATTCAAGAACAAGCTGATCCTATTATTCTGGAATACATGGGACTTCATTTGGACCAGGTGTCCGTCCAAACTACCTTCATCTTATTGAACATAAATGAAGTTTTGAAAATTTTTGAAACATCTACCAACACTGAATTTCTCTCTTCAGAGAGATTTAAATGGGATGCTATCGTGAAATGGGTGAATTTCAGTTCAGAACGGAAAAAGATAGTCCCTGTTCTTCTGAAAGCAATCCATTTCAATGAAATATCATACTCAAATTCGTTAAAGATCAGTCCCATGGTACGAGATTCTCCAGAATGTCTTGATATTATTACTACGTCTTTTCGAACCCCGAAGAAAAAATATGATAAATATTTTACTGTTTTATTGCCTAATGAGGATCTTTGTCTGTTTAATCCTTCTGATAAAGCATGGGGATTAGTTCCGAAAATCAGCGATGAAAAAATATTGGAAATCTTTAGCTTGAATAATAAATTGTGCGCTATCACAGAAAATGCTATATTCTACTTTAAAAATGATACTGGATGGATTAGAAGAACAGAAATAAATTTTGATAACGTATTAACACATGCAACGAGAATAACATCTTCAAAAGATTTTGCTATTTTTGTGGAAAAAAATACTCTATCATATTATAATTGCTTAAAAGATAAATGGCACTATGATATGCCTGGATGTGAACTAGAAAATTTCTCTGTAGCAGTTCTTGGAAATTCCATTTTTGCTTTCGGAATTGATGGTGCCAAGAGATATCGCATGACTCAACTTATCTGGGAAGATATAACATGCATTGATGGTATCAATCCTGGTTCATCTGTCGCAACTATGAAAGACAACATTTATATTATTGGATTAGATCATCAGAAGGCAATGATATATGATCCATCAACTGATACCTGTCAATATATAAAAGATCTACCCATAGCCAATATAATCCAGACATGTGCCTTTGTGTATTATCGTAAACTATACGCTGTGGTAAAAGTGTCTTCTTCGGAAATGTTGCTGATGTATGATGAATTACAAGACCAGTGGTTGATACACACACGGGTTATTCCCAAAAATAAAGATAGTTGTAATGAATTTCTCGTTTCAACATATGATTTCTTTCCAGTACGAGGATTCGGATCAACTTCACCTAAAGAACCAAAAGGTCGAAAGATGTCAAAGAGTGCTAAAGCAGCAATGCAGTCTAATCCCACGGGTGGTCTCTTCGTTACTCCACATAATATAGTGTACGAGTCTAAGCCATCTCCCAAACATAAACTCGCAACTGTGATGTCTGCATGTACGTTCATGACGAAGGAAGGTTCTATGGTGTTTTCAGCTGTACGACCAGCTTAGCTTATGCAAACGACTCACAGTGATTCCAGCCCACAGGCGTTTTGGCCGACTATCACCGGAGATATGTTCATCAATCACGTATGTTTCATTTGAAACGAGTTACTGCAGTCGATCATGTTTGATTCATCATGTTCGATCATTTGCCATGAAACTTTTAAATTCAACTCTACTTTCATTAATAATTATAACAAAATAGTAATAATAAAACAGCAAAATATTTATATACACCCAACGAAATACACCGAATCACAGTGTTCGGGCCTCACACATTGTTGATTAACGTATATCCACATTGGAGCCAGCAAGTGCCGAAACGTCTGGCTCGAAATGTCCGTTAGCTGAAACATATACTAAGAAAACAATGCTGTTGGTTGATAAGTCAAACATTTCATCAATTTATGCAAATATTTTGAGTTCAAATGATTATAATTTGTTATTCATTGTATATTGTACAATAACAATTCCAGGTTTTCATTTAACTGTGAAATTGAATTTAAATTATTATTAATGCACTTTTGATGTTTGTTTGTTCTTAATATTATATTTTGTGTTCCAAATAATTCCTTATTAATGCTGTATAAGACAATCAACATTATGTTAAAATAAAATATTCTGGGATATTTTAGTTGTTTTGAAACTAATTATTGCTGGAAAGTGCAGCATGGCGTAATCTATTTCAACTCATCCTCATTAAAATGGATGCCTCATTGTGAAATCAACAAAAATAATAGTCTATTTTTTGTCTGTGGAATAATGTTGCCCATTTTTATTATTTCAATTTAATGTATTTTATCATTTATAGTTTTGAATCATTTTTGGACTTTGAAAAATTAAGTAGATAAATCTAACTTGATTCCTGTTCCGAAAGTGTCTTCATTACTGTCTTCCTCACTATATCTATAATAATAATTAATAATAATAAGTAATAAATTAAGCAAGATTATTGTTACGTTTACCAATATGATTGTTTCAAACTATTGAATATTCACAAACTGTATATAATGTTAATATTCTGTAACATTCAATTTTTTAATATTATTATACACTGGTTAATGATTTTTTTGCTCTGTATTTTCACGTCATATTTTCCAAATTGTAAATATTGTTTATAGTCTGTAAAAATTTGATTTTCGATATAATTTGACACTGAGATTGTGACTTATTTGATCCCTGTTTTTGATAGCTTTTTCGATGAATTTACATTATGCGTGCTAATTTCTTCAATTTTTATTCTTTGCAGATTTTGCTCAAAACAATGTAATCATAGTAACGAGACCGCTGAGTAATATGAGTGGGTTGGAAAACGACACTCCATCTTTTGGTGATGCCAAATCTCACAAATACTCGAATTGGAGTGAGGTGATAGATGCAATTACTCAAGATGAGGAGGTAAAGCCAGCGATGAGTAAAAGTTTTCGTTCAACTCTAACAACTGGGATCCATGAAAAATTTTTTTTACCGGGGTACTCACATTGCACAGTCGGAAATTGGACTTCAATACAAAAAAAGAAGACAGATACCCCAAATTATGGATATTTACCGAATAGTTCTTATACTTCAGATGAAAATACAGAATTAAATGTGAATGAAGAATTATTTTCTTTCAAACCAATAATTCTCAATTCAATCTTGCTTCTTCAAGAAAATGCAAAAGAGCTGGAATTAATGGAAGCGCAGAATAATTGCTCTAATTTTATGAAAGATTTTATATCAAAATTGCAGTCCGCATTAAAACGAGAAAAGCAGTTTTTGGAAACCTATGATAAAAAATTCAATATGAGGGTGAATTCTACCCACGGAGCTGGCACTAGTTCGAACAGCGATTCGAATGTAACTGACTCTGATAATCATTCTGGTGAATACCCTCCAGCTTCAGTGCCAAAAAAACTACCTAAATTGGGAAAAGTTTATGCTGAACTGCGCTCATGCATGAAGTCATGTGATGATACCGGAAAACTATGGTTATCCAAAACTGGGACTGCTGCTCTAATAGGTCTTAGAATGAAGGAAAAATGCTTGGAACTACAAAGTGAAATGTTACTTCACGTACGTTGGTTAATTGAAGCTCGATTACGTAACATGGGGAAATTTGTATCATCACATTATGATGACGAATCTTTTTACATTAGTGATTTATTTTGTTCCAACGAGAATAAAAAGTTCTGCAAATTATTCGAGGTTTATAATCAAAGTGTTTTTTCCTACCTTAAAGAATGCGGCCATAGTGATGTCGAATTTAATAGCAAATATGGTGAATTTACGCAAGCTAATATGCATTCTACTGGCAATTTGAGTGAGTCATACACTCACAGTTTGGGTGAATCGAGCAGTATTCAACGTTCGAGTGGGATTTATCCAATTTCTGTTAAGACGATGTTGGATATTTTGTCAGAAGACTTTATGATTAAAGTTGGACCAGCTGTAGCTTACATTCTTCAAAGCTGTAGAATTTTTCAGCCATTTGATACTTTGATCACACAATCTACCGTAGGTTATAATACATCTAGCGAAGGCTTTTTATGGGAGGATGCTTCTAAGATTGAAGTAAGACCTGTGCAACCTCAAAAAAGTCACAAGTCTTCGTTTTTCAGAGTCATTAAAAGAGTTGCGGGTATCAACGTCCCTGATATAAACATGGAAAAAACAGTAGAATATTGTGCTATTTTAGCAAAATGGTATTCAAAGCACCATGATGTGGTTTCATTATTCTTGTCAAGCATTGGAGGAAAAACGAAAATTCTACGTCGAAGTCACAATTTTGATTCTTATTTGTCAGATGATACCATGTCTGTAGCAAGTTCAGATAACAGAAGTACATCATCATTCGTAAAACATAACGAAACAAAAAGTGTGGTATGGAGAGATGCATGGAATAATGACGCAATGAAAGTCATCACTTCGCAGTATTTAGAATTCCTAACTAATTCCCTTCCAAAACTTCATATGCCTTCTTTGATAAATCAACCATTGCCAAGTAATTCTATCACAATGAAAGAATCGAATCGAACAACTTTTTTTGCAATAAATGATATTGGGATCTTACTACTACAGGCGGTTGTATCAAACATAGGTCATTTAAACGTAATGCCTGATGACTTGCATAATTCTTTAATGGCTACCTCTGCTGAAATTGTTATTAATTCTGCTCTATCTTGTTCAGATGGCATGCTTTGTGAGATGCTAGGGAAAAGTACTCCATCTTATGATAAACCTTCAATTCAAATGATTGCTAGTACTGATGTGAGCCTTGTTTCTCATTGTTGTGTATCTTCGCTTCAGCCGCTCATGTATATTCTTGAGTTTTACTCTCACAATGATATTGTGACTCAGAATGCTTTGCCAAGAACTGAAGCTATCTTATGTGGTGGTTTCTGGTGGATAAAAAGAAAAATTCAGGAGTTTTTCTCTATTGGTAATATCCCATCTGCGCTACGAATGTGTCTGTGCGACCTACAAGAACTTACCAACATCGGGTTGGATTGTTTAAGATTAGTTGAGTCTTGTCATAATTATTTGGAAACGAAACGGAATCAAAATTCAGCTGCCTTGACAATCGCAACACGACATCTACACAATATTGATTCTATTATTACAAATATGCAAGTTACTAGTGGCTCTTGTATGCTGCGACTCGGTAATGAAAGTAAACGAATCGCTTCTAAAATTATAACGAATAATTTTCCTTCGCAAAAATTTTGGATACAGAAAAATACGATTAATAGTGAAATGGAGAATAAGTATGTACAAGAGCTCGTTAATTCGTTGATAAAAGTTGCAGCAGAAGCGATTTCCGAGATGAGTTCACAATTGCAATTGGCTGGCATGACACCTGTGGTAAACGCAGTCTATGAAGCTTGCCTTTCACATATAGCAAAAACGAAAGTAAGATTCACAGTGCAGGGTGCATTACAACTTTCTTATGACTTCTCAGAAATACTGAACTTTATTACCGCTGATATAAATGGGCTTTCCGCTGATGTAAGATCGTCCTTATCGTCACTACATTCTGTAAAACGATCTTTGCATGTTACAGAATTGCTTCAAAGTACAGCTTATGATAATGCTGCTTATGTGGATGACAGATTCCGTCCGCAGAGTAAACTTCGTTCCTCAACAGCAAGTATCAGTGATAATGATGACAATAATATAGACAATTCAGAATTAGATGATAAATTTTGGCTTTCGTTAAGGAAACATAACATGCGTAGAAGCAAATCGTGGACTTCTTTTATTCCTTGCATGGAACAAAAGTAATTACCGTTACCCAACAATGAGTTATTAAAATTTTTTTCTTTGCTGCCAAATTTAATTTCATTATTGTACTTGTTCGGATGATTGTTGTTTTTGGAAAAATATCGCTTTTCTACGAAATTTATGGACAAATTGATTTCAGTTCAATTTTCAGTATGAGAAGAAGTTTTTAGAAATTTTTTATTTTTGTCAAATTTGCTATTGGCCTGATATTTCACCATACATTTTGCTGTTTCATTTTGATTGAACTCTTTTTTTTTTTCCTGTTTTACTTGTCCCTCCATATTCTCAATTACCGTAGCGGTACCGATGCATGATATTCGGTTTTTATTAATAGTTCTGCAATAGGAATAACAAGGTGCTTTATCTTGTTTCTTGACCAAAAACTCAACTACCTCAGTTTAATATTAATAAATTTAGTTATTACAAAAAAACTTGGTGAAAAAGGTAATTTGTAAGTCTGTTCTATTTTACCTTAATCAATTTTTCCCTAATCCAATCGCAGTCTTATATTACCTAAATTACAATCCAAATATTATTCTCACCAATAGTCTTAGTTGTAATTCAAGCGTCAAGTTGTTAAGCTTGCACACTTAATCAAATGTTATAGCTCAAACACTGTTTTAGAAAAAAAAAGGTGTTTAGAAATCAGAACATTTTTTGTTTTGGAGAGTCAAATTGTAAAACACTGCTGATTATGTATATGTATATATCTTTCAAACGCTAAACAAAGTCGATGGAAATATTTATATTTTACGTTTGTTTGTTAGTGCTAAATTCTGCTATCATCAATAACGGTTCAAATTCACAACATGCAAAAATGCATTTAAATAAAGTAGTGTTGAATTGATCACACACAGGTGTAGCTAGCTACCTACATCTATTACATAACAATTACCGTAGTTTTTTGTTATTGCCAGTTCCTATGTTAGGAGAGCTGAGCCTTCGTTTCACCAACAAAAGATAATTCAATATTACAGACATAATATTTCCAATATGATATTGTTTGAAAAATTTTATTAACAAAGTGCTTTTTACTTATAATCTGTAATTTGTATTTATTCATTCTTCTACTTTTTTTTTTGTGCGCAATTCATATTTTATACTGCAGTACCTTTTCTACTTTATATTGCACACACTATCTATTTTATTGCTTTAATCTATTAGGGTGCAATTGAAATATTTTTGTTGTTTAAATGATCAAACTTGTTTGTGACAGATTGAATAGCTTGTATGACCATTTTTTGATGTTAGGTACATAGCTGATATTTCGGCCAAATTTATTAATTTCACCATAGCTGTCGAGGTTGGGCTGTTGACTTTGAGTCCAAATTGATAAAAAGTTTTACCCGGCCTTTAGATCCGAACTCTTATGAAAATCAAATTTTGTCAATAATAGACTGTTCAGAACGCTTGAAAGTTTTGACTTTGATTATCACCATTAAATTTTGGAAATTCCGTCCACAGGAGTTCAAAAATACAACTCCGAATTCAATCAAAACATGCAATTAAAACTCCACAGCTCAGGGTTTTACTGGGGTAATGGAGAGGAGCGTGTTTAACTTGATTTCAATCGCGTAAACACTTTCTCATACAATTCAGTTCCAAACCCTAACTAAAATCACTGAGATAACAAAACCGGTTGAGATCGCATACCAAAGTAGAACCGAATTAAATATATCACGTTTGAATGTGATTAAAAATACAACTCAATTCGGAATTTTTTAGATTCAAATATTGTAGTTTGAGACTTTCAACTTTAAAAATAAACTAATACTACGGTAAACTAAATCAAATACTAAACATTGTTAGTACCTACCGGCAGGGTTGTCCAAAACGAATCGAATATCATGGTATTCGAATACCTGTTCGGCTGATTTTCGAATAATTACGAATAGTAGCCACTTTTCGCCGTAAACGTGGTGTTTCGTTTTACGGGAATCTTCAAACGACTTTTTACGCTGTCTCACGTATTGTAGTGACGATGAATTAGAATCGGCACTTTGATTGTTTATATTCTGTGCGACCGTACGTCGCATAGTGTTGCGACACATTTGCACGTTTGCGTGGGTGGACATTGCCGACATTCGTCAACGAGGCTTTTAATTTACAAATTCATTTCCATTACGTCGAAAAATTGACAAATAGCGCTTTTCTATGCCCAATATTTCGGCCTGATTTTTTTTTTTTTTGGGGGGGGGGGTGTCTAATTGAGAAAGTATGTTTATTTTATTTCTATGTGGCCTGCTTATTAGTCTTCTCAAGCATGATTTGTGTAACCTTATATTTGGGTCTTAGGGTCTTCCAATCATGATATTTAATCGCAGGCCGGTTATCGTTACTTTAAAGAGAAACATGGCCACTGAGATAAAGTGATTTGTGACCCTTTCGTTTTGCCGATTCAGCAGAACACGACATGGACAGGAAAACACAGCTGTGAAATAACCCGTGGACGTACAGTGTAGTACTTATCACATTCCAAAATTATTTCAACATTCGGGTTAATAGGTTGTCCAAAATGATTGCCGTTTACAACTTAAATTTACCGCTCAATTGTTAAAAATAGTTAATTCTGTGAGTATGATTCTACCAAACTAACATGATCTGGTTCTAAACATATAAAATTATTAGCGCATATCACAGGGACACAATTTTTCTGCCAGTCTTATTGGAGGCCTATATGGAAAAACCCCTTTTTTGAGTGCTAAAAATAGACATCGTCCTATTTGCCATGTGGACTTATTAGATGGGAAATACGGTATTTATAGCCGTCATTGTTACGATATCCAATAAATTACAAGTCGATTTATTAGAAAATAATTTCTGGCAAATAATTTTGATAACGATAGTTAAAAGTATCGATCCTTTACCAGGATGATTTTTTGTTGCGCAAAATAATCCAATCCATGACTGGTACCAGCATTTAAAATGTCATGTCGTATTAATTTAATTCCGTTCAACGTAACTCATGGTTGTATGGACAATCTGGGGACATAAAATGTGTGGTAAACTGACCGATATTATTGAATATTGATTCCTATTTTCATATTGATAAAATAATGAAAATATTAATACCAAATACCACGGGTATTTGTGGACATGAAATACGTGGTAAACTGCCCAATTATATTTAATTTCGGATTCGTATTTACAAAATAATAAAACTATTATAATTCTAAAATGCAACGGCGATCTGTGGCCTTAAAATGTGTGGTAAACTGCCCGATTTACCAACATTTGAGTTATGATAATAGAATTAAATTAACATGGTAAGGCATTTTAAATAGTGGTATCAGTCATGGATTCGAATATTTTACGCAGCACAAAATCATCCTAGTAAAAAGTCCATACTTTTAAATGCAAACCAATGGCAACCATTATCCAAATTAGTTCCCAAAAAGCGGGATAAAGTATAAATTCTTTTTCCGACTTGTGACAATTTTTCGTGAGTACGAAAATAAGAATCAAAAACTAATTATATTCGGCACAATATCACGGCAATCTGTGGACATAAATTGTGTGGCAAACTCGCGATTAATATTAATTTTTGATTCCTATTTTTGTATTTACAAAATACAACGGCGATCTGTGGACTTAGAATGTGTGTTAAACTACCCGATTATAAATAGTTATTGATTCCAATTTTCATATTTATAAAATAATAAAAGTATTATTACTCAAACATACAACGGCGATCTGCGGACTTAAAATGTGTGGTGAAGTTTCCGAATATAATTAATTTTTGTACTCACGAAAAAATTGTCACAAGTCGGAAAAATAACTAATACTTTATCCCGCTTTTTGGCAAATAATTTGGATAATGGTTGGTATTTAAAAGTATGGGCGTTTTACTAGGATGATTTTGTGTTCTGCAAATATTCAAATCCATCACCGATACTACTTTTGCCGTATTAATTTAATTCTGTTAACATCACTCAAGGTATATAAAATATATACTGCAATAATCTGCAAATATGAAATGCCTGGTAATATAACTAGGTTGTAACTTGTAGATAGCGGTTATTCCATTGCTTATTGTATGGAAGTTCCTACATACATTTAGATAAGCTTCAATTAGTGAATTTTAATTTCGAAGTATTCGAAATTTCATATTCGAAAAAAATAATTTCGAATGTATTCGAAATAGTGAACTATTCGGTATTGGCCATCCCTGCCTACCGGTAATATATTTTTGAAACATTCCCTAATAAAAATTCAACATTACGTTTTCGGGATTTAGATTGCACGTTTGTTAAAGTTATTCTATTTTATCAAAGATTTCAGTATAATGATACCTAAATATTAGTTTTATTATTTTTTGGTGCTAAAATTTTTTAAATATATTCTGTATTTTTGTAGTGTCAAGCTTTGGTTATAGTATTCATAAGCTTTTATATATTTAATCATAATCAATAACAAGCTCATATTATTGTTGTCAACAATTGCATTATCTTCAATTGATTAATGACACTCGAGACTGTCTGAATGAACTATATCATAGAAGAAACAACGAAAAAACTTTTTGAAGAAGTTAAGAAGTCGAAAAGAGAGAATGACTCAGGTATAGTATCAATATATCACGTTTATTTTTCAATTGCGGTTGTGCCAACTAGATAATATCAATCTTATTCATTTCTTTTTCAGTATCTGATGACTTGATGTCAGCGTGAGTTCACTATTTTCTTATATTTGTACATATTCTATTATTATTGATACTGTTATATGAAAATATTGAGAAATAGTATTATTTTAAGATATATATTATGTGAAAAGTTGATTGATGTGCTAAGCAATATTTACAGATACAGAATAGTTGATTTGATTGTAGTAATAATGCCGCCATTGAAAAAAATGTGATTCCTAGGAATACAGATATTCCAAACCGTTGTGTTTTTACAGTAAAGTTTGTCATTTTTGAAATTAAATTGTTATTATTCACTAATACAGTTGTAAATTTTGGTAATTTTTGTGATTTTTTTTAGAGTAAGTTTAAATATGATGAAAGGAATGAAATTTCAGAATATCTGCTATCAGCACCTTTCGTATTGATAGCTACATTTTGATTTGTAATCACAATAATAATTCATTAATTAGTATTTTATTTTTTCACGATTCTAAAAACACACTTTGTACGTAATTCCTCTTCGTGATTTTTTTCCTCACAGAATATCGATAATAACATTGTATATATATTCGTTATTTTGTGATAATTAAATTATAACACTGTAATGCAATCTTTATTTCAGATTGAACTGTGTTTTTGGACAACCTCTTCTATCAGCATTTGATCTTGTAGATAGAAACTCCGTTACTAAGCTTACAACACCTAACAGAAGAGAATTATTTAAGGTTAAATTCTTTGGTTTTTATTCATGAACGAATATTTTTTTGAATACCATATATCAAATTATGAAATGTAAATTGCCAAGCTTGATATGTTGTTCATTTTGTGTAACAGATACATAGATAAACAGAAATTGATTCATGTCTTTGAGTTAGGGAAAAGTATTGATTTGTTGATTAAGTTGTTGTTTTTATTTCTTTTTTATTTATTGGACACGAAGTGTACATATGAATCGTTTTGTTATTATGTTGTTGACCATCGTCTTGTTAGTATTTTTTTCTTCTTGTGAAAAATTGCATTTCTCATTAACTACTAGACCATTTGCTTTGAAATTTTCAGTGGCTAAAAAATTGTATTTTTTGCTAGAAGGCTATTACTTTTATTCGATTCAAAATTTCTGTGGGCTCCCTGGGATTTATTTTTTGTGTACGATGACGCCATCAAAATTTAAAAGTTCGCACCTTGTGGCAGTTTACATTGGTGGTCAAGCAAAGTCGTGTAGACTACGGTACTGGAAGTCCACTGTGACAAATTGCATACTCGTACTAGTAGTACGTCTCAGCCTTCGTATCCAAATATTTCAGCACTGATCTTGTGTTTTTTTTATTCGATCCCCCCCTTCACTCTGAACAAGGCTCTGTTCAAACAGGAACTGAGTTCTAACGATATGTAAGGGGTTTCCTTTTTTTGGAAGGACCGTGAATCGGTATTGCTTACCCTTTTTATTACATCCTGGGTGAGGTTTTCAGGCATGGGGTTCAAATTAGAGATGTGTAATCTGCGAATTGTGATGCCAACACTTATTAAGACTAACGCTTTAAATGCTAGGCAATTGAGCCCACATCTGAGCGAGCTGGGTTGAATGTTCGATGACTTTGTTCCATCCCTTGCTGATGTACTGAACTGAAATAAAATGATTAGTGTTTTACGCATTGTGAATCAGTTTATTTATATTACTCATGTGTTGAATAATCAGCAAGGTCAATTAGTGTAATTTTGAGATGATTTATTTGAGAAGTAACATCGAGTTGAATTTTTTTTCACAGACATGTATACTGTACTGATACATAGGTATTTAAATAATATCTATTTGCTATCTTACTAAAGGTAATTAAAATATTATTATATAATGATTTTCAAAAATATGTCAGAAAATTTCATTTTTTCTATGTAGATTTCTGGAAGTTCAGGGAAGACCTATTACTGCCCATCATCCTTACAATTTTGTCCCTGCCCATCATTTGCATTTGGAGTAATAAAAAGAGGAGATCTGATAATGGTACACAACCTTTTTATTGCTTTTCAAACCTGTTATGATTACTAGGCAAATTTAAATCTGATGACAAAATCTCACATGATTTCATACATTTGTTTTTCAGTGTAAACACATTCTTGCTGTGCATTTGAGTATAGCTTTACAATGCTGTTTAGAAGAGAAAATTGCAGAGAAAAACTTTGACACTTTCTTGTATGAACAATAGATTGAATTTAGGTTGGTATTTGGTTAAAACTATATGATATCTTATCTTGTACTAGGTGAATTAATAGAGTGGCATATGAAACTTAGTTAGCAGAATTATTTTAACAAAGTGTACATATGGATCATTCTGTTATGTTTTTGTTGTAGTAGGCTTTTATTTCCATTTATTTTAAAAATTTCTGTGGGCTATATGGAATTCGTTTTTCGTGTGCAATGGAGTCATCAAATTTAAAGTTATGCACCTTGTGGCGATTCCGTGTTTGCGTTAGCGATCTGGTGGTTGGGCGAAGTCGTGATGACTGAATTACCAGTAGTCTACTGTGACTAATTGCATACCCGTACTAGTTTAAAAAAAACTATGGTACAAAAACGCATATATTGAGATATACTTTGGGTGGTATGCTAGTGCTATAATGTGTTGACTGACTGCACTTTACATCCTTAATTAATTAATGGGTATTACTTCATTCTATACATATCATCAGAGCCAATACCTAATCTAACCTAAGGTACATAAAATCTGGGTAGTTGTCACATGTAGATCTCACTGTATAGTAACACGAAATATTAAACCTATTTCTAGTTTTATTGTGTTTTTGGCATAGTTTGTTTTTAATACGTTTCATTCTTTATTTTTTAGAAAATAAAAATCATAAATGGAGCCGTTTTCAATCGCTTTATTAATATCTGGATTGCTGACGGCAATGTATCAGATGTCCGGAACACCTTTTATTCTGAATATAATCATTTTCTGTTTCTGCTTATTACTGTCATTCTACGCCATGTTCATGAGTGGATATCTTATTCCGTGTGATGGATTATTTTATTGGATATACTCGTGTAATAAGAATGAATCGTCTGATGAAGAAGAAATTGAATTATTTGAACATGATGACCAAATAACAAAGAAATTGAGAGAGCTGACTGGTGAGATTTTGTTTAGGCATATGGTATCACACTAACTTATTATTTATCAATACAAATATCTGAGTATCTGTAATGCAGTGGCCTATTGGTTAAAGCAGCATTTCTCACATTTTTTTTCCCCGGGACAACTACGCTTTTTATTGTGCCTCACCGAACAAGAAATTAGATGGTAAATTGATGAGTGGTTTCTAAAAAATTTACTCTGTAGTAAAATTAAAAGGTTTGCTGTAAACTTGCCGGTTATCGAAAACTCCATGCTTTTCAGGCTGACACGAGGCCTGTCCTCTTGTTTAGATAGCAAGGCCTGTCCGCCTGTTTGGATAGCAAGACCTCTTTGTCGTCGGTTGTACAAATTTATGACCCAGGGTCGCCGAAGTACGACTGAGATGGCCATGGCGACCAATATAGTCGCAATTTCCATCCCTGCCAATCTAGTCGCAATTTCGATCTCTGTCACGCGGTAGCTCCGAAGAAGCTCACGGAACACAGTATGAGAAACACGGGGTTAAAGCGTTAGAATTAGCCACCCATGATGGCATCATCGGGTTCCCATGCCAACCAACCCACATCTTAGACGTGATATTTACCAATGAATGTCACTGCGTATTAACATGATACGCTCTTTACAATTTCTAGTCCCTATCGCATCCTTATTTTAATATTTTATTTTCAGGACACATCGTCAGAGATTTCATATTATCTTGGTATAACAAGGTAACAGATGAAGTTACTTTTGTTCAAGAAGCTTTTGAACTCTTCGAACATTTACTCAGAGGAGCTAGATCTCGAGTTGCATCCACCGACAAGAATATATTGTTGGCAAATATTCTTGAGGAGTTTCTAAAACATTATATTATATATAAAAAAGCTGCAAAAGACATTGGTTCTCGAGCTTATTCTAGGTAAGTAATTGATATTGCAGGTTTCAATTCTAATAAATTATCTGAATAGCTTTCGAGAATCACGCAAAATGTGACAAAATAATGATTTTCTGCATTCTGAAACAACCATTCTAAACCAGTTTTTCTGAAATTGGGCTCCCAATATTCATAAGGGCGCACAGAGCAGTATTCTGAGTAATAAATTTTACAATACCTACAATAAGACCGATTTGCATATTTTGGCATCGGTGATGCTGGGACTTAGAACTGGTTCCAAATCTTTCATATTTGATCGATATTTTGTTTTAACATAAGTTAGTACTGAAAAAGACATTACCGCCAAAACCATTAAGCCCCTCCGTGACCCACGGAGGATCGGGGGACCCCCTGTTTGAAGAGCCCCAATTTACTATAAATTGATGTTCTTGATCTGAATTTTTTGAATTTTTTTTGTTCTAAATATAACTGTTTTGTCTGTAATAGTGGATGTCACAACGACGTCTTGTCATATTGAACAAACTTCGAATGGGTGTAGTCCTATTATTGTAGCAGTCTGTTTACTGAGCTGTAGTGTTGAATGGGAAATAGTGTGATGTTTGCTCTTCAAATAATTGTATTATACCTGATTTATATGATTCAAGTTTTCTTCAATGCTGTTAGGATTTTTAATTTGACTTGACTTTTTGATTTCAATAATATGATCTCTATTTCTTCAATGGCCTACTTTTGGATATTAATCTTATTTTTGTCGTATATTTGGATGAAATATAATTGAAAATTAATTTGTTTTCTCTGCAAAGTTTTTCAAATTGTTTAGAACAGATTTTTTGTTGTGGTACTTTAGCGTGATTGTCACTGATTGATATTGTTCAATTTAGGTTGTTCCGACCACATTAAATTCATTTGTAGACTGATATAATTTGGTTGATATGTCGTTTAAACTGCTATTTTACAACATTTTCTCTTATTTGTATTACATTATGAAGTAAATGCGCTTTTCTAAATGTCAATGAAAATTGTATTCTCTAATGTTGAACTGATAAAAGAGTTGTGTTTTCAAAATCTGATTTTCGTAATCTGATTTTACAGAAATGATGAAGATGAAGAAAAACAAAGAGAACTACTTACAGCTGTATCATATATTGGCAAAAACGGCCATTCCGCATTGGAAAATTTACCAGATTCTGAAATGGAACATTTAAGAGGAATTATTATACTTATATTGAAAGGGCTTTTACCAGAAGATTATGAACTGACAGGAACTCCTTTGTATCTTGTGAGAGAGCTTATTGCTCAAAATGTCCTCAACTCATTGGTGAATCTTCTTTCAGACCCATTATGGATTTATAACACTTTAGTGAAAATCTTGGACGAGACTGAGATCGACTCGCCAACAGAAAATAGCGAAACTGCAAATAGACATTCAGAAAATGAAGGCAACTCTATAAATGGCGTTGAAAACAATTCATCTATCGGGAATACTATGAACAGTTCCGCTGTTCTTATCGCGAATTCCGAAAGTTTATTCAATGATGGATCATTGTCACCCACAGTCACAGTCGTTAACAGTGAAAATTGTCTCAGCACATCACGAGCATCAACCACTTCAATGGCTTCTCAATTATCTGCTGATTCTGATGACTTGCAACCAGTATCACCACGGCAAGAAGATGTTCCATTACCACTGATGTCTTCAGAAATGCACTTTGCACCAGAATGGAATAATATCGATCGAGATGCTGCTTCCCTAAATAAGCATATTTTATCTGTAGCCAATGGCAGGTAACTCACACAAATGTATATATATATCATAAATTTGAATATGATACATTTGAGGGTGTGATGGCCTTGCATCGCTGCATTAGCTGGTTATGCATCTCGAGTTTAAATTCCACGACCTCACCATTGGGTGTAATGGGTTAGTTAGGTAATGGCGAACCGAAAACTTGCTAGTCCTCCCAAAAGTAGTAACTCCAAACATATCAGTATAAAACATTGACTTAACAGGGTTATGTTCGGAGCAAAAGTCATGAATAAATGTCATAGAAAATAAGTACAGATTGAAATATAAATATACATAGGAAATTTATATATATTGGAAAAGTCTTGTTCACCATATAAAACACATTGCATGTCTGCATATGTAAATATCAATTCATTTCTTGAATAATTGTCTTGCCTCGTTCCTAAATCTTTCATTTCTAGATAAATAAAACATTATATCTGATTTGATTCTGATCAAATTTCACTTCGAATTTATTTCAATATTTAGCAAGCCTAAATTTTTTTTTAAAAATGAACTCTTTATTAAGGTTTCTTATATTAAAAAGTGGTGATTTTTCTCCCAATACTTATATATGCTGTTCTTCTTCAGTTGCAATGACTCAATTCTTACTTTTCAATCATATTCTTCTTCAGAACACCTCAAGAAAAACTTTTTTTCCGGATTCGCATTCCCGAAGCTGTTGAAATGAAAGAAAACTTTGATGGAGGAAGAAAATATACTTTGTATAAAATAACATACAAAACAAGAGAATTCCCACAAGCACAAACTGTTGCTATTGATATTCCATTGAACAATGAGGAATCTGCAAACAATAATAATATAGAAAGTAATACCAGACCAAAGAAAATAAGTCATATGAAGAAGCACCAGGTTTGTGTTCATTATATATTATAAGTTGAATATTGAATTATACCATATAGCTTTAGAAATAGGGTGTGTATGTATATAGGGTGGATACCACAGACGTCAAAGCAGCAGACTCTGTATATGACGTACCTTGCCCGAATTCGGGTGATCGTCGTCGGGCATTTTGGTCGACTGTTCATATATTTTGGCGGGCCATATTGTGTCACTGTGACATTGTCAGATGGAGGTAGGGAATGACCTATGCAAAAATGGGTATGCCACGTCCACAAGAAGTGGTACTGAACTATACTACCGTAGGTCCCAAAATAGGAATATATTGAAAAAACTAATACAAATACATTTCCAGGTGCAAAGACGTTTTCGAGAGTTTCATGTTCTTCAAGAAAGACTTTCCCAAAACATGGTTGCCAGAAACTTGATAGCAAATATTAATGGACCATCAAGAATGTTTCCTGTGCCATTTGGAAATATGGATAAAGAATATATTGAGAAACGAAGAAAATTTTTACAAGCTTATCTTAGAGAGGTATCATTCATTCATTTTTTCTCCGCGGGTCCTAAGCGGCTCTTTATACCACTCCTAAAAAATGTCATAGCTTTTCGTTCAAACGTGTGAGAAACTTTACTGAGGTATCGTCGGAAAGCTTGTTACGTCTCTTTCCACTAACCGTCACCTGAGGCACGCGGCAGTAATGCTATCCACGCTATCGCAAAAATAAGAGAGAAATTTTAAACAATTTTGAAAAAAGCGCTGTGGTAAACGCAAGCGAGATACACGAGACATCAAACACCCTTACGTCAACTTTCGTCCTACTAAAATGTTGAATAAATAAAAAACTTCAATTTGCTGTGTACATGGAAAAACCAAACTTTTTGTGTGGCCCAGCCAGATGTCTGATGTAACCAACGAAAAATGTTGCACACCCATGGTTTAAACTTAAAGGATACTAGGATATTATGTATTGAATTACAGGTCCTTTCTCCTTGTTTACTTTATACTTCGGATTTGTTAGTGACTACAGAATTATTGTGTATTGAACATAGACAAACAACAGAAAAACAATATTTATTTATGTATTTAATAAGAAGAAGCAGAAGCAATCTTTTATTTCAAGACTTGCATTTACAGCCTTATTTTTGTGTCGAGTTCGTCTATGTTTCAGAATTGTACAAAGAACTGAACAAATTTTGACATCACCAAATTTTGAACATTTTTGATATCATTGAATCATTTAATGATTTGTTTTGACAGATTTGCTCCATTCCATTCATCAGCCATTGCGAGGAGATACGTGAGTTCCTAGCTTTTGAAATGGACCCTCGTATTGCCTATGTTCAAAAACCTGAACCAATTCCAAGGTATATGATTTATATAAATTTGTGTCAAAAGTGGAAAAGTCCATAGTTTTGCTGGAGCTGGAGGCCATCTTACCATATCATATATTATCATATAAAGCCATTATTGGACGCAAAGTTGACCTATGGATCGTTTTGTGATTATGCTGTTCGCTGTATTCTCTTTCTTTTTCATGTTGTTATTTTTGTTGTGAAATGATCTCTTTTCTCTTCAACTGCTGTATCAATTGCTTCGAAATTTCTAGTGGTTGAAGATTGTTGTTGTTGTCGCTAGAACGCTATTACTCTTATTTATTCCTAAATTTCCCACGAATTTTATGAGATGTTATATTTCACCCGAAATTTTGTTGTTTTATTTTCATTCCGCCAAGTATGACGACTGCCTCCGTTTTATTTTTGCGAATTCGCTGCTCGTTCAACAGAAATATTTTGGTAAGGGTACGATAGGCAACTGAGGTGGGGTCTACCATGCTCACTAGAAGTACTTCTGGTTACTAAACTAGGATAGGATTTACATCTTTATCCAGGCGGAAAGACGATAAGACGGCTTAATCATATGGCGAACCACGGCCTCTCGTCCGGTTACCAGTCCAGGTCAGGTATGGGATTAGTTAGCCAGTTATTAGTTTTCGGAAGCATGGACTTGATGGTGGAGGAAGCCGTAACCGAGCAGCGGTTACGTAAACCACCCTACGGCGGCGAGGAGCCTGCAATCCTCTCGCACATGATCATGCCCGCATGAGATTCGAACCTGCGATCTCACGAAAGGTAATCAGAGATACGGGGGGAGCGTATTTCTAACGCTTGGCACGATGCGCCACACCACCGAGCCGAACTATACTAGACCCACAGGTACGACAGCCGTTTCATAGTTCCAGTTTGGTTCGGGATATGGTTTCGGGAAAGTTATGCTCTTGCCTTTGTGTCCATATATTTGAGCTTTGCTCTCTTGTAATTTCAAACCAGCTCCTCAGTCCGCTTATATATTGTAACTGCTGTTAAATTTGTCTTTCACTCAACACTGAGTGTTTCATGTCATTATTCCTTCATTTTGATCTTTAATTTCAAGGTTTGATAAAATGCTTAAAACAGCACTGAAAGATCTTCTCGGAAGTACTTCTATGAAATTTTCTGACACATTGACATCCACAGATAATGAATCTGCTTTTAAGATTGAGGTATTTATAGTAACGTTCAACCAACATTTCTTAGTTTTTAGGGAGTTTTCCACTTTCATTCTCTCTTTTACCCCTGGGCAAATTCGAAAGTAATATTTATCCCCTCAACCTTTTTCATCAATATAGCATATAAACATTGTAACACAATTCGACACAACCAGCATATATTGAAATATGTTGCTTTTTCGTCGGCGAAAAGCTTCTCATAAATAGTGTTTAGTTACAGTTAGTTATTTAAATTTTATTGTTTAGTTACTTTATTTATTTGGCCGTTTACAATCATTTTTTTGCAACATACAGTCTTTGCATTCTTTTTCATGTGGTCAACAGCCACATTTGGCCTTGTACATTATTGCTTGCAAAATTTACCCTAATACGGGTCAAATTTATTCCCCAAATAGAAATTTGAAAACCCATGTTCTAAATAGTTAAAATTTAGATTTCTTGGATATTCTTTCTATGTTATATCTTCAATTTATGATGATTTTTTTTGTTACTTTTAATTTGCTGTATTCAATTATATTATTATTTTAATGGTGCTTATAACTGGCTTAGTTTTGTGCACCAGGACTGTGATATTAAGCGTTTGGTGCTCAAATGCTTCGACCCGTTACGAGGACGTATTCTATAATAAATGATATAATTCTGGGATTTGTTAGCAAATTGATAATATTCACGGGGCCTATATTCAGTTCTTTGCAATGATTAAGTAAAATTGATCTTGGGAAGTTATAACGGGGACAATTTAATATTAAATGTTCGACGGTTTCGTTTTCCGTGCAGGTGTCGCAAAATTTTCATGGAGTCCAATTTTATGAAGATGAAAGTTCAGACGACAGTGGCCTGTTTGTAGTCTGAACAATAGTATTTCATATTTTCTAGATAATTTGCAGGAATTATGTACTTTATTCGATGGGAAGAATAATTTGAAATGTTGAGCTTTTTCTAGTGTGATATAATAGTTATTCCATTTCGCACTTCGCATTAATAATTGACTTTGCTTCGTTTTTCGAGAAATTGATGACAGACGTTAAAATACTTCCGTCCATTGTTGCTTCTTTTGCTAGTTTGTCTGCTCTTTCGTTGCCAGCAATTCCAACATGTCCTGGGATCCACACGAAATCTACGGAAATATTTTGGCTCCTGAGGGAAGATAGAATAGTTTTAATTTTAAAAAACAACATATGATTAACAAAGTAAATTTTACTTAATCCTTGTGAAAAGGCTCAGACAATCGGTCAAAATTAAAACATGTGACGGCCGATGCAAAGTTATCCAAAGCAATTCTCTGTACTTTTAATTTGCTGTCTTGAAACCTAAAATAAAGATTTTATACCATCTTAGGGTCCAAGTATCAGAGAGAAAAGGGAATCAGAGTCGAACGGTTCTATATTTCCAAATAATGAGGTCGAGAATGTGGGAGCAGTAACAAAACTGCGAAACAAGGTATTCGGTTCATCTAAGCATTTCAATAATCAAGACGTTGTTGCCGATTCCGCGAAGAGACAGTTTGCAAACTTTGAGGTAAGTGTTGTATGGATTATGGACTCTGTAATGAAATACTGTTATGCTCTAGGTGTGTACTGCTACCTTTATGTTAATATATTTGTGTAATGACCACTTTTTGGAATCAAAGTTTTGGTATCATGTTGTTGTTAGAATTCTTGTTTTCGTTATGAAAAAAGCGCTTTTCTCTTCAATTACTGGACCAATTGCTTTCGAAATTTTTAGTGATTTTGTGTGCGATGACATCATCAAAATCAAAAATAGGGCATAATGCGGCGCTTAGTTATCTTTGCTATCTGGTGATCATGTGAAATTGCGTAGACTACGGTGACAGATGGCTTACTCGCGTCCATGTACTTGAGTATTGGTCTCTTGTTATCAATGATCAAGCTATTTTTTGTTTTGTGTTTCTCGATACTAGTAATATTGGAATTTTTCCTTTACCAACTTCATTTTAATATTATACAGAATAGAAGAAATGTCTTTCCTTTAAAATGGAAACATGAAAATGATATCAATTCGACCCCTCTAATATCGATAGAAGGTTCTGAGCAAACTGTTGAAATTAGAGGAACTGGAGATGGTTGTGATGCTGGCTCTATTCCTATATCAGAAACTGATTCAGATATTTCATCTGCTCGTTTAGTTCTTCAATTTCTCTTACATACATGGAATGTTAAACCAGGAACTCATGGAATAATAGCCGTGACACTGACAAAATATGTGTCTGCATTCTTGGTGAAGGAGATTAATGAATTAACAACGAAAGATAGTTGGACTAAATACCTAACGACACTTCATAATGCTCTTTGGCCAGAAGGTGAATGGAATTCAAATGATGACGAACGAATAACTTGGATGACTGCCTCTTCTGAAATAAAAGCTGACGCTTTTCGCAGCGCAAAAAAAACTTTAGAAAAGGCCTTGCCAGATGTAATACGTTTCATTGTTGATGAAGAGACTTATAGTAATGGAGTCGAACATTTATTATTGTCTTTACAAAATCCTCTTATTAACAGACATCTACTCTATAAAATGTTAGATTTGATTATTCAACAGTTATTTTCTGACTTTGATGATGTTGTTCATCGTAACAATATATCTTTGAATGTTGTAACATCACCTGCCTCTTGATTCATACCATTCCTCTTTTGTTATTGGTTTTTTCATTTTGTATATTTTCTGTGACTGAATTGCTCTTTACTGTGATTGCTTTTGTTTTAATTGTATCTTTCATGTGTTTAAAATATGTTATCTGCCGCAGCTTTGAATAAACATGAGTATAGTATAATCTTTGCATGGTTAACAGTTCTGGACATGTAGCAGAGCCCGGCATAGCTGAGAGATGATCAAGGTTTGTCCACTTACTAGCATTGTAATTAAACGCGTTGGCCAACTAACGTAGATATTGACTTGGTATATGATTTTCTTACGACGACGTACCACTAGCGTAAGCGAATGACATGTCTTGCTGTAATCACAGGATTCATTCTGTGAATGTGATAGCCTATTTATTGTGTTAAGGTGAGGAATTGCCATGATGAATTTGTGGATCCATGTCTTATCCATGAAGGTGGTGTTGAACGAATTACCATACTGGCACCCAATCCGAACTGGTAAATTTTATCCAAATAACACAAAATCCTAAACCAACCAAATCCTCAAACAGGTTACCCCAGGACTGCTTTGCATGTGTGATATATGCAGGAACTCAAAAATATCAAGAAGTATTTTTAACAGTCTATTAAATAAAGCTGAATCACCAGAATCTTCATTAACAAAGTCTGATTACAGAAGAATTTGGAAGTCTATATTTCTTTCTCAACCTGAAGTTTATAAAAAACTCCACAGTCCTGAATGATCAACGGCCTTGCGCTAATAACAATACACGGTGTCTCAAAAGTAAGTATACACTTTTAATTTGCTTTTCAGGTACTCATTATAGAGCGTTCACTTCTTCAGAAAACAGTATGGAAAAGTAGTGAAATTTAGGTATTGTTTGCATTTTTCATCAACCCACAGAATAACAAGGAGATTAATCCAAGCATTGAAGTGCAAAATTGCTGTTTCGCAAGAAGCATATAAATCAGTAAGACAAACTCAGCACCTCTTCAACATAGAATTCTGAGAAACCCTGTACATCAGTAACAAGTAAAAAACTCCCAACTTTCAGAAGTACCTATTTCATATTGGTCTCTATTGGAGAAAGCAGCCTTCAAAATAAACATGTGTATAATGTGACAATATCTATTGTAAATAGTAAAAAATGAATTGGCAATGATAAAATAAATTTAATCTTCTATTTTGCTGTCTTCTATTGTTTTCGATGATGGATAGTAAACTTTAAACGTGTAGTCACAACATGAGAATGATCCCTGTGAATAATATTAAAACAGGCAATATTACCACTCGTCCACTTAGAATTCTAATATTAGCATAAGTTTTGATTTGTGTTTGATTTGACACATGAATTATTGAATCTTTAAGAAGAAGGCTATTGCTTTTATTTTTTTTTTAAATTTCGTCAGCATCCTATAGGATCTGATATTTGATCAAAGGAGAACACTCTTTATGCTTTATTTCTCAATCGCATTCGTTGTGCTCTCAGGGCTTATCAAAATGGAGTTGATGCGTGCCACTATCATGTCCATATCTATTCGAGCATTGCTCTCTTGTTCACAGTGCTAGAACTTACTTGGGCAATGTAACGTTCATGTAAGAGTTACTTGGGCAATGTAACGTTCATGTAAGAGTTGGTCATTCTAATCTCCTGATAACACTGATTGAAGTAATACTGAAAGTTTTATACAAACCGGATTTGCAATAGTGCAGTCTAGTTCCACAGTTTCATGAAAAATTTCAGATGTTTTGTCGGCAACAATTACCAAGTCAGGAAGTGGATATAACCGTAATGCTTGATCATGTTGCCAGTATATTGGATTAATATACAAAGGTAGTGGTGATAAATGGGCTTGCGCAACAATGGTTTTCACAAACTGCAAAGAAAGAAAAGTATTTAACAAAAGTACATCAAAATTGAAAACACTATACCTATACATAGGGCTGTTGGTGTCGGGATTGCAGAATTTTGATGATGATGTACCTTAAGTCAAAATCTCAAACTAGAAGCATCAAGTTTACCAGGCGTTTATAACAGTCTATTTAAGAAGGCTCGCAATTGACAAAAGTTTATACGGTCCATTTTTTTACAACCATAGTGGGGATTCAGTTGCAGTTAGTTCACGAAAGAAGGGTGCAAGTTAATGTTTTTAATAGTTTGCGGATTCTGTACCAATTTCTCTGTACTAGTTTTTTGTATGATTATATTTCATAAAAGATAATGTATTTTTAAACACTTTAATATTTATATAAATATGGTGACATAATATAGCAATCATATTAGGACATTTTGATCATGATACAGTTACATCATATTTATATGGCAATACATGGACTTAAATAAGCATAAGCTGCAAAAGTGTTATGTTTACTATGTTTAAAACAACATAAAAGAAAGGAGCTTACATGACTCGGAATGTGTTCAGTCGGACAACGAATACAGCTTTTAATCATTTTACCAATGATATCTTCACGAAATATCACGATTTCTTGAGTACAGTACTGAATCCTATAAAAAGTGAGAAATGATTGAAAATTGCATGCAGAAATACTTAATGATGATGAGATGTGAATTTATAAGAATCAACTTAGACTGGCATAAGCGCATCTGTCCTATCTGACCAGCAGTTACGTTAAACTTATCAGACACATGATGGAGAGCATGGTCCTTGCACTCAGCTTATTGAGAGAGATAATGAGGTGCTACTATGGACGTTTCCCCAAGCATCGATTTTCTTGACCAATCACCCATAAGTCAACAATGACATAACAATTGCAAATTGTGCAGTCGCTCATCTACTTTTTTTCGTTCGGATGGGTGTTTAAGCATGGATGTAAACATTGCCTTGTTTTTGTGGTTTTGCGTTAGTCAGTTTCCAAATGTGTTTCGAAATATTAGTTGTAAATTAAACAACTTAATTGTTATTTGATCATTCGAGGAGCTTTGTTTAGTTGCAATGTTCAAAAATTGTAATCAGAAAATCTGCGATGGATTAGGCTAAGAGTAACTATCGATACCTGTAAGCAGCACATAGTTAAATAGTTTTATAAAAATAATGGTAACCAGGTTGTAAGGGCCAAATCCAAATCACTCTCGAAATAAGCGTCAAAAATTTTGAAATAGTTAAGTATAGGGAGAATTTTTCTGGGGTCAAGGGTCAAGGGAAATATCCATAGCATGTTGTCTACTTTTGTCCACCCAGGTGCAGTCTCAGATTCCTGACGCTGGCAAGACTGAGAGGTCAACAAGGCCGACTAACCCCTGGCTCCAAATAAAAAAAATTCACTGTTTGACTGTATTGAATTGCCAAATAAAATTACACTTGGTGGAACACACTAACACAGTAAAAATAATAATTCATACACCAACTTAATTATTACGAAACAAACAACGTTGTCAATAAATTGTATTTAAAGATGGTCTCATATTTTAAAAAAGAAAGAAATTTTATTTCACCAAGAAAATGATTCTTTTACCTGCATGGGTTTGAGGAAAAAATTGCATTTGGAATTTTCTTCATGAAAGGTTCTGCGATACAATCAGGAAGTGCAGGTCTCGGAAATATTTTCGATGGTCCGACATCTTCCAAACTTGGAACGAAAACAAACTTACTCCTGGAAAAGGCTTATAGTTATAAATGACAAGAATATCTCTACGTCTATTGATGATTGGCTAGGTGTAAAAAGACAATTCTGACAAATCATGGTTTTAGTGGTCTAAGTTGCATATACCGGTAAATAATAATTATCCAAAACAAAAATCAGTTTGAACAATTATATTTAAACCATTGAACTAAATAACAATATTATAAATAACTAAGGGGATATATGAAAAATTCTTATATACGCCCGCAAGCCCTTTATATATATATTGTCTTCAAAATCCAATTGGAAAAAATTATACCTCAATATATAGTGTGTTCATAAAGTCACCTTACAATCAAAATAATGTTATGAAGTCGGTTTTATTTTGATAAGTGTATATTACCGTAATTTTTTTTACTCCGTTTATTAAACCTGTTAGTTGCGAGAAGCAAATCAAATATCTTTTACCTAATCTAATACAGGACTGGCTAATTTTAGCAATAGTTAAGGATATAGAATCTTACTACAACACTTACGATTGGCATATAGAAGGGAAGTTCAACAATATTTTCATAAAATTATTAAAAGATTCTTTCAACAATGCAATATGATTTGCACCATAAGGTTCTGAAATAAAATTTCCACAAAATACAAAACAAGTTGGAGCAGCGTCTTGAAAACCTATAAACATGGTTTCGAGTTTTTGCAAAACCTTTTCCTGTGATAATAAATGAATATATATATAAATATTTATGTTATGTTTGAGATGTAGCGCTAGGATTTTATTCAATTGAAGTTTTTAATTTAGAAAATGTTCAATTCTAACTCATAATAAATACTTAGTACCAAATCCAGATCTTCTATATTTTTTTGTAATCCCTCTTTCAGTATTTGTTAGTAATATAGCATCATAAAACACATAGTGAGTTTGAAATAACGTCGCATAATTTTTTGTATAGGACGTCCCACAGGACTTTCACTCTTACCAAATCTCTGTATAATAGTTCGGCAATTTACCCAATTTATTACAATCTGGGTTAGTTGGTGGGCAATGCTCGCCAGTTTTCAATAACATGTCGTTGCCCTTCCTGCCTTGTGGCATATTTTTCAGACCCACTTTTGAATTATTCGTTACACTGTAGCACTCAATCTGTCGTTTTTTCCTCATTAAACATGGCAATTGAAACGACTGATGGAAACCTGTTGAAAATTATCGCAAACCGGGAGTCCACAAGACTTGGGGGGGGGGGGGGGGCTTTGTAGTAGAAGGCCACAGACCATGAAAGTTTGAGAACCACTGAACCAATCGCCAATTAAAATAAATGAATTTAGAGAGATAAACCTGATCAAACCAGACATCTGATAAAATAACAATCATTGCGTCTTCATTTTCTTTCTCTATTTGTTGTAATTTTGTTGACGACTTCAAACTCGCATCTGAATTTCCTCCGAAAAAGTTGATGTTGCCATAATATGCTCTGATTAAGCAAATGTCAAAATGTATTTTGTAGCAATATATTGGAATGACGACAAAATTATTAAAACAAAAACTTGTATTGTGAAAAAAATAAACAATTCTTCTGGAAAAATTGAATAGTAATTAAGACAGATCGAATAATGTTCATATATAATATAACTTAATATTAATTGCGGGCAATAAATTTTTTTGAGAGTTCAAAATACACTGAAATAACTTGTAGTTCCCAAACCTGGTTGTTTTTGCTAATTCAGGAGGTGGAAATCCAAACGCAGTTACATGAAATATATTATCTTCATACCATCCTTCAGCCAATACAAAACAATTTTCAGTAAACAGTCCAGAGTGAAATTTCTGTAATAATAGGATTCGATTTTCATATTTGCCAGGAGAGGGAAACCGTCCTGGTAGCTTAAACATATGCCGAACCATCCACAACCTTTTGTCCAGCCACCAATCTATGTCGACTAAAGAAATAGTTAATTAGTTAACTGTCTCAGACGCATGGACTTGATGGTAGAGAAGTCATAACCGACCAGCGGTGAACTGAATCACTCCTACGGCAAGGAGATTCCAACCTGCACAAGATAATCGAAGGTGCATTGGCAAACGCTTAACACGATCCAACCACCATGCCACAATAACTTTAAATATGGATTTGTATTTATATAGAATCAAGAATAGTATAGCAGATAATGCAATCTACAAAGAATTTCACACCAATTCAATCATGAAATTGATTGCTATTTCTGCACATAAGAAGAGCTCCAAAAACTAACTTCAAAGATGCTAATAACTTACAGCTTGTGATAAGTCCAACTCAACAGCTCCTGTCAAATCTTCTAAGAAATATTTTCTCTGTAAATTTTGAATTTAAAAGGATGGTAATTGTGCATATATATTATATGTCCTTTAACTTTTATTCACAATATATTGAGAACAAGAGCTTAAATATATAAACAAGATCAAAAATTTGCTGCAAAAAATTTCTATATGTAATTGTAATACAAAGAAGGTCACTCAACATGGAATGTTGAGTAAATATAAATTACAAACCTCTTTCAGTTGTGATAACATTCCGAGAGCAATAATATCTTTCAATTTTGAAGAGCAACCAAGTAAATATTCAACAGTTCTTAATTTGAATTTTTTCGATGCCTCATCTTCCATACCTGTCGTTGATCAAGTAGAGTATTAGAGCATAGGACAGTAAGTGCCCACTACTAATGCATGAAGATTGAGATAAAACAGACCAAAGCTACAGCTACTAAGTTATAGATATCCTTGTTTAAATGTTTAGTACTGACCTGGTATTGGTGGAGTGAACAATTTATGCCTCATTGTTCTTTGATGTAATAATTGATATCTTTCACGAAATAATTCTACTTTGTGTTCGGCTTTGGAAAGTAATTTTGCATCACAACCATTTGCCTCAGAATATCTGAATCAAATTGAATACTACTAACATATATACGATAAATCAAAAAAAACATATTTTGAAGCTGAATGTCCAAAGATATAACCCTATTACCGAAGCAAATGTTTAAAAAGCTACTATTTAAAAAAAAACTGGAATCTTCCCTGTTTGACATTGCCTACCCACAACCTAGGTGTAGTGGTGGGCATGGGATTTGAACTCAAGTTCTGTCATCTGTGATGCCGACACAGTTAAGGCTAATGCTTTAACAACTAGGCCATCACACCCACTCTTTATTCAAATTTCAATATCGTCAGTGCTCTAAACTGTTGAAAATATGCGTGTTTCAATTTCCATTCCTTATAAACTATACACTTTTTCTAAGGTTAAAAAGATGTACATTCAAATAGCTTAATAAAATATATTCTCCTGCAGAAAGCTACCGGTATATCTTACAAATGTTATGAACTATGTAAACCAACTTTTTAAATACCTTACTTGATAAATTTTTTCTTTTCGGTCAAATATGTATATTTTGGAATATCAAATGCATTGATCACTGAGAATACTTGATCACTGTAAAAACGAAAGGTAAAACGCGAGATAAATTAAATTCTTGGAACCAAAATTGGATATTGCTTTTGACTAACAATACAGTTTATTAATGGTTATTCTGGATTTCGTACAATTTTATTCACACACAATCGAAAAAAGATTGCAATATGAAACTAATGATACGCAATGTACATTGTAGGTAATTGGAGAGATAGACGCAGTAGGACAGAATTTTAATGTTTATCCTGGGTGAGAGGAAAGTTGACACCAGTTATATGCATCAGATGCATAGGTGGTTGAGGAAGCTGTCAATGACCTTTGGTTAGTTGAAACACACCACAATGAAGAGCAGTCCAGCAAATCCTCACAGGATAATCAGAGGTACTATGGCGTGTCCCCGACACCTAGCACAATGTAGAAACACTGTCGTAGTTTTTTCAAAAACCATACATTTAATGGAAGTAAATGTCACTAATATGAAGAAAAACATTATAGACACAAAGAACTTTCTATACTATACCCCCCATCTTCTTCTGCATTACATTCTTTGATTGCAATTTCTATAACATCTGCGTCAATGATATTGCTTGACACTAAATAGGAAATATGTTATCAGAACATTATCAGAATACAGAAAGAATAGAAATCATAAACATATGAATTCATAATATAAATGCAGTTGATTGAAATAAAGAAATTAAGCAATAACATATCTGGATAAAAAGCAGAATAAATATTAATTTTAGTAAAACACGCCAAACAATGTTTTCCTCCTACCTCAGCGAATAATGAAATGAATATTTGTACCTTTTTTGGTACTTTCAAATTTTTCGTAATTCAACATTTAATATGCCAGTAAGTCAGGGTCGGACATTTACTCTTCTGAGTGGGCCAGTTACAGGTAATAGACTTCGTTTACTGGGCCAGGGGCTCAAAACTAAATATGAAAAACAGTTTATTAACAGTTGTCCAACATCTAGGCTAACATTTATATAATAAGAAGCACAGTACGTTATTCTTGCCGGTATTTTCAACAACATAAGTAGCAGACATAAGGGGGCCTGATGTAACACTTTGGTGGGCCGCATCTGGCCCCCGGTCAGTAATTTGCCCGCCCCTGCAGTAAGTTTTTATACATGGTGTAAAAATTGACTACTAACAAGTTTGTTTTTGAACTTCGTCTAAAATTTTATCGATCCAATCTTCTCTTTCAACTGCATTCACAACTGTAAGTATTTCAGTTAAGTAGTTGCTGGCATCACTGCAAAAAAAAGTTATGTAAGAATGATTCTGAAAGCCTGGTAGGTTTAGCGGACAGCATCGTCCATCTTGTAATAAGCTAACATGCAATAGAGTTAGCCAAGTAAATCTCAAAAATTATGAAATTAAATAGTATTACAGCCAGAACGCACCACAGATGTGGAGTCAGAAGTCGGAGTTGTGAATCAAAATTTTTTATTTTTTTTATACAAAGCCCCTACTAAAAAAACACTTCCCCCTCCTCAACTATCAAAATAAGGATTGTGATTGCGCTGGAAATTCATATTTTCAAATAATTTCTAACCGCAACTGAATATTTACTATTTTATTATTTTAAAACTTAACGGGGGTGTTTTTCTCAAATCCCCAATTTTTGCATTTGTGGCGAGGGCTCTGTACAAAAAATACAAAAAAATTTCAAAAGAGAGCGAATCGAGTGTCGATATTAAATTTCTCTCGACTCCTCTTTCTTGGGCTATACCACATGTTACAATCTCATAGTGCAGTAGTGCTGTGTACCTTTTCAAAAATTATCACTCACCTTCGTAGTGACAATCCATGCATCTTAAAAGCAGAAACAATGCTTTTTTTTAAAGAAGCCTCCATCAATACAAGAATGGTTTTATTACAATAATAATGAATAAGAACCAGACTGAAAGCAGAAATATATTTTTATTCCGATTGAATAATTAAAAAGTAAATGACAAAAAAATTATAGGAATTGAAATAATTGAGTAGTGTATTTTCGAAGAATGTATCTTTTAAATATTCCTTTACAATCGAATCAGAATGTTTCAAATCAAATATTTCTGAATCTGATTAGTAATAATATAATAACACTACTGCACTAAGTTATATTTTTGTTAACTTTACTAAAATCAAGAACTACAGGTTGCTTTGTCATTAAATAATAATGATCTTAAAAATAGATAAAGTTATATATTGTACAGTCGTAAGGATGTATTTAATGCCTGATGAACCAAGGGCAGGAGGGTGGGAAAAATTTCTAATAGCATTTCGCTATATCCTGATATCTGCATACCGGTATAGTATAGATTTGCATGCAGGAATAGGAGCGTAACGTTACAATCACATACCGTAATCAGACTAAAGGATCCAAGGAATATAAAAAACGAAATATATTTACGACTTAAGCAATTCGTCCTTAGTTGTAAGCCATCGCCAGCACACAACAGAATATATATTATATATTTATATGCTTTGCAGAAAGGATACCGGTACTATTATTCTATTTCCCGCTTGAACGAGTCCTACTAAAACCAGTCCAAACGCCCGAACATGTAGTTGGATCGTTATGATTAATTTTTAAATCGCCCGTGTCCCATTGTTCTAGGAAAGCCAATTAAACTTTTTACAGGGCTAATCTAGACAAACACTCACAAAAATTTTAAAAACTGCACTCGTGTGCGTTTCACACTTCTCACTCCAATATAAATCTCTCTCTCTCCTCTCTGGAAATTATTTGTTCGAGCAGACTATACATCATCGCTAACAACGGCTTGATCAACATCAATCTAACCATTTTGACGCAGTTTATCATTCAAAAGTTTGAAATCATTGAACTATGGCTAGTTTGCCCTTAAACCGTTCTTCCTGTATCCATTGATGCAATTCTCATTGCTATACTTTCCATTGTTGAAATGCAAAATGAAAGCTAATTTTACGTAATTTATTCTCAAGTTTTTAAAAATCTAAGATTGAAGAAGTGCTTGAGCGCCAGCTAAATTTCGAATGTTACCGGTACTACATGGAGCATTCGAGCGATGTTTATTATTAAAGACGAGAAAATTAATTTTCGAAGAAAAAGTCATTTATTCCCAAGCCTAATCCCGGATTGTGGGATATAACCAGACAATTACAATATTAAATTTAAAAAAAAATATTGTAAAATAAAATAATGGCATTTTGTCTGGTAGGTACACTGGGAGTAAAACGGGCGAGGGCTCACAGCCAACTGAGTTTGACGGCTGAAAACAGAGGGGGGGGGGGGGTTGTAGGGGTCAAGTTTCGAAAGTTCCGAACAGCACAGTCTATTATAATATCTAAAATATACAGCATTACTTAATATTTTCCAAAATTCACAAAATCCTAATTTCTGTGCAGTAATACGGATTTTTCGTTGACTTTGCGTATTTAATTTCAAACGTATCAAGTAATCTTTGAATTGGTTTCTAGCTTTCAGGCCTTTTTGGTAGACGCATTGCGATCGCGCTCATAGCTTTAAAAAGATATAGATTCCGCTCCTCGAAAGCAACAGCGCATTCCGGAGAATACCATGGCGTAGAGCCGTAGTATGGGCTCTATCAGAGGGGTAGCTGGGGGGGGGGGGGGGGCAGTGGGGTACATATGCCCCCGGGCGCCAAAATGGGGCTTGCAAAAATTTTACAAGGGTAAAAAACGGTCACAAGCAAGATCGCACCGGCGGCAGACATCTAGTCTTAGTACATGGCAAACTGCACACTTGGTCAGACCGCTTACCACTGCCGACGTCATCACGCACATAGCTCGCGCACGGTCAGATTTCCATCGGTAACAAAATGCACCGCGTTAATTACGTGGTTCTGTATCGTTAAGTTCTCGCCTGCGCACTCCGATGTAAGTTGATATTAGTTCTGTGCTGGAGACAAATGGAAACGGAATTTGGTTGAATGATGTTAATACATTTTTTGAGTAATACGTGGTTTTGTATTTCGTTGTTGTCAAAGTACCGTACTTTGCGGCAGAGTTATAATGTTATACTTATTCGATTTATTGCATTTTATGCTTATGATAAGGGGTGTATGCCGCACGTTCATGTGTTTTAGGCCAGTATGGTCTTGTGTATACATCCCGTCTTCAATGTTGATATTTACTAACTCCTGTGTTTTTGCTTTTACGAGGCGAATAAACATACATACAGTTACATAAAATATATTATACTGTGCTAAAAGACCCCAATGCAGTTTTCGACAATTCGTCGAGATTGCACACATTTTGCAAATTTCTACGACACGGACATCAATGGCCACGAACTTTTCACCGAAATTGGAGATTGCAGAATGCTGCTCAGTAACAGAACTGTAGGTCAACCAGAAACTCCTTTGGCTTTATTGTGTCTTTTGGACACGACGTTTTACCTAATCTGCGAATTTCACTACAAATTTTGTTAACAATACCAGTTTCAATTGCAAGCTGTGAACGGTCTTTCAGCAAATTGAAACTTATTTTGTCGTATTCGTGTGCATCAACGGGACAGGATCGTTTCAGTGATCTTGCACTTCTGAGTATTGAAAGAGAAACATTGAAAAAAAAAAACAGATTTTGATGACCTGTTAACCAGTTTACGACAGTGAAATTGTAAAAATGAATTTATTGTAGACTATGTAAATCATCTTTGACAGTAACTGAGTGGGACATATGCTCTATTTTGTATAGCTTTGCTTCTTCTTTAAATAAAATGTTCCATTAAAATTTGAATTTACATATACATATATTTTTGAATAAATAATAAAATATATAAATACATATAAATTTGAATTCACATATCGTCACGCTAATAACCGAATTGCGTAAGTCATTTTTGGCGGTTTTGAGTTTTTCCGAAAATAGGTATTTATGTAATGCTGCGCACCTGTCTGTTAACTCAGATTTTATTTTAAGAATTCCGAAACCCATAAAAATAGAGATTTTGTATGATATGCAAATTTGTTCAATTGTTCCGTCATAATGAATTATCATTGTTAACGCAGGACTATTGTGACGTCACAAAAGCAAAATAACCTCGGCGAACGATTTTCGAGTTTTTGCATCTCAGATTCTAGCTTAGCGCCAATAATTTTCAATTTATACTACTGTATAGGAAGGCGTGCACTTGTGATATTCACTGTCTGAGTCCAATTCACCTTGGTTGACTTTTATATGAGGGTACATTACTGTTTTATTCTTTATATTTAACTTTAGTCTTATTTCGGTGATGTGCAGAGCGTGTTATATTGATGAAATATATATTTTTAAACATAAAAAATAAGGTAATTGAAACAGATTAGCTATTTTGGGGATTTTGGATTGTTTGGTTTTCAGGGCTGGTACATATAGTCAAGTTGCAAAATTGCGTATGTCCCCTAGTCATAGACACATTTTTTCCTAAGTCACAGTGCGCCATTATGACGTCACTTAACTGCGTCATACAAATTAACTTAAATCCGGCTACGATAAAAAAAATTGAACTATGGAAAATTAATGGCATAGCAATATCATTAGGAAGTTTTTTTTACGTTTTTTCCAAAACAGCTAAAAATGACTTACGCAATTCGGTTATTAGCGTGACGATATATAATTTGTTTTTACATATACAATTAAATGCAATAGAAAACATGATCAAACATGGGGGTCGGGGCGCCAATTTTATATTTTGCCCCGGGCGCAAAATATGCTGGCTACGCCTCTGCCGTCCATGACTCTATGCCATGGGGAATAAACTCTGCAAGACTAGTTTGAAGCCAGTCTGCGATCTCTGAGGCGCATAAACCAGTTTGTAGTGAAAAAATATGTGTCCATGGCATATCACGAATAAATTATCTAAAATGATCTGTTTTTGCGAATATTGAACACAAAACAAATTCATATAAAATATATCGAATGGTCAGATTTTTTGCCGACATATGGTTTATGTACCCGCTGGTCACTCACACGAACCACCCCGCCTTCCAGCGGTCATAGTCCATGACTGAACAACTGGTAATATTCTCATAACCGACCAGGTCCAATAGGCCAGGGGTTCTCAAACTTTCGATGTTGCGGAGCCCTTGAAAGGTTGAATATTATTCACGGAGCCCCAAAATAAATGTTGAAATTGTTACTTTCATATTAATATTCCTGAGCAAGTTAAAAGTACTTTACCTATTTCAAAATGCTAAATTTTATACTAAAGCTGTTCTCCCTGAATCAAAAATTTCCCTCGGAATATACATGTATTGTTACACAATGACGACGTTGATTGCTTTTTTGTTCTCGTGGGGAAATATGAGTTCAATGTGAAAAACATGTTACCATGTTATAGTCATCGGCGACGAAATGCTTAAAATAATAATCAATAAAGAGGTAAATCCACAACTCAAATTTCTTGATTGAAAAACGGCATTCTAAAATATTAAAACTGAAACTTAAAATGGAAGATCACACGCTTGGTTTCAGCAGACTCACCTCAGATTGAAAACGCTTTTATAGACATTGTAAATCACAAAATTTGGTGTTATGTTAGGTTTTCATCGTAGTAACTGCGAAATCGAAACACAATCAATTGTGCGCGCGATGTACCTTTTTTCCATCCCGAAACTACCGACGCAATCAATTGTGGGCGCGATCGGCGATGTACCTTTTTTTCATTCTGAAACTACCGACGGAGCTGATTGCAATAAAATAATTTTCAATTGTTCGTATTTTGCCCAGACATCGTGATTTTTTAAACGGCGATATCTTGCTTAAAAATAATCTCAAGTGCGAAATACCAAATCAAGTTTGACAAATCTCAATATCGCAAAAATACGACCCCAATTTATTTGTAGTTGGCATTTTATCACATAGTTTATGTTTTTTTGGAATAGTATTCTTTCATTTTAGTAATCCTAATAGTAATCTCGAATCAAACGTGAGTAACGATGAGCACAATTACATTATAACGACGAGACACGTTAAATGCTCCATCGGTCATGGATTGAATATTTTAAGCAACAGAAATCTCGTATTCCGTTTTTTTAATCGCGAAGAATGTTGCGCAGAAATTTCCGATTCCAATTTTGAACCACCTCCCTCTTAAGAATCCTGGCTGCGCTACTGCTTATAAATAATGTCATTTTTTAATTCCGCCTCTTTGCCATATTTCGAGGCTATATTGTTGTCAAATTTTATCAAATCTGTTATTGCTTCTTTGAACAGTTACAAAATTTTGAGTCAGTATTTTGAAGAGTAATCGAATAGCTCGCGGAGCCCCTGGGTTTCTCTCGCGGAGCCCCGGGGCTCCGTACGGAGCACTTTGAGAACCTATGCAATAGGCCACAGTTTTACACACGAACTGTCAACTTGAAAAAGAATTGTGCTATCGATTGGTTTTTTCTACTGAACTAACTGCGTCATATATGCTTTTGTGCGGGTGGATCCGCATGCATATAATGCAAAAATGCTGTAGCAAGAGTGAAAATGAGAATATCGGTCAGAGACCGAAGACTTATCGATCGAAAGTTAGGGGATCCCCCAAAACAGCGCTCCTACTGCATAGTGACACATTGTGTGACATCACTAATTATTTAATAACTCGCTAATTATACGACAGAATTTTTCCAAAACCAATAGGCTTCTGGTACGAGATATGATGAATGCACATGCAAAATCTGGAGCAGATTCAATCATCTCGCTTTCGTGAGATATCGCGTGCATTTAACAGATATACAGACAAATACCTATCAACATACTTACCGATTAAAATCGATAAGTACTAACTATCCTAGGTGATTTAAGAGTCCTGCTACACACTAACACAAATCTATTTCTGTTGGTAGTTGAAAAAAGAAACGGCCATTTAACTTTTAATAAATGAAGGTGAGTCGGCTATCGAGTCGAGTTCCTTCCCATCTGTGACATCATAAGCAACCTCATTGTCGAATTCCAAAACTTACTTCGTACGCAACTCAGCATGAATATACTTGTCTTAAGAAACAATTTGAAGCCCCGTGAATGATTTGGCAAACATTATTAGGATATCAACGTGCTCGGCTAATATTTTTCTTGAAAATGCGACTTTCAAGTATTTTCTACCTAATATATTAGTAACATATTGAGGGTGTTTTAATAGGAGTGTCAAATCCCAACAAGTCGCTGCGTTAGAATCAGATGATAGACGTTGTCAATTAACACTATTATCTCAGAATGGCGTCCGTTGTCCGAATGTTGCCTCGTTTAGGTTATATTTACTCTTTAATTAACCGGAGGAAGCACGCTTCGATACATTTGTAAGCCGTTCTCATGGCTTTGCTACCTCTATATAAATGTCCAGAGCATACCCTATCCAAGTTACGATAAGAAATTTTGGAACTGCGGCATCAAAATCGGACATACGTATCATCCATGAAAAACATACTCAAAAATCAAAATGAACAATTAGAATATTTTCCGTATGAAGGTGGAGCAGACGCCGAGCGTTGGTTGCGGTTTTGGTATGTTAGTCGTTGGATTTACGGTAGCGTATAATATATCCCACGGGATAAGAAAGCCGATAATACTGCTCAATTATATGGAGACCGCGGCACATAAAACGGGTGATGGAAAGGACAACAGTCTGAAGTTAACTTCGACGACTGACCTTGTGTATTCTATCGGCGTGAGTAAAACGTGTTGTAAGCGTGACTTGCAGAAGTACGAAACCAAAGTCCAAAGGTCGTGACGTTGCGTAATCAAGCTTCTCTCGACGCAGGAAATTTGAATTGATTGCGAGGACGGAAAGGCGTGGAGGGGAATTGATTGGCATCAAGTGTGGAAAATCAACCATATGGGAATTCAACAATAGTGTGAAATATTACGGTGCAACCGGCGAATGTTCAGGTCACACTAATCTTCTAATTGGTATTCTTATTCTAATTGGTATTTTTAGATTTATGAATAGTGTAGTGTGAAAGTTGTAGTATTACAGTACCGGTATCATACCCAAATCTAATTCAATTAAACTTCAATTTCAACCAATAATTATTCCTCATTTGTTCGTAGGGAATAGGTTATTAGGTACTGTATCTCTTTTGCTGTATATTGTATTCTATCATTATATTTTAATCCTCAACCATGGGAAAAATTCAAGGTGGAACTGTTGTGGAAGTGCTTGGTGATGAAATGACTAGAATTATCTGGGAATTAATCAAAGAAAAACTCATTTTAAAATATGTTGATCTTGATATTAAATGGTAAATCAATCTTTTATCTTTCTGTTTGTTGCGCTTGACTCAATTTTTAAATTGTACAAATTTCTATGTTTCCATGTTCCTCAGATAACAATGATTCTTTTTTAATGCCATTCCTTTTCATTTGCAAAATTGTGCTTACACTTTTTACTAGCTCATTTATCATTCTTTGGCTTTCTTATCTTTTAATAATATATACTTCTGATTCTATAAAGATAATGTTTTTATAGTAGCTATTTCATATATCAACTGCTTTATATTGTAATGAACACAATAAATTTTAACTTACTCCTAGTTAGAGGCGCAGTTCTTACCACTTCATGGCAGCTCCTGCCACGAACGAACCGCGGCAGCTCTTGCCATGGTTTTATAGCGCTATTCAGTAATCAGTATTAACGGTATATTCACAAATTAATGTACCAGATTTTATTTGATCATGTGGAATTATATCTACTTAAACCCTAACCCTAACCCCAAATCAATCAAAACTGTATCCATAAGAAAAACGTTCCAACTTACCCAATATTTGTCACAATAATAGACAGCCCTGTCTTTACGGCCCACCTGCCGCGGTTACGGCAGCAAAATTTTACCTGCCATTGGTTTTCAATTTGCTGCCGCGGTAACGGCAGCTCGACATTGGTTTGTGGCAGCTAAAAAGTCAGTTGCCATGAGTTTGGCCGTAGCGGCCATGGTATGGAAATACCGCCATGGTTTTGCGGCAGCTGCAGATGCCACAGAATACTTAAAACTGCACTTGCCTAGTTACACCACAGAAAAAGTTTACTTAATCATGTTTTGTTTCTTTTTTTTTTTAAATTTAATCCAGTATTCTCAGTTGTAGATTGGAACATTAATATTATAAAATACTATTTATACCTTATTCTATTTATACTCTTTAGAAAACACTTTGGGGTAAGTCAGATGGGGGTTAGGAATGACATAAGCAAAAATTAATAAGCCACGCCCGCTGGTCGTATCTGTGGTACTCTACTATACCAAACCCACATTTTAAACACATAGTCATTCATTATTTTGCTCTTCAGTTATGATTTGGGAATTGAATACAGAGACAAAACAGATGACAAAGTAACAGTAGATGCTGCTGAAGCCATCAAGAAGTATAATGTTGGAATCAAATGTGCAACTATTACTCCTGATGAGAAGAGGGTTGAAGAATTCAAGTTGAAGAAAATGTGGAGATCACCGAATGGAACAATCAGGTATTGGAACACTCACTTCACATGCATCACTTGCTTGAAAACACATAATTTATTTTAGATTCATATCAATGATAGCCATATTTGGTAGTTTAATATGCTCTGTGAATTATATATATACCAAATGTAATTTGAAACAGTGCAGTGTTGTATTACAAGTAAATGACACTGGTTAACAAGAATTTTACAAGAAATGTTTTAGGTTCTACCATAGTGTCAGATCTACCTCCAACTATCACAAAGTCTTGCGCTGCATTTTTTTTCATCCCTAATGGATATCGCTTTTTCCTTTACATTTAATTTAGTAATGTATGGCATGGATCTGACCCTAACCCTAATGTGATTGACCTCAAACTGCATTTCGGTAGGTGACTTTTTGCGGTAGACCTCGAGCTATGGTTGCACCCTGTTTTATCTATTATTGGACACGTAGTGGACCTATGGATTGATTTATTAATATGTTGTTCTTCATCTTGTTGGTATTTTTTTTTAGTTTCCTTCTTCTTGTGAAAATATCTCTTTTCTCTTCAACTACTGGACCAATTGCTTCAAAATCTTCAGTGGTTGAACATTGTATTTTTCGCTGGAAGGCTATTACTTCATTTTTTTAAAAACTTTCTGTTGGCTTTATGAGATTTGTTTTGTGTGTGCGACGTCGTCAAAAATGGTGCACCTTCTGGTGGTTCCGCGTTTGTGCTATCTGGTGGTCAGCTGAAGGCTGTAGTTCTGGTTGTCTACTCTGAAAGATTGCATAGGCTACCCATAGGCTACTACCTCGTTTTGGCCTTTGTGTCCAAGTATTTGAGCATCGCTCCCTTGATTATTATACAAGCGGATCGTGTAATTTTTTTGTTGGATGGATCAAATACATTGTCTGTTATATCAATATATTTGAATTTTTCATCTTTCTGCAGAAATATCCTTGGTGGAACTGTCTTCCGTGAAGCAATTATTTGCAGCAATATTCCGCGTCTAGTGACAACATGGAAGAAACCAATTATTATTGGCAGACATGCATATGGTGACCAGGTTTGTTATGATTTGAATAAGCAATTTATAATTTATTAAAATTGAAGTGATGGAAAATAAAAATGCCTTTTTATTTCAGTATAAAGCTACAGATTTTGTTGTTCCTGGACCTGGGAAATTGACTATCAAATTCACACCGGAGAATGGTGACAAAGTTCAAGAATATGAAGTCTTCCAATTTGAAGGTAATGGGACAATTGATATTTGTTTGTACAGTTAATTTTATGGGTAATGAAAAGGTTTGGTTGAATTTGGACCAGAATGATTGTTAGTGAGTTTTAAATACTTTGTCATCGGAAAAATACTGTGTCAAACTGGGCCAGTCCGGGTGGTGTGACGTAAGCGTGCAATGCTGGTAATCATCATGTTTAAAACGAGGTGAGTGACCCGTTGAAAGGCTCTGAAAAAAGACATACCGGTAAAAAGCACCAATCATGGAATAATCATGAAAGAAGCTTCATCTCACCATATACCTGGGGTGTCGGTGGCCCTGGCAACCTAACCCACAGCCAGGGATGGCCAATTCGAATAAAGTATTCGAATGTATTCGAATATCTCGTCATTCGAATATCGGAATTAGCGTTCATAAGAATATCGAATATTTGTGTGACGTCACACATTTTCGGCCGACGCCGCTTCCAAGACGTTTCCGTTGAATGAAAACATTCTCGATAGAAACTTGCGCGTGATTGTTTTCATCACTCTTCAGCGTAATGTGTTATTTAGGCCGTAAACGTCTTTACGTTTGCGTTATTTTTTCTAAAACGAAAATTTTCCACAAATTTGTTCCACGATACGACGACAATTATTTTATTTTTGTACGCGCACGGAATTGTGAATCTGGTAAATATGTTCATCGGCGGCGAGTTTCTAAAGACAATTCAACTTTTTGATTGAAAAGCGGCAATTTAAAATACTGAAAATAAAACCGCAAACAATATAAGTTTTATTGAGGCCCGCGAAAATTTATAAAACGTTTTTCTAGGCTGTGAAAATCGCAAAATTTCGTGGGCCTACCGTACATATTATGTTTGGTCGGGCGTTTAGAATCATATCGTCACGAATTGAGGGCGGGATTTGCCTGATTATTCATTGCTTTAAATTGCCGTCGAATATTTTCGTGTTAACATTATACAAGATATGAAACGCGACATTTTCCCGGGTTGTGAGGATGTATATAATATAATTAATCTTAAAGTACATTCAATCAATTTTATTGTGATGAAATAAATTTTACTCTGAGATCTTACAGAAGATTTATGAATTTTTCGAACGGTTTTATCTAAAAATAATCAGAGTGTCAGCATTTCGATTGAGCGGAGTCACTGTTAACAAGTAGGCCTACACCTAAATATTTGCCGAATTTGCAAAATACGGATCTGAACATTATTTAATCGGGCAGTTTACCACACGTTTTTATTCCTATGATCGCGGACTGCAATGGTATATAGGAGTGGTGAGAATTTTATTTTGTCGACGCAACCGCAGGTTAAATTGAAGACAATTAAATTAATAAAGCAAGACATTTTAAATATGCCCGTACCGGTCACGAATTCATCACTTTGCACAACAGAAATATATATATTCGTTGTTATATCATTTGTTGTAAAAGTCGACACTTTTAACAGGTGGCATAATCGCGGCGATGAATATGTATTTTTAATTTACTGCTAAACTTTATATGTATATTCATTGTATGAAACGAATTATACACTACACTTAACAGGATTTTATATCATTATTTGAGATTTTTCTAACAAGATTGCAAAAATACGTATTAAAATTTTCTGTTGGTTAAACTTTACCAGCATCTATAAATAGCTTGACATAATATGAAATATAATGTGGTTTATCTGGTACTTTTAGGTCACAGATCGCTGCGGACCGAATAATAATGTTTTTTTTTTGACGTAAGAAGAAGCAACCGCGAGTTACGTTGGACACCTTAAATTAATATATAAAGATATTTTAGAATCCGTAGTTGTCATGGATTGAATATTTTATGTAACAGGATGATCATTATACGCTGAAAAGACGCCTCTTTTAACGAGCGCGGAATCATGGTGGGTGTTACAGGCGGCAATGGGAATTTCCGATTTTGAAAATCCTGGCTGGGCGGCTGGCAGTGGTGGTCATCTATTCTCTATTAATTTATTTCTAATTTGAACACAACAATATGTTACACATATTAACAATATGGTTCACATAATTAATATACAAATATACTGGTAGGTAGTAGAATACTCTAAGCTTAAATATTAGAATTTTTAAAGGCATAATGGATTTTCGATTGTTGTTGCTTGTTTCAGTTGCCTGTATTGCCAATAAATTTGATTACTCACAGAAAATATACACAATTATCTGAATACAAGTAGTATTTTTGTCAATAGACTTGACTGTTATCGTAATATCATGGTACCAATGATAGAAAGCGTCAGACAACTCCTTGGCATCTTTTCATATGGTCATTTGTACAAAGTGAATAATAAACTGACTGTGTCACAAGTTGCTATTATTTTTTATTGATAGCTATAAACAATCAATTACTTCGAGTACATATACTGTTGGTTTGTGGCTTTATTCTGATATTTCTATTGAAGCTTATTTCCTAATTTACTGGGTTTTAATAAACTAAAACAAAAATGTGTTATTTTCGATTTTAGAATGTATTCGGAATTCCAGATTCGAAAACATTATTTTAGAATGTATTCGGAATAGTTTAGTATTCGGAAATGGCCATCCCTGCCCACAGCCCTGCTGGGACACTTGATAACCTTCCAGGTTCATTATCATTTCAACACTCGATGGCATTATAATATTGTGTGATATATAACTCGTTATATATGAATTTACGTGCTTGATAGTGAAATACAGTTCATTCAATTAGCTTCATTCTAGAATATTTTTTGTTATATCCTCGAATAGAGGTATTTGGGAAATTGGCTCTTTGATATTCAGATAGTTAACTATTAGTTTTACAAACTATATTGAATTATCATTATTTAAAGTTCAATTAATGAACTAATAGCACAAAAGAATGTTGTTCAATAGTGTAATATTGAGCTTAATTAGGGTCTTTTATCTTTCATGATTAATGGTGTTAGTTAATGCATAATTTTCAGTTAATTAATTCTTTTTGTTTACTTTATACACAGGTACTGGTGGAGTTGCTATGGCAATGTACAATACTGATAAATCCATTGGAGATTTTGCTCACTGCTGCTTCAACTATGCACTGGATAAGAAATGGCCTCTATATCTCAGTACCAAGAATACTATTTTGAAAAAATATGACGGGAGATTCAAAGATATTTTTCAGGAAATATATGAAAGGTGTGTTTATCATTTCTATAATTTCCTCTGTTCATCTGGTATGAAAATTTTCTTTAATTCAAGCATATAAATATGAAAGTATCAGGTTTTCATAAATTTGCTGCCTTTGTAACTTTAAAGATATTTGCATCTTACTGTCTCAGACTGATTATGAATTATATATATATTTCCACTGAAGTTTGAATACACATTGAAGGGCTCGTATATTGGAGTGATGTTCCATGTAATAAAACAATTCATGATTTTTATATTTACAGAGATTACAAATCCAAATTTGAAGCTTTGAATGTCTGGTACGAACATCGTCTGATTGATGACATGGTTGCACAAGCCATGAAGTCGGAAGGAGGATTTGTTTGGGCTTGTAAAAATTATGATGGTGATGTACAATCAGATTCTGTGGCACAAGGTAAGTTGTTGTTGTTGGATTTTGTTTTATCTATTTTTTATCGAGAAAGCGATCTCATTACAAACAATTTACCACCTATTAAAGACGCCTTGAAAAAGAATAACTCTTTATTAAAAGAATACCAGTATGTTTTTTTTTCGATAAATTATTACACTTCTGTTGTCTGGTCTATTCAAGTGAATCCTGACTTATCTTTTTAGAAAATCGCAAAAAATAATATTCTTCGCATATTTAAATAGCAAATTTATTACAGTATTTTCAATTTTTTTGTGTATTTGACACTAAAATAATACAACATTAAAAATCGGATGAGTATTTGCAAATGATGCAAAAGTAAATTACAGTAGTACATAAATATATGCAGTGTCTTTGTTAAAATTGAAGCATAGTGAATTCTTTTTCTTATTTATGATTGCTTAACCAGACTCACCCAAATTCCGAGTTCTCATACCCTCTGGGAGCAGGTCTCTAACCCTCTCAGTGGGTTGATGCCTTGTCAGTTTTCTCGTTTTACTGTGATTTGATAATGTGTCCTCACTGCTGTATTATGGTTTTGAAGTCTAAATTGTATTATTTTCATAGGGTATGGTTCCCTTGGAATGATGACTTCTGTATTAATTTGCCCTGATGGTAAAACTGTCGAAGCGGAGGCAGCTCATGGCACTGTGACAAGGCATTACAGACAACACCAACAAGGAAAGGAAACTTCAACAAACCCAATAGGTAAAAGCTCCTACTGTATTGGAGAAACCTATATTCTAGTGTGTGGCATCAGCTTTTGCAAATGCAATCTTAAGAAAGTTATTTTCAGGCACTTCGGAAGTGTGTGTACCAATATGGAGGTAGCTAATTTTGTTTGCTTACTTAACATCAAGTTGTGTGAAGGGACTGAATCCTATGGGCGGGGGTATATTCACTTGGTTAACACAGGCAGTCCCCAAACTCGTAATAGAACTAAAATAATGGAAACAGAATAAAATTATGGCCTAACCCTAATCCGGTACACATACTACGGGAGTACCTATTTTCATAATGAATAAATACAAATTAGTAGTCTGTGAGTGAATTATATAACTTTTCATATGTGTTTTTGCAGGCAGCAATATATTTCTGTATTACCAGCCCTAAATAACAGCAAATTGTTGTTCATCATTATAGTTATAGATTTTCAGAATAACATACTGAACACTTTTGTTTAGCATCCATATTCGCATGGACCCGTGGTCTGTCACATAGAGCAAAACTAGATAAGAATGAAGCTTTGGAAAAATTTGCAAAATCATTGGAAACAACATGTATAGAAACTATCGAGGCTGGATTTATGACCAAGGATTTAGCTGGTTGCATCAATGGAATTTCAAAGTAAGTTAATTATGAAATTGAAGGTTTTGGAAATATTTGTGAATCACACAGCGTGGACCTAACTGGGTAGGTGGGAGGTAGGATATGATTTTGATTCTTCTGTCGGAGAAGGATCATGGAGTTAGACATGTATTCACTGAAGAAGGCGTCTAAACCCAGTCATATTTTCCCAATGGTTGAAGCTGGCATCTTGTTTTTCCACGGAACATAGAGTCAGCATTTCAGACTTGAAAAAAATTTTAAACTTTTCTAACAGTCTATCTATCAGAGTAGGCTTAAACACTGCAAAATTTTATTTACAAAATTCTTTTTCATGTGAGTTTAAAGATGAAGGCTAAATTATAACATGGCATTTTGATGGTTCAAATTTAAAAACCTTGATCAGTCTTTAGTTGACATCTCATATAAATGAATAAGTTTTTGGGGGCTTCGATCATAATTATTATTTTTCTTCTTTTTCGGCCAAACATGTTACTTAAGTAAATTTGAATCGCTAATTGGTAAATTTGATTAAATGGTGTTATTCTGTATCAAACTGTTTTGTGCTCACTCTCAATATGATTTTTATTTTATGCCTACATTGCCTATTTACCACTCAACCACTGGAGCTACTTTTACGGAATAATTTATTGAAATTTCTTTTATATAGCGTTACAAGATCGGACTACTTGAACACCTTTGAATTTATGGACAAGCTTGCTGAAAATTTGGATAAAAAAGTATCAGCATTGTGACTAGGACATCAACTTAAGCTGTGAAGTAGATGCTGTTAAATGCCGCTATGAATTAAATATCTGGTTAATATCTGTTTTTTACGTATTGTGTGCTAAAGATTCAAGTTTTTAGAATGAATTTTTATTTGTTCATTTCAAATATGTTTTGTGGTATGACAATGTGCAAAATGAGCAGTGACTTAAGTTCCGGTCCCAGCTTGGGTCTAAGCTCCATAGCCAATAATGTTTTTATTGTGTAGGTATGGAGGATTAGTAAATTCTAAAAGTGAAAAAATAATTAAATTTCTGGTAGCTCCAACAAAACTTCCCCACTCCTGGTGGTAACGAACCATGCGTATATAACTCTAAGTCTAACCCTTTCTTGCTCAATCGAATTTCATTTAATTCCCATTTGCAGTAGTATTGCATTGATGTATGTGATATAGGCTTTCAAAATAAATGAGATTTTTTGTGATTAATCTAATTAACCCAATCCCGCTGCTGTTCCTATAGATATATTTTCATTTTTTGTCATCCTGCTTGCAGTTTCATAGCCATAATTTAGTTGAATGCATAATACACAATGTATATGATATATTTATGATGTTTCTATGCATGTATAGACTAATTATCTACATATATACGGTGTCTTGATTTTGTAATTCAACATGAACTATGAAGATATATAGATGTTAAAATGTCATTTAAGGTGTTATACCATTGTGATTCCCTACTACATGCTGCTTGTAATCCTAATTTTATATAGATGATTCTTAGAACAAATCAATATAAATGTCGTTGTTCATTTTGACTAATTCATTACCAGTACTTCAATTAAAACTGGTATATGTGTGATTAATATATACTTTTTTGCACAGATAATGATTAGATTCTCATTGCTTATATATTGTCATCAAATATATATTATATATCATATAAGCAGTGGAGGTTTTTCTGACAGTTCAAAATGTGACTTGTGTTGGTGATTGTGGAGTGTTGCAGGTGGATTTGGCATGTAAGTTTGTAAGGCAACAATGCGCTGAGAAACCCCTAATTTATCTTGAAGTTCTTTTAGTCGGGCTTCAAACTGCTTGTACCACGTGCACGGCTCGTACATCAGACGCGCGAAAATATTAGATAGATAATTTGTTAGTTTGTGCAACTAACTGATTAAATATCGGCCTGTGCTACCGAGCTGGACACGAATCACTTCGGGGATGAATGTGCAACATTCATCTTGACGGATTCGTCTACATCAGTGGTTCTCGGGAGTTTTTGAAGCCGCGCTCCCATTCTAGAATTTGTCAAGTCTCGCGCCCCACTTCAAAAACAACTAGCTAACGATAAGCTGCAAATAACAGATAGTAAGGCGAAAGTATGTTGCTTTATCCAAAAAATACGTAAATGCAAAATGAATGAAAAGTTTTAAAATGCAAGTCTAAAATAAAGCGGACAAGACTAATTCTTTTTTTTTTTTTTTTTTCATTGGATTTTAATAAAATAAAAAATATTGTAATAAACAATATTAAACGATATCAACAAATGCACAAAGGTAATTTATCATAATAAACAAAATCAATAAGTAATTGTCTAATAATGTATATCCTTTTCGTTTTTTTAAACAATTTAAACGTTTTTTTTTTAAACAATTTAAACATTTTTTTTTTAATTCGCTTAATTAATTAATTCGCTTCACGCCCTCTCGAAAAATTGTCTGCGCGCCTCACCGTTTGTCCAGAGCCATTATACAATGGCACTGGTTTGACAACCACTGGTCTATACGAATCGCCTTGTTATCCGGCGAGATATCCATTTGCATTATTGTTATAAACAGCCCGAAAGTTTATTATATTTGCGTATTTTTTCCAAGCCTCGTTTAACCGAAAATATATACTAATACGGTTTAACTAGGTTAGAGATTTATATTTCTCGTTTTTTTTAATTCTTTAGGGGTTGTGCTCGCTTTCCAGAATTCGCCATGTTTAATTTGCGTGTATCATCTAATTATGACCTATGTGATTCGACAACCGTCATATTTTCGTTTCCCGAGGTATGTATGCAATTATGAATACCAGTAACACCAAGGTAATCTTGAGTCAAGTCGTAAATGATAATTGCAACAAATGACCTTGCAAATGGAATATATGTCGAATGTAACAACTACACATGGGTTTATAAATGGTTCATGTTTCAAATTAACAATACTGAATATCAGTGGCGGCGCGTGGTCATTTTGACAACCGGGGCAAGCTACTGCGGGACCAAGTCACCCCCATCTACGGGGACAGGATGAGCGCTGTAGTTCTCCCATCATTTTATGAGTATAAAAACCATTCCATCGGTAACAACCAATCAGCAAAAGCGACAATTTTTAACGATAAGAAAGTGTCTTTAAAACCGTTCCAAGTCAAGGGATTAATAAATATAGACATAGTTTATTTTGAAACCCCTTTCAAAAGGAAAGGCAATATTTACCCAGATAAATACATTGACATATTAACAGAAACTTCGGGAAAGCAGACAAAACCTAAAATAAGGTTTAAAACGTTACTATGAAAAAAAGGAAAGGTAATGCAAAGATAAGGACATGCGTCGCTCACTCATAGATATATATGCTGTAGACTTCTACTGCTTGAACATATATGCAACACGCCGCGGTTTCTTGGAAGCAAAATGCTCAATAACGCGCTGATTAAAGTCATGCATTCCAGAAATAACGTCTCTGTGAATGGATAAAACAGCAAAGGAATTTAATCTATCTTGCTCCATTGTGTTTCTGAGATACGTTTTAATACGCTTCAGTGTGATGAATGTTCGCTCTGCGTGGGCGGAAGAAATAGGCGTCGTCAAAATGATGTCCAGAAATTTTGCAGACGCCGCGAAGGTAGTTACTAGAGTGTTATCTATGAGGAACCCATAGAGCGCGCAAGTTGATGTGATGTTCAAAAAAGTTTGATTGGTGTATATACATTGCAATTCATTTTCCAATTTACCCACGTTTATCATGGGGTAAAATTTGGAGACAGTAGCCAACAAATGGATGGGAAATTGACGTGCAAATTTTGAAAAATTTTTGGGGTTCATCAAAGAGAACGCGGCAAGGTGTTCAGTGCGCAGACGATCGCCTATTTGATTCACCAGAATGTCACAGCATTCCTTTGCAGACAAAATCAAACGCTGCGTTGTTTGCCCGCGGCGTAAAGAAGCATTCCATGTGTCGTCGTATTTTATTGTTTCCCGGATACGAGATACAGCATCGCAGAAGTCCGAAATACACGACTGCACAGACGCTCCATCCATTAGCCTTGACTGCAATGCGCCGTATAATACATCCACGTGATAGAATATTGTGGACAAAAAAGTGAGAAGAAATGAAAACTCGCCATCTTCTAGCAGACGCTTTAGATCTGCCGCCTCCCTCACAGGGCGTTCGTCCCAATCCGGAGAGCTCTGAATGCCATTGAAACACTCAATGAGCTCAGACCTAATTTCGGACACGCCCTGCACCACGCGTGATTGGAAGTTCCAACGTGTTGGTGCACAAGCTGGGAGACGGCGGCTACATATCTGGCGAAGGAGGTCAGAGCGCTTCGGCAAAACGGAAAAAAATGAAGAAAATCCCGAAACATTTGCAAAAAATATACGGACGAGAGGGGTATCAAGACACATATTTTTAATAACGAGGTTAAATTGGTGTGCATAACAATGTAAAAAATGCGCATGAGTAAAATCTCTTGAACACCATGTTTCGACCCACTCATGACTGCCGCGCCGTCATAGGTTTGAGCTATCAATTTTGACTTCGCGTTGTAAGGCTGTAACACCTTTTTCAGTACAGCCGATATCCCGTAAGCCTTGCGATCAACGATTGGTACAAAGCTGTGAAATCTCTCGGTAGGTTTACCATCTTTCACAAACCGAAAAATCACAGCCAGTTGGGAAACGCACGTGATGTCAGTTGTCTCGTCAGACTGAATCGAAAGGAACTGGCAATTCTCAATTTCCAGAGCCAAATGCTGTAAATAAATTTTATACATTGAGTCGAGCAAATCATTTTGGATATCCTTAGATGTCCCTTTCGAAACAGTTGCGGCATCAAGATGATCTCTCAATACTGTATCTAGGGATGCGGTGTATTCCACCATATCCAAAAATACCCCTCTATTAGAAGAGCCAGCCCGTTCATCGTGCCCACGGAGGGACAGCTCGTGACAACCAATGAACTTCAAAACATCTATCAATCGACCGAGAACATGGCGGTTTTTCTCGACGTTTTGGTTGTGCCGACGAATAGAAACCGCGCGTCCTTCATCCAACTGTGCTGCAATATTAACATTTCCGAATGTTCGGTATTTTACTGCATTGTCCAGATGCTCCATAGAAGATTGATGATCCCTGGCACGCTCGGAAAGATGTTTAAGCTCTCTAAAACTAAATTTACACCAACGTGAGTCACGGGCGGTAGCAGAAAGTAGGCAATAAAAACAGAAAAGTGCATTTTTGTCCTCGCTGTAACACAACCATTCGTGTTTTTTATACCAAGTTCCTGCGCAGAATGTACGCCGACGCTTTCCTCCGTCATGGGATTGTTCCAGTGAACAATTTTTTGGTTGATAAAGCCCAAGGCGTTGTACCTCTAATTTTTGTTCCAGCGACAGCTGCGAAAACGGAGTGCGAAGTAGTGCATCAACCTTATTCATTATGAGGTCTAAGGCTAAGAAATGCGAAGCCGGAAAGAAGTGAGGAGCTCAAAAGGAATGTGGAAAATCGAAATCAAATGGACTAAAGGTCTCTAACTGATTCAAATAGCGAAACAAGCGACAAAAACGAAGGCGAGGAAACTATCAACTCTTCAAGCAACCAACGAACGAGAAGGAATGCGTGAATATGTCAACACGTTGTTGTAAGAAACGTCGGCATTGTGTCGTCATAATTTCGGGGCTAGCCCCGATCGGCCCCGATGATTTAGTAAAAGAAACAGTAAACAAACGAGACAAACGCGGCGAGTGGAAGATAAAAGAGAGAATACGATATACAATGAGCAACCGGGGCAATATCGGCGTCGCCCCGTCGACGTTCGGCGAAGGCTTTGCGAGCGAAAAATGAACCATGTCGGGAGAATATGGCTAGTGTAGACCAGTGATTCCCAAAGTGGGCGAAAAAGTCTTAGGGGGCGATAGTGGGGCGATTTTGCGAAACCTGTTTTATGTTCGGCGCACTTAATTCTGTACTCGCGATTATCACACGCGAAAGGATTTCTGGTCTCGTCTTCGCAGTAAGGCAAGGTAGTTTGCGTATCCCAGTGGTCGGCAAAATACGGCCGGAATAAAATAATCTGGCCCGGGACGATTCACTGAATGGACCTTTCTCTGACCTTTGATCGCGGAAAATTCTTCCCATACTTTACCATTTTAAAATTTTCGGTGCTTATTTCAAGAGTGGTTTCGCGAGTTGTTGCCTGTGAAATGGGGTATTTGTTTCTAACTATCATTCTAATACCAACCATTTAACAATCTGTTTTTTAAAAGTACCGATAAAGAATTTTAGCCTAGTCTATCACAGCTATTTCTACACTAATTTTTGATTGCTGTATTTAAACTGAAACTCATAGAAAGACAAAGTATTCATTGACCTATTTGATTTATATTCAAATTTCCGAAAAACAACTAAAAACTAACGAATATAATTCAAAAACGCGAAAATGAGGTAATGTTCATGACCACGCCTGAAAATCTGTCTGAGTGAGAGTGTCTGAGCGGATGCGAAAGGGGGCATTGTTACGTTTTTTGCATCTTGCTGATTGGCCAATGTCACGAAGTAAACAAGGAAGTCTATGCCCGGGGAAATATCCAAACGGCGGTTTTGGCGACGAATTTTTTTTTATTTATAATCTACGCTCGAGGAGTAAATTACATTTTTTTACGTAACAGAATTTATCGCGTGACACGTTTATACTGAATTATACTATATCCTAACAATTTAGTGAACAGCCACTCGTTTAACGAGCCTACAATTTAATTATAATTAGACAAATGGAAACACGCAGAAAAGTTGATGCTGAGTGCAGGGGTTCAATAGCGCAGTAAATATTCGAATATATTGCAAAGCAATAAGGAAATAAAATTCATATTCTATTCGAGAGATTGATCACTACATAATTTTTGTAACATTACAAAGAACAAGCAAAGAAGTGGGTTTAGTGATGCCCATTTAGAAAATGTTTCAATCTTGGCGTCGTAAATCTATCCAGCGTGATGCAGCAACAAGACAGTGTCACATTAAATGTCATTGTAATATTTTTTTAATAAGACGACTGAGTTGAGTTCACGAATTGTCGCAGTTTTTGCGCGCTGTTCCGTTTTTAACTTTCGAAAAATATATGCGACCCGCAAAATACTAGCAACCCTGAATTTGTCCTGCGAGCGACATAAAATTTGCCGACCCCTGGGCCGTAGCCGATAGTCAGTCACGTCTTCTTCCACATCCGAGTCTATGAATCCAAAAACAAATGGCTGGTTAGTTATGGACTGGTGATCGGACTGGAGGCCGTGATAGGATGAGGAATCGGGGATGAATTTTTCCGAAGTTTTTTGGTGCAGGTCATAGGGCTGTACGAATGAATGAGATGTACGAAAATCATTATTATAAGTTTGGGAAAATTAACTTTGGTTTTATTATTTTAATGTGAAATGGGGTGGATTTAGGAAGTGAAATGCTATAAGGCAAGAGTACACGGCGGTTTTTGAGGAGGTAGAACCCTGGATTCTTTCATTTCCGACCTATTATATGGTAAAAAGGGGGGTTTTCAGCCGTGCTACTATTGCTATTAAAACAACGAAATCACCTTTCCATCAGTAAACGGGGTAATTTTAGATATAATAAAAAAAAACTCGCTGAAGAACACCAAGCTCATCCACCTCAATAAAAAACACTATAAACTATGAGTTGTCTTCTTATTTGGTCTGTAATATATTCGTTTCTGACTTTATATTTTTTTGTAGTACAGGGGGGCGATGAATTTGTATAAACTACTTTAGGGGGGCGATGGTCAAAAAAGTTTGGGAAGCACTGGTGTAGACAGTCTGTGCAACCGATATTGAGGTATTTTTCGAATATTTTTTATTATACCGAAAAAACAACCGGGGCATTGCCCCGGTTGGCCCTATTGACGCGCCGCCACTGCTGAATATATAAAATTGTTTATGATTAACTTTATTTACTCAAATAGAAATAAAAAAGGGTTTTGAGAAGTCAGCGTTCGCTGACTTCGCTCGTTGCGTACGAGCCGGACAGGAGAAATTCAGAAATCCGGTTGGTTGACCGCAAATTATCTCGATTGAGGATTGAGCGCGACTGTGTCCAAAGCTTGTATATTAGTTGTGTCTGCATTGACTCTTCTCGTTATGTCAATCGTGCCAAGTGAAGCTTCGGTGAAGGAGGATTTGCCTGATATAAATGCCAATATCCAGCCTGTTGAAAGTTCGAAAAAAAAGGAAGACAAACGTCACCTTCCCGAAAATAAACAGGACAACGAGGATGGTAATTTATCGCAACGTGCTGAGATGGAAGTTACGAAATGGAACGAGCCACAAAAACTCAGAACAGGCTCATCTGGCGCTGAAAATATCACGTCGGACAATTTATGTATAAATCGTCACGGAAGCGTTAAAATATCAACGCATTTAGACTTGGACACTTCTACACACCTGACAAATCTGGTTCATGATAAATACCAAGACAACATGAAAAAAACTGAGTCTGGAGTTACAGAAGAATTGAAGAAAAATATTTGTAAGGTGAAGGAACTTGGAGATAGTTCGGAAATTTTTGATAATGTTGCAAATAACAATGCCCAGAAACCTGTAGAAGATATCAATATTGAAAATGAACATGAAGGTATTCCACAAAGACAATCAAATGTAGATGATATTGAACTTGTAGATGTTACCAATGCCACTTTATTTAGTGAACGTATTTGTGACAAGGCAGAGAATGGTAATGAAAGCTGTGAATTGCTTAGTAAAAGTGATGAAAAAGAGACCCAAGATGAAGAAAAAAATTCGATACTCGAACAGAAGTTGAGAGAAAATATGAATGATAATTTAGCAAGGGATTGTATATTGGAACCTCTGTCATTTCCGGAAAAAGCATCCTTGCTTAATCAAATTACATCAGGTGAGGAAAAATTTCATCTTGTTTTCGAGACAGACTGTAGTCCCGAGGATACTCCTTGCGTACTATGTGCAAATGTTTATAAGGACATTGATGAAAAGTCACAATATGATGAATATTTATGCCATCTTGTGGTGGAACATAAATTGGTTATTGCAGATGTAAAACTTATTGCAAATTTAAGAGAATACGCAATATATTGGAAAAAGCGCTTCACTGAAAAACCGATTGAAGAATTTTGTGCGTCTATTAATACAAATATGAGCCCTAAAGATGTTGGTGAGAGTGAAAAATATTATTTATTATGTGATGCTTTACCTGAAGATAGAAAAGTTCGCGAAGCACTACAACTCAAAAGATTAAAAGATCTCATTGAAGTACAAACAAAAGAACGTGAAAATGAAGAATTTGAAAGAATGTGCTTATTTTGTACAAAATTTGTTATTGGAAATCGTAATGAGCTATTCAACCATATGAATGAAGATCACAATTTCAATGTTGGACATCCTCACAATTTGATATATGTTGAAGATTTTCTCGATGAGATTGAGAAAAAGTTGAGTAGTCTTGAGTGTCTCTTTTGTGACAAAGTATTCAAGGATCGTGCCTCATTACGAGAACATATGAGAAAAAAGTCTCACCGTCGACTGAATCCAAAGAATAAACTTTACGATAAATACTACATTATAAACTATCTTGAACTTGGTAAAAATTGGGAAGTTTTGCAAAGTGAGCCAGATCAGTTGGAAGGGAATGATGATTGGACTGGTTGGGAAGATGAAGGACAAACCGCAGTTTGTTTTTTCTGCACATCTTCATTCAATACACAGGATCGTGTTTTCGAGCATATGAAAAGAGTTCATGGATTCGATTTTCCTGAAATGCGCATGACAATGAACCTGAGCTTCTATCAACAAGTTAAGATGGTTAATTACATAAGACGTACAGTCCATCAGTTACGACAAAGAGAGAAACAAGAAAAGATTGACAACGTCGAGAATGATTCGGATAGTTCTCTTACATTAATTGATGCAATCACTAAAAGTGTAAAGGACTGTATATTGTCATCAACCAAATGGAATCAGCCTCAGTATTATTTTCCAACATATGAAAATGATACTTTACTATGTCAGCTTGAAGATAAAGAAGGCCTGTATGAACCTGAAGATAATTTCATTATTGGAGAAGATGGGATTGACTGTAAAGCAATAATTAACGAGAGCGTTCTTACTGATTTGGTTGTGAGGGGTTATTTTGACTGACATTTTTTTTTTCACGTTTTTGATCATGAATTTTCGTGTTTTCAAATGTTTATTTTTTTCTTTTGTATATGCATTTTTTGGTTTTTACTACTTTATTGCATATTTTTTGGGGGGATTGTTTAAAAATTTCCATTGGTGCTATTTTTGACTGACATACTTTGGTTTTTTACGGACTCTTACATGCGTTTTGGACTCGTCGATGTTTGAACTGCTTATTGTAAATTCGTAATTTGTATATTTTCTGTAAATTTGCCAAGTCACTGTCTTGTAAAATTGCCAAAATGTAGAACAAATACATTCATCATCACATTCTAGGTATAATTGAACTGAAGGTATGATACAGTATTTACTGAATACAACGCTCACCTGTAACTTTCATCATCACTTTTTTTGGGAGAAAATTTGACCTTGCTTAGAGCAAATTTCTTTAAAAAAAAGTTACATTCACTCATCTTTACAATGCACCTTTGTTTTAACGATCTGGTGTCATTTCCTTTCAGATTTGTAGATAGCTTATATTATCTGTCTTTATGAAATGAATGCTCCACCAGCATTTGAAGCTTTTTTACTTTTTGATGGAGAAAAGAAAATCCAAATAACCAAGGACACGAAAGTGCCAAACGCTGCACATTTTACAATTAATAAAGAAGATCACACACTGGGAAATCTGCTCAGGATGCAATTGTTAAAAGATCCGAAAGTACTCTTCGCTGGATATAAAATACCTCATCCTCTCGAATCGAAATTCATTTTGCGAGTGCAAACAACAGCAGACTACACACCACAAGAAGCATTCACTAATGCTATTACAGATCTTATTAGTGAAATTTCATTACTTGAGGAACGATTCAAGGTTGCAGTGAGAGAAAAACAAGAGGGTATTGAATAAGTTGATTGTAGCAATGTACAACCTCTTGCAACGGCTTCTTTAAGTACCCTTATATGCAAGTTATTTTGCATTTCCTGCTGACAGCAGGTACTGCTGCACCTGACTGTGATATTGGGTTAGAGCTAATCTGGAATTTTTACCCATCCAAATTAAAGATTGACATTGATTGGAATTATGAAAGACTTATGTTGATATGACTGTATGTTTTAAGTGCCAACTATCCAAAACACTCTCAAAATAGGCATCAAAAATTTTGCTATAGTAAAGAGTGGGGAAAATTTCTCAGGGGTCAAAGGTCGGGAAACATCCAACAATTTACTCATCTCGACTAAGCACGTATGGGTTTGTGTATACTGATATATGACTTGCTTGTTAAATCCTGTCTTCCAAGCAATAATAGTCTTTCGTTGAATATTGATCGTCACTACGCACTAGGCTTCATCACCTACCAAATAAGTTTACTATATCAATTTGGAATATATTGCTTTTAATAAAGACATGGAATACACTTGATTGTATGAATGAAAAATCAATAGTTAGTAAAGTGAAAATTACAATAACTAGGTTCTACAGTGGAATCTAAAATGTCATGAGTACAAAATGCTTGTTGTGGTAGTATAGAGAAATGTCATGCAATAACAATAAAGAAAGAGCAAATAGAAAACATTGTGAAGGCCTGTCTGTTCCCAGGGATGCCAAGAATGTTTTGAATTGGGAAGATATTTATTACAAGGCAAATGGTTAAAATATGACGTGGGGTTTATGATATGTTCTGGGTTAGGATAATATTTTTAAAAGTTTAGAGCAGTGGCCTGCAAACTGCTACACCTGCAAACAAATTTTTTTGTAGCTCTCTAACAACTTCACTTGTAATTCATAAAAAAGTTGCTCACAAATTTATTATTTGCTCATGGATATATGTCGTAACACGGAGTTTGTTTTGTAGTAATTATCCAAAAGCACCTACTGTTTAGTTGAAATTAATACAGAAATAGAAGTCGCAGGTGTTTGCTGGTGATTGTGTATTGGCGGAAATTTGTGTGGCCTGGGCGCTACTGGAAATGTGTATATTTGGCCCAGTAGAACATAAAGTTTGCCGACCATTAGTTTAAGAGCATTCACGCAGCTTGTGTTATATTTTGTCAAAATTAATGCAGTTTGTAACATGACAAATTCAATGTAATTAACTATAAATGTGCAAGTATTTTGGCTAGGAGGTGATGGATGAATAATATAAACTTCGTAAAGTGTTGATTGGCATAATGGCTTCTTTTTAATCATAAAAATTCGGTATATATATATATATATATATATGCTATAAAATATATTTGTTTTATATTATATATAAATAACACATGGAATCATATATAAAAGTGCTCATATGATGTTGAACAAAAATTAAGATAACACTAATATTATAAACAATAATATATATTAATTATTTTCAGCATGGTCTGCGGCCGCAGTGGGCCGGCACTCACAAAAGCACCGCGCAAAATCTGGGTGTATCATAAATTATAATCCTGTTTTGGTCAGAGTGTTTAATTAATCTGTACACACAAGACTCGAAAAGTTTTTCAATCAGGATTTTGTACTTATCGGTTACCGTACAACGCTCATTAAAAAAAATGAATATTTTATAAACTTAAAACTGTGGTTTTTGATAAAACAATAGTCAATTACTAGTTTTGAGTGTGGACAATAAAGCACTACCTGATCCATACATTAGGTGTATCAACTTGTAGGACTCAGACTCACAATGAATTTTTGAGAGAAATAAGGATTTAAACTGCACCTCATGGTCCACAAAATCTTAATTTTCAGTTAATAATTATTCTTTTCCGTATGTAGGCTTGGCCACATGCAATCCGCTTCACATAAGGCCTTGTATGGACAATATAGGTCTACTTATTTTGTGTAGATGCAAATACATAACAACAAATGAAAAAGTACAGATTAACAGTTAATTTTAAACATCAATCTTTGGTACTCCCGTGAGAACATCATTCAATGATTCATCTCTTCTCTCACGGTCTTCTTTCAATCTCTGTAATCTTGCTGATAATGAAAGCCTTTTCTCAGTATCTGAAAGCATAGTCAAGAAACTACAGTTTTAGTAGGGCATGGGTGCCCAGGAAACAAGTCCTATTTTTTCAGTATTTACAAAAATTTGCTATGGTTGAAAAAAAAGCAGATGAATATTCAAGCGAATGTGATATCATCATTTCATCAATATGTTTATATTTTCTTACTATTGCAAAAAATAAAAATTGTGGTATCATTATGACAATAAAGATCAAACTCAGCCAGCCTTCCCACTTTATGAGGCTCAGCTCCAATTTATTGCTGCTGCCTTTGAAAAAACCATTATATGGATGAAGTCCTGAACATACTTACGTACATTAATCAATTACATATAGGTATGGATTTGCCGTTTAATACCTGATCTTTCAGTCAAACGTTCTTGATTGTCCTTCTTTTGCATGCAAAGCTTTAGGTACGATAATATCAGGAAGAATAGATGATGAAGATATACAAAATGAAACATTGAATGTCCATGGTGGAAGACAATTGGAATGATAGGGCTGAAATATACAAATGCAATTTTTATCATGTTGACTCTCCTGTGCTTCAATAAGTTCACATCCCACTGTTAGAATAGGATTTTCATATTTATCCCAGTGTAACCAAGGAGACAGTTTACCTACTAGTCAATGCCGGAATGGGAGTAGTTTATCAGTTGATTTGACACCTCCAAACCTGTCCGTACTTTACAGTAAGTTTTATCATCTTTGTTTTACATATTTGATAAAAAAAATGAATTGTCAGGTAAGAGTAAACAAAACCAATTGAAAAAATCAATAATGGGCTAACACATATGAATAATTTGAGGTAACTTTAAAGTCTCGTGTGTAGTCCATATATTTCACAGTACATGAATACAGTAACTATCTAAAATCTCGGTCATTTCCAAAGAGGTTAGGAGACACTTTTTTAAAACGGATCTTCTTACCTTACTATTCGTAAATGCTCGAGAATCTCTTCAATAACATTGCTTGTTACAAGTAGATTTTCACTCCAGGTCTCAATCTGAATGAAGTACATAGTAAATTACTGTAATTTCGAAAAAATAGAACTTTATTAAATTGGGAGAATGGGCAGAACATTTTACAGCAACTCAAGGTTCAAAGGAAAGCTTACTATGAGGCCTACTAATGGAAATCTGGGACAGTGTGAATTGGGCAAACCTTGTTGGATACTGAGGCTTAGTAATATTTAAGTCATTTCAAAACATGTACTTTAGTTTCGGTAATACATCTAACGTTTGACGTATTAATTATATAATAACAATGTAATAGTCATCTCTAGTGAAGTGAGTCGCAATCCAAGTGGTAAGTAGGCCGCAGTTAAAAAAAATTTGCATTCATATTATATAAAAATTCATGACTGCATGACTCGGACATACATCTAAGTCAAGTGGACGGGACAGTTTTTCTGAACCGAGACGTATGCTGAGCCTATTCAAAGAGCATATCATATAACAGACAACACTCGAGAGTTGTGGTCAGAAAGGCCGTTGATGCTATCAGAGTAAAGAGTCAAATTCATAACTCAAAGTTGAAACTTTACACAATTCCCTTTTTAAATTGAATAGCTGCCAGTTAGGTACCGTATGAGTAGAAGTCATATCATTTAGATGATTCGAGTCTTTGATAAATGTCGAGTCGGTGACTTGAACCTATTCAAAACTGCTGGGTATAGCTATCAAATGTATTAGAAAGACATGGGATAACAAGAATATAATAAACTTTTAAAAAAAACTTTGTTTCAGTGAAACTTCCGATTTTGTTGACCAAAATTCATACCAGAGCATCACGGCTTCTTGATGTTAAATTCAAAACATCTTTGCTATTTTCTAATTGTTCGAGTAGTTGTTGTTTGTAATTGTTTATTTCCGCAGGTTCTGGTCCATTTGAATGTAACAACATTTCATACAAAAGTACATGCTGCATTTTCACATTAAAACTTTCCAGAATAAGTTTTGATGTTCTCATAACACTACAATGAAGACTGTGAACCTAAAACAGAAAATTGATATATATTGAGTTTTGAGTGGCTCGAATAATTTGCAAAAATGTTATTTTGTAATATTTTTTTTTGTCTCAAACAAAGTCAGACAAAGCAGTTCACAACAATGACCAACAGAATAAAAAGTGTGAGGCAATATATTTGAAATACTCAATATTGCCAGTTTAATTTTTGCACTGCTTGCAAGGGCACTCCTAATAACACTTAATGAAGAAATATGTTTCATCATATACCGGGATGCCAGTGTGCTCGTCACCTCTACTCACAGGCATGCTTGATAACCTTCTAGGTTCCTCATCGGTACGACACTCGATAGCTTTATAATAATGTGTAATATGTAACTCGTTATATATATAAATATAATGCTAGATAGTACAACAAACACAGTTCATTTCATTTCACCAACTAAAATATATATTGACTCAACCAGATTGAACAATTATTTGAAATGAAAACCATTGGTGTATTTTTGTTCATATAAACAATTTCATCTGCTCAAAAATTCTAAGTGTATTTCTTGCCTCTCTTCTCAATTTTACTCTTGCCTTGTGTCAGTTATATCAACACCTCGAAAAAACTACTTCAGTCAAACAGAAATTCTTATGCATTGAGTGCATATTCCCTGGCCAGTATTCCGATTACTATCAATACACTACCATAAAACACAAAAATTCCTGTAGTAATTATGTTCAGGCCTGACTATATGTTTGTATACATTACTGTTTCATACCTTTGAAGACCAAGCAAGGCATAGAAGTTGTAGAATTGATTTATCCAAATCATTTTCAACAGTAGGTGAAAGGTCATTGACGAACTTCAAAATTTCCTGAAAATAGTTCTTGATTACATATTGAAATAAAAATTATTAAACTGATTTATGAAATATAATAAAACAATGTGTATGCTAACCATAATAATATTTCTAAGGCATTTATGAATGTATAGTTAGTCTGGGGGTCAAAATTTTGAATTCCCCGGAGTTGAGAGTTTGAGTCGGAAATTTCTGCTTCCAATGGTGATAGGGTGCTCCCGAAGTATGCGAACCAAGATGGCGGACATCAGAACGTAACATGGGTGACAGGTTAGGGTTAGGCGATAATTTTTTTTCCAATTTTCCTTATTTTAGTCCTATTATCAGTTCGAAGACTAGCCAAGAGCCTCCCGTAGTATTTATACCTAAAATTATGGCTCTACTCTAAAATTATAACTCTAACCTAGTACACATATTACATTCCGATGTCCGCCATCTTGGTTCGCATACTTCGGGAGCCCCCGTGATAGAAATCAAAATATGCTATAGAAACTTGAAGAGCAATTATGTTTATAAGATTTATTAACAGTCCATTAGAAAAGCTAAGGGTATGCCAAAGATTTAATTTTCTTGGAGTTCGGAGCTGTTGTCAGTGTCAAAATTTTTCCTAACACAAGGCTGGGAGTAGGAGCCAATTGTACGTTTTCCCCAACTCCACAGGTATATAACGAATTAGGTCCTACCTCCTTCGTTTGAGAAGCAGTAGACCAATCAAAATCCATGATTTCACACAGAGCTGAAATTTCTTCCGATTTTGTTGTTTCTTCTTCGTTTTCTTCGTTTGTCATGAAAGTTGAAATTGCATCAATTAACTGTAACAATTCCTTTACATTTTGCTCATGAACATTGAAATCACCGATTGATGATTTGTCTTCTTTTGAACGAATATTTTCTTTAAACGAAGCCAACTTGGCGATGAAGTTAGCAACCGAACCAGGATAGGAGATTATACATTTCGCTAAACTATGAACGTCGTTGATATCCGCGTCAAGCGAAAGGGCTAGATATCTTCGTACAGGAACAATGTAGAGGGGTAGAATTCTGGTACACCCGATAGAAATAATATACAATGCTTTTGACCATTGAAGGCCGAGAATTGACAAAGACTCGAGGTCTAATTCACTTGAATTTGATGATCGCAAATCATCAGCTTCTTTCAAAATCAGATCACCAAGTGTTCCTACACGAACTGATGCTTTCTGAACATAAAAAGAAAAACAGTTTTTGACGTAATATTACTAAAAATGATAAATGTATTATTACGGCCACATTTCTTTAAATCATTGGTGTCATGAGTGACTCATGACACAGTATAGTGTCATTTCTCAGATGTGGCACATTGTTAGAATTAACCAGAAAGCAATTGTTCAGTACGATTATAAAGCTTTAATTATCTTAAGTTTAAATAAATATTTTCTGCTACTCATTATTCAACAAACTTTTTGATATTCAATTTTGAAAGCTTCAGTTTAAGAGATTTTATTGTCTGGTGACAAATTCTATTCACGGATCAGTTTAGTAGACATCAAAATGATATGCAATTTAGAAGTCCTGCTACACACTTACACAAATGTATTTCTGTATATAAGTCTGTATATTTGTATGATTTTGTGTTAGTCTGCAGCAGAACTATTGTCATGTTTATTCCTGCGACAGCATTCTTTCATTACCTATGCGTGTACGGATCCACTTGAGCAAAGGCATTGAGAAATACTGGGAGTTAGTCATGTGTAACATCTACTGATAGTTACAAAAAATAATGCCGCCATTTACATCTTGATGGCTGTTTCAATATGGATTTATTCTCTGAATGAATTTGAGAACAAAAAATAGCTCGGCTATCAAATTAGTTCGTGGACTAAATGGTTCGAAGAAACTTCGTTTTGTAACAATTGCGACACGCTTTTTTTTTTCAAAGTTTCTAGTGCAGCTGAATAAGTTTAAGATTGACTGATCATTAGTGGAGAAAAAGTGACAAACCTGTACAGAGTGATTATTCTCATCCTTTGGTCTTGCAATTTGAGATTCAAGAAGTGTATCCCGAGCAATATCAATGCACATTTCTGATGCTTTGCTAACCTAATAACAAATATGATTACTCTAAAATTTCCCTCTTCCCAGGGAATATGTGCACCAAGATGGCGCACAACCTGAACATATTATGTGTACCAGGTTAGGATTATCAGGTTGTGTGCCATCTTGGTGCACATACTTTGGGAAAACCTAGGAAAATATATTTTAACTTGCTCACCAAAATTTTAAGGTACGTGAAAAGGTAATAACACATGAAATCTAGAAATCACGATATCTGGTTTGAAATATCAGTAACAGACTCACAGTTGGACAAACATATGCCTAATATCAATATTTCTAATATATGATATACCAGACAATATGAAACAAAAGTAATTCAAAATAAAAAGTACGAACCAATTCTTTAGCTTTTTCCAATTCTATATTTCTTGATGACTTTCTATTGAACGCTTTCTTCAAGCATGACATGAGATTTTCAATAACTGGATGAATTTTTCCAGGCAGAGATTCAAGATCTATCATATCTTCATGACTTGGTGATTCAGAAATTCTAAATGTAAACAAATTGTATTCTAAATTTTTTTTATCCCTAACAGCTGGTTTAGAAAGAGATTATCAGTTATGGGGAGCAAGAACCTTGCCACCATCCCCCCCCCCCAAAAAAAAGTGTTCGATATATAGTTTTTAAATGCATGAAATGTTTGGAGCAAAAAACACAAGTATTACGTCAATATACAAAAAACATTTGTTTAATCTAGAATTTCACAATGATCCTAGAAAACAGAGGAAGCCTTGTAACGGACTTGTATGTTTAACTTTTATTTCTCTCGTATTTTGTATGTGATTTTTTAATTGGTTGAAAAAATCAACTTGACTATGACTATTTAAACAACAAAATAGCATTTTTTTTATATTCACACAACATGGGGAGCAAAACACTATAGAACGTACATGGATGCATCGTCAGTTGTTGATGAAATCATTTTTTCCTGATGCTGGGCTTGTTGATCATCTTTATAATAATATCTTGGCCATCCTGGTTCGCTACTAGTTGGCACAGGGTACGAAACATCCAGCTCTTCATCTGTTATGGGTTCAAATCCCAGGGAAGTTAACTTCTCATTCAATGCCATCATTTCTTTTAATACAGCTATAAAGAAGCAAATTAGATTCAAAATGATGGGGTATATTATGGGGCGGGCCCTCATCCGAGGTTAGAGAAGCCCAGGTAGCTAGAGTTGAACTTGAGTCACCATTTACTAAAGACTCAAGCAATCCGAATGAAATGACTCATAGTCATACTCGACTAGTTGAAAGTGAGAATCAAATAAGTGTTTGCCTCGACACAGATGACTCATGACCGACTTGACTCATGACACTGGGTTTATTAGAGACTTCTACCAAACACCGGCGATAAGGCATTTCACTTTCTCTTATTGGACACGAAGTGGACCGATAGTAGACCAATTTGTTAAATTGTTGTTATTGTTGTGATGTATTTTTTTTTAAATTCCCTTCGATTTAAACAGGGCCCAACATACCACTGTAAGTTTTGCTGGTTTTTATAAATCAAGGCATAATTTCTTGATAGATTCGCTACAATTTTCTAGCATTTGGTATATTTTTTCCGACATTGCGCTTTTTGAAATTAATCCTTATGTCAACCATTGTTATCTTATTAATTGTGAAGACAATCTTCTTTATTCTAGTTCAACACAATTTTTTCCAGTATCTTTTATTTAAATTCACTTACAATTAGTTTGGCTTGTGTCTTCGTTTCTCACATTCATTCTATTAATGCTCGTTAAATCTGGATGATTTCCTTCGGACAAAATTGCCTCAGACACTGCTCTGATACTTTCCAATAAATGATCAGCTGAATTTGAAAATAACTCTTGTTCTTCAACTCGACCAATATCTTCTATGAGTTGATTTCCACGAGCAATACAATTTGCAATATGCTGGCAAAGTGTAGTAATATCAGTTAGGAAGCAATATGGCATAAGAAAACTCAAATAGCTTCTACCAATATTACGCAATTTTGAAAATATTAGGTAAAACATTTTATTAGACGTGGATTTTACCTGTTTGGACAAAACCTCAATCTATGCAATTTATTGACAATGCACCTAATAACCTGTGTGCACCTCATGGGCCATAAAATACAGTAATTAATAATGTAAGGATAGTGTTGCTCTTTGTTGCAACACTGAATAACAGTGTTGAATAACAGTAACAAGTCCCTCAAATTCGAGTCACAAGTCAAGTCATGAGTGTACTGAGCCTTGAGTCTCACTGCTGGTTATTAGATGACGAGTCCGAGTCATTCTAGTCACATGACTTGGGTCATTTTGAGTCTTTGATAAATTGGTACTCAAGTCCAGCTCGAGTTGATTCAACGACTCTAGCCTCCTCAACATTGTTATTCAAACACTTCCATTTGAGTCGACTAGCATTTGAGTGGCGTTTTTTATGATATGATATAAAAAGTAAAAAAAAATTATTTCATTCCTTACTTGTTTCAGCGTCTTAACATGTGAAAGAACTCCATTCCTGTATAAGGGTTCGGTGCTACAAGATACCACTGCATTTGCGACTCTCACTAAAAACCTTGATTTTCCCATCCCTCTCTGAAGACTTGTTGCAACCTGTGCTTCATTCATATTCACTATTCCTTCTGTACATTTTTCAAGTGAGCTAAAAATTGGTTTTATGAAGTTAGTTTTGTGTTAAAATCTATTTTCTACGAAAACATATTAATATTATTATCTTAAATTTGTCAATTTGCATTTTACAAAAATTCAACTTCTGATTATGCGGTATGGATACAAATGTCTTAATTAGTCAGAGGCTTTGACGTTGCTGACGTTTGAGGTTGCTATTGCAGAGTAGTTTATTCAACGAACATCCCCACCATCGAAGTCAATTTATATTGTTAGCTAGACCAGCACCTGACTGGTAACTAGATGAGAGAATGTTATTTAACATATATATATATATGGCCCGGCAGTTGGTGCACCATACTAAGCGTTAGGAACTAGCATGCTATCGCACCTCTGATTACCCAGCGCATGTTTGCAGGTTTGAATCCCTTGTGGAATAATTGGTGACCGTACATTTGAACCCACGTACATTTGAACCATGTGTATATCCACGGGTTCAATCTATATGCGGGTGCTAAAACCATGAGTTAGGGTTAGTATGGGTTCAACTATCCGAAAAATAAAAAAAAATTCCATAGGTGCAATAGCAGGCAGGTGCAATTGCCATGGGTTCAAATGTATGTGGGTTCAAATGTAATGGAACCGGAATAATTATGTGTGAGGGGATTACCGAACACCTCGACGTTGTTGTGTGGTTCACATAACTGCTGGCCCGTTATGGCTTCTATTTAGTCCATGCGTCTGAAACAAAGAAATGATTACCTATTCAAATACCCAACATGGACAGGTAACCATGGTAACGAGAAGCCATGGTTTCTCATATTATTAAGCCATCTTGGCTTTTCTCTCCCTGGGACAAATATGGAAATTCCATTATACGGATAACCCAATTATTGACTTTTCTCACCTGTGAAAAACATGATTTATTTTGATGTACCATACTCGATCGAAAATGGTCCAATTTAATTTTGCAAAATTTTCATTGTGTAACAAATAAATTGAAACCGCCTACCTCACAACATCATCCACTATTACATCCAGCAATCCTTTCAAATCCAAAGATGCAACAATAAGATGAATAAGATCTCCGAGTACAATAATCCATTTGTCTTGAAGATCTAAAATTTTATCATTTTGAGTCAAAGCCTCGCTTGGTTCGTCTTCCTTGTCTTTGGTATACTGAGAAGTAGCTGTAATGATTGCTCTCGAAGTTTGATCAAAATTGAACAAAACTTTTGAATATTTATGATAAACTGCTGCATGTTGACTGCACGATGCAGCAAACCTTGCGGCTGTTGTTATATCGTTAGTATGCTTTGAAAATACTTTTGTCAACTCTTTTATTTTTTCAATTTCTGATTCTTTATGTTGTTGCATTTTGTCCATGCTATCTTGTGTGATCGTTTTAGGAGATATGCAACTATCGGTAAGTTCTACCAGTGGTTCATCCATACTTCTAAATATATGCGTTACCAAAACCGTAACAGCATGAAGTATCGCTGCCACTGTGCCCTGTGAGATGGCACTCAATGACATGCATTTTTCATCATGAACTTGTCGCAAATTTTTTTCTATTGAAGTTTGAGTGTGTAATGCCTCATCTGCTTTCTCCAAGTCACGCATTGATCGCATCATTTTTCTGCAGGAGTTCACAATGGCGTTGGACTTTAATTCAAGTGGAGATGAACTGTAAATAAATCTTTCGTCAAAAATAGTTTGTATAGTCAGGCTCGGCAGTTGGCGCATCGTGCGAAACGTTAGAAATACACATCTGATTGACTTGTGTGATTATGCAGGTTTGAACCCCATGAGGAATAAATATGTGTGAAAGAATGGATGGACTCCCTGACGACGTAGGGTGGTTCACTTTCACAAGACTTTCCCGACCATCAAGTCCATGCATCCAAGACAAATAACAGGGCAACTATTCCGATATCCAGCATGGACCGAACAAGCTGAGGTTCCCCATATGAATAAGGCTTATCGTCTCTCTCTCTTATCGTCTCTCTCTCTCGGAATAAATATGAAAATACTATTCTATAAAATATGCTGTCACAGTTTTTTCTATTGATTCCCCTATTTTGTGTTCTACAAAACTAAATGTTGGCTTGTTTATAGGTTTTGGTAAAAAAAATAATATATAAAATGAGTGATGAAATCAAATACAAGATTGGACAGATTGTACATTATTATTTGAAAATATTAAGGCTGATATCTAATCATAGCGTAAAGCAATAAATCAAAAAAACATGTTTTTTTATTTTCTCAAACCAGATTTTTCAAATTTTGCCTTTTTGGATTACAGCCTTTGACTAAAAAAATCAATTTCAACTGTATTGAACAAAATACTTCACCTTTTCACTAAAGTTAATGAAAGATCCATGGCATATTGAACAAAACCTTCAACACTTGTATGCAAGTTCAACAAATTCATTTTCTTTCTGTTTTCGGCTGACAACATTTTTTTGATTTCATTCAACTTTTCATAAAATAAACCAATTTTTGTACCAGGTAAAAATGATTTCCGAATATTTTTAGTTGTGATAACTTTAACAATGTCTGCGATTGCTTTCCGGACCTGAAAATAAATTACCCAAATTGGGTTGCTGGGTGATATATTACAAGATACGTTATTTGCTTAGGTTTCAGGTATTAATTTTCACATTCAATTTTAATGTAATCTAGATGAATAACTTTCAGTCAAAAATTCAAGGCATTGATAAAATTGAATATTTCTTTTATGAAAACAGAGCAAAAAAATTCTACTAAAATAATCCTCATCTACATATTACGAAGATTTTGGCATATCCGCAAAAATTATATAACAAACTAATGTTTCAAAGAACTCTCACTGTGTGCAATTCCCACACACCCAGCTGTTCCTGTTGCTTTTTATAGTATCATGGAAAATAATATCCTTCTTGTGAGTTTAGTCAAAGCAAGATATTTAGCCCTATCTAACCCAATATATTACCGATGGAAGACTTACAAGCCGACACTGAAACATCACTAGCATCGTACCATAATCGAAGATTCGTAGGTTCAAATATTGTGAGGAATAATTATGAGCATCAGGATTGCTGAATTTCTCGTCATTGAGGGGGGGATGTTTCATGTTTCAACTGATGTTTCATTATGACTTTCTTCACCATCAAGTCCATGTATCTGAAACAGTAACTGGCTAACCAGTCATACTATATACATACGACATGGACTTTGCTTCGCTCTATGACGGCGAAATCCTGTCGACTCTCTTCTACCCCGGGATAAATATGAATTGACCTGTGCCACATATAAAACAGCAGGTATAATTAGGCACAGAAGTTAAACCCTAGAAGTCAATTAGTCAACACATAAAAATTTTATATCTATTCACCTGTTCTACACAGAAATCTCTGCCTTTTAATACTTCATCATTGTCGGGATATCTAATTGCCATTTGCAACGCTGCTGTTAGCATGGGAAGAGATTGTCTTAAAGTTGACAAAGAACACTTCAATTTGTATTGTAATTTATCATCCAATAAGTCGTTGCATCTTGCACTTGCAGCTCTGTGGAGATCAGCTGCAGGAATAGCAAAGCTTCGGAACTTATCTGAAATATGAATAAACATATTTGATGTGATTATTCTACTTTTACCGTAAGTATTAGAATTTTTCGATATCTCAAAATTAACATAATCTTTTATTTGTAATATCAAAAATCTTGTATGCACCATGAACTGAAAAAAGCAATAAAACAAGCATACTAAAGAAGCAATATTAATTTTGAACTACACATCGTAAAACTTTGTCTTAGTTCAGCAATGTCGTGTATGGTAGAATTTTCACATTTATCCTACATTTTATTTATATGACGACTTAATCATATGGCAAACCACGGACTCCCGTCCGGTTACAAGTAGTAGTGTCATTTAGGAGAATATTAACTAGTTATTTGTTTGGCCAATGGTTATGTGAACCACCCCACAACAGCGAGGAGTCCAACAATCTTCTCGCATATGATTATCTCTTACAAGATTTGAACCTACGATCCCACACAGGATAATCACATGTGCAATAGTAAATGTATTCCTAATACTTGGATCAATCATGTGCTTGTCGAGTCATATACGCCGAGTTGAGTATTTGTATCATATTTCTGTGTTTCCTCTCTATATTATATATGTGAATACAAATAACCATACATACATACCATTCAAATTTTGCAATGTGTCAGCAGTAGCAAGAGTTGCAAGACATTCAGAAGTGGACCAACCATAACTTGCAATTTTTCGAACTTCAGCATCATCAATAGAAAGAAGTAAATGCATCATACACTGTGACAAAATGAGATTCCATTAAAAAGTGATGCCAGTCTATGTATCAGTCAGTAGTATGTTGTATAATATATTGGCTATTGAACACAGCAACAAAGAAGGGATAATATGTTACGAAAGCTTTTCAATATCAATTGTGTACATGCATAAAATTTAGGTTATGTAATCACTCGTAATTTTGCTTGGATATCAGTCTCGTTTTTCTTCTGTGAGTGCACACAAACTCGCTTTGCGCGTATATCCACAAAAAAATAAAAACTTTGTTCTGAGTGCATTAACATAATACCAGAAGTTTTGATTTTCACTTTCTCAGACAACCACTACGGTAGATAGAGCAAAATTAGCTGAAAACATACTTGATTCAACTCAGAAAGACATCCAGGAACATCATTCTGATAAGGAACTGGTGTTTTTAGCTGGTAATCAGGTTTTGTAGCCGAACACAATATCTGTAGAAATAATATTAATAATAACAGTATTATGACTTCTACACTTCTATGGAAAATCATTCAATACTGCAAAAAATCTTACATTATTTAAAAATACATCCTAATTTATAGTTCGTAAAATTTGACATAAATTGTATCTATTAATAACATTCACAACAAAAATATTTAGTTTGATTGTCTGATTTTTTTGAAAATTATGTTCCATTCTCAAACTATAGTTCCAATTTTTTGCAGATTTAATTTTTGGACATTACTAATACTAATCGCAGTTACATTCTCAATATGTTGACGACGACGATTCAGAATCAGATGATCTTTTTTTAAAAAACTATTCCTTTTAAGCGGATTCTTCTTGACATATTTAAGTGTGGCAATGAAATATAATCGATAGAGTTCCTATACAATGATAAAACAACATACGTGACAACACAGAACTAAACTTTCTCCGGCAACAAGTAGATTCTGAGACCCACAATCTATTTCTTTCTTCACAACATTATCGTTCGGATATTCCAGTGTCACAGTTTGTTGGCAAACCTACAGGAAATTATTAAAAAATTTTTAATTAATATAAAAAATACAAATATACAAACCATTACCACTGATTTATATCCAGTACTAGGTACCTATTACCGGTAAGTCAAAAAAACCTAATGCCTTACAATACTTTTAGGCACGGGTCTTATATAGTTGGTCTTATAAAGTTGAACTGCTTTGCGACGTTCCTCTACACATGACTATTGAAACACCCACCCTATCTCTAATAAATGACAACTCAAAGATTTCATAATTGATTTAATAAAACCTTTCGAGGAATGCCTTGTTCATGACTCTTGTCAAACTTCGAAATGCTTTAACTACGTTAATATTTAACAGAATAAATTTATTTTATTTTACTGATGGGAAAGAAGTTTATCTGACGATAGACAAAGGATAAATCAAATCTGTGATAGTCGCGAGAATGGCTTGGAGATCTGACATGGAATTTGCCACATTGGGCGCTGACATATAGCAGTCGTTGCAATTACAATGCAAATTAATGACACTAAATACAAAACTGAATACCGTTGTCAAGTCTTTTAAACTCTCAACAATGTCTTCTGACATAGAAACCAATGGTCGTAAAATATTTATCGACTCTTCTGATGTCTCCGACTCATATTTTTCAGATGTCACAATCAACAATTCAGTGATCTGGAAAGTATAAATGTCTATGTTAACCGAAAATCAGTAACAACAGGACTAAATCAGTACTTTTTCAAACCATTTTTCCCATTGGTGATGAAGTGAGGTAAAAGTCCATAAACCCCAAGTTGCTAATCATGGGTCGGAATCTTGATTCGAGTCAATACTGAGTCTTACTGATGGTTAGCTGATGACGAGTCCGAGTCATCATATTTAGAGGACCTGAGTCACTTAAAATCTTTTATAAATGGTCACTTGAGTGCAACTCGAGTCAATGACTCAAGCCTCCCAAACACTGCTCATCACTGATACTTAAACTTTAAAATTCTGGGTTTTTGGATTTACACAGGATCCTAAAAAACATAAAATTCACACTGCACCTGTGATAGTATTGGAGTAAATATAGCTTGCAACGACTGAGTAGGAACAATGGAATCCATATTGTTTATTTTTATTTCTACATAAAAGACTTGATTATTTTCAGTATTTCACTACTTATCCAGAACCACGATCACTAAACTTCCAACTGTTCGTTGCTTGATTGCTGAATCATTCATAATTTCGAATATCACGGCCATTTTTTGGCAGAAAATACTGTTAAAATACAGTATTGGTGATAGTTTACTTGAAACAGCGTCCGTAACAACTGTATGACTCGATGCGTAGCATTCATCATATGACGTCATCGATTCATTCATAAAAATCGACAAGAAGGGAGGTGTGTTCCCGTTTGTGATGTCATAATTTTTTTTGATAAATCATGAATAACATGTGGCTGTAATATAGGATAAAATTCAGTAAAATGATTGAAATCGCCTTGAATGAAAGTAGTCTATAACTTCATCGCTTAGGAAATTCAGAAGTGGTGAACATAGATAGCGCCTATGCTTGACTTCTCGGTTACTTTATTATATTTTAGTTGCATCATTTACTGCGATGAAATATCCAATGTCAAAAGTTGAAGTAGTCTATTTGATAAAAAGGGTAACTTAAGTTTTTGCTTGTATTCCATATATTTATGTATGTTTCATATTTTCATTTTTGAAACACTGAAAACGAATATCGCTCAATAAATATTCCGTATTTTTCACACTGATTAATAAACTGATTAATGATTGATTTTTGTGTGAAATTCCCGGTTGTTGTTTGACATTTACGGTTTGACTAAAATCAATCTGTTTATCACCGGCGCTAAGGCAGCCGCCTGTGGCGCAAAGATAAGATACGATGCTGCCCTTTCTCCTTAGCCAGCAAATAGTTGCTCTGCAGCCTGGAATGGCGGTCGAGAGTGCTTAACCTGTTTCCAATTATGTAATCCTACTAGCCAAGTTGAATTGGGTTGCGTTTCCCAACAGGCATACCGGGAGGAATTCCTCGTTAGGTAGGAAAGAGTAAACAGTGACTGAGTGAGGGAAGAATATTTATGTACCTATACCGTACTGCCGTAAGGTTTGAATTGCTCATAATAGTTATAATGTGTGAATAAATATGTAATGTAATATTTCCTCTTTCAGTCTTCCAAAACAGTGAATTTTGCAACATACTGCTGTACTGCAGTATTGGGGAATTTTTCCTTTGTTAGTAGAAACCTTGATCTAAATTTAGTGCTTCTTGGTACCATACTCATCAACTAAGTGTGCCATATTGTAAGGCGGTTTGCTACCATGTCTTATTTCAATTTTCTTATCTCAATTCTTTTTCTTATGGCGTGGCGGTGTGGCTCAACGGGCTAAGCGTAAGGAATACGCTCCCCACCGCACCTCTAATTATTCCGCGTGGGTTCGCAGGTTCGAATCCCATGCAGTGATGGTTATGTGCGAGAGGATTGCTGGACTCCTCGCCGTCGTTGGGTGGTTCACGTAACCGCTGGTCGGTTACAGCTTCCTCTACCACCAAGTCCATGCTTTCGAAAACAAACAATATAACTAATCCCATACCCGACTTGGAATGGTAACCGGACGAGAGGCCGTGGTTCGCCATATGGATAAGCCGTCTTATCGGCTTTCCTCTCCCCGGGATAAATATGTAAATCCTAATCCATAATGGGCTTATTTTTGGAGATGGTTTTCATTTTTATTTCTCGAAAAAAAAATTACAAAGTAGAGAATTACGAGATTTTCAAATATGCAAAATATGAAAATAATATTCATTTTCTTATAACTAACACATTATTATTTAAGAAAAAATTCGCGCTATCGACTTGGTCTTATTTTAGGTTTTTATATTAAAATTATTTTCTAAAATTTAGCCTAGATCCTATTTTCAGGCTAGGTCTTATTTATGTATTTTCGGGGAAACACGGTATTATGCAAAATATGTTGGTCGGCAACCTTTTTTATTATTCTATTATCAGATTATTGTGTTACGTTTCCAATACCTGAAAACAGCAATAGACTACAGACTATTTTTATACTGTAGTGATAGATATTTTAAATGAGTCATGAATTCTTCTGGATTTTCGTCTGCTTCATCAAGTTTCATGGATTCAAGCTATGATCAGATTAGCGATTCTGATGGTGCAAAGTTGGAAATAGATTTGGCATCTCCGAACCATAGTTCAAGTCTGCATTTTTCTAATCCATCAAGTGCTGCTTCGTCAGTTCATAACACAGATGATGAAGATGATGACAGCTCTGAACGCCCGCTCAAGTTCAGGTAAATTGCTATGTTACTTATAGTTACATCTTTGAATAGTAAACTTTTGTGTTTATATTTATAATTTAGTTTGTTTATAATGTAACATTACACGGTAATGAACATTTTATAATTTGTTTATACATGATCATACTGCCACAAATGTGGTGATACAATAGCTTATGATAACTATATACATGTAACCAGGGCAGCGGAGTCGAGAGCTCCCCATATTTTCTCTAGAGCAGGTGTCAAAATTCTGAATTCCCCAGATTCTGAGTCGGAATTGCAAAATTTCAATGGTGATAAAATAAGTCAAAATTTCTTACAGAAACTCAAATTCATTTTGTTTTACTGACAGTCTATTAATAAAAGATGCTTGTTTACACCAAAAATTTATTTCTGGGATCGAAATGGGAATTTTCTGCAAACCAGAATCAGAGTTGAATTATTGTCAGAGTCAATTTTCCATATATATTCTCACTCCATTTACTCAACAATGCATGTAACGTAGCATTGCCCATTGGATTAAATATAGTTTTATTTATAGTTAATAAATTTGTTTTTAGTTTACGCCAAAAATATTATTTTGTCAAGCTACTGACTTTTCTTTGAGATGCTGGCAAACCAAATTTGACATAACTTTTTGGTCTTAAATTCACAGAAACGATTTTAGTTTTTCTGAAAATTATTTTTAGTTTCAATTCTGGAGAAAACGAAGATTAACTCTTGCTTTAATTATGTGCTGTGAATAGAATCTTGACTTCTAACAGCCTATTTTAATTAAAGATGATGTACTATATAGGCCATCAGAAAGTGCAGAAAAAGTTTTTGTACTTTATGTAAACTTCATCGATTTGGGAAAGAAAAATATGACTATTCGACTATTTATTGCAAAGCGGAACTTCCTCGATCATGTAGTTATTTTTTCGCATACAGGCAAAAAAGAAGAGAAGCTCACACACTCGCTGAGAAACGTAGGAGAGACAACATAAAGAAAGGATATGACGAGCTTCAAACGCTCGTCCCCAAACTTCACTCAGAAACCGTAGGATCACAAAAAGTCAGCAAGGCTGTTATGCTTCAAAGATCAATTGATTACATAGAATATCTGGAAAAAGAGAGAAAGAAACAGACAGAAGATTTGGAAAAACTTCGTAAAAAAGAACAATCTTTATCGATTATGAAATCAAATTATGAGCAAATAGTCAAAGCTCACCAATCAAACCCAGCAAACTCCAATCACCAATTGTCAGATCAAGTAAAATTTGAAGTATTTCAAAGAATCATGGATACTCTTTTTGTTTCATTTAATTCATCAATATCTGTGGCTAGTTTTCAAGAACTGTCCCATTGTGTATTTAGTTGGATTGAAGAACAATGTACTCCACAATCATTACGAGATATTGTAATCGATACTTTAAAGCAGTTGAATCCACAATTGCGATGATCTTTCTTTTTTATTTTCTTACAGGAAAAGCGTATAATATGTAATCTTGTTGCATCTTATTGACTTTGTTATACTGATACCGAGCACACGTTTTATTTTTTTTTTATTTTATTTATATTTACTGAAAAAAATGAAGATCCTGGTTACCAGTTTGTGTAGAAGTCTGTGAATCCCCCGAGTCACAAGTCAAGTTACGGTTCATCTGAGTCCAAAGTCGAGTTAGTCACTGAGATAAGTGTCACTGGAGGTTAATTAATTACGAGTATGAGTTGATGATTGTAGTGAGTCTGTGATAAATCCTATTGGCGACTCGAGACCAACTCAAGTTGAGCCAATGACGAGGACCTCCTCAACACTGTTTGTTACCACTGAAGAGCTTGAGGTGTTAATGTATATTATATAATGCAGTTGTTACTAATTTTCATCATATTTCCTGAATTTTCAAGTTGATCCAATTTAAAAGTATGCTTGTCAGGAATAACGAATTTCATGCTATTTTTTTGTCGTATCAAGTCCTTTCATGATATGATTTATGTTAGATAATTTCTTGTTGCTTAAAGATGTCTTAAAATGAAGTGTGCCTAAATACCTATTTAATAATGATTCAATTTTTTGTATTAATTATCACAAATATAATCTTGTGTTTAAGTAATATATCATTCTGCTTGAATTTTACGACTTATAAATTGCAAGTTGTTTTCTTATAATGAGATAAGGTACAGTTCCATCATTGTGACGTGGTTTTCTGGAAAATCACCTAAGGAGAAAGTACAGTACTTTATTGGACAATTATTATGATTGTGATCATTTTGTAGTGATGTGCATTTAATTAAAGGATAAGTGAAAATGGAGGAAAAGAAAAATGTAGTTGGCTTATCAATTCATAATTATGCATTATACTAATTCGTAAAACCACTGTAAAAGTTGGAATGTTGCGCAATGCACAAAAATTCTTACGTCACTGACAATAGCATTTCTAGACAAATTAATTATGTACCAGAAGCAGAGCTTCCTATCATTGTGTTATCGAAACAATTAGTCAGTGCAGCATATGGAAGTGTAGACAATATGCATGGGCAGTTGCGATCGGGAAATGTAGTGTTTTTACGGAGTTAATTTTCATGTCAAATGTGGTAGGATAACCCAGTTCAGAATGTTGATGAGAATACGTGTTCTGATTTTATTAATTGTATTCTATTTTGTGTATATGATTATTGGTGCTGCGGTATTCATGGCTATGGAAAGACCAGTGGAAAAACAACGATGCAAGGATGCAAAACAATTTAAAGAAAAATGGTTGAATCAAACACGTAATAATGAAGGTTTTACAGAAGAAACTTTAAACAAGTTTATTAAGGTTAGATGTTAATTTGACTCTATATCTACAAAATTCATTCTTAATATCAGCTCTTTTATAGAGAGTATATCTTTATTGTTGTTATCGGTATGAATGTTCATAGTAGTGCTTTTTAGAGAAGAATTTTGCTTTCCTGATATGTTGCGATTATTATTATTGGTGAGCATACTGCCTTTCAAAATTTTTCAATCCATATATGGTTAATGTTTGAGCTAAATATACATGACAAAAAAAGTTTTTGGGTAATATTGCCATAATCGTCAACTCAGGAATAATAGTGTTTTTGTGCTTTTGATTAAGTAATGCTGGATTCTAAATTCCTGCCATCGAGAAGGATATTTTTTTAAAAACTCAGATATTTCGACCGTAAAATATGCAAATTCAGGGTAATATTACATAGTATGCAGGCTTTTTAGGTGTGAACCTCCAGAGGGCTCTCAAGTAATAAATAATTGATACTTAGTCCACCGATTATAATTCATTTGTTTTGTTCAGCTTGTTTATACATAAGTGATGAGCTTTGCTGGAGGGTAATTCGAAATATTTCAAAGAAAAACCTGTTTTATTTATATATTTTGTAATTAAAAAAAAAATCAGATAATAAAATACCAGGCTGGTCTTCAACTATGTCCTTCAACCCTGCCACTGGGCCAGTTCTGTTATTGGTAACGCTACTCCTGTAGCTGCCCTGATGAAAGAGCTGGGAAAATTCCGTGTAACTCTTTGTGGACGTGCCACCTATCAAATAAAACCTATTTCATTCTTACGTTTATTATTATTGTATTTCCTAGAATGTCACCATATTTTCTGGTCATGGTATTAGTCTTCAAGGTAATGTCAAATGTCCAGCAAATTGGGATTTTCAAAGTTCATTGTTCTTCACAGGAACCATCATCACAACCATTGGTATGATTTGCTAATTTATACTATTTTTATCAAAAATATCTGAACTCTGCTCTCACAACCTATGAATTATAAATCTTGAAAATGTCGATATTATTTTATTCTGTTATACCAACATTGTCAGATTCTCAAACACTTTGTTAAACATTTTTTAAACCAGCATTTCCCAACCAGGAAGGTAATTTTGATTTGTGCTTAAAATATTCAACTTTTAATGCAAATCTACAAATCTCATACGGATAATGAAGTTTTTAATCATTACGGTAATTCTATATTTTCAGGTTATGGGAACCTTGCTCCAACACAATGGTACAGTCAGATATTTTGCATATTTTATGCGTTAATTGGAATTCCTTTGTTTGCAATCATGTTTACTGGAATAGGAGAATACATGTCTGTTCTGGCCGAGGAAGTTCTGAAAAAGTTTCAACCGCCACAAAATGCTCCAGAAGGGGTAGACACATAGATTTTATACAAGTCATATAAAAAGTTCTTTTTAGATTAAATGATTGCAAAGTTAGTTGATCTGATATCTGTTCACTCCTTTATGATAAATATTGAAATCTCATCCTGATATGAACCGGTTTCCCAAACTGGCGTCTGCACAGGGGGTCCGCAACGATATGAAAAGAGTCTGATTGAACTTTAATGATTGATTTCAATCAAAAAGCCATCTCAATATTTTGTTGAGAGTTGCGGAAGAATATCCATTGCTGTCAGAAAAGGCAATTAAAATTTTATTGGCTCTTGCAACGACTCTACATGATAGAGTCGGACCTACGAGTTTGCTTGTCACCCAAACTTGGGAAACCCAAACTTTTTTTTTATATTGTTTAAAATTGTTCCACTTGATACAATATACTGAAACTGCAAGATTAAACACTATTGTAATTCTCACACATGTGCTATGTCAATTCAAAGTCAGTAATAAGTAGCATAAGCCATAAACATAACAGTTATATCTATTAATAATAATCATAATGATATTTATTAATAATCATATTTCTTGATATATATTTATCACCATCTAGGAAGTACAAATTGTGAATGCATTTTTTGTATTTGTTCTCATCGTTGGAGGAAGTTTTATATTTTTCCAACTCATTCCTGCAGCAATTTTTACATTTGTTGAGGGATGGAGTTACAGAGAAAGTGTTTATTATTGTTTCATTACTCTGACCACTGTTGGATTTGGAGATTTTGTTGCAGGTATATATGAAATAGAAACAGAGACTTTGATTTCCAGGACTAAAGCTGGACCAGTATTAGAAATTTTAAAATTATTCCTCACAGCACTCTTGGTATAGCAAGTTGTATGCGGTAATATTCGAAACTAATATTTTCATTTTTAATTCCGAATAGAAAGTTATTATTGTCATTCATTTTTATAGTCAACTAATGGACAGTTGATAAAGTTTGTTTACTGGGGCTTGGTCCTTCTTTCGCAAACACCTGCTTACTTTTTATATGCCCAAATCATAAAATTGGGTTATTTCTGTGCTCTTCAATAGACCTGAGCTCTCGAATAGTCTGAAATGTCACTATTCAGCTTGGTTCAAACCTTTGTCTTTCACAAACATGGCGAATCAGCAAAAAAAGGGGTTCTCAAAAAGCTTTCCAATATATCTGTAATTTTGAGTTTCGTTGGCCTTGACCATCTCTATCTAGCAAGATGAGTAAGCATAGACACTATTACTATCTATATTGAATCAAACCCAAATACTTCGATAAAAAAAAAACAGTTTTATTTGATTTTCCGACTTGACTTGTATTGTAAACAACCAGCAATCGAAAAATAATATGGCAACCATTCTTTCAGGCACAAATCCCGAAGTACAATATATTGCTTTGTATCGTATCATGGTGTTGTTCTGGATATTATTTGGACTAGCTTATACATTTACTGCCATTGATCTTATTATTCATTCTTTGAAAGCAGCCGGTAAGTGATTTAGGTATTGCTCGAGATGATTATTTCAAAGTATTTTTATCGTGTTTTTTGTTATTATGGTAGGTTAGATCAAAATGATCCAAGATAAATTAGGTATTGCTTGAGATGATTATTTCAAACTACTTTTATCGTGTTTTTTTATTGTGGTAGGTTATATCAAAATTATCCGAGAGAAAATTTCAAAAATCAGGTATTTTTATCATATTGAAGAGGACTTATTTCTAATGTGTTTTCTTTTAACAAAAAAGAGGAACGGTATTGAAAGTCTGAAAATTAGGTTGACCAGCCCATGGTGTTGCATATAATATGCAGCATGAATATGTGATGTAAATCAGTAGTCGGCAACCTTTTTTAAGTGACGGACCGGTAAAAATTTTGGCGGACCACCTTTGTGTTGACAATATATTCAAAACAAAGGTGATGCTATTTATTTCGAAATCTGCATTCGTTTGCTGGCCATTGATTGTCCCCAACTTGGTGACATGGTCGACAGTGATATACGTTACGTGTTTCTTACGTTCAGCCTACTTCGGTATTTCTTTTTTGTAGTTGTCAGTATTGAAAACCCGACCTCACATAAGGAAAAAAAGTAACAGCGCCACAAACGTCTGGGTATTCATATAAGATTATAGACCAGTGGTTCCCAAACTTTTATGGCTCGTGGCCCCCTTTCCACACTCGTGGCCCCCCTGTTCGCCATTCCAAAAATAAATGTATAGACTTGTATAATGTTTTTACGACCTATTATGGAATGAAAAAGCAAACCACAGACAATGCAGTATAAGCTTTTTAAGGGAAGCTTGCGATTGGGACTGCTAGGGTTTTCCTTTGACAGAATCCCGAACTTTGCCAGAATCCCGCCAGTTTTGCTTTCTCGTCAAATCTAAGACGCTTGGCATCAAAGAAACCGATGTCAACATCGTTCACCTGGGGATGATTCTAGTCATGGTGGTTTTGGAGTTTAGATGAGCGCATAACGCATAAAGGCATTCTATATTTACTCCGGTAAAGCCAAAGTAACTGTCGCTCACATTTTCGTATTTTTGGCTTTAGAAATTTTTAAATGGGTATTTGCGTCTATAATACGATAGCGAAGGTTATCTCCCTGTCGAGTGAAACTGTTCGTCTGCAGGTATAAGGCCTATTGGCAAACTATTTTGATTTGTAGATTCTAAATTCCATTATGATCAAACAATTCACGCACAAGAAAGTGAATACACCCTGTGATCGCAAATAATCTATTTTGGTAATAAAACTTGGGTGAACGCCTGAATGGGGAATTATTTTAAAAGGAAAGTATGCAAACGAAGTCGTTTTATGATCAATTATCAGTAGCCTTGTGTCGGGGCCCCCCTTGACTGCTTCGTGGCCCCCGGTTGAGAACCACTGTTATAGAATAGACCAGTGGTTCTCAAACTTTTTGAGCCGCGCCCCCATTTGAAAAATTTTACTTACTTCGCCCCCCCCCCCCTTTTTTTTTGCTTTGAACAAGTTGTTATATATTAAGATGGCACTATAACTGAGTGTAGGTCTCATAGCGTCATTGCTCAGATTGTTTAGGCATAAAACGCTTCGAAGTACATCTTCGCCATTCACTGTCGTATGTATAAAGCCAAATAGTGGTTGGTCATCATACATTCTCGTTTTTCCGCCCAGTTTGCAATACTTGGTAAGGCCAAACTAATTATTAAGTAAAACTAAACAAGCAATAAACCTATGCTTTAATGTATTTTTTGCTTAAACGTTTACATAAGACACGTAAAATTTCAATCATTTGTTGTCGCTAAGGCGTTTGCGATTGCATTTTGTTTAAATCTCCATTGTTTACGTCAGCGTGGCGTGTTATTTAAGCCCTAAAAATCTTGATTTCGGTGTTTATTCTTCCTAAATCCGAAATTTTCCCTCGACATACTCTTGTGCCGCGAAGACGATTATAATTACTTTTTTTGTTCTCGAATGGAACCATGGCATCTCTGAGGAAAACGAATCCGTAACTAAAAATTTCTTTATTGTAAAAGTGGCATTATAAAATACTAAAAATTTTGTTTTGGGGTGGACAGCGACAGATTAAAAACACTTTCTTAGACATTGAAAATCTCATAAATTCCTTGTGCGTGCGGCACACCAGTAGTGTTCTAAAACTACAGACTTTATATAAATTTCACTCCGTGGGATCGCAGACTTAGGAATATCTGTAACGATGATATCTTGAAATTATTCGAGTGGCGGCATTGCGGTAGAGCGGAGTAAGAGTTGCAGGGACAGCTCATATTGGTGAAATTGGCAAGAATACAAATCAAAACAAAATGTAATCGACATTTTTATGGTTGCGGATTACCGTGTTATTTTGGAGTACTTTTATTTTATCGACGCATTCGCAGATTTAATTTATCACAATTAAATGAATAAAGCAACCATCATTTTAAATAAGTATATCAATCATGGATTGAATATTTCAACAGAAAAACCATTACATATCCGTTGAAAAAGTCGGCTCTTTTAACGACTGGCGTAATCTCGAGGACTGACTCAGAAGCGGTACCACGGGGATTTCGTTTCGATGAATATGTATTTTTCATCTACTAATATACTTTACATGTATTTTAATCGTACTAAATTAAATATACTTTCTGGGATATTATACCAGATCTTTCTAATTACGACAACGAATTCGCATGAGTGCAATATATATAAAAACTAAATATAATCGGGCAGTTGATCACATTTTATTATGTCCGCGGATTGGCGTGGTATTTTAGATAGGTAATGAGTTTATTTTGTCGTGAGTCGCCGCAATCGCGAGTTACCTTGAACACAAATGAATTAAAATAGAGAGACATTTTGAATTATTGTAGTTATTTCAAGACAATTGGTATTTTTGACAAACGCGGAGACCGTTGCAGGAGCCATTACATGTAAATTTCCGATTTCATCTTGTGACCTCTCGCGCCCCCCTGTGAGCATCTCGCGCCCCCCAGTTTAAGAACCACTGGAATAGACCAAAAAACTGTCAAGGTATATTTCGCAAAGAATCTTTTCAACTCATTATATTTGAATCAACTGCTCTATATAACACAATCTCGTCGTCTACAAGACAACCGCATTGTTCGAAGGAGTTCCTAATGCTTCATTGCAGTTTATTGTGGCAAAAGACGCAAACTGGACATATTTCTTTGCTGTAACTCGTGGCTATGAATCTATATTGCAAATACAAAGTTTTTTTTTCGCGATTTTGCGATTGATGTTCCCGGTATATCTACACTCCCAGTTTCGTTAGATATTTTGGGCCTCAGTCATTCGAAAATTGCTTTATTGAAGTTTGTTTAGCCATAACCATTGACGAGAAAATCGTTTGTGACGTCAGACATGCTGCTCAGAAGCGTTGTTTTTGTCTTGTTTGTAAAGGTGTTACTAGGGCTTTAGGCCCCCGCTTCTGCGGACCGGTAGTAATCTTTCCGCGGACCGGCAATGGGCCGCGGCCCGGTGGTTGCCGACCACTGATGTAAATAGAATAATATCACAAATTGAAGAATTTATTATGAATAGAAACGAAATCATAGCACTAAAATCAATTTATGTTATTGAATTACTGATAGTATTAATATCCCTTGTCTTGTCGTCTCTTTTTCATATTTCTCACTTTCTTGGAGGTGACTGCATCGTCATTTTTGATTCTTTTGTCCACATTTATTCCTAGTTTCTCAAGATTTGATCTATATGACTCTAGGAGTTGTTGACGTTCCTCGCAAGTATTCTCTACTCTTTTTAATCAGGTCAACACAGGGAACCCAAGAACTATCCTTTTCTAGTTTGAAGGGGATATATGTGATATGACAACCTTGTCCTTGGCAGCCACAATTGCACTCAGGTGTGCGTGTGCCATCATTGGGTGTTGCTTGCCCGTCCAATTCCTAATAGAATTCGGAATTATCCTTCTTTCTCAAGGTCACATTCAGCTCTCCACATTCTATTCGTGACTTCAGCCAATCAAGTAATTCTGCTTTTTCACTTTCAGTCATTCTGTTGAAATTTGTTACCTCTTCCGATCCAGCTGAAATCTTGTGAGAATGAACTATTATTTGTATCCCTATATTAGGCTATATATTATTTATATGACAAGCCTTATTCGGAACTTATTGATACAGCTGTCATTTTATTTGAAATTGGTATTTAATTTAAGCAAAATTTTGCAAACCTGGCATTTGAATTCAAATCAAGCATATCATATAGGCCGTAGGGTGTAATTGTTTATATACAACTCTTCTATTCAAAGTTTCAACCTATCCCAAGATAATTAAATTGATATGCTTGATTGAAATCCTTCTTATCCCTCCAAATGCAGTGACACCAATTGTTCATATATAACTCTGCTTTTCGAAGTTTACAACTTCACCCAAGAAAATTCCATTCAGCAGGCTATATGTTTACGCGTTTTATTATATAGGGGCATATGGGAGCGATCGATGTATATCGCACGCACTTGCTGCGGTTACCAGATCCTCACTCCCCCAACAACAAACAGAAAAAAATTAGACTTCACCAGCACACGATTGATATAGTATTGACATCTTGATTGTTACAGTTCTACAGTATATTACGGATATATACTGTCTTATCTCTCCTTTTTAATACAAACAGTAGAATTCTTATATATATTAAATCTGGCTTCTAAGTTGATGTTCTATCAAGCACGGTTGGATATCTAATCTTGATTGTCCAATCAAAACAATATGTTTTGCCCCCGACTGCGACTTGAATGGTGCACAACAGCTGATAGTTAGAAAATGACCAACTCGTTTTTTCCTAATTCAAAGAATCTGATATGAATGTGCCTACAAGGCTATGTTTGGTTGGGATCATCACTTCAAATGAGGGACACCATACTGCTCACTGTATGGTTGTTTATTACTGGTTGGAGGAAAAGTGTAAAGTAAAAACACATCCTGAATTAGAACTTCTGTGCAGGATGCGCGACTTCAGCGGTGGTGAGCAGAATGGTCTGGTATAGTCAAGAGGATAGCATGTTGGACCTGACTATGCTGCCGACTTATGTTCTAAACCCCATGTTCATCTTCTTTCGGACTGCTTTGTAAATTGAGTATGATATGCTGATTCAAGAAGCTTGTGAACCTTCCAATATTCTGAACCTTTTTAGAAGCAAATGTGTTGAACATTTTCAAATTCAAATTGCACAGTTGGTTATAAGAAGGATTTGGGAGAATGGATTTCCTGATATTCCGAAGACTATATAGGAATATTGATAAATCAAATCAAAAGCTGATGAATTACATTATTCACCAATATTAATTCTTCTAAAATCTGCATCACTGGCATGTGGTTATATTTCGCTGGTCTCACTAGTGGTAGGACGTCAATTGGGTGTGAGAGTGTTAAAGTTATTTAGGGTGGTTATGGTTATGCCCTTCCTTAATGCATCGCAGTTAATATGTGTCTATTCTATTATTTCAGTGTCTAAATCAAAGTTTGTCGACTTCATCTTGTATAATTGGGCTGAAGCAGAAGTGTCACTTCATTCTGAAGTTGAAAGTCTTCTTGGTGATAGCAGTTCAGGAGCAGAGGATTTGGCCGATGATGTATTTTCCAGTCCAGGTAATAATAGTTTGTTTAAAACTGTCATTTTGAATACATAATAAAATGACTTGTGGAACTTGTTTCGTGCTCTACTTGATGTTACTTGAGTTAGTTTGATTTACACAAATTATGGTAACTTTTGTAACAAAAGTGTTCTCCACTTCTGATTGACTTGCTATAGATAGAAGATGCATAATTGTATTTGCCTATATTATTACCCACTAGAAAGACGCTTTTCTGATCGCTTGTGATTGTGATTACTCCATCTTTCCCGGCTTGAGTTTTTAAGTTGATGTAAACATGTTTTGAATCTGTATCAATTTCTGCATATATTTCACCAAATTTTGTGCTTCAACTTGTCCCCGTACTAAAGATGTATCTTGCTTCTTTTAGCATTGTTTGCAGCCCTGGCGCGAATCAGTCCATACAACGATATATTTTGTTTGTATTTTACTGATATAAGTAGAAAACTCGGTACTCCAGTAGTGTGTGTGCCAGGTTAGGGTGAGGCATAATTTTATTCCGATTTTTCTAATTTTGATTACCGGTATATTACGAGTTCAGAGACTGTCTGTGTTAGCAAGTGAATGTACCCTGCCTGCCCATAGGTTTCAGTTCTTTTACACAACTTGATGTAAAGTAGCCGAACAAAATTAGTCACCTCCATATTGGTACACGCACTTCTGGAGCGCCGAAAACTTTACATAAGATCTTTTAACATACAGAGTTTGCTATGTTTCGGAGACCTGGCTTTGGTATGACAGACAATGATGATGATGGAGGAACAGGGGCTACAACAACCGGTGTATTGAGGAATGATGATACAAATGCTGAAGATCATCTGGTTGATCCACCTGCTGAAGATCACTTATTTAATCCTGCAAGTTTTGTTACAACAAACGTTGGACCACGAGATGGCAATGCTGCCATAGACCATGAGATTACTGGTGGGTCTGAAGATGGCAATGTGGATAATGCAGTTAATTCATCGTGGCTAGGGGTTCCCGCAACTAACACTGCGAGTAATACCAATGCAGGAGCAAACGGTCTTAATGCAGTAAGCAATATTGTTGGTGGAGTGATGGCAGGTAATCTAACAACACCTAGTTCGACCGCTGCCCCGCCCATTAATACATCATCCGATAATAATGAAAGCCATATGGCGACTACCAGTACGAATTCAGTGGGGACAACTGGGAATATGTCAAATACAGGTACATCGAGTGCAAATGCTGCTGCAAATACGTCAACTTCTATTGCACTAGATTCTAACGTTAATAATACCAGTTCCTCGACCACTCTAACACATATGGGTGGCAATACTGGTGCAATCTCCCATCCATCCAACATTAGTACAGCAGTGTCTTCCCATGCTACAATTGGTGTTCCAGGGCCTGCTTTGGCTGTTGGTGGGTCAAGTGATGATTCTGTTTCAAATACTGTAGGCGATCCCACAACATCTACTAGTTCTGTTGTTAATGCGCATCCTGCGATGCCAATCCCTATATCATCTACACATATTGTTCCCGCCAACATGTCTGCAACAAATCAACCCACACATACCGTTTCTAATATAGCCCCAAATACTGGTAGAGCTGTGACTGGAAATTCAGGTATGGGTTTTAGTGGGTTAACAAATGCTATTTCTGGTATTTTGGAGAACAGAAACACCAATATGGGTGAAGGTCTTGAATCCGTTATCAGTGGTAGAACCACGGCGGGTGCGACAAACAATGGTTCTGGTGGAAATGAGGGTGAGTGAGATGTACTGTTCCACGTCGCACCTGTACGCTTGTTTGCATTTGCAAATAAGGTGGATATCTGTTTTAGGTGCATTCGAATTTAGTGCTCTCGGTTCTGAAGATGAGATGTGCGACTTGGAAGAAAACTATATGAACACCCAACGATCGTTTTTTATTAGTCTGGCCTGTTCATTTTATTTATTTTTTTATGGTCGCATTTCATCGAACCTGGAGGATTTGAATCCAACAGGATTTGGTTTCCGCCTTTCAGGCGGCATGCATCAATTTTTGTATTTCAATTTTCTAATTTATTAATTAAAGACACACGTTTTTTCTCCCGTGGACATCTCTCTCGTTTATTCAAACTTGCGTCTGCTCGCAAAGAACCCGTAAAATCGGTTAATATCAAACACTGACTCGTTATTGCACAGTTTTTGCGTTTTCGCCATGCGTCAATTTTTGTATTTCGGGTTTCGAATTTATCAATTAAAGACGAGCGTTTTTTCTCGCGTGGAAATCGCTCTCGTTTAATTAAGTAAAATCGGTAAACATCGGACACTATAATCTCAATCGGCGTATTCCGGACAAGAAGTCGTCGAAGAACACATCACGGCGAAGACTCGTTATTGTACTATTCTTCTGCTTTGCTATCTAGCTGGGGTATAATTATAATATTTATTTATGCCTATTTACTGGCTATATTCCGATAATCTAATTGCAACAATATTTAATTGTTAACAGACATGCCTTGCTTCATTTTACATTAAATAATTCTTCGCGACCTGCGAGTTTTCCTAAAATAATGATGCATATAAACCAAAAGCCAGGCGTTGAATGTTAGACATTACTTGCGATTAATCTAAATTAAATATTATTCATGGATAATTTTATTACACCATTTTCCGAAATACAAATTTATATCGCAAAACACGACGATCTGTCACATTTAAATTTCACTTTCGAAAGATTACATATTTTTCGGTCTGTGATAGACGCACGTTTGATCGAGTGTCTGTAGTATTTTAGTCGCCGATAAATTTAAAAAATGATGGCGCATCTGGCGAAGATGGTTTGTATTGGGTATGAGTAAGGCCAAGTCTGGGTAGATAATATTAATGATATTTAACGATAATAATAATAGAAAATGAATTCCCATGTTGTTTTGCAAGTCTCGCACAGAATAAAAAGTTGATTTTAATTGATAGTGGTTAAATGTAATATTTTACAGCGGCGCATAGGTTGCAATGGCCATACGCTGGTCCTGAATCTAATAAATTCTCAGCGGGTGTATTTTAGTACACTCGGCACTTTAGTACACTCCGCAACATTAATATATAATCTATTTTTGTATTTGACCGTTTACTAATAAAGTGTGTAAAGCGCGTCTTAATTAAGCATATTAATTTAGAGCAGTATTTAGAGATCACATACATTTGGAACAATTGAAGGCAAAAACATTGTAATATTCTTGGATTTTATTGTCCTGGGAAATGCCTGTTTAGTAACAAATAAAATCTAATGTTAAGGATATTTCCAAATAAACATTTATAGTAATACATTTACAATTTTTTAACATCTAAATGTGGAAAACTTCCACTGTTTGAATAAGTATGAAAATAGAATAGGATTCTAGAATAGTAAATTATTCTACATTGCCCATCCCTATCAGCAAGTGGGACAAAAAATGCTCGTGACGCCAAAGTCAATTCTCAAGCATTCCTCTCCGCAAATTTTTCATTTTTTTTGTTTTGTCGGCGACTTTTCCGTGGTGTTAGGAATACTTTGCAAAATATATCATCATATCAATTTGAATGTGTTTTTCGCATCGAACGATCCATCCACAACATGCTTTACATTTTGTTCGTATTCACTTTTTGTTTTAAGTATATATGTTTATTTTGTTATTATATTCAAATAAATGTGATTTGTTAAAAGTTTGGTTACAGACTAGCGAGAGTTCATTAGACGTGTAGCAACTTTGAGAGAGAGAGAGAGAGATTTATTTTCGTCAACCAGAAAAAAAAACAAACACTGAGACAATAGCAACAATAAAAATGTATAGTTTTTCGGTATAGACTGGGGGGAGCGATACGACCATACGGTCATCAGAGTCAGCTCCCCCCATATTCACTGTTTTAATTATGCATATGAGAATTCTTGAAAATTGAAAAAAAAAAATTTTCTATTACAGAAGAAATACAGAAATAATACAGAAAATAATGACATCCTAAATAGATATCTAATATTGAGTTAGGTGGAATTTTTGTTCAACATGCCAGCTGATAACAAATCATGGGATATGTGCATTGGAGCTTGGAAGGAGCAGCGGTGTGGAAAACAGTTACAGAAAAGATTTGGAGAAGATTGAGAACCACTTCTGAAAATCATGATCACGAAAATTGGTCACGTCTGGGAAAATTTCACTTAGCAACTTATGCAAAAAATAAATAAAACTTTCACATTGTCAACGTCAAGTACATTCAAAAACCTAATGATGAACTTTTATGATGACAATTGGGAGAAAAGCTTTCATTGAAAGGCATGTGTTGGCAAGAAGAAAATTTATACACATCTGAGGAATGTTGGACTTGATAATGCGGAAGACTGAGTGCCCCCTATTATATATTCATAGGACATATATTTATAGGGAATGTCATAACTCGAACTATATCTATGTTTGCTGACTTAATGCTATGAGAAATATTTTTTGCTAATAAAAACTTGAGCCTTTGGGTGATGTATACAAGTCAGTCAAATTACTGTTCGTAGGGTCCGCATTGATAAAAATAGATTTGAGAGGAGTACTGGGAATAAAAATAATTACACTCCATCCTGGATCTAGTATAGTTGGGGCGTTCAAGAGGTTTTCAGCATGGTCATTATCAATGTAAATGTACCAATGCGGTGATCAAACTGACCTAATCACAATGAAGTATAGGAGGAAAATTTGTAAATATTAAAGCTCAATAAAGGCACTCAAAAGATCTCATTTATATAAATACAATATTCAAAAGAAATAATATAACAGTAATCAAACATATAGGATAATTCTTATATCATTTGGATAATTATGAAAGTGATGGACAACTAAGACAAGTACAGTATGATTAACGAATTAAACGGGTTAATAAATAGTTGATGGTTGAATAGAACAACATTGCACGCTATAAAGAAATATCAGGTTAGGAAAAACATGTCATTTAAGATTGCACACTGCAAGTTTAATTATATTTTAAATATTGCATAAACAGGTTGCATGAGTTCATTAAATTTTTAAGGTGGGGTCTTCTTATAGGCCATATTAACCCATGCATACTATAAGTAACAAGGAATTGTCACTGTATAATTTCAGTACCCATGTGACGAAGGAAGTGTGCATAATATTTTAGCAGTAGTATAGAGAGCACAGTAAATATAAATATAAATTGGTACAACATGAATAAATCACAAAAAATGAGATAATCAATAAAAACAGATTAGTGGTGTCATAATGTACAATACAGAATGAGTATGGGAGGAAAATTTGCAAAGATTGTAACAAAAAGAATGCATTCAATGGAACTCATCAATGTAAATAACAAAACATATATCAGAAATTTCCTAGTACAGTATGAGTTGTATTTGTTTCCAAATATTGGCATAGAGGGTAATAAATTAACCATGGTGCTATACAACTTATGACCCACAAAAAATTAAGGGCATCCACAATTTATGGTATCCACAGAAATATAGAACATATATGATAAATCCCCTAGTACAGTATGAGTTATATTTGTTTCCAAATATTGACATAGAGGGTAATAAATTAATCTTGGTGCTAGACAACATATGAGTTCTGACCCTCTAAAAATCAAGGACAGCATCAATTTATGGTATCCACAGGAACATATTATGATTAAATAGGTTAATAACAGTTGATGAAACAGCAAAGCAAAAATGCACACTATAATAGAACAGTTCAGGCAAATTGTGTTATTTAGGGCTACACACTATGACAAACAAACAGCAATTGATTCATAAAATAGTTGAGGGTTAGGTCTAATTGGCCATAAAACCAAATGCGGACTGTTGGTAATAATGCACAGAGTGTTTATTTCCAGACCCTTATGTTGCAAGAAAGGGTACACATATGTTAACAATAGTATATAGAGTACAGTAAAGATATATATATATATATTTATACAGCATAAGTAAGAATACTCAAATGATGGGGGTTGTTATTGAAAATGGAATTATGGTGACAATAATGTACAAATACAGAACAAGTATGAAACAAAAATTGCAAAGAGAAAGGCTCAAAGGAGGCTCTTGATGGAACTCAATTAAGTAAATGTAGTGTTTAGGGGAAATAATACAACAGTAACAGAACATTTATAAATGATTATTCCACATAATAATAACTATGCAAATGAAAAGCACGTATAGTATGAGCTATAATGGTTTCCAAATAATGGCATAGTGGGTAATAAATTGACCTAAGGGATAAATGGTGATGGGTTGTCAAAAAAAAAAAAAAAAAAACTGAATTCATAAACAATTTAGGGTATCCCTTGAAAAATATGCTTTCAGACAAAGATATCAGGGGTGTATTTGTTAGATTTAAAGATATAGTTAAAGAATATGCCATGTACACAAAAAACAGCATATATATGCAGACACAAATAATCAGATAAGTTGACAGTTGATAAAACAGCAAAACAAATTTGCACACTATAATAGAACAGTTCAGGCAAGATTTCTAGGGCTGTACATTAAAACAGACATACAGCATTGATCCATAACACAAAAATGAAGGTTAGGTCTTATTGGCCGTAATACCAAATACAGACTATTTTTTTTATTTGGCAGTTATATAGAGAGCAAAGTAACAATATTTATACAACACAAGTAAAAATAATGTAATTAATAACAACAATGAAAGGGTAGTTATTAAAATAGATTTGTGGTGACAATAATGCATGACACAGAATAAATGTGGGAGGATAATTTGCAAAGAATAAAACTCATTGGAGGCTTCCAATGGAACTAATTTATATAATTGCAATATTTAATAAGGGAGTTATACAACAGTAATAAAACATATATTTTACATAAGAATATCTATGCAGATCAAAAGCATGTATAGCTTGAAGTATATTGAGGGAAAAAAAAAAAAAAAACTCAATTTATCAACAATTTACGGTATCGCTTGAAGTATATGGTTTCATTCACACAAGGATATTAGAGGGGATTTCGTTACTACTTATACAGTGGGTTTGAGGATATAGGTAAAACACGCATAAATTTGACGAGAATATAAAAATAAGATAGAGTATTAGACAAAACAGTTTTGTGGTGGCATGAATTGCAAAAATGCCTAATATGCTTTCCCAATGAGAGATCAAGATTTACCAAAGGTTTAGGAGGGATTATTATGAAGCTGTTAGTAACAGATTTCTATATTAGTATTTGTCAATGAGATGCTTCATATATTTAGACTTAAAACTGTTGTAGGATGATTCCTTGATGTCATCAGGAATATTGTTCCAAAGACAAGGACCTGTTATTTTTATAGAACTCCGAGCCGAGCTTGAATTTGTCCTTTTGACAAAAAATGCTCCTCTACCAGCCAACCGAGTATTATATCCATGAACATCGCTACAATTTGTAAAGTAGTTTTCAAACGCATCAGGCAGCATACCATTTTTAAAACAAAACATGATTTTGGCCACTTCCAAATTGTATACATCCATAAGTTTGAGGATGTTCATATGTTTGTAGATCGGACTTAAATTTTGTCGCAAACGTGTACTAGTCAATATTCTCAACGCACGATTTTGTAAAACACTGATTCGATTCAGATAAGTCTTAGAAGCAGAGCCCCATGCCACAATTCCATAATGAAGATGAGTGTAGAAAAGCGAAAAATAAACAGTTCTTAAAACTCTTTTAGGTACAAGATGTTTCAATTTGGTCATAGCACCAAGGGCTCTTGACAGCTTACGAGCGAGCTGATCAATGTGAATTTGCCAATTTAGTTTGTGATCTAGGTTGACTCCTAGGTACTTCACAGAATCATATGTAGTCAATATCGAATTATTTAGGGTAAATTTTGGAGTTATGTTAGAGGATTCAAGACTTTTGGCACAATTAATTAACAAGACTTGTGTCTTAGCAGGATTCACAGTAAGTTTGTTTAGAGTGAGCCAGTTAGAAATATTCAGCAAGTTTGCATTGACTTTATTTTCCAAGTCAGGCAGATTTTTTGCTGCAGACGTAGAACTTGTGTCATCAGCGAAAAGTTTTATTGAGGCATTGGTAGCGTTTACGATATCGTTAATATGTATTAAAAATAAAGTTGGTCCAAGAACCGACCCTTGCGGAACTCCAACTGAGACTTTTCCACTCAGTGAGGCAGAACCACCTAATGACACATATTGATTTCTGTCATGCAAATAACTCGCAAACAATTTATTCACAACTCCGCGAATACCATAGTGACTTAATTTGGTAATCAAAATGCTCTGATCGACAGTATCAAACGCTTTTTTAAGGTCCAGAAATACGCTACAACCTACTGAGCCTTCATCTATAATGTTATAGTACTGACTGACAATGTCTATTATTGCATGGGAAGTGCTATGTTCATTACGAAAACCAAACTGGTCATTATTTAGTACTGAATGTTTATCTAAGAAGGATTTTAATCTAACTAGTAATAATTTTTCAAAAAGAATAGCAAGACATGATAATATTGAAATAGGGCGATAATTTGATACTTCACACTTATTTCCAGATTTAAATACGGGCACAACTCTGGCTACTTTCAAATGGCAGGGAAAAATTCCTAGAGACATTGAAGCATTAAAAAGTCTACATAAAACAGGGCTAATGATATTTTTTAGAACTTTCAAAAGGTTGATTGGTATACGATCATGACCTTCTGCCTTACCATTAGTAAGAGAATTTATATGCGTTTCAATCTCAGAAGGAAGGGTGTCCTCCAGATACATAGATGACTTATTTGGCCGTTTTAAATAATTGAGAAAGTCGTGACTATTACTATTGATAAAAGATGAAGCAAGTGAGGGCCCAATTTGAGAAAAATAGCTATTGAACAAGTTACAAATATCAGTTTGGCTTTGAGTCGAATTGTTTTTGGCACTGTCAATAAGGGAGTTAGGGGTAAATTTCTTACATCCTTGATTAATAATGGAGTTAATGGTTCTCCAAGTCATTTTTGAGTCATTTTTATGTTTATCAAAACGTTTCGCATAGTAATCTTCTTTCGCATTGTTTTTAATACGAGTGAGGGCATTAGAATATTTTTTATATTGACGCTTTTCAGCATCGGTGCCATTCAAATAAAAAGATTTATGCATTTTATTCCTAATTTTTACAGAACGTAAAATACCAGGAGTAATCCAGGGTTTTCTTTTAAGCCGAATTTCTCTTCTGCTTATTTTTTTCAGAGGGGCATGTTTGTCAATCAGGTTCTTAAGTTTAGTCACAAATTCATCAAAAATCGTGTTCAAGTTATCGGCTCCAATTTCCTGGTGAAAAAGTTCATTAGAAAATACAATATGAGCCTCGTTCAAAAAGCGGTCAAGATTGAAGTGCTTCATATCACGTTTTAGTTCTCCAGCATGATTAGGGGGTGAATTTTCATACTCAACTTGACAAAAAATAGGATAGTGATCAGACAGACTATCATGTAATACTATAGAATTTATGTTTTTATCAATAATATTGGTGTACATGTGGTCAAGCAAATTCGCAGAGTTGCTGGTGACTCTTGTAGCGCGTGTGATCAATGGAATTGCGGCATGGGACCGTAGCATATCTAAGTATTGTTTTGTAAAATTATTATTTGCAAATAAATTAATATTTACATCTCCTACAATTAAAAACTTTTTTTTGCTGTTAGTTAAGTTATTCAAACTGTTTTGCAGCTTGCTAGAAAATTCATGGAAATTTGTATTCGGATGGCGGTAGAGAATACCAATAATTATTGAGACACGTTTGGCAGAATTGATGGGAATCTCAACCCACAGCTCCTCGCATCCATCAAGCTTCAGCTCATAATCATTAATAAATTTTGGACAGAAGTACGATTTCACATATAGTCCCACACCACCAGCATTGGTGTTCGTTGGTGTGTGATAAAAATCATACCCATCTATACTAATATTTGATACTGGGTCAGTTTTTAATTTTGTTTCTGAAATACCTATAAAAGAGGGGGCAGATTTTAAGTCAGATACAAGGGAATACAACTCATCTATATTTTTTTGGATAGACCTAATATTCAAGTGTGCTATGATGATTGGATATTTTTCTATATCAGTAAGGGCAGTTAAAACATCTTCTCGATTGTCAAGGGAGACACATTTACCAACATTTTCAAAATCGAAATCATCCGTATTCAAAAAATTATGGGTTATTATATCAGTGAATTCAGGACTATTAGGAACTGGTTTTATCGAATTTAAACATGTACAACAATAATTGGAAGTCGGAGAACCTGTGGTAGGACAGGAAAAAGAGCACCGAGTGTGGGACATAGATCTACAAGTATCACAATATAAAAAGTTATTTAAAATTGGGTTTTTACATAATGGACAAGAAACTAGAGCAGCCATTTTATAACAATTTTAAAGTATTACCTGTTTGGATAACTGCTGTTCAGTTCAGATTCTGAAGGTCGGATAACTTTGTAATTGGGATTCTGGGAGCATCTTTGTTTTTCTTCATGTATATGTTTCCGTTTGTAGTCCACAGTCTTTCATATCTATTCGATTTTCTTGCCAAACGGGCATTGTATAATAAGTTATTTTTAAAATCAGTTAAATTTTCATTGATATACAGGGTTTTCATGCCGGGGATTCTGAAGTTCTTTATGCTGGATATGATACGCTTTTTGTTTATAAATTCATTCCTCTTGTTTCGATTAGTGAATCGTACAATGATGGGAGCAATTTTGGTTTTATCACGTCGAAGGAGTCTATGCGAAACAGAGATGTCCAATCTTTCCACTGTAATATTGAGTAATTGACCCAGTTTTACAATGATGTCATCAGTGTTTTCCCCCTCTGTATATGGGATTCCGTACAATTCCAACTTTGTTGTGTAGGTCAGCTAGATAGGTTTTTTGAATTTCAAATTCGGCGTTGATGAAATCCTGACTAGCTTGCACCAGTTTAACTTCATTTTGAAGAACATTATTCGTGTTATGAATGCCAGTTATGTCATTCACCAATGTGTTGACTTTATTCATTAGATCAGAACTCTGGATGAACATGACCTCCAAACGTTCCGTCAGTTGTTGGGTGTTATTGAGAACGGACTCATCAATTTGAGTGGACATCTTCTGGTCATGCTCATTGATTGTTTCTTCCAAGAGATCTTTAATAGTGTCTTCTACTATGGCCTTCATTCCAATTTTCAGGTTTTTTGTGATCCTAGACTCCATTTGGTCCAATTTTTTCTTGAGCTCATCAAATCTTCCCTCCATTTTCAAATTTAGGCAAATATGAGTAAATTTAGATATTTAGGTCTAACCGGTTATGAACTATTTTCTTAATCAAAAAGCAGTCGAGCCGCTTTCATTCGACAAGGTTTTTATAGTTACTTTAAGTACTTTTATACTATTTTTCTGAATCTAAGACCTGGCAATTTTATAATTACACCGAAAAGTATAAGAAAATTACCCGAGCCTCGTTCAATAAAAAAGTGCAGGACTCGATCAATCCTCGATGTGCGTCCAATGGGTGCTGGGTCATCCAGTCAGAGACGCCTTTTTGCTGAATTTGGGCAGTAATATAGCGAAGAAACATTTTGGTGCTCCTGAAGTATGCGCACCAAGATGTCGCAAAACCTGAACCCTAACCTGGTACGCAACCTGAGTTCAGTTTGTGCGCATACTTCAGGAGGTCTGACATTTTTTAATGAATTAACTCAAGATACACAATCATGAAAGGATAAAAGATTAGTTACATAAGCCCATTCAAAGCGGAATGATTGTGTGTTCGCTATTTTACGGTAGTTTGTGTCGCATTGAATTGATGTTGAAGACCCATTTAATGAATGATTCAAGAACACCAACGCGGGGTCAAATACTAGGTAAACTTCAATTTTTACATGTATAAAAATCTAATTTACGATTTACTCAAATTTTTCTTTAGGACAACTAGGACTATTTAATTCAGTCTATCGTACTTTTGCATGTAAATTGTGTGCGACTTAGCTCCAGGCCAACATAAAGAAATTGAGGTTAGAATTCAGATGACTTAGCGATATCCGCATAGTTTTGAAGTAAACATCGGTGAATTCGAATCAGTATCGCTATATCCTCAGCCGCCTCTTTCAAATTCTTTTGGATAAACTTGCAACCAAGCTATTTTTTGACTATATTTTAACCATATAGGCCCTATAGGATTTTAATAATAGAATTCCAAGAGATGATTTCCGTATCAAATATAGTAAATCTTATGGCTGAGGTTATTTTGTCTCTTTCAAACATTTTGAACTGTTCATCAATAGGCTTCTTCTTATAAAGAACTAGAATACTGCTTCATAAGTGGTTTTCCGAGTTTTTTAATAGCCACTGGCATTAGAGGTGATGTTGCTGCTCCGAGCAGGTTTGAGTTTTAAGGATGCCAAATGGCGCTTTCGTTGCCGACACACGCAACAGAGCAATCATGAAACCATCTCGATCCGTGAAAATTGCTCTGAGATCATTGTGACGTAACGAGCCTAAATTTCAATCAATTACGTCAATCTGAGGTAATTTTACCCGGTTAAGTTGTTTTTCTTGACATTCCCAGCCCTCACTCCTAATACCTAAGACGTTCCAAAGCTTATTGGTCGAAGTTTCTTTTCTACTTAATCACGCAGAATACCACAAACTTAAACAACATGCCGACCTGCATCTACCTGAGCTATATACCAATCCTGTCACTTTTACTTCGTTTTATTTATTCAACTATAATTACAACTACGGACGGATTTACAATATACTTAGTTGCATCCATATATATGTCATAATTTTACAAACTTGAATGTATTAAAAAAATTTGAAAATGCTCTACTACAAAATAAAAAAACAGCAGTTTTGATAGAAATGACTGCTGTGAAAAAGCGCATATAGAAATGGTGTTGAACATAAACAGCATAACTACTTTTCTACTTAAATTTTTGTTCAACCCCATCATAAAGCAGGACTGTGGCCTCTGACTCCGCATTGAAAAACAAACTTTTTGATATGGGGATTGTAAAAAAATTTGACTCAGACTTCAGTGCAGATAAAGTCAACACTGGAAATGAAAACTCCAGCAAAACTGCAAGCCGTCTCTGACTGCTAAGAACGCTATGTACAGTTTGATTCTGTTTTGAGCTCTATGATCAGCATTTAGACTTTGGGGAGTTAAATAAGACTCCTGCTCCATCGTAAACATGCCAAACTCTGACACTGCAGTCCTACGGAAAAGAAACGGTCTACAGCAGCTCACATAAGCAAATTTACCAGGTACACTGCAGTATTTTAAAAATATTATCTGCATACAAATTCGCACCAGCACTTATAATAAAGTAAAACATATAAAAAAAACTACATATAAATTCTATTGCACCAATAAAATAAGAGACATGCTTGTGTAAATTTAGGCGAACATAACTATCAGTAAACATCTGCAGGAAGTCCAACAATCCTCTTCTTTTTATATTTGGAAAATAAGTAAAACCTAGGTAAGCTAGTCAACAAACCGAGGAAATTAGGAATCTGAAAAGAAAATTAAAAGAATATTAGCAATCAACCATTAAATATCAATTGCACTTTGGTTAACAATTTCTGCAACTAAAATTGTATGATGACCAAATAATTATCTCAATCTAGAGCAGTGCTCATCAACCGGGTGTTTGCACCAAAAACATTAGCCTATTCAAAAATTTACTGGTTGTTGTAGGCCAGTATTTCCAAACCAATGGGTCAAGACGACCAAAAACTGGGATGTCTGAAATTTCTTTTGGGCCGCTTGTTTTTTTAACAAAAGACTAGATGTGATAGAAGTATCACAGGGTAAAAATTCGGAAGTGTTTATTTTGCTTTAAAAATCCAGACAATTTCAAAAACTTGCTAATGGCAAACAAACGCAGATTGGCAGCTTTTCACAAAATTAGAAGCACAACATATGTGTTATGCACAGCGTATGTCTGGTGTATTTCCCAAGGTTTTGTCACCTGCTTCTCATATCATTGATTCATCATTATTATCTGGAACTGGTTTGGGCAGATTAATTTTGATTTTATGCTGTTTGTATTTCCATTCCAAACCTTTCCGAACAAAGATTTTCTGCTCCATTAAAAAGGAAATTCAACTGAAGGATGCAGATACACTAATCGACTAATGGGAGGTTAACCTGCTGGTGAAATCAACAACATTATCATTGAAGAAATGATGAAGAATTATGTCGGCATAAAAAAGGTATTTCATATAAACACTATGATTTTGATCACATAAGAATGTATGATGGCTGGGTGCACCAGATTGTGAGGATGAAAAGATGTACAATTTTAAAAGAGGTCAATGAGCACTGATCTCGAGGGAATGCGAAATAACAAGTGTCAGCCCAAGGGTAGATAGGTAATATTCTCTAAAAGCCTTTAGAAAAAAACCAAAAAAGGGGTTACTCACTATGATATAGGGGTCTTTTTTCATTGATCCATAAAGAGTCCATAAAATAGGTGCAAAAGAATGTTGTAACAGTCAATGGAAACGAAATTGGAATCAGTTGACTTTTTTTCCACCACAGTTTTCTGAAAAACATTTGCAAAGATGAAGATTCTTGCACTATAATTTATAAATCTAAATTAAAAAACTAGGAGCTAAAATTTATTTTAAATATGCAATATGGAAATATACACCCTGTGGTACACAATTGTCACAGAGAAATAGTACCATTTCTGCAAGTGGAGAGGGAGAACATCAATACCGGTACTGAGTAATAAGTGTGCACAGCATTCCATTATATTGGTGGCCATAGCTTTGTCTGAGCTACTTGAAATGTAGATCCAGCAGATTGATATGCCAGAGACTTGCAACTGCAGTTTGCTGGAATTCTTAACCTGTAACGAACAATAATAGTTAATCCCTGCGGCCATAGAAGAATAGACCATCCTGCGAAGTGAACCAATATGACAACATAGCTTTTTGAAACCCAAAAAATTCATAATTAAAACGTCAACACTGGCAGCAAAATAATATGTTTGAACATTTAATGTAAAATCGACTATGGCATAGGAATGATTCAAAATATAAATGACAAGTCTAAAATAATGCAGCAACAAAAGCTTAGAAGCCATGCTAACCTTGGATGTAGAATATCGAAAATAAACCACCATGTTAACCGTCTGCAGAATGGATCCGATTGCATTCACAATAAAAAGTGTAGAATCTTTAGTCAAGGTTGAATACAGAATCCATGCTATATTGCTGAATAGTAATTGATACCAAATGAAAATATATACCATAATTTATAACATCAGATACACAAATACTGGATCGACACATTGAACCATTAGTCACTCTGCCTCTGAATACGTAACTAAGAATCTAGAATATGCATGAAGTGTATTTTTCGACAAACTTATTTCATCTTGACCAAGCTCAATATCTACTTTTCTATGAGATCATTTACAAATACAATTTTGCTCCATGCAAGGTTCTAAGCTCGTAACTAAATGAAGAAAGAGTTCTAATAAGAGAGTGGCAAGCAATCACTACTGCTTTGTGAAAGTAGTTTCCATCAAGTCGTTTGTTCCCCTAACAGTTTTGGCTTGAATGGTCAAAATTAGAAACTTCAATTCAAACCCAACCCCACCAGTTTTGGGGTCTCGTGTAGTTTCGTACCTAACGTACTTCTAGTGGGCGTAGCATAACAATTTGTTGATATGTCAATCCTAACCCCCATCTGACTACGCCATCCAAAAAGTATGTCACTACAACATCACAATCACGTCATAGAGCTTGCTAAATTTACAGTAAATCGCCCGAACATTGGCATTTGGCGTCGACGATGATAGTCTGACTGGACGTTATCGGATCTCTCTCCTATTGTGAATCGTTTCGACAGAAAACGCGAGAAATTAATCTGTTCGATTTTCGGTGCTCGTTTGCGCGTCCTGGACTGGCAGATTTTTATCTCTTCCATTGAGAATTATATAAAACATGTATATAAATATGTGAACAGTTTATGTCAATTTTCACGAATATAAATATCATTATCTGGTACACTACTAACACTATAACACAAACTTACTTAAAATTTGTCATTAGATAAGGAAGAAATGGAACATTGTTCGTACTTTCCTGTTTCACCATCTGAAGGCATTGTGGTCTAAATAAAATAACATTTACTATGCCAAAGCCGATTATAAATGTGTAAAACTTAGAAAAGGTCATCTTTGATGTACCTTATGTTTATTCTAATTGTTAGTAAGATGAATCTATTAACTTATCATATGTTTTTCTGCTCTAGAAACAGGTTAATACATGGTAATTATTGAATAACATAAAAAAAAATGAGGTAAGAAAAAAAGGTAAAACTGGGGTACAATAGGTGGTAACGCATAATTTAGTAACGCAATTCCGTACTCCAGTACTCACATTCCAGTTGAAAATACTGCAATGGTGAAAACAATGCATGCATTTGATAATAAATCCATCCAGTCCATTATCCTGTTTTAGCGTTAGGCAATAAATCTTGTCAAAACTTCCAATGATAGCAACATTCAGCTTTTTTTTTTTTTTTTTAGTTACATAAAAACAAAAATGACAATTAGCAAATGAATAATTCACACTATTGGTATTAGATTAATTTAAAACAATCTTTCTTACATCTATCAAAAACATTGGCAGCTTTTCACTACAAATATTCCGCGAGAGCATCTATATACGAACGGGGGCTGGCTACAATAGCCCAGCCTGCGGGCGCCAGGCGTTTCAAAACAAACTATGACGTCTTCCATCGCCGCTTTAAACGAGACGCGGCAAGACAAAAGACGTCCACAATCGGCATCCTACGTCGGCGTAGTTGGTTACTCATTTCTGGACTTATCCCCAATCAACTTGGTTGAAAATAAGTAATTAAACAAGATCCATATGTACATTTTTTGTCCAATAATTATGTTATTCATAGTTGCTTTGTAGATATTCATAACTGACTGTGTCAGTCTCTGGTTTTTGTTTATACAATTTGTCATTAAAATATACGTCAATAAAAAAAACTAGTTGATATAGTGAATTCTTGACTTTTGAAATGTAAAATATAGAAAAATTTCATGGGTAATGGAGACTTATTTAAGTTACGTTATATAAAATTTAATATAATTTTCCTAACTAGTGTCATTTACCAAAAACTTTTGATTCTGTTAATATTTATACATCGTGCTTCCTGGCCTGACTAACAATGAATTATTTACCGGTATATTTTTCCCAGTATTTGCGCGGCAGTTCAATCAAAGAGCCACAGGTTGGTTGAAGTTTCCACTACAAGGCACGCATCGTTCCCGTTAGAGGTTCAAGCAGTCTCATTGGAGCAATATGTTAACCGGTCGGAATATCGTGGTCCATTCACTACCCTGGCTAAAATATGAATTTGTATTTTCCTTGCTTAGCTCACTGGCTGCCCAATTATAAAAATATATCAAATAAGATTTCTATCATACGCATTAGACAAGCTTGTCGGATATTGATATTGAATATTTTGGTCACATTCCCGTATCGTGCTGCACATGTTATCCCTGTATCAGATTGGAAAAGAAATTATTAGCACTGGATTGCCAGCACAACACCTCACAATTTTGAATAAAGATTATTGCATGTATGCATTATCGCGAAAGAATGTGGATCTCGCAATAGAAACGATTTTCTGCCACACAACTATATTTCACTCACACCAACAAGTGCGGATATCAGGTCTCAAACAGCAATAATTCAGGATTTATTGAAAGCTAAAGCAATAAAGCACCTCTATAAGTTGATGATTGGGATGAAATTCATAATAAATAATGCAATAAGAAAAAGCATGCATATCATCTAAAGTAATATTAAGCTCAATACACATGGGTGAGCCATGTCAAAAACAAAGAAAAAGACATAACCCTATTCATTAATAAAAAGCAGATAGCACCCATTGATTTCAGAATAATATAAAAACACATGTACCAACTGCACCGAATAGAAACTATTTACCTTGGAGATTTTAGATCCAAAATAAAAAACCAGAATCTCTCTGATATCATAATATAGAGAACATTTTGAGAGGTAAGACACTGAGAGTAAGTAGTGTGAAAACTGAGTTAAATGGCAAATAGAAAACTAATATTTTAAAAGAAAAATACGTATATTGCACAGTGATTGTTAAATAAAGAGCAAAAGACAAAATTGCATCTAAAAATGAGCAGTGTAATGGATTGAAAACCATCGTAATACACAAAAAAGCAAACAGTTTTTAGAGAAACTAGGCCTATTGTAGTTGGAAGTGAAATCAATTGAAATGGAAAATGATTGTCAGGATTGAAACAGAAAATGATAAATAATAGTTTCCCAATTTTCAGGCAACAAAAGTAAGTTGTCCCATGCTACCATTCTCGGAAGGCAATACTGTGGATCCATTATTAGGATGGTATCTGACATCAGTTGAGGTGGGAGATGGAGGTGCAGGTGATACGGCAGTCGTAATCTGGCTTTTCCAGTATATCATTACCCCGACAGCAAGTAACATTGCACCACACACTGATCCAACTGCCACAGCTGCCAACATTCCTGTCCTTGGAGGTTTTTCAGTGGGTATTTTAATACCAGCATGTAGGTTACTGGCACTGTCTGTAACAGTTCTGTAAAACCAAAGTTGCTACTCTTAGAAGAAATGAAAATAATGCGTATGCTATTTTAATATGTTTGATAATCATGTGATATCATATATTCTTGCTATGATTGGGTGATAAATTCAAATTTTTTTGAAGCATTTCAGAAAAAAATCAGAAACATCATCACTGATCAGCAGGTGGAACTACTTTCCAAATAAGAACTGTTGCTTCATATAAAAACCATCATTTTGATCTGAAGTTAAAATAAGGATCAAATATATAACATGAGATGAGGAAAAACTAATTTACCAATAACAATCGCCCAAACAACAAGAATTCAGCAAAAACGATCTATAAGTCCACCTATAGATGATAATTTGTAACAGACTTACATATTATTTGCTTTATACACCTTGCCATCAACAGGAACTTTAAAATTGCCTTCAGACACAGAAACTAGAAGCCTCTTGATTGCTTCTTTGCATGAAACCTCTTTGTAATTATACGCCACTGGCTGTGTCGTGCCACTTTGATTTACTCCTGAATTATAGTCTTTTGGTGATAAAGAAGATTTTGAATCCTTGGGTGTAAATGTGGTCCAATCAATGTTTTTAAGAAGAGTGAATTGCACGGCAGTGATGCTCACAAATTTGATTTCCACAACTCGTGTTCTGTTGTAAAAATAAGCCAAGTAATGAAATATTGAAAAGTTTCATGTTTTCCCATACGAATAATTGCTTCATAAAATACTTAGTTAGGCTGAAAATCACTCATCAAACACGTCTTCAACAACACAATATAACAAAAAGAATTTACTATAATGTAAATTTGGCGCGGAATACTTTGACATTAGTCGGATTCAAATGAATCAAAATTCAATCTATAATAATGTCATACCATAAGCAGGTAAAGGAATATCCTTCATATCCATTCATGTTCATATTACATTGCGATGTCCGCCATCTTGGTTCGCATACTTCGGAAGCACCCAAATTTCTTTACAGAAAAACTTCACCAGTGCACCAGCAATATGGTAAAGACACTAGCGCATAAAAATATCTAGTAACAAAAATTATCAAGGCGTGATGAGATATTATAAATCAAGTTTTATTTTAGATCAAGTATTATGTCTTAATAATTTTCCTCTCTTTACATATACACACTAAGTCTTTACCATACCATGCTCTGATGAAGTTTTTCTTTACAAAAATTCAAAATGTCAGCAAACTATATCATTTTGCAAACACTGGTTGTGCTCATCGACATTGCATCATAATACCCATGAAAGACAACTTACTGGTCAATATCTGTTGCAGCAACAATTTCGTTAACAAATTTCGCGATAAAAATATCCAGTTTATTTTGAGCTTGTCTTGCGGTTTCCGATTGTTTCTCACGATTTCTCATTTGAACATGAAGTTGTGCGAGTGATGGAAATGAAATTGTTATTTTTGCACAATATGGATCAACTTTTGGTGAACCTAAAAATGTAAGTTCTCAAATTGCTCAATCTACATCAAGATGGAGTTGAGTGCTTTGTTTGCTTTACTTGACCACCTCACCTAGGGTGTAATAAATTGTGTAGCCAATGCTGAACCCGAAGGATTCCGATCCTTTCGTTTATATCTTTAGATATCAGTGGCTGGCTGCGAAAAGTGTGAAAGAATGCAAGATAAGTAATTAGAGACTCCTGATGACCATATGGTCGTATCACATCCTCCTGTCCATACCAAAACAATTTTATTGCTGTTGCTACTTTATTGATGACTGTATTTTTTGGTTGAAGAACTAATAAAATATCTCTCTCTCTCTCTCTCTCCTGTCTCATGATATAGGTACCACCACAAATGTGCTTTACAAAAAACACATAGAAGAACAAAAACCAGGAATAATTTTCTATGAAAGAAAATGGGTTACAATGTAAAGAACATTTGTCATTTTCAAACCCTGCCAGTAAATAATGCCTCCATTAATTTATTACAAAAACCTTTACTTACCACTTGTTGGATGGACAGAGGCTGCTGTAGTTGTTTCAAAATTGTAACCACATAGAAGAGATGTTGAAGGACAGTGCAGTCTACCTGTAATAACAATAGAAGATCAAGGCACCTGCCCATATATAACGTAAATCACTATTTTATTATTATTCGAGTCATTGTGATGACCAAGAAATGGTGTCATTACATGTCAAAAATATGAATGTTGAACCCAAATTACAGAGATGAGTTGGCATAAATTGACATTCGAATGCGGATTGAAAACACATTTGATTCAGACTCCCAGCCAAGAAAATTTGAAACTTTGTGATTGTGCCTAATAGGCTGAACAATTAGTATACTTATATGCTTTTTGAGTTTATGGGAGAAAATCGAGCTTCTTGACTCCTGGAAATTCATAATTCCAATTTGATTCCTGACTTCAGCGAGTTTGGATGGAAATAAGACTTCGGCTGCATTGAAAACAAGCCCAAGCCAGACTGGCGACTCAACATATGCAGCCTGCCCTCCATATTATAAATTCCTAGAAGTGCAACCATAGAAGATAATAATTAGACAGGAAACACACAAACCTGCATAATTTTCAAATTCGATGTAAGATCCTTCTGGACAGATTTTCCATTCAGCTCCAGTGACTTGAACTTCAAGAGTATTTGTATCATTGCATCTGTGTCGAAAACATCGACCTTCTGGTTGCCGTAATGATCTCGCTGGTTGATACTAAAAATTATACAAATAATTTCAGAAAATTCAAGTGGAAATTAGCATTCGTAAAATCTAATCACAGCATTTTATGACGGAATACCTTGGCTTTATTGAACACCAGGTCTGACATGAAGCATCTGCTTTCTCGTGAATATATTTCTCCTTTCCAGTCAGTTAATCTTGTTCTGTTAAAAAATCAGAAAATAGGTTGCAACTAATTAACTCTGGACTTTGACAGTGCCAAGTATTTCTTTGTTTATTGTATATTATTAAATCAGCTTGATGATAAACAAGAGAGTAATTCGTCAAATAACTACTGCAATCGACAATAAATTAAAACAAAATCAGCTTACTCGTTTTTATTTTTCCAACATTCCATGCCAGGATGAGCTTTGAATGTTCTACAACTTTCTAAATATTCATTAGTTTCGCAATTTCCTTTGTCCAGATGAAGAAAATGACATCCAGTTTGACGACTAAAAAAAAAAAATTTGTAACAATTTTTTACTATTATTAAATATTTAGAATAGTTCAATCATAATTGGTATCAATAATGGCCTGCTGTTAAACAGGTTACAAGGCATTATGTAATTTTTTTTTAAATTTTGGCATGCCAAGAGATCTAGTAGAGGGAACAAAACAAAACTAAAACAAATATACAAAAGCATATACCTGTATGAAGTACGTCTGCAGAAGAATGGAGATGAAGCATTGAAGCAAGATAACCCAGTAGCGAAGTTACAACCTGCATTTTTACCCCACTGTAAATCTTCAGCTTGTTTATAATCAACTTGATACCAACCCATGTCTTCGAATGCACCAAGAGTTATACGATCAATGACAGTTAGATGAGGCTGATGAAGAAATTACATTACCTTTAACATTTACAATGCCTATGGTTACTACAAGGCAGTGGTTCTCAAACTTTTCAAGCCGCACCCCATTTTTAGAATTTGTCAAATCTCGTACCCCTGTCAAATTAACTAGCTAACAATAAGCTACAAGTAACAGATAGTAAGGCGAAACCGAGTTTTATTGAAAAAAACATGTTGAAAATACATGGATGGAACGTAAATATTCAAAATAAAAAAATGAAAATATCAAAAATTTTTTAAACATAAACTGTCGGATTAGGATTTTATGCTTGAAGGGGAAAAATCCGAGTGTTGACAAGGGCCACACTAAACGGCTTTACTGGCCGGGGTGTGGTCCACATTAAAAATTAATTAGATGGTTAGGTACTGGAGCCACTAAAATGTACAGTAGCTCAGCACCAGTTCTATTCAGGTGAGCTTGGCTACAGATTGAGAACCCCTGGTTAATCTATATTATATATTCGATTTTATATATACCGTATCTGCTCTTTTTGTAGCCTGGGCCCATATTCCAAGCCTGGGCGCTTGTTATTTTCGATCGTTACAATAATTAATATATTGTTATTTCTAGTTTTCTAGTATGATTTAAACGAAAATAATGAATTTTTCTACGCACCGAATCAGGTACAAATCCGCAAAAAAAGAGAAGTTTTGCGACACCCTATCAATATTGAAACGACGCACGTCGCGACGCCCAGTTTGAGAACCATAATGTTACGTAATCAATGCTATCTGTTATGTACTTAGACGCCTAAGGCGTGAGTGTTATCTACCGGCGCTTAAAATTAAACAGTGTTGTGACAAAAGCGCTTCTTATTTCCTATTGTTCTCTACTACTGAAAAATCAGCTTTTACATCGGGCGGGTTATTCAAGCATCGGCCCTTATTTATTTTTATGTTTTGTTTACACGGGCGGCTATTCAAACGGGCCCTTAATCAAGATCGGGCGGTAAAACAAGCATATACGGTAGTTTCAAATTAAAATCCAATGAGGCTCACCAATCCAATGGTTGGTGCCATTAACGATCCTTGCATAAATCTAGCTTCCCAGTGAGATGATGTTCTGAGAGGAGGCTAGAATAAATACATATAAATTAAAGTTAGTGAACCTTTCTTTTTTAAAGTAAATTTGAGTGAGATCGCCATAAACTACCGCAGTGAATAATAATGTTTAAAATTCAGAAAACGAATAGAGTATAAATGCGGAGAGAGACTCCTGGTCCTGAACTAAACAAATGCATTTCATCTAAAATACACTGCATGTTCCATAAAGTATAATTGGATAGAATAGGAATTTTATATTTATCCCGACAGAGGAACAAGACCGCACAATTATATCGGAAACCACAGCCTCTCATCCAGTTACCAATCCATAATGGGAAATAGTTTAACAATTATAACAGGCAAATGCTAACAATTTCTTTAACACATACTGTTAATTATCCAGTTGCTCATGCATTAACTTTGCGCATGTCCTTATTAATCAGGTTAATCTAATGAAATTCAATCATTATATCAGATTGGTCTCACCACCACATGATTTTCGAGTGGACATCCTCTTTTCGTTGAACAATTGAGGTGTTTCTGTGTTTCTCTAGTGACAGCTGGTGTCACAATATGTTTTCTGTTATCGATATAACTAACAATTTTTCTTCTATCTTCGCAAAACCATTCTATTGATGAAGTTTTGTTTGTGTTCTGGTAAAAATCATAAAATAATAAAGCTAATAAAATGATGACTAGGTAGCAGATTCAAAAAGCAAATAAAATAGCATTATGAACATTGAATTTCCCTTGCTTCACATATCCTTCAAAAAAACAATAGTCCAAGGATGAAGCCAAAACTTGACCAAAACAAGGTGCACCAAATATCATTATTTACGAAGAAAAAAAATTTGCATTGGACTTGTATGTTTATGCCAGCTTGGTCATTCGGTGTAAATTAAATACGGTAACTGTTATATTATTTTTTTATAATGCACATTCACACCTTTTGCAGTCACTAATTTATTATTGAAGATGATATTTTAGAGGGAGGGCAGGAAGATTTCCAGTTTGATTTTGCCCACCCAGATTCTTACACCCTGGGTGAGGTGGCGGGCAGTGAATTTACATCTAAGATGTGTAACCCACCAAAGCCAATGAACACACTTAAGTCGGTACTTCCGTAGTGTGTGTACCAGGTTAGGGTTAGGCCATAATTTTATTACGATTTTCTTTATTTTAGTTCTATTACGAGTTCGAGGACTGTTTGTTTTACCCAAGTAAATATACCCCTGTTTATAGGCTTCTCTTAAGTCTCATGTTTTACATGCTAGGCCAATGCACCATAAATATATTAAAAAACTGACTTCTTTTATCAATTCAAATTTTAGTCAATAACATGATGGTGTTCATACTGAAACTAATCAAAAGCTTATTAATAGAATAGTGACTATATTTTAGGGAGATCGTCTAATAAACAATGATAGAAAGTTAAATTCTTACTTTGTCTTTACCATCATTATCACCATCCTTTTTCTCATCGACCTTCTTTGGCCCACATTCTTGAAATTTATCAAAAAGATCTTTTGAAAATCCAAGAGCATGAAAAAATTCATGTAGCGATGTCTAAAAATAGGATTAAATTAAAAAAATAACAAAACTATTGAATGAAGAATATTGAATACTGAAACCACACAATAGGCAAACTGATAGAATATTTCCGTCTCACACTCAAGTGAGTGTATTGTTCAAATTGAAACTGAATAAACAGTAAAACCTAAATAAAAGCATTATTTGAAAGCTATAAGATGAAATTGTATTTCTGTAAATTAAGCAAATAAAATACCCAGAAACTGCTCGATTATATATTGTTAATGTATTTGTATTGAAGAACAAAATCGACAATTTTGAATTGAAATAATTTATTAGACATTATCTATGTTTTAATAGGCACTAGGCCACCAAACCCAAAAAAACGCTACTCAACCGATATATAAATAAGAAATAATTTGAAACATTTTACACTAAACCTACCAAGTAAAGAACATCTTCATCATATAAAACATCTTCTAAATGTTTCGGACAAAAATTAGCAAAACCAGCGATCGGCCTGTTGTATTGATCCAACTGACAATATGTAGCATAAGCTATAACACCCTGGAAAAATAAAAATTTTGAGTAATATCTTAAACTCTATTTTGACATATATTCAACTATTTTCATTATCAAGTTGATGAATCCTGGAACCAGATGCAGTTTCTAATTCGTAATCCATAAAATCATGTATACATAAAAATGAGCAATGTGTTCAATCAGCAACTATGGATGAACAGTATTTGACTAAAATGTGACTAAAAAATAGCAAAAATTGGTAAAAGAAAACATTGTCTTTGAATTTCATTTACTGAAACTACTCAGTTTTAAAAACTGAGACTTTAAAGTAGAAAATTTATTAAGTAAAACTAGTTTTGGCTATTATTAAAGGAAAAGAATATATTTTTAATACTTGACAGAAGAACCTGTATGTGTATCAATATGGAGGTAACTGATTTTGTTAGCATACTTTACATCAAGCTGTGTACAGGGACTGATTACTTCCCTTGGCTAATATAGACAGTCCCCGAACTCGTAATAGAACTAAAACAAGGAAAATCGGAAAATAATCATGGCCTGACGATAACCTGGTACACATACTACGGGACTACATTTTTTGGTATATTAAATAGCCTATATTATATTGTGCTCTAGTTTTCTATCAATCATATAATGGCTTGCAACCTCACTTTGGACATCGGGTATTACTAATTCGTTGACACAAATCACTTTGATGTTTTATTATCTGATTTGTTACAGAACCTTATAAACACCTTGTATTTATCAGTTGATAATATACCTTATCATTGCACAAATTATTTTTTTCCGCATGGACGTAAATCACAGTGTCTGTATTTGGCAATCCTGAACCATCTTCATATAACATATGTGTTGGTTTGTCCGTGTTGTTTGTGTAAATTGGATATCCTTGTAAATGATCTTCCGGAATCTGATAAAATAATGAATATGGTTTATGGTAGAAAAGTAATAATACAGTGGGGAGAAAATTAAGGACTTTAAAATGGAGTAAAATAGATGAGTGAGTATCAGTAACAGTGGAATTTTCTCTGATGGTAACTTATATTCTTGCATTGCTGTATAATTAATACCAGGTTTTCTCAAGTTCGCCCATTGGCCCCAGAACTGAATGATACTCTGATGGCCAGAAGTAAAGAATCTCATTAGGTAGAACTCGTGATTTGAATTGACTGTTTTTGATTAATTCTTTGACTGTAATGTATTTAATTTTTATAGCAGAATAGGGACAGGGCCACAAGTGTTGAGAGTCATCGGAAAAGGGCCACATATCATGAAGTGCCACTGATTTAGACTAAAACTAAATTAAAAATAAACACAAAAATAGGATAGCATGAATATTTCCAGAAACTTAAAAATAATTACCTTAAATTCATTTAAACATTTTTCTCCATCGTAGGATGAACTTGCTAACGCACATCTAAAAATAAATTTTGATTACAGATTTCAAAACTATTCATTTCCGTAAATACTTTTTACATCATATCGTGATACGTAAATATGAACCACATTAAAGATAATCTGAGGTAAAATTCGTATTTATTATTCAAACCAGAATATCTAAGTATAACATCCTCTTACCACAGGCAAATGAGATCATTGTGCTGAATAAATAGGGCTGACAGTCCAAAAAGTATTTTGGTATTGAAGCCGAAAGTGTTGGAAATTTAAGGCGGTTTATATCAATATTAAGTAACGTACTGAGAATAAAAATTCATTTTGAAATATATCGTGCGAACAGCTTGCCTAAATTAAATGATTAAGTAATTGCAGCCTAGGGATGGGCAATATAGAATACCGAATCCGGAGGATTCGAATCCCAAGTATTCGAATCCAACGGGATCCGATAACAGGATTCGGTTTCCGCCTCTCCGGCGCCAAGCGTCAATTTTTGTATTTCGGGTTTCAAATTTTTCAATTATAGACGAGCGTTTTTCTCGCGTGGAAATCTCTCTCGTTTAATTAAACTTGCGTCTGCTCGCAAAGAACCCGTAAATCGTTAAACATCAAATCGGCATATTCAGGACAAGAAGTCGGTAATATAACCTCACGGCGAGGACTCGTTATTGCACCATTTTTGCGTTTTGCTTCTTTGCTATCTAGCTAGCGTTATTTGTGCCGACTTACTGGTGATATTCCGATAATCCGAATGCAACAATCTTTAATTGTTTACAGACGTGCCTTGCCTCATTTTAAATTAAATGATTTTTCGCGACCTACGAGTTTCCCCAAAAAATGATGCACGTAAACCAAAAGCCAGGCGTTAAATGTTATAACATTACTCGCCATTAATTTAGATCAAATATTATTCACGAATAATTTTATTATACCATTTTCCGAAATACAAAGTTATATCGCAAAACGCGAACAACTGTCACATTTAAATTTCACTCTCAAAAGATTACATATTTTTCGGTCCGTTTCTATCGTTCAAGATAGACGCACATTTGATCGAGTGTCTGTAGTATTTTAGTCGCCGATAAATTTTGAAAAAAGTTGCCACATCTGGCGAAGATAGTGACGTATTGAATTTGAGTAGGGCTAAGTCTGGGTAGATAATGATTAATGATAACATTTCTATCGATCAAGATAGACGCACGTTTGATCGAGTGTCTGTAGTATTTTAGTCGCCGATAAATTTTGAAAAAAGTTGCCGCATCTGGCGAAGATAGTGACGTATATTTGAGCAGGGCCAAGTCTGGGTAGATAATGATTAATGATAACATTTCTATCGTTCAAGATAGACGCACGTTTGATCGAGTGTCTGTAGTATTTTAGTCGCCGATAAATTTTGAAAAAAGTTGCCGCATCTGGCGAAGATAGTGACGTATATTTGAGTAGGGCCAAGTCTGGGTAGATAATGATATGTAACGATAATCATAAAAAATAACTTCGTCTTCAGATGTTATTACCTAATAACTAAGTACGAAATCGCGTTTACGGGAACTTGGTTTTACGTGTCTTGCTCTCTCAGAATAAAAGTTTGATTTTAATTGATAGTGGTTAAATTTAATATTTTACAACGGCGCATAGGTTGCAGTGGCCACACGCTGATTCAGCATATAATTAATTCTCAGCGGGTATGTTTTAGTATACTCGGCAGACTTACATTAATAATGATTTAACGCCGTTTCATGTCTATTTTGTATTTAAACGCTTACTATTAAAGTGTGTAAATAAAGCGTGTCTTAATTTAGCATATCAGTATTTATTAGTATTTAGGGATTACATACATTTGGAACAATTGAAGGCAAAAAATATTGTAATATTCCTAAATTTTATTGTCCTGGGAACTGCCTGTTTAGTATCAAATGAAATCCAATGTTCAGGACATTTCCAAATAGATAATACATTTATAGTAAGTAATACATTTGCTTTTTTTACCATCTAAATCCAGCAATGTAGAAATTCCCACTATTTGAATGAGTATGAAAATAGAATAGGATTCGGTATTCTGGATTCGATTTAACTATTCTAGAATATTCTAGAATAGTAAATTATTCTACATTGCCCATCCCTATTGCAGCCTCAGGGAAAATACTGAATATCGCTTAAAATTTAACATCATATAAGATGGAGTTGATAATAATCTGTACTTGTGAAAATAAACAACATGACATCAGCTCAAATCAATATAATAAAATGGATGATTAAAAAAATTAATAGAAAAATTGGTTGTTATGACGATCAATTAATAAACTTTTATAATAACAAATTGTTTTGATCTAAGATTGCCATAGCAAACATTTGTCAGTAAAATAAAATCCAGTGTAATATTATAACACAGGGTGTTATTATTAACATTGAAGTCTTGAAATTTCTCAAATTGCAAAGAAAATTTATCGATAGGCCTACCATATATAGCTTTGATTAAAAATTGAAATTGGTAATAGGATTTATGAACACCCTGTAATTATAGTGTATAATATGACTCTTAAACTATCATATAGACCTCTTTTCTCTCTTTGAATCAGGAGATGAAGATGGTTCACTCCAGAAACTCCCACAAATTTTTTCTACAGTTCTTTTGAATAGCAATGGGCCTTCCACAGGAATAACTGCAAAATCAAAAATATAATAATTAATACAACAATCAACACTGGACGTGAAGTAAAACATGTCCAATATCCAACACGCCACAAACAATTTAATAATTATATAATTATAGACAATGTTAGGGCTTGAATAAATTTCAGAAGCAATTATTTTGAGCTGATAATAAGTTTTAATGCCAATTAGTTCAACGATATTCTCATTATTTTACCACACAAAATTAGTATTCTGCGTCAATGAAAAGCCTTCAGGGGGATTTATTAAACGTGAACTTATTTTTGTCCAAGGGTTTCGTTTGAAAGAGGTTTTCCCTATTGAAATTTGATTTGAGCAGATTTGACTAGCTTGAATAATTTGTCTTTTTTGTAAAAAAAAAACGAAGTGATTGAAACATTAAATGTGAAAATTAAACAGGTTTAGTGTAAAAAGTTTGCTTTCATACTAATCATACATTATATTTATTTCAATAAAATTTTATACAAAATCGCAATTTGCTTGTTAAATAAGTCAGAATAATAACAAATTGCAATGAAAATTCCAGAATTCAAACATCCTTGGAAATGATTACATCAAGTTAACAAACTTGAAATGTCTGGGTAAACCACTCAAGTTAACGAGAGTTGTTGAAAATAGAAGTTCACGACAACACTTTTAACAAATTCAAAACTTCCAAGGTCACAATTCCTTAATTCATTTCGATTGGGTATATGCTTGTTTCTCATAATTATCAACCGTTTCAAGTGGTCACTCATTTAAACAAAAACTTTAACAAACGAAGCACTCGAATGATCGTAGTATATCATTGTGACGGATGCACAAAACGGGGAGTACTTGAACCACTTGTAGTTTAGGTAACAGGAGAAACAGTAACCAAAACATTGGGGATAAATAACCTCTCAAATGGATTTTGAGCACACATACAGCATGTACGAATAATAATAAGCTGATTTTGTTACCAAGGACCTGATAAATGAGTAATAGCTATATAAATAAATTTACAAATTTTAATCCGCACTCTTTTTAACAAATAGAATAAACACGGATTATTTTTAGACTTGAGATGAGCACTAAAAACTGGGAATATACAATAAATACTACACAAACTAGCAGGTTCATACTTGAGTTGACTATTGTTTATACAAACAAAGCCACTGTGCCTCTTTTATAAAAACAAAGTATAAACTCCAAATTAAGAAAATGCATAATTACATCATCCAAACTACACATTCAAAAAACAAAAAATGCGAAATGTGTGAATTATACTTCCGCAAGATATCATATGCCTAATGTCATGAATCGGTTCAGTACCATATATTGAAACATTTAGATAATGTGGGTTTTGTTACTCCAACCTACCTTCCTTTCTACTTTTTCTAGCTAATATCCCTCTAAAACTAAAATCAATTTATTTGTTTACAAATAGTGGGATTGTGGAATATTACATACATTTCTAAGCCGAATTATACCATTCGTCAATAACTGTATTAGCTTACGTTGAATGTAAAACATACAAACATCTACATGCTCATGTATTCAATGCAAATGTTCATACACATACACACAGTGCTCCATTTATGTGGGTGCCTATGGTTCTGCCATGAACATAATTTTCACTCGAGATTCGCATTGGTAAGTTATTAATTCATTAAAAGTGAACGTGTTACAGAAAAAATAATAAGTGACAAGCTCTGCGCTGTAAAACCAAATTGTCAAAACAAATTGAATTTTTCTCGTGGAACAGACTAATTCAGAAAATAGTCAATATTTTATTTTCGAAAAGATTGTTCTAGAACAGGGGTGTCAAACTCGTGGGTTTCCGAGGATGCATATTGGGAATGTGCAAAGGGCCGCAATCAGTTTTTGATATATTTTGATAATGTATACTTGAAGCATATTTTCAGATAGGTGTAGTTTGTGACATATATTGAGATGCAATTAAACAGCCGACTGAAGTTTTATCATTTTCTTAAATTTCAAATGCCATTTACATATTAATTTTTGCATTTTACTATTATTTTAATTTACTGCATTTATCACAAAAAAACATAAACTTGTACAACTATTCAAAAAATCTTTGAACAAAGTTTTGATAAGCATAAGGAAACAATAATACATATACGGAAAATGACTTAATCTATATATATAGACCTAATATTTATAAAAATACTACAGATAAACTCAATGTTTTTTTTACTATATATGAACTGACGTTTGGCATCTCTTTTGTGCCACCAGCTTACTAATATCAGGCTGAAATGATTTTACAGTACCAACTCTAATTAACGAGGTCACATGATCATCGGTTAATCTGGATCGTTAACAATGTTTTCTTTAATTACAGTAATGCAAAAATATTACGTTCATCATTTGTAAATCAAACAAATGACTGACTTCCATACCAGACATTTCCTACCTTTACGTGGCATGTAATCATTTGGGTTATGATTAATATTGATTTTTAGTAACTGGGTAGTTGTATAATTATAATAATATACAAACACATAACAAATTTCAGTTCGAATTGTCTTTAAATTTGCCATATTGACTCCTGAGCTTATTCTGATAATGTCTACTTATATTGATTCTTTCATTGTACTGATGGAAATGTGACAAATTAAACAATGTGCTTTAGAATTTTGAGAAATGCAGAAATATTGCAACTCCCATTTTTCTTTAAAAATGCCATCTTCTCCATGTACTTTGCGTTTCATTTAAATCCTGAAGTTTTTTATTTTCAAGTATTCTTTTGCTAGCTTAAGGTGTATCCATAATTGGGTCAGATTGAAAATAAAAAAATTTTAATTTTCCAAATATACTTGTCGAAATTGTCGAAAAATGTAGTTTGTTTAATGTAGTTTGTTTAAAATTGTTAGAGAAATGTATTACATTTAGATAATAAAAAAAACGTACAAAATACTACAAGTATTGTTAAGCGTTCGAGGGCCGCATTGGAAGCTCCCTGGGGCCGCATGCGGCCTGCGGGCCGCAAGTTTGACACCCCTGTTCTAGAAAGTACTCAAAATACTAAATAATTCGGTTTTGGCCATCTCTGTTTGGGTGCTATGGAAATAAAAATTTTCTTGCAAGTAAGAACAAAAATTCAAAATGTTATTTCACTTTGATAAACTGGGATTGAATTTTTATGCATGCTATTAATTCATGTATAAATATTGGCACAATTAAATCGGAATAGTTTATTTTTTAAATAGCACGATGAACGGGCATTTATTGCTGCTAGAATAGACAATTGAGAATAAAAAAAGTTCTATTGATATCATATAGGAAGTGGGCAATTTATATAACACACAATTTCAATCATAAGGTTTTATAATGGAAATGTTTGAAGTTTTTTTTTCAAGGAGCTTTTAAATCGACTGTTAGAAAATATAGATTGATAGATCAACAGTAAACTAATTCATTCATAATGTAATGCCAGGCATTTAATCCCCTAATACCGGTACTCACCATTAATTCATTTCAAGTAAGCAAGACAAGAACACTTCCAATAAAAAAAATTCATATTCATGCAAAACGCAAATATAAGAGTAAAAATATTGCAAAAACTTTGTTTCTTTCAAACGTCTTCAATAAAACAAAAAAGCTCACCTGAAAGAATTTTTTCAATTGTGGAAACAGCTCGATGCAAACTGTTGTTGAGTCTTGCGTATTCATGACTCGTATTTTTATACTGAATGTGTTTGTTATCAAAATAGAGTTTTATGCGAATCGGCTTAAAAAGTTTCTTAAAGTCCACTCTTGATCGGTACGATGAGTTTGAGATGCTTGTTACGGCAGATATTCTTCTGCCTTGCAAATTTGGTCTTGAATTAGGCCTAAGACGACTTGTCAAGTTTTTGCCACTTTTTGTGGAATCTTCAACATATCGTTTAGGCCTTTTTGTATTCATCCTTCCATTATTATATCCCGGTCCCGCTCGATATCTGGGATTAGTGGTTGGACCAACTCGTCGGCGGGGAAATGGAGTCGTAATAAGTTTTTTTCCGAGCTTACTTCTTAATATTGACAATAAATCCACATTATATTTTTGTGGACTTGTTCCTCTAGTTGGCTTTAGAATATCATGAATGCATCCCCTACATCCTATGACATTCACGATGGTGATCATTGCCAACAAAAGCAGCACAGTCTTCAGAATTTCCTCTCTCCGTCTCCACCGATCGCCCGGAGGTGCTTGAAATACGGGCCACCATATTGTCATGATTTGTTCTCTTGTATAAAATGAACTTCATGCGTCATGCTATTCTGCTAATTGAGCTTGCAGCCATCAATTCCATAAAATTTCACATTCCACACTTAACATGGAAGCGACAGACTCGACAACCGAACAGCGCGACGTCAAGTACCAGAATGAATGAATACCGATTGTCGATACAAACGCGATACGAAAAAAGCAACCTCAAAACCTCTGCCGTAAGGTAAGGAGAGAAGTTGGGAAATTTAATATGAAAGGAACAAGGAGAACGCTGTTAGAGTACCCACAATTAATCTATTTTCACAAATAATTTATTTAACAATTTATTTTACCAAATTCGAACAAAATAAAAAAACGGTACGGCGAGAGTTTAGTCGTCCTTGGGGGTTTCCATCTCCTCCCCAGTTTAGCCAAAGAATTCTTTAGCTGATGAGCACAAACGGTCAACAGGGAAAAACCCAATATGAAAGCGTGGATTTTTCCATATTCTCTGTCTAATTTTTGTATTCTTGTACTTTTCATGCTAACAAAAAAAAAAAAAAAAAAGTTTCTCATTGGCATTGCTATATGGTGTTTTGTACCCAGTCTGCCAGCGTAGTCGTTAATGTTGTAATGTGGCATAACTCGCCAGGCGATGCTTGGTTTCTGTAAATTTATAGCATACGGTACGAAAAGTAGCATAGATAAAACAGTGGACAAATGTTACCATCGTTCTGTCATTGTCTTTTGTAACAAAGGACTGAAGGAGTAGGAACATAACACACACGTTCATCAGTGTTGCAATGAGGCATGATTTGCTCATTATTAGACCACCATAAACACTGTTAGCTAGCATTTGATAGTTTGAGTTTTAGTATAAATTCCATCATGAAAAAAGGCCCATGTTACAGTGTTATGCCACATCTGCCATTGTTTCAATCAATTATTTGTTAAAAGAAATATTTATAGATAGTTTTATGAGATTGAAATTTCTGTGTGGCAACCAGGTCATACTGAGTAGGTTTTCAACATGGCCAGCAATTGTTTGTGAATTTGTCTTAGCTCTAAGTGAGCTCATGTGTTTTTATACCGACAGATGTTTATGTTAAAAACAATATTGTTGAATAAAACCAGTACATCATGTCATCGCATTCTACAGCCAGTTTGTCTCACTATTTGTCTTTCTGCTGGGAAACGATGGACTGCTGAAGATTGTATTGCTCCACCAACTTTCGATGGTTAGTATTTTTAATACAGTAATATGCTGCTTTTCCACCTCCCAAGAGCCATCGATTTGTAAGGAGCACTTTTTGGAAATTTAGATCTCCTTGCTTGGGATTGCCTAGATAATTTATTACGCCCTGAAAATGCTGAAAATTGCACCACAATTATTTTTATTATGTAGATGTGGAGGTCGACTCGAAGAGAAGGGGTCTTCCTGTCTTACCTAAGGTTCCTGATATCAACATTGTTCCTCAACCAAAACACAATATGAGAGAGACAAGAATTATTCGCGGACCATGCCTTGGCGAAGAAGCGGAGCTTAAACACAAACAATATGGCATAATAGTATGTAAAATTTTTCGATTAATGTATTTTTTGCCCATGTGATTTTCATATTTATTCTGGAGATATGAATTCTGCTTAATCGTATAACGACCACGGCCTCTCGCCCTGTTATCTGTTATGGGAGTAGTTGACCAGTTATTTGATTTAGATGCATGGACTTGATGGTGGATGGCATATCCAACTCTCAGTTATGTAAATCACCCTACAATGGCGAGGAGTCCGGTAATTTTATTGCATGTAATTATCTCACACAGGATTTGGGACTTCGAGTTTACTCAAGCAGAATTTGCACTGTTTTTTGTTGATGATCATATACTCAGTACTGCAATAACCCCTTGTAGTTGATTTATACCAAATATAGTTTCCTGTAATTTGAATCATTTTTCTTATATAGGCTATGATAACATTTTCAAATAAAAACATTTTTTCCTTTTTTCGTACAGATATTTTACGTCTCTGAGTACAAAGTCACTAACACAACAATTTTTTTCTTATTTCAGGCACTGAAGGGTGGATTTCTGAAGCATGGACATTTTGAAATGATGCGATTAACACTCGGTCGAGGCATTCGCAAAAAGCCAATGTTTGCTGAATATAGAGTTCCTGGAGTTCACAAACCAATAACTAGACATCCAACAAACGCTGTTATGGGTGGCGGAAAAGGCAAAATTGATCATTATGTAACACCGGTTAAAGCAAGGTGATGAACAAGCTATGATTATTTAAATGCGTGCATTTCTCAGATAAAGCCTTTACTTTTGATTGTTGTATTTTATCTTATTGTTTTGCACCGATAATGTTGCTGATGATTGTCTATACACAGCTTATACATGTGGATCAGGAGTTGTGATCAGCCTTGCATACTACTACCAGACAAACAATTATTAATAAGTTAATGGTATATTAATTTCCTCTTGATCCTAAGTTTATGATGGGGTTGATAGACCCTTAAAAATACATATCAGTGGCTGGTTGTATATAGCCTTCTTCTGCGTGGATGTGTCGAAACACCCCCTCTTGTCGAAAATTGTACCCGTCACATAACAGTGGATTTTTAAACGGAGTAGAAAATCTTCTCACCTCACTGTATTATTGCCAATGCAAATATTTTTAAACCTAATTTTTTAATATTTCAGGCAAGTCATAGTGGAAATTGCTGGCAAGGGTACATTTGAAGAAGTTTACAGATGCATGAGGATAACTGCGGAAAAATTACCATTCCCAGCTATTGCTGTCAATTATGAACAGTTGAATGGAATGTATGAAGAGGAAGTTCGATTAGAAGAAGAAAATGAAAATTTTATCACTTTTCGTGAAATTGTAGAAAAGAATATGCAAGGAATGCGGAGTTATTTAACTAAATATGATCTGAAGCAGTTTGGGAAATATAAATGATGTTTTTGGTTTGTTCTATTCCCAGAAACCTCATTTCAATGCAGGGGGATTTCAGCCAACAAAATATAATGGGTTGTCGATGGAGCCCAGAATAGATTCAAGAATGTCAAAGACAGATGATTTTCACAGCGTTGCATCTTCAATATTAGATGGCCCACAGATGTGTCATTTATTGAATTTTTGAGATATCGTTTGTTTGTAAGCACAAAAATACCAATACAATAATTTTACTGCGAATTTCGTGTTAATGTTCATAAATTTGTTTTTTGACTGGGACAAAGCAAGGTACAAGGAATAATACATTTTTATGCAGTCCTATATATTCTTTTCTGTACATAAGAAACTAAGCGTGAGGCACTCTGATCTACCTAATCATTTGCAGAATCTCAAGGTTCTCAATTGTTAATGTACAGGCATAAATCTTCTATGATAGAAAATCGAAATGTAAAATGTTCATGGTATTGTGTTAGATGTTTGAGTTTGGGAAGCAAGTCAGGAGTATATTTCATAAACAAGAGTGAAATTGTTAAACACTGAACAGTGGACATTTATCTACTTGTCACCTTTCAATAGGAATGCCAGAAGTGTTGAAATGTTTGGGTCCAGGTCATATTCCATCTGTTTATCACAATCGTACTGCAACTAAAATAACTTGACTATAGCTTGCAAAACCTGAACAGGTGAAAAAGGCAAAGACACAGCAATGAAATATGTTGCTCCCAATCAACCTTTGAACCGGATTCTGCTGTCCAATCCCACAATAATGAAACAAAAACTGGTTACATGTACATTTATTAATAATACAACCCACAAGAAAGATTTTATACCCCAGCCAAAATACCCGGACATCAGAAACTGACTAACCATATTTATACATTGATCAGAGCAATATAAGTCAGATAAGCAAAACACAGAAAACCGCAACAAAAGGTCATTTCGGTTAGGAATAACTGGAATCGTATTGTAAAATATATATTCAAAATTATTTTTGTTCTTTTCAAATCATATTGAGAAATGGGCATCATTCAGAAAAGCAATCGCATTGTTAAAGGTACAAAGTTATATTAACTGAAAAAATCCATTATTTTGCTACTATACACAGAATCAAAGTTTCCATTTCTGGCAAGACCTAGCCTTCATTCATAACAGAAAAAGAATATCACACGGTTCAGTGTTGCAGTCTGACATAAATTGTCTGATCAATGTACAAACATCAAATAATATATACAACATAAAGAGCTAAATTATCAACAGAATTGCTGCTTGACACCAATACGCCAACTCTGCAGCAAAAGTAGAAAACAATTACATAGCATTATACCATTGCCACGAAGGGCTCCAAACCACAAAATATCACCATTTACACAAGATTACAAGGCTTTTAAGTAGAAATTGACAAGCAATGTCAAACTTCTTTTCTTAACCTGTACAATCATTCATCTAACAACTTATTCCATCCAATATACTAAAATTAACTTGGAAAAGTAATGAAGTATTTTGATTAAATCACAAGTTATTTACAATCTGACGTGTAAAAATTTAGTTACCTGCCAAAACAATCAAAATGAATTCTAATTACTGTTAATCAAGTTGTAAATAAGAGATACACAACTAATAAAAAAGTTTGTAATAAGCTAGCGAACTTTTAATCTATTACAGGTGAAACTAGGTTTTTCAACAGATCAAGGGTTGGCTTGACCAGATGTGGCCATCGACATTGTAACATGGTTAGGATTACAACGAACCCTGTTACGCAATAGATATTATGAAGTTCTCGTCACGCAGAGGCTATCTAGTTCATCGCCACTTTTTCTCATATTACACATTACAATACACAGTCGAGAGGCAAATTTACTTTTGCCAAAGGATAACAATAGAATAAAGGTAGAAATACCTGCTAACATATCAAATTTTAGTATAACTATACTGAGTGAGTGAATTTTTGTTAAAGAAATTGATACAGGGTGGTATACGATAAAGAAAAGTAATAAAGTGTTTGAGATCCAGAATATTCAAATTTTAGAGATTTTGAAAATTGAATTCGTTCAAAGAGCTCATAACGTTCAAATATTGTTTAATAGATACTGAGTGATTGAATGGCACTGAATTGAAAGTATCTATTTTATATTGTTTCCTAAAGAAAACGCTGGCAAAATGTATGCGATCTCATTACATTTATTGAGCGTAAAATGGGGTAGTTCCAACCCTTTCGCAGGAACCTGTAAATACATTTACGAAAATATAGCTGTCGGAACGTTTTCATAAGTTAATTATCCATAAATTATATCTTAGCTTTAGCTACTCATCATATACGAAAAAGTTGCTGAAATTGTTGATTAAGCAGTGATAATTAATCGTCAATTGTGTTTTCAATGTATGATGAAAAAGTTTTGAATGTGCCAAAATCAAGGAAAACTTAAGTGGATAAACTAGGAAATAAAAATGAATGAACTTTTAAGTCTGAGTGAATGCTCATCGACTACATCAGTGAGATCCTTGGACAAGTCACAAATTTCTTTTAAGACTGAAAAAATGATATAATAAACAAAAACCACAAGAAAATTCAGCCTCGTCATTTCTTCATCGACGAAAGTTCCTTAATTCTTCATCTCCTCATGAAGCACCTTCAAATCACTCTCCTATAATATTTGAATATTTCATTGCCAGCGACATAATAACATGAATGCTAGTAATAAACTCAGAAGAAAGTCTGGTAGCAGTTGAAATTACAACGAATCTTTGAGAGAAGCTGAATCCATGAAAAACAAGACACTTGGCAACAAATGGCCCCGCTCGGATCATACAACTTATCTTTATCAGCTTCTCTAGATTTCATTCGATGAGTATGGACGATTTCTTTTTTGATCTGGTGTCCTGCTACGTATATTAGACTTTTTGTATCTTCACTTCTCAGAAAAGCTTGATCTTATAGAGCGACTTGAGAACTGGTATAGATTAGATTTCGCTACATTTTCATATCGCCTTTCATTTCAGAAAGGGAGATTCAGCGATTCTTTTCATTTTTTATTCAGCTTGATCATGCCCTTCAGCAACTTACACATTTGTAATATTCCGCTATCTTTGGGAATGTAGTGCGGGCCAAGATCACTGACGTACACATAGGGGAATCGCAGAACCCAGACAGCATCAGATGACAATGATATATCCGGAACTCCCGTGGTGAATGTTGGAGTCGGTGGCGGGCCAGGAATCACATGTGGATTAATGGTTATTTCGATAGATGGATCTGGAGGAATTACTATATACGCTCGCATCAGTTGACCGAGCATCGCTTTGCCACTGCGTCCGGATGACGGACTATGGGTAAATAACGGCATGTCACTTTCTAGTAATCTGTGACAAGAATCCTTCACTGTACCGCTGCTGGTTACTTTGACTGGTTTGTCTGGTCCGGAACATATAAACCTCTGTCCGCGCACCGTTTCATATTCATACCCGATAAAAGCTCTCACACTACTGCCATCATCTCTGTTTCTTCTACCAAGAAGGGTCTTCTGCTCCTTCGCTTGCGAAAGTATTTTCTTTCCCAACACACCGTGAGCTTCACCAGGTGCAGGCCATTGTGTTGCATCATCCTTATGTTTGTCAACGGGTATATCCCATGGTACGAGAAAGTTTGTTCCTGGTAAAAAGCCAGGTGTTTCCAAACCTCGCATAGCCATATAGTGAGAATATGAACCGGTTTTCACTAAGCTCCAGCAAGGATAAAGTGGTAGAACTCCTTTTTTGCAGTTGCTATGAATCATACCATCTATAAAATTTATTTTAGGCTTTGCTTCTTCTTTTGGTTGGTTATGTTTTTGAGAAGTGTCATTAATTTGTTCCTGGTCACCTGCTGCCTCATCTTTTTGACTATCATGATCCATCGGGCTGTTTATGTTGCGTCCACTCCCTTCAGAATGACCACCAAAACTCAATGCAAAGCTTAGATTGACTGACGCCTGACCTTTACTGGCCTTTATATCACTTTCAGATTCCAAACGTTCTTTTTTCGGAGAAATTGCTCTCGCTTTTCGAGGAGATATAGCGAGTGTATTCTCAGCTTGCTTGCTTTGAGATAACTCTTGACTACTAGCATCTAAGTTATCTTTATCCGCATTAGTATCATCAGCACTTCCTTGAGTAGATATTGGATTATCAAGATCTTCCGTCTCACTCTCAGTTACACCCTCAGAAATATTCCGAGATCTTAGTTTTCTCTTTCCGCCTTCAGCTTCCTCATCTTGAGTGGTAACGCTTGTAGATTGTTGGAGTCCCATTGACTCGGTTCGAAAATCTGGATTATCGGTCGATAGAAGCTGAGATGAGAACGAAGCAGTGCCGTCAGTGAAATAAGCGTTTTGAATGCTCTGCGGTTCGTCGCCAGGTTGATAAACAGGGAACGAATATACTTCAACAGGTTGAGTGTGTGCCTTTTTATCCAGTATAACATAGAAATCATAATTAGCTTCCTTCAAATCAAAAGGATCTTCTCTCAAGCCCTGAATTGAGCCACAGCTACTAGTAGCAGTTGATCTAGATCTTGATGAGTGAAATAAAATAGGCGGGTCTGCATCTGGATCTTGAATTCCATTGGGTTGGGACAGAATATGAAAACGATGGACGCAATGACGATCAGTCAGAGATCTTACTTCACACAATTGACGACCATTTCGCCAAAATGCCATGCACTCGGACTTCAACTGGTTACGATATTTGTCAGTTGCTGGTCCACGGGCATGCTGATTATATGTCAAGAGTGCCTGTCAAGAAATGAAATTAGCTGCTAATGAATTCTTCATCAATTAGGTGAACCCTGAACTAAACACAGTGATACCTCGGTAGTCTAACATAATTCGTTCCAAATTCGATATACAAACGTGACGGGTCACAATAAAGCACTATTTTCATGGTAATAAATATTTCCCACAATTATCCCAAGAAAGTTTCTCACCTGATTCAGTTGGTTATTGTGGACCTTGCTGGTGTAATGCGATGGTAAACTGTTCTGATAAACAGAAATGGCCATTGGTAAAACTTTACTGCACCTGTGTAAATAAAATAATATATTTTATTATTACACTCAGTAATCAAACAAATATAGAAAATGGATGACATAAGCAAGTATAACTATTATAACTGTTGCTTATTTTGATTAGGACACTTTACTAAAACAATGAAATAAAACTTTGTAAACATATACATTTTAAAACGTCGACGATTGTTTAGCATTGAGATCTGTTGCGGATTTGTGGGACAAAACTGTTTATACTTTGTTCCAAGTTTCTTTCTGCAATCTTTCTCAAGCGATAAAGAATTGTTTTTGGGGAGTAAAATTCACTTTGTATTTGCATATAGTATTTCTTTTTGCTTGAATAGTATCATTGTAGTACATCTTTATTCACACTCTGAAAAATATTCAAATAGTACAAAAGCTAGAGAGTGCGTATCACTAGCTAATCATCCATTAAAATTAACAACAAACAGGAATACATTTTCATGTGTATTGAGGGGGAGAGGGATGGAAAGTTCCAAAATAGGTGAAGGGAAGAATGTATCAAATATGGTTGGAAAGCCCTGCTCTACCAAAAGCTTGAAAAGACTTGTATAACACCATTATAAGTTAGCATTATTGCAAGTATAATTAGTTATATAAAAAGGCCTTACCTTGCTTCACTGAATTTCATTTCAATATCAACTTTTGAACGAAGATATTGTCTGCAATTAGATACTTTTGAGAATAAATCCTCAACTGAACGTCCTGTATCCTCACCACCCTTTTTTGTACCTCCCGTAATTTCGAATCCAGGACCCAAGACATTTTGATCAGTTAGAAGGAGATTATACAATCCATTTGCAACCTAAACAATGAATAGAAGATAAAGTTACGTTAAAGATGAGTTAAGAAACACAAGATTCCATAAGATAAATACTTGCGTTGTGATAATTATATGTGAAAAGATTGCTTAATATGCATTCTTTCATGTCCAGTAATAAATGGAATAGATAGAAAAGTTTGCTTTGAATGAAAATTATGAAAATGAAAATTTGCTGTAGACAATTTATTAAAACTTATACTCCATAGATTCGGTTTTTACAATGCCCTTAAAATTTTAAATTTCACATAATCATCACGGGAAGCCGATAATATGGCAAACCAGTATGGTTACCAGTCAACATGTCAGGTAATAGAATTGTTGACCAGTTACTTGTTTCTAGTGAAAGATTTCATTTTAGCGACCGGCGGTTACGTAGACATACATAATTATGTTCGAAATCTGAAAAGATTGAACAAAATCATAAAATCAAACCTTAAGCCATGTTTTTAATGTCGGTAACTCAAAATGAGACGGTAGAGGATTTCGTCCTATGCTGTCATTGAAGCCTTTCTTATCGAACACAAGAGAAGTATGTTGGTGAAGGAAGGACCGGATGTTATTACCACCGTCCCTGTGAGAATATATTCAATTATAATAAGCATATAAAACAAAAGAGATGTAATTGTAGCACATATCAGGGATGAACAAATATGAATAATTACTGATTCTGAGATAACAGTTACCTATGGATGTTTCCCCGAGCATCAATTTCCTTGTTTATTTCCGTAACAATTACAAATCAGCAATAAGTCAACCAATGACGTAACAATTGCAATTCAAGTCACAGCTCAGACACTTCTTCAGCCCAGACAGATATTCAAACGAGGTTGTAAACATTGCCTCTTGGTAGTTTTGCGAGATATTTGTCAGTTTTTAGTTGTGTTTCCAAAAAATAGTTGTAAATCATATATCTTAATTGTCATTATGTCTTCCTAGGACCTTTACTTTCGTGGCAATAATCCAAAATTAATACCGCAAATGCGCAATTAGCTATCAGTACCTGTAAGCGGCACATAGTTTAATGGTTTGAATACAAATAATAGTTTTGAACATGTGAGCCAGTTTGTAAGCACCAAATCTCCAAAATCAACGATGGAAATTTTGCAGTGATAAAGCATAAGGAGAATTTATTAGGGAAATCTATACAATTTGAATTTATATTTATGAATATGGAAAATTGAAAATATCTTGAACTGAATTATGCTCAGCTTGACAGATTAGCACAAATCATTTCATCAATAATGCAGATAAAGTAAGATAGATTGTTTTGGTTAACTTTCTACAGATAACAAAAGTGAAACAAGACTTGACTTAAGATAGGATACCAATTATGAAAAATCAAATAATTTTCAACAATATTTTACCTAAACACCTAACAAATGAAATGGCTATGCTGTATATAAGTCAGTCTCTCTTTGTTTAATAACATAAGGCAAAAAAACTACTAACTTTGATTCTTTTCTTCTTCTTTCGTCTTCAGACATGTAATCTTCCATCCAATGAGCTGGAGTATCAGCTAGTAGTTCTTTTGCTCTAGACATTGAGTTCGGATCTCTATGACGTTTGAATGAATCCAATAATAAATCAAACATTCCACCGATGGGATCTTCTTCCTAATCACACATTAAAAAGGATTGGATTGCAGTTAAAATGCATGAATACGACACTACTGAGTGCATGCAGAGAGATTACATGAAAAAGTACAGGACAATAGTACGAATGATTAAATCTGAATAGTTCACTTTGATTGCAATTCACATTGATGAGGCAAAATTTTTTATTCAAACAGGCAAAACGAAAGAAAATTGACAAGTGTACCTATCAGTCTATTAAAACAGGGCTATTCAAACTGGGGGTCCCGACCCAAGTTGGGTCGCGAAAGGGCTCATTGAGGATCGAGATAAATCTTTTTTGACACTAACTTTTGTTAAAATAAAATATCGATCAAATTTGAAAGATTTTCAACCAGTACCAAGACCCACCATCGCCGAAATAAAGCCTTGATTCGATCTTTTGTGCGAGATATGCAAGCACATATATCTCATTAGAGTTATTGTCAATATTATTATTTTTATTATTGTCTACTTTATTGCTAAATTTTAATATTAGTTCCTGATGGCCACGAAAAATTTGGCCGTGATGGAAAAAAATTGGAGGACCATGTAGTAAAGCATATCTGCATGAGTCAAAGTTCCCATTATCAAAGTTCAATTCCCTTGGAGGTCAATAGCAGCATTTTTTATCTATCTGGAGTCAAAGTCAACATTTTTTCAACATATAGAATGAGTAAAAATTCAATGACAAACTTTTAACCTTTTCAATTTTCTTAAACTCATCAGTCATGATGTGGACAAATGCTTGGTTTGGAGGAACACTGAACAGACAATTCACAGCATTGTTTGTCAATACTCTACTACTACGGAGAATTCTATAAACCTGCAAAAGGATACAGAAGAATAATTAAAAATACCTTAAGATATATGTGTGGAAATTAAGTTGAAATATAGCCAAGAAAAATTAATTAAATTTGAAAATTTGTTCCTAAAATGGTTAGGCACATTTTTCCATTTAACTGATTTTGAGTATTTTGTTGCAATAACATATTTTTCAACAGCTAGCTCCAAGTTAGATTAAACCTTAGACTCCCGAATACAAGTAATACAAATCAATTGACGAAAGCAGTTACATGGAAAGGCCGATAGGAGCGAATAGTTTATCATAAATACCAACAGTGCAAGTGTCAAAGTGCCAGTTGTCCATTATAATGTTATTGTCATAATATAATGTATAAAATAGTAATTGATTTCAAACCTGATCTTCTATGGTGTGCTGAAGTCTTTTCACAGGAGGTTTCTTTTTCTTGGGGACAAGTCCAGGTTCAGTAGGCTTTTCATTTTCACTCTGAAATTAGAATTTCAATGCATATACAGAAAATAAAAATAAAATTTTACAATAAAGGTGAATGCAAATAGACCTAGAGCTATTTACTATCAATATGCTACTAGACAGGTTATCTTTGTAGCAGATTTAATCGGTCATTATTAACTTAATTTTAAGAGTACAACAGTCCGACGACAGTTCAATACAATTTTGTTTATTTCTGGCCCAAGCTTTCAACAGGGTTCGTGTTTTTTGTAACCTGTGTGCGGTTTTAAACCTCAGAATTCTCCTTTTTCAATTTATGTATGTTATGACGTTCAACATAACTACCTATCTGTCTAAGTTGCATAGGCTATCTGTACTGAAGTCAGCCATTGGACTTTTCTGCTAATATATATTCCAACATCATTGAGAGTAATTACACAAATTTTAAAGTATTGAAGTTCACCTGTTTGTTAGTCAATGTTAAAAGGTGACATCTCTGAAACACCAGTAAAAGGCGGGGTGGGCAGGGACGACCATTCACCCACCAATCCCTACCCACACTGCAGTCTTTGAGAACATCTTTGATCACAGGTACAAGCTTAGTACGCAAGCTTGCAACACGTTGAAAAAGCCTGTTAATACATAACCATAAAAAAATATTGGGATAATTTTGAAGCAGAATGGGAGGTCAAAGTTTAGCATGCCTCCACTGGAGTCGTATCTTCAAACTCTCTGGAGTCGAAATTCTAAGTCGCAATTTAGAATTCACCAGAGTTTTATTCCAATTCGGAATTACAGACTTTTAATTGTGATAAAAACGAGTCAAAAATTCCAACTAAAACTCAAGAAGCATCAATTTTAAAGTGTTCTTAACAGTCTAGTTCGGACTTGTAGTCAACATTTTTCTTAACTTAGAGTAGGATTGTGAACTTTTCAAAATCCGAGTTATGATCCGAAAGCACCGATAGATGCTAAACAAGGTATTGCCTTTTTCGAAAACCAACTCAATTCATCAATCATATTTTATTCATTAATTCAAATTTTGCTTCTATTTCATTTTCTGCTTAAGGAGGAAACTGGAACTTGCATATTTTCTCCAAATTTCAATAGTTAAATCACATTATCTGTTAAAAGGGGATGAGAAGTACAAACTTTCTCCATCAAATGGTCGTGACATAAGCTATAACTGTACAAGGCTTGACAATTATCAATTTTCATTGATGCTAGAATGATAAATTCTCCTAACTGGTACATACCTGTCATAAGTGATGTCAAATTGGCTTACAGGATGAACAAGCATCAAGATATGGCAAACAGAAAATAAGTATGTAAGTCCAAATAAATGTCCGATCTGAAATTAATATTAGTTTGTGTAATTACAATCATTCTATAAGACACCAATGTATAAAAAAAACTTAAATCCGTTGAGAGTATATTTTTGGTGAGATTAGGAAAGAGCATTCTTCCAATAAAAAAGAACATATTGAAAACATTAATTAGAGGGCCTTACTTTGGCAACTTTTTTTGAGTTTTTTTTAAACTCGGCAAATATATGCAAGGATATACAGTAAAAACAAATCCAAGTATATCTGATTTTAGCCTTAGTATATATGATAGTATAATAAATTCCATACCTCATGGTTTTTTAACATATCATGAGACATGCTGTGGGAAAGTGTTTGACTTCTTATTGATGCTGCAACGTCAGCCAATGTGGCAGCATCATAAATTGAAATAAGATGCAAGTAGATAATTTGGTTTTCTTCATCAAAATAGGCTTCAATTTTAGGCCTGAAAATGACAAATATCCAACTTATTATTGTGAAGTAACTATGAAAAGAAAATGATATCTGAAGAGTCAAGTTGTTGTAACGAGTAACGACTAGATTCCTTTAAATTTACTGGATGTTTCTAGCAGCGAAATATTTGAAGGCACAGGTAGAGCATCGAGGCTTATGAAGGAATTAAGAATAGCATTACATGAACAAGAGGGCAATGCTCAAATATATGAACTCAAAGGTAAGGAATGGGAGCATCGAGTTTTGGTGTGAAATTGGGGGCAAGTAATACAGAATTGGTCGAGCATTACAGAATAAAGAGTGTACCCCTTTATTCAAAATGAACAGCAAATTTTTGGGGCATGTTTACTAAACGCCACAAGTACTTCTAGTGGGTGTGGCACAAAAATTTTTGCATAAATTACGACACTACGACGTCATAGAGCTTGCAAAAGAAAAGCTATGTTCGCCCGAAATGGCATCTCTGCCGAGGATAACGACTCACTAACAGCGATCTCTCTCAAATCAGGATCGTTACAATCAGAAAACGAGCAAAATAGCTTGGTCGATTTCGGGTGATCGTCTGCACGTATTGGATGACAGTCCGTATACTTTGACGGGTCCTCTTTCGTCACTGTGACGTTGTAATGACGTAATTTTTGTATGACTTAACCAGGTGGGGGTTAGGAATGACATAGTGAAAATAGTTATGCCACCCCAACTAGAAGTACTTGACGGGGATTAATGAACTTGCCCCAAATTTTTTGATGAAACATCGGATCCCACAGGACAAGAAATTTGAAATATTCAGCAATAGTCGGTCTTTTAGCAACTTTAGGTACCAAAAATTTGGAATCGATTGATCCATCAGTTGCAATAAATTAGCAAAACAATCCAAATGTACACTTCGTGTCTGATAACTGGAAAAATATTTTATACTACAAAAATATCATATAAAAAATCATATAAAATAAAATTGTGTGTAAATGGTTGTATACTATCTACTCACATGTATTTTTCAAAACTATTTTCTTTTTCATCTTCATTTTTTCGATCCATATTTAAAGGTTTGTGAATTGGAAATTCATAGGTTCTTGTTAATCGATTAATAACACAACTTTTAGAAGAATGCCCCCAAGTACTTTTGCCGAATACTCCAACTACACAAACTTCCGTACTTCCCTTGGCGGCATCTATATTGTTGTGGAAAGGCAGTTGCCAAATGCCTTTCACTGCCATAGACTTTCTTATATACAAACATTTATGCTAATTCTGAATGTAGAGAAAAATAAAATTTCAGAATGGTTATAAATAATAGAGCCTTTTCGTGGATGGAAATTTCAATATTGTCTTAAGACATTTCTCAGTGACGAAATAAATAAACTAGATCTTTGAAGACTATTTCCTAACTGAAATATTTTCAGAATTTACACAAATTCATTGTAATAAAAAAAAATATAGCATTTCAAATTTAGTTAGAAAATTTGTACTTAAAATGAGGCTATGTCTAGTTTTGTTAAAGTAAATAATTGGAATATTTAATGATAATTTGTCAATAAAACCCCCTAAATTCCTTTTTTATTTCCGCTTCTGACAAGTTTTAGCTTAGTTGCAGTATTTGAATATCAGTCCAAGTAAACATGCGATAGATACCGGTAGGTAGATTAAAATCAGCTAGTAATACTTTTATATAGCAAGTGGTTAAATGTTTTGAATCAAAATGACAGTTATGTAACATAAAAAAACATTAAAATAAGTAAGTATAAAGGAAATTTTTCTGGGGCTAAGGGGAAACATCTCACCAAATTAACAATTTTATCGGACAAGTATAAACATGCTGCTTACAGGTATTTACGTACTTGCTATGTCAGATGTCTTATATATCAATAATATATCAAAATGAAAAAAGAGGAACACTTTATCTTTGTAGTCATTGCCCTTGTTTAGAGTTCCTAATTTCTAAAGAAGTATGATGTTTAACAATAGAAAGATAAAATAAATATGTCCAATCAAAATGTTTAGATTTAGAACATATCAAAATATTACCAAATGAAAAAGTATTGATATCATATCAAGGGCAGAACAACATCTATCATTGTAAAGACACAAATTTGAGTAGAATGTACGAAAAAATATGATTCAGCATACCACAAATATTTCGTCTATAACAAGAATCTATTTTTTAAAAACACAGTGATACTTAGAACATCATGTAAATTTAATGGCAGTAGCCTAGCATCGAAGTATACCACCTTACATAATGAATCAAGAAATTATATTTAAGAAAACGTAAATCACCAAGTATTGAATTGAACTTATAGGTATGAGAATGCACATTTGTTATACATTCCTGTATCAGAAATAACTTCCTGAATATTTGTTGCAGCAAAAGCATGCCAAATCAGATATGAATCTAAATGTTATTAAAAAAAAATGGCAAATTTTACAAAAAAATTTTTTTTAATTAATCTAAATTTTAAAGAACCATTGTATTTCGAGATTCTTATGAAGAAATTGACAGTTTGGTAAGTTGTGATGATAATTAAGCAAGGATAAGATTAGTCAAAGGCATATCATAAAAAATTACAGAAAAATTTCAGGTGAAATATTAACTGCCGCCTAAAAAGTTCGAGACTCTAGAAGCAAATTCTTTAGGATTATCAGCATGGACCCAATGTCCACAATCTGGAATATGTTGAATATCAGAGTTTGTAAAAAGTCTTTTAATGTCGGGATAATCGTTTGGCCTGCAATGAGAAAAAATACAAAAGCGTGAATGTAAAAATGTAATACACTAATTAAACTGGCTGCCTCCCACTGCCAGAGATGGCTATGACCAAATAGTTTTTTTTTTTTTTTTTTTTTGAGGAGTGACATATTAGAAAAAATGGTCATGTTGAACAGAATTCGCAGACCACTGCAAATTGACTAAAAGAAAAGTAAAATTAAATTTTGTGAATGCAGAATGATAATCATTGTTTCGATAAAAATTCTCTTTTTTACAGTGAAGGAAGTACCGTATTTCTCCGCGTATAATACGCATTTTCATGGTCAAATTTAGTCTCACAAATATGGGGGTGCGTATTATACATTGGTCTAGAAAATATCAAAAAATATTAATTCTCATTTTATGCTTTAACTGGTTAATAATTGTTCTTCTTGATTTTATGTGGCAAAGTCTGTCAGAATCAGATCACGCTTGATTCGGTAGAAGCATACCCAGTTTAACAACAATTTATTGTACATCCCTTAACTGCTGTCATGTCTGGCCTGTTTCTCTCGTTTTGCTGAATCGGCAAAACTCTACCTTGATAAATCACCATATGAGTGACCTTTCAGCTTTTATTAAAGTGGAGAGACAACAACTTTAAAAGATACTTTAATGTCAAATAACATCACATCATGATTGGCAGATGTTTCACAGGCAAATACATAAAACATATTACCAGATATATATGGTTAACAAAAGGCAAGCAGACAGAATGCCTGAAACGTCCGGAAAAAAACATCTACAAGGCAAGAGAGGACGGAATTTTGATATGCGTATTATGCATGGAGTTTGAAAAATTCTCGTTAAAAATGTACTAAAACCTGGATTATCTACGGGTGCGTATTATACACAGAGAAATACGGTGAATAAATATTATTTTTTGTTTGGCCATTAGTTGTCAAATTCTCAAGCTGTCAAATTTCCAAACAGAAGCATTCACAATTCTTCTACAATTCAAGAATTCACCATATCAAATATTTGAGCACTTTTAAATGTTGGATTCAATTTGGGCATTTCTCTTTATCATTGATATTAATATCGGTAAATATTGTTGATATAATTTATTTAAACTTTAGTGTTTCATTTTGTGATATTTATGTAAAAATATCTACAATTTCATTAAATCGATATGTAACCACTTACAGAATGTATTTTGAAAGAGCACCTCCTAAAAATAATGTCCTTCCTGTATAGGGAGTAAAATCATCTTCATTTCCAAGAAAATAAAAATCTTTTGCGTGTTGGGAAATTGAATCTAGATTGAGTCTCCATCCAAAAGAACCTTTCGTAGTTTCTATCATATTGGTCAGGGCAAAATCTCTCAAATATTTTTCCTGTTATATCATGAAAATAATAGCAGAACAAATGAACAAAAAAGGCTTGTATGAAGATTTATGTATAAGAAATACAAGCAAGAGAAATTATCAAAATAATATAATACACTAAATAGTAGATACATTAGCAGACAAAGAGCATCATGCTTCGAAACAAAATTTGCTCTGCTATGAGCAATCTAGCATAGGCAAATGGGGTGCCAAGTGGGACAATCGGGAAACGCGGGACATGACATTTTTGAGACACCGATGCAAATGTGGCTATGCTGTTAATATATGATATGTTATAGCAGAGTCCTAGATAATGTTAATTGTTAAGTCAATTTATTCCAGTTTACAACATTCATGAAATAAATTATTTAACAATAAGTATAGAATTACACATAATCCATTTTACAAAATATATAGGTGTTGAGTTTAACATTAATTATTTGGTACGAAGCAGGGATACCCCAAACAGGAATGCTGTTGCTACCCCGTGAAAATGCTCCAGATTTTTTTAAAGGGCTTGTTGTCAACTACAGATTTCACAATTTAGGTCTGCAATAAAGTACACAATGAATATAAGAGATACGAGATTTCAGAATCACTGATAAAGAAACAAAACAACAATTAGACTTACACCGATTGATATTATATAGATAAAATTTATCAACTCACAGGTATTGCACTTTCGAGCTGTTGATGTGCGCTTGCTCTAGCCTGGGATGGTTTAATTCCAGGTTCAAATTTGACTAATTTCATAGCTTCTACATACTTGATTGGACCTAAATCAATCATATAAAAGTGAAAATAAAATGTAAATACTGCTATTTGTACAAGTTCTCAACAAATAATAAATGTAGATAAAGTATTTTCCACTAAATCAAAGTTTATATACTTTACAATCTATTAGGTGTATAATTCGATTGTATGAATATCATGGGATACAGTCTTTATGAAGCATAAGATGGCATAATATGAAAAGGGAGTTGCACAAAAACTTTACAATTAATAATCATTGTGTAACAGTGCCAGCAAGATACCAGTATATGTCGACCTATTTTGACTCCTATAAATTCCCATGTATTTGTATAGTGTTATTAATAAACAACTTCCAAAGCGGATGAAAATCAAACTCATAATACAGACAGTCTTATGCCACCTCAATGTCCGTGGACCGAAAAGTCGGTAAATCGTTAAAGTAGTATGGATGTTTGGCTCTAGATCACGGGTGGGCAACGTTTTTGGACCAGGGGGTTACAAAAGTGGAAAACAATAAGCCTTGTGCCAAAACAAAATTTGATCGCTATCTCAACAAATTCCTTTGAAGCTATTTTTTAGCTCAAATATCAAAATTTGGTGTCAGTTTGGTTGTGGCAGCATCAGGTGGGCCAGATTGAATTACTAAATGGGCCGGATTTGGCCCGCGGGCTGTAGTTTGTCCATGTCAGCTCCAGTATATGGATCAAAATCAAATTCTGGCTCTTGTACCTTCACTTATACCACGTTTTATTCCTTTATCTCCCGGAGCAACATCAACCACGATTAATTCTTCAACTCGGTTATGCTGCAAGAAAATGAACAACATTACTTCAAACTACAACAAATTAAAAAAAATTCGATATGAAGTAGTCATTCCTAATATTACTTGAGTAAGAGCAGTATACATTGCTATTCTTCCACCTAAACTATGTCCGAGTAAAATACATTTGTCAATATTCATTGAATTCAGGAGTTGTATTGTATCTTCAGACATTGACTTATAATCCATCATATCGGAATGCGGACTTTCACCATGATTTCTCACATCACAACTGAGTATCTAAAGTGAATAGAAATTGTAAATTTACAGATATTTGTAATTTGTAAATTCATTATTTTATGAAAGAGTCTAAATTAGGCAGAGAAATTGAAAATCAATATTAGAAATAAAACTCAATTTAATATATTTTAATCAATGAGTAACAAAGCAAAAGTGGTGCAAAATATGAAATAGCTTCAGAAAGACATTCGGCGTATGGATCAGGGAGAAAGTCAAATGAAGACGTAGCTAGAGCACGAGAAGTGGGTATCGTGACCGTGAGGGTCAGAAACAACCTCAACTCAATGCTAATTTTGACCAAAAAGTGTAGTTGAAAGTTTCAATAAAAGCATAGTAGTCCAGACTGATAAAAATAGTCAATATTTCATATAATAACTATAATTATACACCAACCGTTGTGCTGGGCAGTTTTTCTTTCAAAATTTTCCCAACAGAATTAAAATTGAATTTGTTTCCAAGAAGTCCATGAATCATTAACATAGGTGGTTTGGTGGAATCCCCTTCATGTATGATATTGTATGCGAGTGAAAGGTTTCTTTTTCTAGATAAAATATGAAACAGGTTAAACAAATTAGAGTAAATACTAATATGGCAGAACCTCATAATGTGCTTTTATCAGGAAAGTTAGACAATGAAGATGAGTCATATTTTCAAACTACATGGAGTTGAATTACAGACTTTCATGGGTGATAAAAGAAGTCCAAATTGTCAGGAATTCAAAGAATATTAAGTTCACAAAACGTTTTTAACAGTCTATAATAGAAGGCTTACATATGGAGTTGGGAGATTTCCCATAACCAGTATTTGATTGTAATTTTTCTCAGACTAAATAGTGATGGATTTTATAATAGGGTCACATGAAAAATTATGCTTTCAATTTGATTCAATATAAGTTGTCAAAATAATAAATAACATAGGATAATTTTTATTCTAGAGATATATTTTTCCTGTGTATATCTACTAAACAAAAACAAAAAATGAAAAGTAATCTTACTGTATATTGCATAGTTTGTTACTCCAAATTGCAAGTTGACGTAACCTTAATAAACTTTTCATTTAGTTTCTGTATATTGTCAAAGATTATCAAAATATATATTAATTATCTTCTACTGTAAAGTTGAATAAAAATAACGGAATAAATAATTTAACAAAATAAAATTGAACAATATAAATTTGTATATCGAAGATGTAAAATTTTGCAGTCATTTTTTTGTACTTGAAATTAAGAGCATACTCATACAATTAAGAATGACCAAATTGCTAATACTCGAATTCAGTCAAGAAATTTGAATGTTTGAATGCATTTCTCTGTCTCTTGTCATCGCCGCAAACATGGTCTTCATACTGTTTCTTTTTTTTCCGTCTTTGAAATCGATCGAATTTTTAAAATGGCATAATTTCACCCCATGGATATGAATATATTTTTCAAGTCCACCACATAACTTTATAAGTTTCCTTCTGATCATCTGTACACAGGACATAATCCTTGGGATATTTGACTTTTTTATCCAATACGTTTTGTGTATCTGGCGCTGATTCTATTAATAGCCTGCAAACTTCAGCATGATTTCCTTCTGCTGCCTGAAAAAGTTTTTTTTGCAACAATATAGCTTTATAAATCTGGTCTATTCAGGTAGTAGATACTTCTAAATATTATGGTATCTCAAAATCATCATTTCAATTTTCATTAAAATTCCGATCTCATAGCTCTTTATTGAGATATTAATATAAACTATGACTTATATGCGGGGTCCCAAAAATGACATGCCCTGTGTATTAGCACACCGTTCCCACTTTGCCGCACTTGTCCCACACTGTTTTGAGTTAGGTAGATATATACTACTATTTAGCAAATGGTTAAAATAAGCATATCAAGTGAGATTCATGCTATGTTCTGGCATCTGTGTTAGGATAGATTTAATACCTTCGCAGGAGATTAGATTATTTATATGAAGATTTATACAATTGGGACAAGTGTGGCAAAAACCATTTTTGAAAAACCCATTTTTTTACACTGATAGAATATTACATTTCCCAAGTGATAATCTATTGTCCGACTCACGAATCACAATCAGGTAAACATTCTAAATTCTTTTAACTCATTTCCACAAAGTCTTAATCAAAATAAGACACATATTTTATATAAAATTACATTCAAAACTGTTAATTTGCTTTTCAGAAATCTAGATGTTTATATTATCACAGAACGTTATGAGTTAAATTACCTTATGCAAAGCAGTCTTTCCATCGTCATCAATCATTCGTGGGTTTGCACCATTTTTAATCAATAGTTTTACTACATCATTACATCCCTGTGATGCAGCACGATGCAAAGAGGTTGATTTCCCAGATTTTGTTGTGTGATTAACACTTGCTCCAGACAAAATTAACTCATTGCATATGTTATAGTATCCACCCCGTGCTGCATAATGCTGTCAATGAATCAATATATAGCTACTGTTCATAATTAACAAACTATTATGCAAATTTACTATGTACCTGTTGAACGTACTAATAGCTGAATTGTGTATTCGTATGTGTTCAACATAAGTTGAAGGTAATATTATAAGGTCAATTTATGAAAATTGGGGAGACAGCTGTTGTTTTGTTTATGAGGAACTGAATTATTATAATACGAGTATCTATATATAATATAAGTATCGTCAATTCAAATTTAAAAAAAAGTTTGTGTGTAAATTTCAAATTTTTCAATCATTGAATCATGTCTCTCAAATTTGTAAATTCTATTTTTATTTATTTTATATGACCTGGTGAATACTGAAATATACTTATAACCAGTGGTGAGATTTAAATTTTATGTCAGCCGGTTCCATCCATACAAAAGTCATATTTTTCAGCCGGTTCTGTTACAAAAAGTCATGTTTTTTCAGTAATGCTAACCGGTTTGTTGATCTCATAAAATTCCGTTAGACGGCTATATAGACAGATAGAACCGGTGCGAACCGGCTGAATCCCACCACTGCTTATAACCCCTCTGAAAAGCAAAACTAGACACAACTCAGATCAACCCGATTTGCAAGATAAAATTTAAAGGCTGCTGAGTCAAAGTCAAAATACCGGTACCGTACCTACTGTTGCAACATTACGTAAAAATTTCAGTTCTTCCATTAATTATTTTTGGTAACATCCATTTATTGCTATTTTTTTGAAAAAATAAATATAATTACCAATGGTGTGTAACCAGAAGAATCCATCAAATTCGGCTCGCCGCCCTTCTGCAAATACAGCTTAATAGCGGGATAGTCGCCATACATAGCTGGCGTCCAAGGGCCTCTAGCGAAATCAATTTCATCAAGAGTTTGAAAGACGCCTCCCACACCAGCCAAATGATCGTGATTATGAGTATTCATGACAAAATTACCGCTAGTTCGTCTGCAACAATCTCAGGGTCAAAACTACAAACAAAGACGAGACTTCGCCAGCAAAGCCAGCGACAAAAAGGCAGTTGATCAAGCAAACAGCACAATCGAGATTCACCGCTCGACTACGGTTTTTCAAGCGGGAGATCCCCTACCGACAAGTCCCGAAAGTTGGACGGGGCGTAGGCGACCAAATGATAGTATCATTAGTACAGGTACATTTCATCACCATGTGAAAAAAAATGGACAGTTGCACAAAATGATATACACAGGTGAAGGAGGAAACAGATAACAACCAGTTTTTCTGTGATTCCGCGTTGGCGAAGTGGTGCGTTTGGTAGCTCAGCTGCTCAACTTTTCTACATGCTCTGAACTCAAAGTCTTCGATCGCAGTAGTCAATTCGCACTTTCCATCCACGTGAAGGTTCCCATTTTGTAAATAAATGTACGTACACGTTATGCACAAGGTTATTTTAGTGCACGGAACGGACATACGGTGCGCTGCAAGTTGTTCTCTTCGTGCTATCTTATATATAATCCCCTTCCTAAGAAGAGCAACCAAGGAGTTCAAAGCAGCAAGTTCACTCGCTCGCCACTTGACATATTTCAAAAATAGGAATTACTCCCTCAGCTGATCAACAGCTACAAATTGCCATGCTTGCACACCACAAACACATTTTAGGCTGCCTTGAGCCAATTCATTGCTTGAGCAAATAAATATTCATAGAAATAATGAGTTAGGAAAATCTCTATACTGGCTTCGTTTTCAACAGCTTATGTTGTCAAAACTGGTTAGCATTGAAGATGAGTTGTTTACAATATTTTCCAATTGATACCCACGGGAAAAGTACTGCCAGAGAATTCTCCACCTACATGTATAAATCTGTAAATAGCACCACGCACCCATTGTCGTTAATGGAGGTTTATTGCACATTGAATATATAAAGATATATAATCTCGTCCTTGGGGACATGAAATCAAAAAATCATAATGATTACTGATTGAATTATTGTCACTCATGCTTTAGAATAGTCTCATATAGGATCAATGAATCATGAATGTAATGGCTAAATAAAAGGACTTGACTATTCAGAATAGGAAAAAAATTGGAACCTTAGTTTATTAATGAAAATAACATGGAAACTTATGTTTGAAATTGATGGTCAAATTACATTAAAAAATTCAGACCTCTGCATTGAAAACATAAGCAACAAGAATCAAACAATAATATATGGGACGAATTTTCGAATCATAGCACACAATAATGTATCCATCATTGAGTATTTTATATAACAAGTTGAAATAAATTCCTTCGCTGGCCACTGTAAATACAAAATACCAATGAATTTGGTAATACCAATCCCACAAGAATTGCAGAAGGCTGTTTACAGAATATAGTATTTTCAAGCTAATTGTACATTATTATGCATTTGATGATTAATCACAACATCCCAACAACTGACTCAAACCTTCATGCATCCGTATGAAGCAAGACAATTTGCAAATGATGGTCAAGTATGTGAACTAAATGAAATGTATGAATATATGTAATTGATTTGGAGTCATTCAAATTTAGCTTTAACAAATTCAATCCAAAATGAATAACATATTTGGAAGGAAATAGTTTTCATCAACATTTTCGTAAATATATATTAATTAGGACACAACCTTCGCAAGTAACCTTGACATAATTAAACTTTAGATGAAAGAGATAAAGAGCTTGCAACTTTGGTATACGACCCTCCTTTTCCTTTCACGTGGCTGATGGTTTTTACCAGTTGCTTATGATCAATCCCTCCTGTTTTGATCATGAGATTCCATGTAGTTACTGCTAGTTTCTGCATGCAAGGGGCTTCAATATTGCCAAAAGCTATAATGGTGGAAAACAACTCTGATGCCACTGCAGCTCTGTCGTTTGACTTGTACTGAGAAGATGCTGTTAGAAAAGCAAAAAGTTCGTCCAACAATGTAGTCCCAATTGATGAAATCTCTGCTAGAAATTTTTCATCACTGCTGTACAAGTGTTCGTTAGAATCAACATACTCAACACGGTATAAGTATCGATCTTGGCTATAAGCAGATAGCAAACTGAGCACCTTGATGTAGACAGAAATTCTAGATTCCATACTAAGTAATCCGCCACTAGCTCCTGTAGCAGAAATAACATTCATCAACCCACGCAACAAATACAGAATGCCTTGCTCTGGGTGATCAGGTACTGTTAATAATGTAGACAAAAAATTAGTGATATAAGATGCCATGATGTTCTGAGTTGAAACATTTTTTCCATCCGTATTTGCGATGAGCGAAGGTGCATCTAAAATTTGAGTTACAGCAGCACAGAACATAGCATCAGCTTGAGTGACACAATGGCTAATTAGAGCAGCTTGCCCAGAAACCAAATACAGCTGCAATCTTGCATATACATCACTGAGAGAAGGAATAGTAATGAAGCAGAAAGCGGCGCAAGCCCGTACAAAAGATGCAGTTTTAGTTGTATGTTTATGCTTCACAATTCGAGTACAAGTAGTAGAAAGTGTATTGACCAGATGCACCAAAGCTGACAAGACAGAGTCTAAATTGCGAAAAGAACCACGACATTCCACATAAAAGTTCAGTTGCTGCTCAAAATCTCTACCAAATGTTATTTTTTGGATCACGGCACATATTGCATTGCCCACTGATCTACGCTCACTTTCGAGACTCATGGAATTAATGGAATCGTGCATTGCTCTGCAAATATACATCATGCCATTTATCACAAGAGGATCCGAAGTAGACTGATCAGAACCTTTAATGAAGAATTCAGCAACACAAGTACAAATATCCAGCTTGACATCATCTTTTTGGAACATGTCAAGAAAAGGTAGGAACCTTTCTATTGCAAAAACCACTGAAAAAGACTTCATATGCGTTAGAATTCTCTTAACAACATCCTGCAACTTTGAGTAATGCTTCTCGAATGCCCGATCTGGTACCATGTGCTTCAAGATGTCACCAAGGATGGTGTTCACTTCCTTTTTCTTAAAATTTTTAACAGCATATTCGGTCCAAACTGCTGCACATGCAATGTATTCACTGGGGTCTTGCAGTTTAACAATGTATTTCCAAACATCAGCAAGAAGTGGTTGCTTGTCCTTCTCAGGCGGGTCACATTCTATCACACTATTACCGAGTGTGGTGAAAACAACATCTTTAGGGAATAGACTGTCGTCTGACTGAGAGATAATAGACGAAAAATCTAACGCTCTCGCAGATACATAATCAGGTTTGAAAGAGGCAAGGATGCATCTTAAAATAAGAAGACTGTTACCTGTTTTCGCACATTTTTCTAAAACATCTTTCAGTGTGCTTTCATGAGCATTATGGGCAATGCACGATAAAATCCACTCCAACGCAGGCATATATAATGAGAGATATGTTGACATGTCCAACTTCTGATGTGCAATTTCATTTTGCACAGATGTGGTATGAATTTGCTTGTATGTCGAAATAAAGTAGTAGAAGTTGGAAAGTAAGTGACCTTTGAACTTTGGGGTATATTTAACACCAATCATGCATAGATACGTTCTTACATAAACACAAACTAATGGATTACCCACACCTTTTGCCATATTAGTGAGCCGAACGAGTGCCGAGTTGCATTCATCCTTTTTTAGAAAATTATAGCAAGGCAGGATACTAGCTTCAATAAGGATTCTTGGAAGAAGCTCTCTAATGGATGCAATCTTCATCATCCAATTGAGACAAATCTCTTTTGCATTATCACTCACTTTATCCAGATCAATTTTATCTGCTGACATTCCTGCACACATAGAAAGGATACGACCATATACCAACTGGCCAAAGGTTTGTAAAATATCTGCAATCAGAACAAATTTGCTGGGATAGAACTGCATAACCGATACGTCGCTCAGCATTTTTGCACATTGAATTGCTATTTTCAGGGCATTCACTTTCTGATTAGATTCCCATGATTGTCGAAGATTTTTTCCCAAGTCATACATTCGATCTATAAAGTTTTGTTGAGATTGTGTTTTTAGTTCCTGCACGCTACCTTCCTCCATGTCATTAAGCTGATTCAATCGAATTTGGAGTCTTTCTGTAGTAGAAGACGAATTAAACGAACGACCGACTGCCTTGTCACCACTCTTTGAAATGGAAATCATCTGCATTGATAGCTTTTCATCCAATGTATAGTTACTCAGAATAAATAATTTTTTTGATGCCCAATGCTCAAAACCTTCTCCATATTCATCATTGGTAGAGACTTCAAGTATATCTGCTTCTGAGCTTTCCACTTGTTCCGAATTTTTGGGAGTGCTTTGAGTTGCTACAGATAATGGATCAATTATTGCCATAGCGGACAATGGGTCAATAAAATCCTTTGTTGCACTAGATGATGATCTGGTGCTCCCAGAACTAGATTTGACACTTTCTGCACCAGATTTTGTGCTACTAGCATCACTTTTTCGTCGTTTTGAGGAAGCTTTCACTCCAGCAGACTCAGTTACTGTTATTGGTTTCAGAGGATGATACTCTGAGAATGCAACAGGTCGTGACCTGAAATTTTTTTTCCCATCGATCAGCTCATAATCAACTTTCTTTGGAATCCAAGCGTACTCAGCTTTTTGCATTTTTATGTCGAAAGGGTAGAATGAAATACTGCATATAAACAAAAATGATATTGAATAATGCAATTCACCATACTAGCCTAGAGTCAGGCAGGGGTGTCGTGTAGTTTCGTACTTCTATAGTGGGCGTAGCAAAACAATTTTTTGACAAGTGGTGTAATTTTTGGATTGCATAGTCAGGTGGGGGTTAAGATTGACACGTGAACAAATTGTTATGCTACGCCCACTAGAAGTACGTTAGGTACGAAACTACATGAGACCCTCGGACAGTAATCGAGGAAATATGTGGCACCAAACTAGTTCCAGCTCAAAGCTAATTCTGTTTTTTCAAGTAGGAACAAATTATACCTTTAGGTCACCATATACAAATATACCGGTACTCTTCAGTAACTTATTAATGCTCGCACATCATTCCAACAAACTCATTAGTCAGTTAGTCTAGTTGTTTTGCACACAACTTGAAAATCTGAATGTCTTTGCCAACAAGTCCTTTATATTCAAACATTCTGACATTATTCAATTCCCAACCAGAAATCTACATCACAAGATGCAAAACTTATAACTTAGTAGGCTACTTACAATAAAATTTATTGAGGTAGCCTACTCATGTACCGTACTCTATTATATAAATATTTTGCTCTTAATACTGCCAAATATTGCTATTTCGAAATTAGAAGTAACCCTACTTCTGTACTTTTATGTATACACTACTATAACGCCGCATGACGACGCTGTTTATAATTTTTTTCATGTTGTACCCATGGGCAGACACTTTCCATATTTTTTTTTTTTAGGGGCGAACTTGAATCGCTAACAAAAAACACTGCGCTGTATCGTTACGTAACAATAACCTTTCGATCTAATGCTCTTTTGTATTAGAATGTCATTTTACTACTCATATATCGAGTAAAGAGGCCACTTTGCTCGAACACGGGAGCTTGCGCGTCACTAAACCGATCCCTTGAATTCCGCGAAAATTACCTCACGGCTCTTGCTGAGAAACAGAAACCACAAATTTGAGGAGTCGTATTTGGGCATTGTTTCAATTCTTAGTTTTGCATAAAGGGCATCAACGCCGTTTCGTAAAATTAAAAATGTCAAACAAGGTGACAAATTATCGTGCGAAATTTTTCCAAGGAATTAATATTTTACCAGTAGAATTGCCATTATTGCCGAGTTATAAATCATCATTTGAACTCAGGGTTTTTATTTAATACGAAAATAAACAAGCACAATAAAAAAGTAAAATCATAAGGAGGTTAACTATCGTCTTCATAAATATCCGCATTCCGGTGTCAGAAATATCAAAAACATTGTTTACTTAAAATTGTTACAAGTATTAATTTGCAAACGGTGACGAGAAAGATCATAGCCGGCGCAAATAATAAAAATCGGAATAAAATACCGAATGCACGCCTTAAATACGGACGCTCTTTCCTCGAAAATGCATTAATTCGTTCCAAGCTCCCACAAAACTCGGACATAATATTTGACTGGGCTAAGCAAAGACCACGGAGAGTGGGATGACGACGGTCGGAGGAGGTGAGCGGAGGCGGTAAAAGTTGAAATCCAAGAGAGAACGTAATTTACGAAAATGAGCACACGTGCATGAAATTCAAAATTGGAATTTATTATAACAGCAGGTGCTTATTATTTAGCAGTTTTATTCACTTTTTATTATTATTTAGTTTTAACTGTTACGCGTATCATCGTCTTCTCAACTGAAACTGAGTGAGACTTATTGTACGTACCCGCGGTAAACGAACGGGCCAATGGGATGGCAGATTGGCGTGTGTCAGGGCAGGTACCACGTTTATACTGCTTACGTCTCAGCCTTACGACACCATCATTAGTTGATTCAGAAAAACGCAAATGTAATTACGCGATCATAGTCATCATCAAATGAGTGAACCTGATTCCCAAATTCCCATCAGCCAATAAAAGAGAATTGAGACCGGAAATCTTTTCTTATTTTGTAAGTCGTAATTTTAAGTTTAAATATTTCATGTCGGCTGTTATGATTTTAATTTTGATTATAAATTAATACCGTCAACCTATACTGAACCTTATTGTAATCACCAACGCCGCGATAGATACTAAATAATATTTAGGAGTTATTTTATCTCTCTAAATTGGAAGAAATGAAAAAATTTGACTTTATATTCGGTCACTATCAAAATGGAAGGATGAAGACGATTAATTACAACACAATTTGTTGCCGAGACCGCACAAACTATCTCTACAAAATTGAAATATACGATAATCATCGTAAAATATTTTCAATCAAGAACACCTTCGACGTGTAAGAAGGACTTCAAGCCAGGGCTAATTGAACACCTTTCGTGCCGACTGTAATTTACTGCCGCGCCGCATACGACTGCCTTCGAATACAATAAAAAATGAAATAAATAGAAAATGTTTTAAATCCAAACGTTGAGGGCGGCGCTAGGATTTGTGCGCCATGTTCGGTATTCTTACAAACACAAAAGACGATAATCGAAGTTCGCGATATTTGAATAATAAATTCAAATTGGACTTCCGGACCCTAAGCACTGCACTAAATTAAACAAATGTCATTACACGCGATTTTTGTTTTTACGTTAGTCAAAGCAATATCTTTAAGAAAAGAATTCTCGTAAGTTGGATTTTTCGTATCCAGAGCCTTTCGTATGTAGAGTTTCTACTGTAATTGCAAGCACAAAAATTGTTTCTCTTTGTTATTGATATTACGGCATTGTTCGGGGTCCTGGCAGAAATGTTGAGTTAAAACCAACGGTTAAAACGCAAAAATTTCTGAAAAAAGTGCTATCAAAATTTATTGTCACACCGACGTTAAACGAAGTCAGTGAATTCGGCAAGGAGATTGAAATTGCTCGCTCGTTCCACATTAATTAAACTAAGGGCTTGTTTCGCGGGAACATTCTTCAAAATTGGCACTTCTCCGCGGGCCGCACAATTTTTCTTTGCGGGCCGCAGTTTGCACATCCCTTACTTGAACAAAAAAAAACTTGAACTTCTGCTTGTGCATGATTGTTCCCGAAAAATTCAAGAATCTAGGGCGATTTGAACAATAGTAGTGTGTTCTATAAAATAGATTTAGTTCAAAATGACCTCCTGGTCAATAGTGACGGGGGTTCAAATCCAATGAATGAGATGCCCATTCGACGTTAAACTTCCTGTTGGCCATACTTTCTGAGATCGCTCTCTCAGTCAGTCAAGGGCGTCATTTGATATGTAGGGGATAAGTATAAGTATATTCTGATTTTCACGCAAAATAAATCATACACAAAATACAAACAATGAACACACACAGATGATTGGGAAAATCGGGGGAACTGGCAACTGAAACCTTTATAAAGGGTTTAACACATGTAAATGTACATGCGCCCCGTCTTGCCGTAACTACTAACCGTCTCAATCAATCCATTCACGTCGTCCAAATGATGTCAAGCACTTCCTCAGCACCGCCACATAATGTTACATACTCACCGTTTGATTTTCGTTTTCAAACCAAACTAGACCAATACTGTAATGCATTTTTCAAAGGATGGCTACACATAGCGCTCACTTTTAATGAGAGTAACGTTCTCAGAGAGACATCCTTCGGAAATGTTGTGCCCAGGTACCAGTATTCAATATTTTTGCTTTATACATGCCCAGACAGAAGAAAGTGCGATTCAACAGAAACTAGGTGGGCGAGTGACAATTTTGCGCAACACGTACAAATCTGTCTTCATTACCTATGAGGTCATTTGCAACATATAAGGCATGATTACATGTCCATCAAAATCAGTCCAGTGAACCGGTTCGGTCAAAGTGGTCTCGGAGACTACTTAGTGCCCTCGATTACATGTCCAAACCAACAAGCTGAGAACAGTTTTGGATTGGCCGGATTAAATCAAATAAGTCATGATTTGCAAACACTGCATATATTTTATTTCCAATAAATTCATAAATTGAATACAAATGTTAATTAAGGTATCAAAATTGAATGCACGTTCTTGATTTAAATTCTTTGAAGTTATTTGCAGAATATGATGAGGGGTTGCTTTCCCGTTGAAATTTGCCCACAATCTAGGAAACAAAACGACAAATTTATTGGGGGCATAAAAGATAGACGATTTAGAATCTAAAAATTTTAGATCATTTTGGCCGACCATCCAGCGTTCAACGCTGCAGACTACTGGCACCTTACGCCACACGATCCATTCAAAAATCACAGTAGGCCTACAGTTACCAGTAGTCTACTGGCAATTAAATTAAAACAATTACATTTTATAAACCAAACACTTGTGTGAAGTGGGCTCATATAATAACAGAAGCACTTTCATTATTTAATATCGCCCTACTACTGCGACGTTACCGACAGAGAAGCTTTGTATTTATGCTGGTACCGGTATGTACAGTAAGGGTACCGGTACCAGCTAGGATGCGTTATGGCTGTATCCTGTATGGTGCAATTCCAAAAGAATTTTCAATGCAAACTGAAGTCGTACTGCGCTCAGTTTATACCAATAAATCTTTAGACATCAAGATTTAAATTCTCTGTTTCAAAACAACAACCTATCATGCCAATATGCCGCACCGAGATCCCACCACTACCGGTATTTTAAATTTGTGTTCAGCAGCGACACAATAGATGCGGAAGATGTTTAAATTAAACTTGCCCTATCTAGCTGAATTTGTATTAGTTTAAAAAAGCAACTCACTTACCAGAGATGAAAAAGAAAACAACTTCCGTACCTCCTTCGATCACGGTGATTCACGATTTCTCGAGTAGCACGGCGAAGCAACTGAGCAAGACCGGTTAGCTCAGTTTCAGACCTCCTAAATAGGAGGTCTGATGTTCTGGACCGATAGCACGGATTTGAATCGCAGGCGAACCACTGAAGCGTGAATATGTGGTCTGCTAGACCGGTTCCAGCGGACATGTAATCAGGCCTATAGACTACTAGAGAGAACCCACCTTTTGAGAAAAAGGGGCCTGCCAGGAGAGTCTGGATTTCATTGCTCTTTTTCCACGAGATATCGGGCCTGCAA